CTCGAACACTTCTACAGCATCCTCGACCTCTAAGTCTTCTACGACCTCGAACACTTCTACAGCATCCTCGACCTCTGAAGTCTCACCAACCACCTCACCCACCAAAGGCTCCACCTCAAGCGCGCCTACCGCATCCAGCTCGTCCGTGAGATACCAGAACTCTACCTCAACGGCATCTGAAAGTGTGACATCGGCATCTGAGAGTATGACAACATCCACCGTCTACACCACAAGTGTCTACACCGTCACCTCTTGTGCACCCACAGTCACCAACTGCCCCGCCCATGTAGGCAAGGTAACCACTGAGATTATCGCTCTCTACACAACCGTCTGCCCAGTTGGAAGCTCGCCCACACCCGCCCCAAGACCGACTTCCGTTCCCGCAGGAGATCTGACTACATCTACCTTGTACACAACTAAGATCTACACCATCACTGCGTGCCCTCCCTCAGTGACCGACTGCCCAGCTGTCATCGGAAAGGAGACCACCGAGGTCATTTCTCTGACCACGACAATTTACCCCAATCCAGCACCCACCGACGAACCCACAACCACGATAACTTTTATCAATCCAGCACCCACCGCTGTCTGCACTCCAGGCGCCGTAAACTGCCCTTCCGGTGAGGAACCCACGACCACGATAACTTTTATCAACCCAGCACCCACCGCTGTCTGCACTCCAGGCGCCGTAAACTGCCCTCCCGGTGGCAATCCAAGCACACCGATCGTTAATGGAACCTCGCAGTGGAACTCCACTCGCACCGAAACTCGTATTCCTGTTGTGACTCTCAGCACTCTGTCAATCAGTGCTCCAGTGCCAGTTGCCCCAACTCCAGTTGGACCAACTGGAGGTGCCGCAGCTCCTAGCGCCCCACCAGTGTTCGCAAGTGGTGCTGAGGGTATGAGAGTTGGAGGATTCGTTGCCAGTGTCGTTGGATTGGTTGCTGTTTTCGGAATGCTGTAAGGTACTGTTACAGTCCGACTCAAATCTACTTGAGATAATTGTAGAATACTTATGAAAGAAACCCCCAGGGATTCCATTAAGCGTTTTATTCTTATTCCCTCTTGGTATCGAGAATATGAATCCTGTTGTCCCTGATGTGTCTTGGGTTTTGCATGCTATTTTATATAATTTATGATGAGAACAATGTGATGACCTAGAATATTTTAATTCTGAATTATAATGCTATATATCAATTGTGGCTCCTCCCCATGCGCTACTGTGGCCACATCAAAGATTCCTACATTACATGTAGGTGGTCTATCCTGCATCCCCTGCTCACTCTGCAGACAGAATTAGGACTGCCACTCTATCGCCCATAGCGAGGTATGATGAGGGCTAGCTTTGATAACGAATTTTGAAGCCTCTGTTGAAATTATGCATTTGAGTCGGGTATGTATAGAAACTATTATAGTTACAATAAGCTAAATATTGAGTGGCATTAGTAACCGCTAGTCATACTATACACTGTACACATGACTCCCAAACTCCCTTTCCCTTAAAAGGGGCCCAAAATCACACCATATCCAAATCCTCTCATCCCTCTCACCAACCCCACCAGTTAATAATCCTCAAAACAAAAGAATACAGCCAAAGTGTCCAGCCCGTAGCGTGGCTAAGTCCAATCGTCCGATGAGAAAATTCAATCACGCTCCTAGCTCTCGGCATGCTCAGCGCATCATATGCTATTACAACCTCATCGAAAGTCTCATTCTTACAAAGCTGCTCAGCAAGATCCCAAGCATCCATCATCGCCATATTAGCCCCATTCCCAGCAAATGGACTAACAGCGTGGTTTGAATCTCCGATAAATACCACGTTCATGTTGCTCGCGTTGTGGGCGAACGGCTGCTTGTCATAAGCGTTTAACTCTTTAATCGTCAGGGGATCCGTGGCGTTTATGAGTGTGGGGATAGGTTCCTTAAAGGTCTTGCTCCGTTCGAGAACTTCCTTGATTATGCCTTGGTACTGATCGCTAGAGAGTGGGTGTTTGAGAGTTTTCCTCGGCTCTGCGGTACGATAGGAGATTGACCACACAGCTCTATATTCATCAATAGGTGATAGAAAGCATCCAGTTCCAGTTTCATTCAGATAGAGACCCCAATCTCGATCCACCGGCGAAGGGACCTTGCTATCCGGAAAGACCGCATTTCCTATAACTTGTACAGCGCCTGCAAAGTTGAGTTTATCGTCTGGTCGCAAGCATCCTCGAATCTTGCTCCCTGAACCATCTGCTGCGATTAACAGATCACATTCATCGAGCTTGCCATTACTAAGTTGCACGCTGATCTTCCCATTGCTGAGTTTCGCCGCACCAGTGCAAGCAGTTCCCCACCGGACGGTGGTCGATTCCGGCACGGCTTGAAGTAATTGTCCGCGCAACTCATTCCGTGCAATGCGCATATGCGGTACTGGCAAACCACTCCAGGCCTTCTTATCGACCTTTGCCCTCATGATTTCATTCCAGTTCTGGTCCCAAAGCACAAAGCTCCCGGGGTTTTCTTGGATACCTGTGATGCTTGTTGCGAGGCATGAATCGAGTATGCCGAGTTTGCGCAGCGTTTGCATACCGGCGGAGACCCCATCGCTACGAATGGACATGGAGTAGCCCTCCCGTTCAATTCCTGCATTTTCGGCATCTCGTTCGTAGATGATGATGGTTGGCGGAGTTATTGAGGGGTCAACTGATGCCCATTGTTTGGAGAGTGCGGTTGCGAATGCGAGACCCCCTATTCCTCCGCCGGCGACGATTATTTTCTTGCCAGCGATAAAGGGAGCAGTTGTGGTATTTGTGCTTGCCATATTGTTGTGTCTTTCGGCCTTGCAAAATGCCAAAGAATAGTGTATTATTATTAAATGCTACAGAGATGAACAAAGCAGCGGAGAAGTTGGGATGCAGCTTGCGAGATATGAAGCCCTACATTTCAAGGTCCTGTATCTGATATATCATATTTGAGTTACCAACTGCCAAGTAGCGTCGGAGGAACAATATATTATGCTTATTCTTACCCGTAGTACAAGGCTGGGATTTCCAGGCATCGGTATGGGAGGACGCGCATTTACCTACGTATGCACTGTATCAAGGAGGGGTTTGGGCCATTCAGCCACTCGGTGGCGTTTCCATGTGCGACAGAGAAGATCCCACTTTAAAGTGCCTTACTCTAAGACCTTTTATTTGAGGTAGATTTTGCTTTGGCAATCGCTAAAGACCAAAGATTTAAGAAAAGAAGCCATGTACGAAATATATTCTCGAGAAGGATTTCAGGATTTGTGACGATCTCTTTTCGGGCGTAATATCGGAGTTAAGGAAGCGAAGGTCACATGACCTGAAAGCCTCGATCATATCTCGAAAATAGTTCTAGCGATTCTCTTCCTCTCTTTATATCCTGGAATGAAACATGTTACTTATGGCTTTGTGGCCTCTAGACTGTCTTGTGTTTTTCTGCGCGAAATGAGTTCTTCCCACCATTTTAATGGCTCAAACCGAGGTCGGATGGGAAACAGTAGCAGAGGTCGAGGCAGCCGTGGCCGAGGCGGTTTCAATGATCGAAGCCGAAACCGCGATTCAACTCTAAAGCCCGTTCCAAGCATCCAACAAGTTATTGTCGGCTCGTCAGTGTCCATGGTTTTGAAAGTTGACCAAGTAACAGGCCGGGAGGTCCAAGGTGTTGTTGCAGAACTCCTGACGCGAGGGAACCATCCAAGAGGCATCAAAGTACGTTTGCAAGATGGGAGGGTAGGACGGGTACAAAAAATGATCAGTGAGGACCAGGTGAAACGAACCTCGGCGGAATTGAGTGGGCTGGACTGGAACGAGCGCAGCAGTGACGCACATGGTGGTGACCAATCAACGATGGCAACAAGTACGACAACTTCGACAAGGGAGACTTTCTCACGCCGAAAGTATGGGGATTTCCGCACTGATGAGCCAGATGAGCCCCCGAGTGGAAATTTGTCTCTTGCGGATTATGTCGTTGTCAAGGGGAAAGGCAAGGGTCAGCGGAGCAAAACTGGAGCAAATCAAAATCAGGTCACGGACAGCCAGAATCAAGACGAAGAGTCCGGAGACCGCGCTGATTTCAAGTCGACCATTAGTACCTGTCCGGTCTGTGGAGAATTTGAGGGTGATGAGGTCGCTGTTGCTCACCACGTAAACGGGCATTTTGACTGAGAATAGCACCTGGCGTTTTGGTTCGTGGCATTGCCCTGAAAATAAAGTGGTGAAGGCCCTTCTAGAAGAAAGGAAACCCGGGCTCTGAAGTTTTGAAATGAGTCATTTCAAAGTCATGAAGAGAGGCATCATCTTGGGCCTCCGATATAATGATGGCTTCAAGTCTAGCGCCATGTACATTTGGTGCTAGAGCAAAGCGGCATTTAGCTACTGCTTGAAGCTTGTCATACGTTGGCCGCCGTTTTGCCAGCTTTCAAGTCAAGAAAAGTACAGAAAATGAGCCTCTACAGTTGCCATATCTAGCGAGGTGGTAATACCATCTGGAGAAATCGGGGATTCTACCGGCTGCGACCACACGCATATCTCCCCGTCTATAGAAACCGATCGTGGTAGATGATTATATGTCAATTGTATGCCGTTAGACGATAACAGCTCTTGTCCCGGTGCTTCTTCAATGTTCGAAAATGATGTCTGAGTGAATCACCGTAGTCAGGAGGACCCGCAATGGTTTCTTCTTGCTTTATCCGTTTGGATGACCCTTAAACTCTCGACTACGGGCGATGTATGACCTAGCAGCGAATCGCCTCATCCTGTCGAGTGTTCTTGCTACAATATGGCGCTCTCCATGAGAAGAGTCCACAGGGCGCCAAAGAAGTAGCCAGCTTAAAGATATAAACGCCAGTGAATGGGACATTCCGTGGAATTGGTTGGTCAGCGCTTCTAAAGGAAGCCGTATGGATCCTGAGGTAGAGGTAGTAGGGAAAGATGAAGAAATCCCGCCGGGCAAATGAAAGTGCAAGTTAAAATATTAATTCTGGGACAAGATAAGCCATTTCCCGGGGCTTAATGCCGAGCAAATGGCTCTAGGAGATGCAGGTAAATTCGAGCTATCAGACAGGGCGGAGCGGATAGGGTTGGGGATTAACACTAGCAAGAACACGAAGTCATAAGTTTAGGCGGTTCACCGAATCTATTGATTGAACTATGTTTTATCTATCCGCTCACTAGACATTGCGTGTGTGCCGAACCCGCGATCCGCCGCGGTTTCGTCGTAGGTTTCAGAACCGTGAATGCTCTTAGCAAAGCATCTTCAAGTCATCCTCGCAACTTCTCCCTTCAAGTGTCTTCGTTCGTTCATATGTGGGAATTCATATTTCCATGCTACACCGCAAAACTTTTCTGAGGGGCAATAAGCCCAAGACCAACGCATGTAAAAAGCAAGTGAAGTCGTCATCCGGCCTTGTTAATTCCGGAGGGGAAATGACATGGGCGGTCCAATCTAATTGGAAATGATGCGTGAAAACAGCGCAAGCCAGACTCCTAAGAGCATGAGAAATTTTTGGTAATTTTTTATTCGAGATCGTGTAAAACAAAGGAAATCGTGGCGAAGGTCGCGGAAAATAATACAAAGGCCGTGTTTTGTCGTGACGTATCGTCGCAAATCCTCAAGTCAACTGTATGTCTGCAAGCCACCACCCTTTCCAAATGCCCGGGGTTCTGTATCTTGAGCAACGTTCGCATACCATCATCTCGGAAATTTAGAAAGGAAATCTGATCTGGAGGTTGGGAAAATCGGCGCTTCGTAGTAGTTCCGTAGCGAGGCCAATTTAGTTGGGGCATTGAGCCTGGACGTGGCCTGGCTGCTTGCACTTGTAGCATGTGCGCTCGCTGCTGGTCTCGGATGGGCAGTCACCTGGAATATGTTAGCGAGGCTTCAGTGAACCAATTGTGGGACTGAAGGACTTACGGCTCAAGTGGCCAACCTCTCCACAGTTGTAGCACTTCTGTCCCTGGGTACAGTCTCTTGACATGTGCCCGTAGCCTCCACAGGAGTAGCAGGTCTGTCCGCCTTGACGACCACCACCGAAACCACCACCGTAGCCGCCTTGAGCGCCGCCGTATCCGCCAGCGTTGCCGCCATTGCCGCCGTATCCGCCGGCACCTGCCTCAGGGCAGTTGCGGGCGATATGGCCAACCTTAGAACACTAGGGCCGGAGTCAGCTACAGCGTTTGAGTGTGGTTAGCGATGGTGGATTGTACCTTATAGCATTCCTGGCTGCCACCTCCGGAGGCGAATCCGCCGCCACGTCCAGCACCCTCAGCAGCTGGGTTGGTGCAGTCGCGGGAGATATGGCCGGGTTGACCGCACTGTTGGGATTAAAGTCAGCGCAGTTCATTTATTACTTCGGCAGCGTTTTGTTCATACCTTATAGCACGTCTTGTCCTTGGGGCCCTCTGGGCATTCACGGCCTATAATCATCAATAACTCTCTCCCTGGATGTTCATGGAAAGAGTGCACATACTCATATGTCCTTCACCTATGATTGAATATACATATCAGTTTCGTATGCTCCAAGATTTGTCATCGCTGGTCACTTACCGCCACAGTTGTAGCTATTTGAGAGTTAGCAACAGAACATTTAGGTAGAATAAGAACGCAATCTTACCACTTGGCCGGGCCTCTGGTTGGGCAGTCACGAGCCTGAGAGATATATTAATATTTTGCAACGAGATGCCAGGGGCATGTTAGAAGTCCACGCTCGTACCTGATGAGAAGCATCGCCACCTAAATTTCAGTATTAGCGGAAGCCCTGGCGATGGTTGTGCATGACAACCGTGTAACTAAGGAAGGGAATACGGGAAACCCTGATTATTGTGATAATCCAGTATGCATCCACTGAAATGTCTTCAAACTTAGCGAACGGCAGACCGCCATTCGCAAGACAAGTACAATACTGAACAGGGCTCCGCAACGTCCCCAGTTTACGGGGGAAAGATACCACGTGCTTTAACCATATGGGAAGAGTTGGGCATATGATATATGCCACGTCGGGTGGAATGGCTTTTAGAGGAACTGAAGGTGAGAATTGTGGGGTTTGCACTCACAGTTGTAGCAGCCGCGGGCTTGTCCACCACCGTAAGAGTCCATGGTTTCGGTTGAAGGAAGGGTTTCTACCGCGAAGGATAGGTTGTCAGCTTTGGCACTCGGTGAATTGTCGTATGCAGTATGTTATGGAGGAGAAAACTTCAGGTTGAAGAGAAGTGATAGGGAAGGTGGGGTCGGCAGAAAACCGCGAGTCTCAAAGGCTGACGCGGGGGAATTAACACGCACTTGGTGAGAAATTGGGTTTAGGGATCGAGTCGATTGAGCTCGGTAGATGTGAATAATTTGAAGAAGAAAGGCGACCTCGAAGACGTTGCAGTTCTCAGGGGAATATAAAAGGTTGTAGGATTGAGGGAGGAAGAAGAGAAAATCCAGCAAGAAAGAGTTCGGGCGGCGTGTGGCCACGAAGCGAGGACGGAGGGCGGCGATACTTTGATGCGTGCACTTTAGCAACAAACTCCTACGTTAAGTCTCGCCGCTTTGTCGAAGTCTCTTCCAGCTTCCTCCTACTTCGTAAGTTTGGGGAGTGGAGAGCGTCTTGCGGTGCTGATTTGTTGGCTGACTCGATTTGATACGGCGCCACCCACGGATCTCCACCGCCGCAAACCCAATATCAACGGGCAGCGCTTCGAAGAACAGGGACGAAGTGCAGTTGCATGGAAAATCCAGGGTCTTGCTGTCTGCTGGCAAGGCGACGACCCGCTGGACTGAATCTCAATATCAACTTGACGAGGTCTCTTCCGTCTGATCCCTCCTTCTCGTCCCTTCTGTCTGCCCTTTCTCCTTTCTTTCCCTGTCCCAAACCGTCTTGCGCCCGGTGGTCTGCACATTTGGTACTCTCCCTTGCGGCCCAACCATCCTAAGGATCTCCGGATCTCCAGGCAGGGAACGCGCAATTACAAGACTCGGAACCAGATGATAGTCCTTGCCAGGTCAGCAAGTCACCAAGACGCTACCCGTCGCTCGGCGGGGATTGTGCGACTCGTACAACTTCATCCTCCCTCCTCGTTTTTCGCGTTGCGGTTCCTTGCAGAGGCCCGGTGGCCAGCAGCCTTCCGCGGCTGCATTACGGGCCTCATGGCCGCTGGGAGAAACGACGTGGCCTCGAGGATTGGATTGCATGCATGCCATGCCTTTTAATTCCAATTCGACGTTCCACTTTGCCCGCTTTGACAGGTCGATTTCTTTCCGGCAAACGCGAAGCCATGCTCACGCAGCCTTGTGTATGATGGGGATGGGCGTGTCTGATAGCCGTCAGTCGTCCATCAACCAAGCACCAAGGCTGCACGAAGGATTATAATCTAGCTGCGTTGTCAATTAGCCCGGGAAGTGAGGAATGGTAAAAGCACCTGGAGCAATCAAATGTAGCCCCACGACTCTTACTTTTCTAGGTGAGGGAGGAATTTCGTCAGATTGCTGACGAGATGCGCATGTCCAAGTCCTTCATTTCGTTCCCGCTTCGGCAGGTTTCAACCACTTTGGAGAATCTTTGGCTCCTACAACGCGTACACAACAAGCTCGACAGCCCTTCTAGGTTTGAAACTGGCCTATTTACCTGCTTAGGTGAGAATAGATACCACCGCCCATATCACCGCCCATATCACAAAAACTATGGATTTTCGAACACTCCTGGCTATAATACCTCATCGGCCATGCATTTGGTACCGTTACTCGTGGCAGGACACGAACTATATAAACAGCATACTATTGTGCCTAACAGGATGCTACTAATCTAAGGAGCTAGACATCTATCTTGACACTTTCACCGCTTTGTGTGATGTGGCGACTTGCTTCTGATTTTTAGGATTCCCATCCAGACAGCCTCTGCTACTACAATCCATCTATCAAGAACCTCAATCCAAGGGTGCGGGCAGGCTAACTCTGGATGCGACCCCATCAGTCGCCTGAGTTCATCGATACTCAGAGCCACGTCATTTTTCCGAGTTGCTTTGGATATGCTAGAGTTTACGGCTGCGGCCAGGAGGCGAGCTAAACAGGCATCAAGCAAAGTGCAGCTAGGTTCTTGTGTTATGTCCGAACAGAGCTGCAGACATAGGAGTTTATTCCCAACTGTGTTTGCGTGAAAAGCTGGCCCCAACCTCTTGTCTTCTATTTCTTCAATCGGAATTTCACTGTCAGGCGGACAAACTATCGACATCCGGCAACGCTCCAGCATTGATAACTCTTCCCTCAGCGGCCTCTCGGGTGTGGCTGCTGGGGTGTTGGCTCTCATTATATTTTCTACTTCGTTGAGATAGGTCCGCATGCCTTTATTCCAGTGCAGTAGATTATGGCGTCGGTCTGGATATAGCGTACCATTTGCTTTCTGCAAGTTGGCCAAAGACTTCGCGGCAATACCATGCGATTTTAAAGCTTCCATAATGTACCTTTTTTGTTGAGCCATAATGTTACCATACTGCCCTTGTGTGCTTGCCTCTGCCATGATATGCCTCATATTGGTCGCTGCTTGTTCTGAGTGCTGCAAGAAGGAATTCTCGATTATGGTGCTCTGAAGAAAGCTCCGCGCAAGTAGCTGAGCCTTTCGCTGTAGCGGAGACAAGCCCAGAAGCTCAGCCTGCAAAAGTTCCCGGGAAAGAATTCGAAAGCTAGCGACCATTTCTGGTGCCGAATCTGCATCAAAAATATCAGGTTCTCGTTCACCCGTCCACGTGACATCGAGTTCCTGGCGGATTCCGACTCGCAAATTTCGATTATTGAATAGGTGGAACCCAAATTGTCTTACACCTATGTCCTTATCTGATATTAGTGGATTGGCTTTGACTCAGGGACGGCCGCTTACCCAGAATTCCTCCTGGTGTATCTCCTCATAAAATGAAACACGAACAGGATATACCACGCGGGTGGCCTGCAGGGCCGGACTCAACATAACTACTCCGCTGGATAACGCTATACTCTCTATATTGGGCCAATGTTCAATCCAGTGGCCGAAGTGAGTGGTTCCAGGTTTGTCGGGCATCGTGTTGGCAGTGCCCCCGAACATCTTGCCTCCGTCAGTAACATCCACAGAGGAGAGGTTAGACACTTACTGCCTGCTCCATTGAGAAGCCGGCTTCTGCAATTGGTTCGTCTTCGAAATAAGGGTCGTCTGGCGGAAATTTCACATTAAAATCTCTCTCTGTTCCCCACATAGCGAACCAAATCGCGTGCTAAAGTATATATTAGAAGATAGCTGCATCTCATTTATTCTGACTCACCATGAACTCGTGCACCATGGTATTAGCTATGAACCACTGCATCCCCAACCGTTCACTATCATTGATCGTTGAGTCCAATAGGCCTTCCACATCGTTAATGCATAGCCATATACTTATGAAACTGTCATCTTTGTGTTCTGGTGTCTCAAAAATGGTCAACCCATGCCCGTACGAATCACGTAGACCGTCTCTAGGGTCTATGTCCCTCGGGAAAAAGCCTAAAAAGAGATCAAACTGGTTCGCAAGGGTTGAAAAAAAGCCATCCCTTATAATTTCACTCTGGTCCTGACGCTCTTGTGTCATGGGGCCTGGACGGCAGTGGAATGACATGTACTCCATATCGGGGTAAGGGTCATTGTTACTAACGTCCGCTGGTATCCTGTCCTTCGGGATAGCACGCTTTTCACCTAGCATAAAAGCATCAAACTGTGGAATCAGCAAAGTCTTTCGATATGTCACGGCCCCGGGAAGAGCAACATACCCAAGGGGTCATCTGTACATTCAGGAGTATTCTACTGACAAGCTGCATCACCGGTTCGAAGGCGCTATATACCACAGGATTGCTGGCTATCCAATCACCCTCATGGTCGCCCCCGATGGGATACAGCGATTGCCGTGTAAAAGCTGGGTGCAATGTTTTCTCCCATCTATCTAGCCTGATGATAGGGTGGATTGCATTTGCAAGGTTTGGAGCCTTTAGGGGTCTTGTACTGATAGCATCTAGGTCCACTAACTGCATCGTTGTTAAACCATTCAAGCTCCGCCGCTGAAATGCTTCCATATCCTTGATTTTCTCCAACTCTGTCAGCTCTTCTGGCGTTAATTCGTTGCTATGGCATGGGAAGTAGATAGATATAGGCGTCCAGCCGCTGTTAGCGTCGAAGCTTGCTCCATATCGCAATGCCCAAGGGGTCAGCTTAGGCAACGATGATGCTTCTGGACTAATCTCTGCTCCTCCATTTTCTTCGTCAGTGCCCTCGTCCTCCTCCTCCCCCTTCTCCTCCCCGGTTTGCTTCTCGACGGTGACAAAGTCTATATTGATACTAATGTTTGGGGGGTTCAAAATAATCGAAATATTTCCAGCCATGGTTGCAATATATATGATCAAGAGATATTAAAATCTCATTTTCTAGATTTGCATCTTATTTTCTATACTTACCTCGCTAGATATTGGCAGAGCGGACTGAAAGAGAAATGGATTTCATTGTTGAATAACGAACGTTTGCGGACAGCTGGACTAGTGGGACAATGAACTGGCAGTTCTTCATTGTTCAACCTCAAGGGGGAGGACCACTAGGACCTGTTTCGAGAGAGCCCAAACTATAAGCTCCTTGCATGGCTTGCGCTCTTCGAACTCGAGGAGATGTGATGCTGCAAAATAAAGAAAAAAGACGGATGTACTGCAATTGCTACTTTCCACTAGCGGCCAAATGGTGAAAACGGGAATATTATATATCTCCAAAATAATATAAGGATAATGAAAAGGTGTATCCAGTATTAAATGAGAGCTCCCAAGAAGCTGTTGGCAGGTACCAAGTTACCAAGTTAATATAACAACTCGACGTTAAGTTGAGTCACATCGAGATTGGAGTGCATGTATCCAATGTTTGGTTTCAGCTACAGACACATCCACTAAGCGACATTCCTCGGCAGTAACATTGGACTCTCCCCTGGAATTAGATCTACATCCCCCCCGAATAATATCTTAATACACACCGTACGCCTCATTTCGGACACCCTGCCCGATGAGAGTGCTCTCAGATCTCGCTTCAGAAACGGCAGGGGCCGGCATATGACATTCATTTCGCAGCCAGGGGACGCGAATGAATAATATTGACACCGAGGAGACGCGACCGGTGCTGGCAACTTCTTTCACCACATTGCTACTATCACGACAATAGCCTAGCTAGGTCATACAATACATATATCTCTTTCCATAGCTCTGATTTCCGTTGGATACCCCCAGTACATGCAATACTATACGATTTCCGTTGGGCGTTGGATACAGTCCCGAATACTTGGAACTAGGACGCCACTTTCGACATCCCCTCTCCCTCTCCCTCGACCGAAACATCGGAAAACAACAGCAACGGTGTTTGCCAGGTCGTAAATTCTACTCCGATGGTCGGCCTCTGGCCTTGCATATTGGAAAGCCGCTGAGTCGAAGTTTGGATATCAACCAAAAATTTATATTCTCGAGGCCCACCAGCGCAAAAGGGGCTGAGCCACTGGGGATAGCCACGGGGCTCGCAAAACAGCCATATCCAGCCCAAGATGGCGCCCGCAGGAGGAGGAAATATTAAGGTGGTGGTGAGGGTGCGGCCTTTCAATGGCAGAGGTATGTTGCCGGCCCCTTCCCTACGCGGGTATCTATCCACTCTCGAGGCTTTTGTAGACCTGACATGTTTGTGCAGAACTCGATCGCGGAGCAAAATGTATTGTGCAAATGAAAGGTTCCCAAACGGTTCTCGTACCGCCGGCCGAAGCCGATAGTCGAGGTGGAAAGAATTCCAAAGATGCCGGACAGAAGGTCTTCGCGTTCGACAAATCATACTGGTCCTTCGACCGCGGCGATTCACATTATGCCGGACAGGATGATCTACACAACGATCTTGGCAAGCCTCTTTTAGACAATGCATTTCAGGGATATAACAATTGTATTTTTGCGTATGGGCAGACCGGTTCCGGAAAATCGTATTCCATGATGGGATATGGTAAAGAAGCGGGTGTTATACCGAAAATTTGCCAGGATATGTTTGAGCGGATCGATCAAATGCAGCAAGATAAACATTTAAGGTATACCGTGGAGGTATCCTATTTGGAAATTTACAACGAGCGAGTAAGGGATCTACTGAATCCATCTACGAAAGGGAATCTGAAGGTCCGAGAACATCCGTCTACGGGGCCGTACGTTGAGGATTTGGCAAAACTTGTGGTCAGCAGCTTCAACGAGATTGAGCATTTGATGGATGAGGGGAATAAAGCCCGGACAGTTGCGGCTACAAATATGAACGAGACGAGCAGTAGAAGTCATGCGGTTTTTACACTTACACTAACACAAAAGAAACATGATGTGGAGACCAATATGGCTATGGAGAAAGTCGCGAAGATTAGCTTGGTGGATCTTGCTGGCTCTGAACGTGCGACATCCACTGGTGCAACAGGAGCCCGGCTCAAGGAAGGTGCTGAGATCAATAGATCGCTGTCTACACTTGGTCGAGTTATTGCTGCGTTGGCCGACTTATCAGATTCGAAGAAAAAGAAATCCGGGAAAGCTGCCAACCAAGTACCGTATCGAGACAGTGTCCTCACATGGTTGTTGAAAGATTCGTTAGGAGGAAATAGCATGACAGCAATGATTGCAGCTATCAGTCCGGCAGATATCAATTTTGACGAGACGTTGAGTACGCTCAGATATGCAGACAGCGCAAAACGGATCAAGAATCATGCGGTGGTGAACGAGGATGCCAATGCCAGGATGATTCGTGAGCTCAAGGAAGAATTAGCAACCCTTCGAGGTAAACTCAGTGGCGGGGGAGGCACGACGGAAGAGGTGTACGCTGAGGGTACACCCTTAGACAAGCAGATCGTCAGTATAGTGACTCCCGACGGTACAATCAAGAAGGTTTCGAAAGCAGAAATTGTTGAGCAGCTTAATCAAAGCGAAAAACTGTACACGGACCTCAACCAGACTTGGGAGGAGAAGCTGCAGAAGACGGAAGAAATCCACAAGGAGCGAGAGGCGGCATTAGAGGAGTTGGGTATCAGCATCGAGAAAGGTTTCGTAGGGCTCCATACCCCCAAGAAGATGCCTCATTTAGTCAACTTGTCCGATGATCCTTTACTCGCCGAATGTCTGGTATACAATCTGAAGCCTGGTACGACAACTGTTGGAAATGTTGATTCGACTGCCGCTCAAGCTTCTGAGATTCGGTTAAACGGCAGTCGAATATTGCATGAGCACTGCACTTTTGAGAATGTCGACAATGTCGTGACACTTGTACCGAAGGAGGGCGCAGCTGTCATGGTCAATGGAAAGCGTATCGAGGAGGCTAAACGATTAAGGAGTGGATATCGAGTTATCCTTGGAGATTTTCACATCTTCCGTTTCAATCACCCCATGGAAGCGCGGGCGGAAAGAGCAGAGAGTTCGTTGAGACATTCAATGCTTGCAAGCCAAATCCCAGAATACGATAAACACTCACCATCGCCTAGCCCAAGACCCGGCCATGAGAGAACTTTTAGCAAGGCCATATCCGAGGCAGAGTGGGAAGGGAGCCGGCCAGAATCGCCAATGCCGTTCCAGCGTGGACGAGATTCAGACTGGTCATTCGCACGCCGCGAGGCAGCTGGAGCAATCCTAGGGACCGACCAGAAAATATCAGGGCTTACTGATGAAGAATTAAACATTCTTTTTGAAGATGTACAGAAAGCACGAGCGGAGCGTGCTGGACGGGACATGGATGATGATATGGATTCCGTCACCTCGTATCCAATCCGTGAAAAGTATATGTCGAATGGCACATTGGACAATTTCTCACTCGATACCGCATTGACCATGCCATCAACGCCCAAGCAAGGAGAAGTAGAAGACAAAATGCGAGAAGTCAGGGAAGAGATGCAGGTCCAGCTAGACAAGCAGAAGGAAGTCTATCAGGACCAACTCAAATCGGCGGAAGCTGCAAATGTCGAAGTTGAGGAAATTAAAAAGGAGAAGGCGCGAATGGAGGAGAGTCTAAGGGAAGTTAAGGCAGAGATGCTCCAACAGCTAGAAACTCAACGGAAAGAATTCGAGCAGCGCCTACAAGCGATGACACCGACTAAAGCAACCGTTAAGGGCCCAACGCCATTAACGGAAGAGGAGATAGCAATTGCAAGGAAAGCTGTTGAACATTGGCGTGGTCGAAAATATGTTCGAATGGCTGAGGCCGTTCTGCAATCTGCTGCAAATCTTAAAGAGGCCCAGATTATGAGCCATGAGATGGAGGAGAATGTTGTCTTCCAGTTCACCATAGTTGATGCCGGACATGATCTATGCTCGTCGTATGATATGGTTCTCAACGGAATATCTGGCGAAGGAGATGATATATTCCTCGAAGGTGCAGTGAAGCCGTGTGTGGGCGTTCGTGTCATCGATTATCGGAGTAGTGTGGTGCACCTGTGGAGTTTAGAGAAACTTCAAGATCGAGTGAGGTTGATGAGGCAGATGCATCAATATATGGACCGACCTGAGTACCTTCAACATTTCCGCCTAGACAACCCTTTCATGGAGACATGCATGCCTCAATATACACACATCGGAGACGTGGATGTCCCTCTTGCTGCTGTATTCGAGAGTCGGGTACAAGACTTTAGTCTTGATGTCCTTTCGCCCTATACCTCGCACGCTGTCGGTATAATCAAGCTGTCGCTAGAACCATCATCTGCTAGGGCGCCATCGAGTACTTTGAAGTTCAATGTTGTCATGCATGATATGATTGGCTTCGCAGAGCGCGAAGGCACAGAAGTCCATGCTCAACTCTTTATCCCAGGGATATCCGAAGAAGGCGGCGTAACCACTACGCAGATGATAAAAGACTTCGACGAGGGCCCGATACGGTTCGAGAGTGTCCACAGCATGAGTGTTCCCATGTTTGGTCCTACAGATGTGTCTTTGAGGGTAGCAATATTTGCCAAAGTCTCATCGATGCATCTCGATAAATTACTCAGTTGGGACGACATGCAGGACCACGTACCAAGGCCGACGCAAAAACGCAAGAATGCCCGCATATCGGAGTCCCATTTCTACACGGAAGAGAAGCATGACGTCTTTGCTAGGACACAAATCCTTGAGTTAACAGAAAATGGCGAATACTTACCTGTGGAAGTCATTCAGACAAGTCATATGGATAAGGGGTCATTCCAGCTTCACCAAGGCCTCCAGCGTCGTATTGTGATCCACTTGACCCACAGTTCTGGAGATGCTTTACCTTGGCAGGATGTCTTGGGCCTGCGGGTGGGAAACGTACAGCTTGTTGACCATGTTGGAAAGAACCCAGACCTCAGCTCGCCCACTCCTGAAATTCCACTGAAGCTCGTTTCAAAGCCAACCGTCAAGACAAATCTCAATGGCACAACTAATGTGACATTGATCGGACAATGGGACTCCAGCGCGCATGGCTCCTTGCTGCTCGATCGGGTCACAGCAGATAAGTACAAAGTTCAGATGTCATTACTCTGGGACGTCAAATCTGAAAAGCTAGGCGAGCTAATGACATTCAAAATGGACGTCTATTCCCAGATCCTCTCTCGCTCATATGTACGCTCTACATCTATGTTCGCATCGTTATGGCAGAGTGTCCGCATAGTTCATTCTACCAGTGGCATTTTTTCGATATCCCTTCGGCCAACGCCCGTCAAGCGCGCCGGTGACCTCTGGCGAATGAACACCAAAAATGACTACGTTAAAGGTGAAGAATGCCTTACAAACTGGGCACCTCGAGGCGTGTCATTAATCCGTGATCACATTGCTGCAAAGCGGCGGAAACAACGACTTGCAGATCTCGAAGCTGCCAAACCTCTTCTAAGCAAACTCTCTTTCCCTGAAATTCATGCAACGGACGGCACGAGCGATAATTCGGATCCAGTAGTCGAGGAGGAACTCTCAGAGCACCAGAAGGTACTCCTTCAACGGTATCTCAACCTCTGGCTTCTCTGCCACGATCCTATAACCAGCATCCTCACGCCTTCAAATGTCGAACCCCCATCAAACGGCATATCCACACCGCCTCCATCCCAACCTTCTCCTCATCTCATACCAACTATCTCTCTCGTCTCCAAACACCCCGAAATACTCAAAGGTGGCTACCTCCTTACGCCCTCCTCAGACAGCACACGCTGGGTGCGCCGCTTCATCGAGCTGCGGAGACCCTATCTACACATCCACTCTGTTCCCGACGGAGAGGAAATCGGTATAGTCGCTCTGCGCAATAGCCGCATTGATCACCAGCCCCAGATTACGAAATTGTTGAGGAAAAATAATGACTCGGGTAGAGGCAGGGGAGGAGAGAGGGATGAGGAGAGGGTATTTGCAGTATATGGGACGGATAATACGTGGCTTTTTAAGGCACGGAGTGAGAGGGAGAAGGTGGAGTGGATTTTTAAGATTGATCAGAGTTATTTCGGGAGTGGTGGATCAAACAGTGGTGTGGGAAGTGGAAGTGGAAGTGATGAGTAATGAATGTAGGATGAAGCATGGGAGGTGTTTTTGTTGGATTATTGGGTCGTCTTTTTCTGGAGATGAACTTGTATGAGTATATGATACCCATGTTCTGATATTATACTATCGAGGTTTCTTTTGTTCAACTAGATTGTGGGTGGGGCCCAAGGGAGGGGTTGGTTATATTAGCTAGAGCGGAATTCAAACTTGCAATTGCAGGTGGGGTTGACCCATTGTATTCGTTCTAACTCTGTGGGACGAGCTATTTGTCAATGGACAAATTGGTAAGAGTCTAAATAACCTCAAATTGCAATTGACTGGACTATGTATGAGAATTGGCCGTTCTTAGTGGTCACAGCAACTCTACGCTATCACAAAGTCGATGTTCGCGCGTCAAAATAGCCTCAAAATAGGCTCGCTTTTAGCGATCCATCCCCTGGCATTTGCCCCTCGAAAGAACTTTCCATTGGCATGGCTCATGGTGTCCAAAATATGCCGAAGAAAGCTTGCATCGTGGATATAGCCAGATTCTATGATCCATGCCATCAACACGACGCTAGACCTGCTGATGCGTAGATCTTCCGGTCCCGATTCCCTTCACCAGAAGGCACCGCGTATATCCTCATTTATTTTCATATGCGGCTCATATATATCTTGCGGGGTACCGGAGCTATCGTAACTATCTCAGCTATCCGCCGAATTTTGCCAATGCCGAGATAGAACGGAAGTGCCGAAAAGCCCTAACATGTACTTATGGGATTTCTGGATATATACTGTCCCCTTTCCATTAAAAAGGGGGGGTGGATTGTTTACTCCCCAGTCCACCATTTTACTGCAAGCTAAGCCTATCCATAGCTCTAACAATATCTCGAGGATCGACAATGCATTATTCCAATTACTTCCTCGCTGGCCTGACGGCCTTGGCCGCAGAAGCTACAGCAGAATGCAGTCGCGAAATGCTTCAAGCCGCCACAGCCAGCCTCATCGCTGCCCAAACTGCCGGATCATCCAGCGGTATTACAGCGTTGTCTGACACCGTAACCTACACCCAAAACGCCAAAGCTGCCACCATCTCAACCGGTATCCTCTCTCAGGCATTGAAAATCGACCACAATCGCAGTAGTTACGATACCACCCAATGCGCCACCTACACCGAGCTCATCGTCACCGATACTGCGAAACCATATGTCATTGGCACGCAGATGCATTTCACCGATTCAAAAATCACGAAGGTTGAGACGCTCGTAACGACGACTGGGGATTGGTTGTTCAATGCCAAAAATACGCTGAAGTGGGCGATCACGGAGAGCTGGGCCGAGATCCCTTCTGATAAGAGGGATAGCCGTGCGGTGATCCAGGCAGCTGCTGACGCTTATTGCGATATCTTTAACAATAAGAGCGTTGTTGTTCCGTGGGGAAAGCCATGTGCGCGTCTGGAGGGAGGAAGTTATACCGGAAACGGGTCAGCTTCTGATCGCTGCGACGTGGGAATCCCAAGTGGTGTAGCGTTGACAAACCGGAGATATGTGATTGACGAGACGGTTGGAGCTGTGGATGTGTTCTTGACGTTTGGAGGAAACCTACCGGATAGTCATGAATTTAGGGTTGAGGGAGGGAAGTTGCGGTACGTGCATACTTTGACCGTTATGACCTAGGATGATAAAATGAGTTGAGGAGTGGTTCTGGGTTGGTGGGGAGTTGAGGCTTGTATATAAATATGAATGTAAGCCCGAGATTGCAAAGTTACCATCTTCGCAGGAGATATGTATATGAAGTAAGGAGACCAAATAATCAGCAGCTTTTGTTGAAGCTTTGAACCTAGCTGGTTTTATAGCTTTTATCAGTGCGCAGCTAAGAATTGAGTTCCAGACTTGGCGTTAGTATATGGGGTTGCACTTAGAGTTGGGGGGAGAAGTTGACATCTAAGGTGCAGGTTGTATTGCTTTGATTTGAGACAATATCCCATCCACAAGATCTGTTACCGCCAGCCCTGCTGTGACGGTCTCTTCCCATTTCGGCTTTCTGCCAGGCGGCCGGCCTAACCTCGCTACTATTCAAGTAACTATATATAATTAAATAAGAAAAGCGCTAATAACGACAACCTAGCTCTTTACGACACTCCCCACAAGTGTCACACGACACTCATATCGAAGAGAAATATAACTAGGTCTAGCGACAACATCGAACCGGCAGAGATTAATTGGCTGTGGGCAATGAACTCTTTTGCCTATTACGAATTAATTTTTTTTGGCTTTGTTGTAGGATTTTCTTTCCTATTATTTTCACTTTCATTTATTTTGAGTCTTTGAGTCTTGACTCTTGACCCACTATTTCCCCAGATACCTTAACCGACCACTTCCCTCAACAATAAGCCTAGCCTAGTAAATGATGATCATAAATTGATCGTATCTCCTAAAATGGCCTATAACCACATATGAAAACCGCTGCCACCAAGATCTTATATTTGGTCTTTAACTGCAGCGTCCAGAGTAATGACATGGGTATGATCAAGATAATAACATCGATGATAACACTGGAGATAGAACTTGCCATCCACCATTGATAAAGGTTTATGCAGTGTCCTGGGACCAGGGGTTTCCAAGCTTTCTCGATGGGTGTGCATTGCCATATCGCTGATGGGATGGCAAATATCAGCCATGCAATAACCAGTCCCCCCGTAATTCAGAGAGCTGTAGAGAACCGCTTGTTGACCCTGAAGATACGTGCATAGAAGCAAAGGACCGATAGCTTTGCAACGGATATTCCTAACTCAAAGAGGACATATTCTGCATACAGCATCTTGAGACCCGAGGTAATATTCTCCGCCGGGGATACGTTTTTGGGGTGTTTTCCTAGACCAATATGTACCCAGAAAATTGCGGCACCTGCCTGTCCATAGCAGATTGCCTAAAACCAAGTCAGTCAAAGACATATTGCTTCCATGTTGGCTGCTCACCAAATCTATAAGGGCCAGCCAGTCATCCCACCATAGCTTGGTAATACTTATCATTCGAAACCAGAATCGGATCAGTACAGCGAGTGAATCAAGTACAGTATGAACGACTATAAGTAGAATGGCTACGGTGCCACTGTAATCTGGGTGGTTTGAATCAGACATGGTGCTATGGGAATAAGAAAATTGGTAAGTGGCTCCCTTATAGCAATCAAGACTTGACTGTCTGAATAACTGAAAAGTAGCTAAGTTCGTGTTTCCAGAACACTTCTTATGAACTAATAAAATCCTCAAATGTTCGTGAAATCTGCCTGCTACAGCTGGGATTATTTTGCTGTTTACCCCTTAATCGCGCAGATCGCCCTGTTTATGCTGCGTTATATTTTTCTCAGATATGTTGGGGGCCAGGCGTACAGGTTGCTCCAGGTTATTACTACATCCAACTGAAGGGCCCCAAACCCACAAGTACAGTACTTCTACAGCATCCTAACTGATCAACTTTATGGGGGTCACAAAGACGACAGGTAAATGAGGATTGTTTACCCTGACCGGACTTTATGCTTATCATTTGTGATAGCCCTCGATGTAGGTCGTAATGGAATTTGTGTCAATGCGGTTTGCCTATCGTGGACTAAAACACCAATGGTCGCCCAAGAGTATAAAACAAACCCACAACTTTCCGCAACTATTAAGGCCTTGGTACCTTGTGGAAGAGTGGTCGAGATGGATGAGGTCTCCGATACAATCGTATTTCTTTGTAGCCCTGCAGCAAGCTACATCAGCGGAGTGGCCCTTTTCATTGATAACGGCCTCTCACTTTCAATTCGATTGACCTAGTGCATGGCCTACGGTGCAGGATATGGTGTTGGAACCCCCTTGAAGTTCAATCAGAAACCGACTACTTTGCAACCGCCCTCATTAGCCGTAAAGATGGATTACATCTTGGACACAAATTTCTATACACAGAAGTGATGCAATTCACTGGTAATAAAATGACATTGTTTATTTTCCTCTTATAATTCTGCTATAGCTATGGTGATGATATTGATTGATCTGGGAGTAGGCTCAAAATAGACTACTTAGTGGACTTGCATTCTCAATGTTCTTATGCCATTTTCAAGCCAAAGTGTCGTATCCTTGGAGATATCAATCTCACCAATCCATAAGCAAGGCTAAGAAATCAGCAATTGTATTACAGGGTCGACCTAGAAACGGCCCTAGCTATCGGGGCATTTTTGCCGCAGTGGGCGAGTCGCTATCAACCGACGTTTACCCCCGGACAATTCTTGTCGTTGGTTTCTAGGGTAGGGTGCTTGTTTTTTCTTCACATACTACTATAGGCTAGAAATGTACGAGTATTGTCGGCGCTGTCAGCACAAGGGCAAGTAGCGTTGCACGACTACTCTCCAAACTAGGCTGACTTGAGTACCGCCGATATGTTGCATACTACAGCACCCCATTTTTATAACTTTCGCAGGACCCCCAGATTTTATTGTTACAACCACCCAGAACCGTAGAAGAATGGCAGAGGTTCAATTTCATAGAAGGCCGGGGTCTATTGCCGGCAGTTTTTCCCCAGTTTCTATCCTTCGAATCGACTTTTAAAAGCTTAGAATCTGACGAATCAGAGGTCAGAAGTCCTTGAATCGTACATACGAATATTCGATTCATTCGATTCAAGTTTCATTCGAAAAATTCGAAAAATTCAACTTCAATTGCTAGCCCTAAGGAGGCACATATATTGTAGCTTTAGCAGCGATCTCGAATAGGGTTGACATCTTGTTGATTCAGGGTAATATTAAGGGGGTTGGTGTAGAGAGATAAATGCTCCGGAAACGCGTCTGAACTGAAGTAAGAACTGACGTGTTTGATTGGTGGGTTGCTGATTAGTAAGCAAACTACTTAAATTTGGTTTATAAGTCCCCCTTTGACACGATCTACTATCTCTGTCCCAGTAACAGTAACCCCACTGTCCCCATTCGCCCCTAATATCCCAAGATAAACACCCCTAAATATTCCCCCTGATTCCACCATGGTCCGTTCATGGGCTGCTTCGCAAACTGCGCCCACGGGCCCTGCATATACCAGCTCAGCGCGACTTTCTGGGCCGTGCAGTTGTGGCCGGGCACTAACCTGTCGTATGTGTCGAAGACGATTGAGATTTCGCTGGAGTGGAAAATCCCAGCATCGGGGAAGACTTGACTGTCTGGAAAGGCGGCGTCGAAGTAGTAGCGCCAGGTCACGTAGCCTGCTGCAGTAGAATGATTGGTATATAGAGATATGGGTTGTAGAACGGATTAGCTGGCAATGGCAGGACACGTAGATAAGTGCGGTCGGTCTACTGGGCAAGACGGAAACAGCGGAGAATGGTGAGACTCACGCAAAGTTAGTCATAATTGGTGATAATCTCCCCAATAACGTCGTAACCTGTCTGTCAAGGTTGTACGGGCTATGCGGCGATGACCATTGTTTGCAACACTGGGTCACCAGGGAACCTTGCTTGACGTACGCCTGAATATCTTCTTCAATTACGGAGAATACTCGTCATAAACATCCCGCATGTTAGCCAACTGGGTCAAGAACCGCAATTCCATTGACCTCCAAGGTGACGGAAGGAACATGGTGCGCAAGTTATTGAGCATTAGTTCCGATTATCCTTGCAGGGATCGTAGTGGGATATAACGCAAGTACGTGTCATTACCTTTAATTAGTCTAACATAGGAGTCATATCTACTAAATGTCTTAACCTCACTGCTCCCAGAATTTTGTGAACTTCTCTTTTTCACGGCCTAGCCTAATACAGAAATCATGGATTCTATAAGCTCGTCCCTCCTTTGCTGGAACGACCTGATCCCTCCTTAAATCTGTTTGAGCATCGTGTCCTAAAGCCATTCAAGAAAGCTGCGATGACCACTAGGTATTTATATCCTCTATCTAGGCGCCATAGTTACAGCTTAGGTTGTACATTCTAAACTATGGTCAAAACCTTCCTCGATAAAACTACACAGCCGGATTTGTTCCTGAAAGGAGTCTAAAGACCAAGATGAGGCACTAAACGTTCCCGCACAAAGTCTTCGATACCGTGCATCTTCACCCCCAATGCCACAACGTTATTATCGGGGAGTTCTTTGTTCCCATACATCCCTACCTCGTTGTATAGTTGATACATAATGTCTCGATCAGGTACACCGGTTGTAGGTAAAGAGTCCCAGGTACATTTCTTGCCCGTGACTAATCTCTTTTAGCTACTTTGAAGCTTCATGGTCTGGGGAATTATGGCCATACCTCGTTCAATGCAAGCAATAATATCTCCGGCCGAGACGCGAGCGTTTGCACAATAAAGGATTTTGTGGTTCAGCTCATTCTTCTTCGAGTCCCATTGGTCGAAAACGGCTTTTGCGAGGGCGGATAGGTCCCTCTCGACGTATAACATTGCTACTTCGGGAGTGTCAGTATTATGTAAGGCCTTACTAAGAGCTTTTACTTACACTTCGTGTCTCTCTTGATCACAGTATGGCGAAATTCAATCACATCGCTGGCCTTGTCATAGCTAACGTGTCCCCGAAGGACCATATTCTCGTAAAAATTCCCTGTATAAAAAATACTAGCGGGAAGTCCGATTTCCTTGATGTACGCGTCGACATGATATTTGCCTTAGGCTAGTCAAAATCACATAAATCTCAAGAGGAACACGCGCCTTACCTTCGTATATCTTGGAGACCAAACGGCCTCCCGAGATTTGTGCCGAGCTGGGAAGTGAGCTCCAGATGAAACACTGTACACCAGCATCAAAAGAAGCCTTCACCAGATTTTTTCCTTGAACTTCTTCACTTCCTGGGTCATCCTGAATTTTCTGAGATTCGATTCTATCAGTACTGCCCGGAAAGTCACCATCCAGCACATACCACATCGTAGAAATTTGTGACGCCGAACACCCCCCAGCAACCAGCCACGGCCGCTGGCAAGGTTTCTGGTTTTGTTAAATCGGCTTCCACTATTTCGGCTCCCATCTCTTCCAACGCCTTGGATGAACTTGAATGCGCATCGCGGGTGATAGCTCGTACTCTGTATTCTGTTGGATATTTTAATAGTAGCTTCGCAACCGATCCCCCTTGGTTTCCTGTTGCGCCCGTCACTGCAATGAGTCTCGCCATCTTAGTTGCAAGTGCAGTTGATGTCTTCTGAGCCAGTTTTGTTGTGACTGTCTTGGCTATGTCAGCGCGGTTCTCCAGACTCTTCTTGTATGTCTTGAGTATGTGCCGCCACGCGGCGACGACATCAGCGAAATGGGGGAGATGGAGAACGGCTCAATTGCCGGATCGCGGGGATTTGCGGATGGGGTTTGCGGTATACAATGGCATTCGGGTATCCGTTCGATAACTTCCCGAGGAAAGCCAAAGCCAGGCGAATAGGAAAGATCGCGAATGGCTCAATTACTGCAATGACAACTCTTCCGTGTCCTATTTCAAATGGCTTAGGCAGCACAACACGTTGGAAGCTTCTGGACTCCTCGAAATGGGCCCCGATTTAAAAGCCGCGTGTGTTGACATTTTGATTCCTAATGCATGAGTAAGTTGCCACCGCCTGACGAGATTCTAAGTCGCGGGATAGTCTATCCTGAAGTCATTCAGTTACTGCATTGTTCTTATTGAAGTCTCCATGACGTGCGGTTCCAGCGGCCATTTGGGGTATGTAAATGAACTACCTCCAGAATTCCGCTTATCGAAGACCAGCTGGGAATATATTCGACAACCTACTTATTGCAGTGCCGTCCTGCGTCCTGCGAATATTGTCCACGCTGGCCGATTGACGTTGCGAGTATGCGGGGGGACTCCAGACCAACCCCACAAGTACATGTACAACCCCGTTGTGTCTTGAAATTCGACCTCCCGATGCCCGGGGTAAGCACTACCCGGGTACGACGACCACACGGGCAGGAAATGACACATTCATGGTCAGCTACAGATTCTGTAAATGCACGGAATAGATGTATGTTCCCCGGAATTGGTCATCATGGATGAGATGGCTATGAATTCGGCAGTTTTTGTTGGTGGTGCAAGGTATCCAGTCGAGTTGGAGCAAGGAAGACTAAGATACATATCTCAGTCTTATCTTCTCTTTTGCTCTACGACTAACGCACCCAGCCAATGTAATTGAGTTACCTCCAATTCATCCCTTCAAATCTTTGCATCTTCCATTCCGCATTTAACCGCACGTAGAAGCTGGATTCCAGATGGCTGGTGCATCAAAGTCTATCCTTCTCCGAGGTGGTCGTGTCCTAATATTCGACTCGGAGAAGAATGCGACATTTCCAACACTTGATATACTCGTGGAAGATACTATCATATCGAAGATTGCCCCGCTCGTTGCGGTAGGACCAAACACCCAGGTCATTGATGCAACCGGGAAAATTGTTTGCCCTGGGTTCGTCGATAGCCATCGTCATCTCTTCCAATCTCACATAAGAACTTCAGTCGCGAACCAAACCCTGCTAGAATATTGCGGACATCTCCTCTTGGGTAGAGTCACATTCTATAAACCGCACGATGTCTACCTGGCCCAGCTAGGTGCAGCAACCGAAGCAATCCATTGCGGAGTTACCACGGTGCTCGATCATTCCCACATTCAACTATCTGAAGAGCATATCGCACAATGCATCAAGGCCAGCATTGAGTCTGGAATTCGAAGCATTTACTGTTTCGCACCTTATGGTTTGCCTGAGAGTATCAATCCCTTGAAGTTCTCCGACAAGCCGCACGAACTTCACCAGCAGCAGCTAGATTTATTCTATAAGCTGTCCGAACAGTCTCCCCTTGGCAGTTCTAAAAACGATGGGCGACTAACACTCGGGATTGGCTATGATGGCATCGAATACCGTCCAGTTGAAGACACGAAAAAGCTGTTGGAATTTGCCCACGGTCGAAAGTATCCAATCACATTTCATGATTGCCATCGCCACGGCATGTCTGCCATGAAATTTCTACAAGAAAACAATCTCTTATCCGATACTATGGTGCTATCCCATTTCAACTTTCCCTCAGAGGAAGATTTTGCTGCGGCAAAAGCGCACGGGGTAGGCATATCTTCTACGCCAGAGTCTGAGATGCAAATGTCACACGGGTGGCCTGAAGCATTCCCAGCTATGAGGTATGGTTGTAAGACCGGTCTCGGTGTTGATTCAAGCGCGATTTGTAGTGGAGATTTATTTGCTGCAATGCGCATCTGCTTGCAAACACAGAGAGCTCGCGACAACCATGAATTAGCTTCTCGGAACAAGATTCCAAAGCGACTTCGAGCAACGGTAGACCAAGTACTCTACATGGCCACCTTAGGTGGGGCAGAGGCGATCCATCTGGATTCGGAGATTGGGAGCATCGAGGTTAGAAAACGAGCAGATATTGTTGTTATAAGTACTGACTCGCCTTGCATGGTTGCTGCAAGCGATCCTGCTGCAGCGCTGGTCTTGCATGCTTCGCCTTCCGATGTTGAGTCTGTTATTGTAAATGGGGAAATGGTGAAGGAGAATGGCAAGCTGTTGAAGGTTGATTGGCCAAAACTGAAGCATGAGTTAGTAGAAAACATGAAGGAACTGGAAGCTCGTTGGAAAGGTGTGGATTGGAGTTGGAATACAGATGAGTTAGCGGAGGCATGGTATATGACCGACAAATTAGAGTAGGCTCTACTCTTCTCAGCGAAGCAAGAAGCTGTCCGCAGTTATCTCAATCCCAGACCTGGCGTTGGAATCTCACGGAGAGCATCACCTATTCCCGATTACGAATAGCTTTATCATATCTTCTTTCCTATCCAAATTGTACCTGTAGTGTCTAGATACGAACCTCGTCAAACGTAACTCTCGCAACTGGGAGAAAGTCTCAATTTGTCCTGCACGAAGTGTAGTACAATCCTCAGTGCTTATACACAGGATGGCATTGTTCAACTACTCCTGCAATTCCTCACAAGACTTTTCAAGGATCTTCCAGAAGCAAAAGGTCAATTTCGTGGTAAGACACAGTGATTTGATTCATCTGGTTATGACGCACCAGCATAGCCAACACGGAAGGAGCCGGATACAGAAAACATTCCGCGGGTATTCCGCGGGAAAGAACCTCCCAAGACCGGAGCCTGTTCACAACATGAGCCCTCAACATTACATGTTAACTATCAGCGTGTGAGATAATAATGGCGGCGAAATCCTCCGACGTCCCCAACGGAATCCTAAAACGAAGATATAAGGAGTGATTTACTCGATTATTTTCAGGAATCAACATAAGAGTCTCTAAAAATGTCCCCTTTCAAGAATGTCCTACTCGTCGGTGCCTCTAGGAGGGTTGTAACGGCCATACAAGCCGAACTTCTTGCCAAAAAGAGCAATTTCTCTAAACTCGGCGTGTTAACATCTTCAGCCTCAGCTCCAGATCCTAAAAAGGATGCTTACTGGAGTCCCTCGCAGCACAAGGGGTACAAATCGTCACGGTCGATTTCTCAGACAGTAAGGCTCTAGTGACAGCCTTCAGACGTAGCATCCACCTTTCTTGCTCCAGATTTAATAACATGCTAAAAGTCACAGCTTACTCCGTATGTAAATCAGTATATGGGGTATTTCGGTACCTAGGTATATAGGCCAAATTCATTGATAATTTTGCGTGGAACCTATCTCTACTCCTTGCAGTTTGTGTATCCACCACGTTCTCCTGAGTGGGTGGTGCATGGCGTAATTTCGTAAGTCCTACTTCGTAATCAGGTATGTAATAAAGCGTAATGCTCAGGCTGAGGCTGGTATGTTATGGCTAGATATGTGGCGCATAAGGTGTTGGGGTCAATGGTATACCACATTCCGTCCGAGATTCTTTGTACTGTACTGTACAAGCATTGACGTTGGTGTTGTCGGAACTATTTTGTTGTCCATGCTCGGTAGTTCTACGAGTAGCCCCCGTGAGGCGCAGCAAAGAAAGGGCCAGCCAGCCGTGAATCGCCACCAAAAACAAGAAATGCGACCATACGCTAAACCTATCTGTGTTATATTGCTTGGCCAATGACGTCCAGAACTTCCAGATCGGGCGGATGATGGCTCGAGATGGAAGGTAAAGAGTGGGACAATACTTACGCGTACCTCTTGCCCCTATCCACTTGCATCCACATATATCCACTTCCGCCTGCTGATTATCCAGCCATAACCCGGTATTCAGCACTACGGAGGTACACGATTTCGTCCCAAGGCTCGGGAATCTCGGCCCACGGACCACGACATATATTATTAAACGGCTTGTGCGGAGCATTCCGTAGAGGAGGCATGCCTTGCACGGAAGTATAGAAGGACAAAGGACGGAGAACAAAGGACGGAGGCTGAGGCTACAATGTGTATACCTTTGAAACGAGTAGGTCGCACAAGGAAGATCAAGTGGCCATGATTCGGTCCAAAGGCAGAGAGTTTGTGATGGGAGGACAGACTCGTGTTCCTGCAGGAGCCACGAAAAAGGAGCGCGTCATCAATCGCCAGCATACTATATCGCCCTATTATTTGCTATGATTTGCCTCCCGGTGCTGATCTTGACGCCGCCGTGAAAATTCAACGGCCCGCTACGCCACTTCAGGAACACCCGGATGCTGGTGTTTGTAGCGGCACCATCAACAACCGCCTATCTGCCTGTGTTTGGCTGGCTATTCCTTGCTTCTTTGACGGGACTCCTGCTTGGAAAAAAGAATCCTGTTGCCGCTGCTTTATGGCGGTTCCCTTTGGTGGGCCCAGAACCCTCGTGTCCAAGACATCCACTGGATCGACCACCGGGTCGACCGCCGGTACTGTGCTGTACGTCCACGCACATGCACACACCAACAGAGAGAGACACCCATAAATAACTTTCTCCCAAGTTCCACACCAAGATCCTGCTCCATCGCCTCCTCAACTCAGTCGCTACCACATACGCCTGCCTCTTCGTTGCGGCTTTCGTATTTCTCACGATCTTTCCCTCTCTCTCTCTTATTCCTCTTTCTAATTGTCAACCCGAAAACCGAGCAGCTTTCTTTCACTATGCGTTCGACTTCTGCTTTCCTCGCCCTCGCGGCTTCGCTCTCCTCCCTTGCCTCGGCTACACACCAGGGCTTCAACTATGGTTCGACCAAGTCTGATGGTTCGTTCATGTTCCAGAAAGACTTTGAGGACGCATTCTCGACGGCAAAGAACCTCGTGGGCACATCTGGATTCACCTCCGCCAGACTATTCACCATGATCGTAAGTACCAACTCGCACTTAAATATCATTGTCCGGAAGGGAACTCAAAACTAACACCCTTTCTAGCAAGGTGGAAGCTCTACCAACGAACCTATCCAAGCTATTCCAGCAGCTATTTCTCAAAAGACTTCCCTTCTCCTAGGCCTATGGGCTTCTGCCGGGGATGGTCCATTTGATGCCGAGATCACCGCTCTAAAATCCGCTATTGATCAATACGGGTCGGCCTTCACTGATCTGGTCGTCGGTATCTCGGTTGGTAGCGAGGATCTCTACCGCATTTCTCCCACTGGCATCGCTGCAAAGTCAGGATATGGTTGCGAGCCTGCCACGCTTGCCTCGTACATCGGCAAGCTTCGACAAGCTGTTGCCAATACTCCGCTGTCCAAGTCACCCGTCGGTCATGTCGATACCTGGACAGCGTGGGTGAATGGATCCAACCAAGCCGTCATCGACTCCTGCGACTTCATAGGAATGGATGCCTACCCATACTTTCAAGACACTATGTCAAACTCCGTCCAGAGTGGCAAGGGTCTCTTCGAAGATGCTTTGGCCGCGACCCAAGCTGCCGTCGGAGGCCGAGAAGTCTGGATTACCGAGACCGGATGGCCCGTCAGCGGTGCTACCGCCAACCTTGGTGTCCCATCCACCGAAAATGCTAAGACATACTGGGACGACGTTGGATGCCCGAGATTCGGCAAGGCCAATATCTGGTGGTACACACTCCAAGATGCTGCTCCAGTTACTCCCAACCCTAGCTTTGGCATTGTCGGCAGCACCTTGAGCACCACCGCTCTGTTCGACCTCTCCTGCTCCAACACTGGTACATCCAACGACACATCTGCCAGCCCAAGTGCCAGCACGAGTGTCCCATCTTCTGTTGTATCATCCATTCGGTCGGCTGCTACCGGTGGAGGCGTCGCATCATCCGGTTCTCCCCTTGGGCCCTCTCAAGGCGGTGTCCCTGGAGGAGCGGCAGGCACAGGATCGGGCCCAGCTCCCACCGGGGGTTCATCTGGAAACTACACTGCTCCAATCGGGGGCGGTAGCGGAGTCAAGACCAACCCAGGAGGCTCCAACCCAACCGCAACAGGTGGCTCCAGCCCAGGCGCAACAGGCGGTTCCAGCCCAGGAGGAGCTGGCGGCTCCAACCCAAGTGGATCAGGCGGCTCCAGCCCAAGCTCCCCCACCGGCGCTCCCGTTATAAACAGCAATGGTGCCTCAGTTATGTCCGCCTCATTCATCGGTGCTGTCGGTGCATTCTTTGCTGCTATTGTAGCCTTGTAAACTAGTTATGAAATATTTGCATAGGCGTCAATAGAATGGCGGAGCTTTTTAGGAAATAGGGGGAAATAGGGTATTTGGAAATTCTCTGGGAAACAATATCTAATTATATACGGGGAATTAAGGGGAAATAATTGGTAGTGGAGTTACATTTTCTTGTAGTTAACGGCTTCTTAGAGCTTAAAGTAAAGCAATAAAAAGGCCAATTTGCCCATTTTGCCCAATAGTCTACACAGCTATGCTTTGAGTATAAAATTGACAGCCTCGCCGTCAGAGGAATAACACCACAATAACCTTGACCATGTGGCATATCTCATCCCTACAGGACTAGGTACTTGAATTGATGATGGTGGCAATATACATAGTGCAGGGTAATAGTAGCAAGAATGGTAATGGTAGTAATAATAATGTTTAAGTAAACTGAAACAATGATTCTTATCCTAGACAGCGGACGTAAAGTGTTTTATCTTTATAGAACGACTGGCATTTGATCGACGCGTTGACAGCTGATACTGCCACGCTATTATTCAATAGTATCTAGCCATTGAAGAGCGACTGGGTTGGTAGGCTGTGCAGAACGAGTGGGGTGCGAGCAAATAATACTACGTGCACACGCGCTGATGGGTTGTGTAGAGTAATAATACTACAGGAACGCATTGAATACGAGTTCAGCTAATGCCCCGTGCGCCAAGTTCGGCTCCCTGGAAGACATCTTGCGTTCTCCCTCCGCTTACAACCACCTCCGCTACCATCGTGATCACCCCCCATCACCCTTCCGGTCGTTACTTTCACCTCGAGCCTTATCGACACCACTGTCGCCGTCCATGGTCCCTATTGCCGTGCACCTGGCGACCTGCGAAACGCATTTGATCTAAACAACCTTCGCTCTTTGTCCCTGCGATCGCAGCGCTTGCACTTACGAAATCACGACCCGAATTACGAGCCTTTCGACCAACAACACATTCTTCTCGCCATGTATTCCACAATCTTTTCACGCGCAGGAGTAGCCCTCTTACTGGGCAGCAGCAGTTTGGTATCTGCTCTTACCGTAGATCTCGATTCACCACGTATGCCTCTATATCCCGGGGCCTATTTTATCCACCGATTGTTCGGGGATCGTGATCAGTAACTAACGGAGCCTTTTCTTTGCAGAATCAATAAAAGACACAGCTGCAACGATCGCATACGACATGATGTCCTACTATAAGGGAAACCAGAGTGGAGGGATCATTGGCGTGTTACCTGGGCCTCCACCGGACCCCCCAACCGGGTGTAAGTCGACTCGACTCCTCTAGGCGTGAGAAATTGAACACCAGTTGCTTATGATTTGTGCAGATTACTGGTGGGAATCTGGTGCGATGTGGGGGACTATTATCGAATACTGGCACTACACAAACGACTCCTCGTATAATGCTGTTGCGGCCGCAGGCATAGAAGCACAGGTGGGAGAGAACCTGGATATGATGCCGAAAAATTGGTCACAGTCCATGGGTAATGACGATCAGGCTTTCTGGGGAATGACAGCTATGCTGGCTGCCGAATACAAATTTCAGGATCCGCCCCCAACGTCTCCTGGATGGCTAGCTCTTGCTCAAGCGGTTTTCAATACGCAGGCTATTCGACCAGATCCGCCTTGTGGTGGAGGGTGAGTTTCCTCCCCTTTCGGGCTTGTTTCTTGTGCTGAATTTTAGTAGCTTGCGCTGGCAGGTATATCCATACCTTACTGGATACGATTACAAGAACTCCATTGCCAACGGCTGTTTCTTCAATATCGGGGCTCGGCTGGCCAAATATACGTCCAATGATACGTATGCCGTACATGCGACTAAAGCCTGGGATTGGATTACATCTGTTGGATTGATGGATCACGACTATAACGTCTATGATGGTGCTCATATAGGGACCAACTGCACTGATATCAACAGGGTTCAATTCTCATACAACTCGGCCGTTTGGCTGTTGGGAGCTGCAAATATGTACAATTATGTAAGTGCCTTACATTCTCGAATTTCATTGTAACATCACTGACAACTAGTCTAGACGAATGGAAGCGCCATCTGGGAAGAACGCGTAAATGGCCTGCTCAACCGAACCCTCAACCTGTTTTTCCCTGACAACATCGCCTACGAAATCTCTTGCGAGCCCAAATTATCGTGCACGACCGACATGTTTAGCTTCAAAGCCTATCTCACCCGGTGGCTCGCCTCCACTATTATGGTCGCACCATACACCCGCGAACTCATCATGCCCAAACTCCGCGCCTCTGCCATCGCTGCAGCCAAACAATGCTCAGGCGACGCCAATGGACGCACCTGCGGCTTAAGTTGGTCCAAAGGTACAGTGTGGGATGGCACGAAGGGCGTAGGCCAGCAGATGGGTGCTATGTCTGCCATATTCGTTAACCTGCTGGATCATGTTTATGTTCCCCCGCCAGTCACGAATAGCACTGGTGGAACGAGTGTAGGCAATAATAATGCGGGAAGTCAGAGTGTGGCTGATCCAGAGGCGTTGAAACCTGCTACTCAAGGCGACAAAGTCGGTGCGGGAATTCTTACAACCATTGTGTTGGTTGGTGCTACGGGGATGTTTGGGTGGATGAGCATTTAAGAAAATAGCTCTTTGTATTAATGACTGCTATCGCTTTCCCCTTTGGTAATGCCTATATATCCAGGGATGAGGCTTATTCCGAAAGGGGGGGCAACACAAGGAATTATGTCTTGCTCTATTTTCTTTTCATATAGCCCGCCTTAGTGGCAGGACGGTTGGCTGGATGGTATTGCATGGAGTTAGCGACATTCTCCTCTCCTCCTCTTGCAAGAGGAGAATGAATTACAAGGCGTTCTGGGGATGGTATTTGGGGCTGTCTTTTTCTTCTTCCTTCGTTAAGAAAAAATTTCGAGGATAGGGGGAGTGGAGGGATAAATGGGATTAGTTAGACCGTCAATGTAATGTTCGTTGTTTATATTTGCCTGTGCCTCACGGTGTTTTATAATTTAGTACTTGAATCCGTGGATTGGCTTAGTGGGGTGTAGTGGGATGCAGAAATAAAGAGAGGGGTAACTTTCGCCATAGCTGACTTGATGGTATACTCAAGCTCAGGAGGTGATTTATTGACTTTGGAGATATCTGGGAGGGTTTCGTGCTGTATAGAACAGATAGCTACGTATGGTTCTCACCTGTGCTCTCTTGCGCGCTTTACGTGTGATTTGTTTTTTAAATATCGAGCCGTCTGCTTGAGGACTAAAGGAAATATTTACGAATCTAACTCGTATGCTCCATCTAATATTAAAAGCTCTGACCAGGAAAGAACCTGAGCGCCATGCTTAAAGCAACTCCGTATTCCAAATCCCCAAACTCCACTTTAGATGCAACGACCACGATAAGTACCGGATCCCGCTCATATTATGCCACCGTGGTGCAATGCTCTACTAGTCCCTCGGTGATCGTTGTTCACCGTTCATACTAGTAGATTTCGTCTTTATCAAACATCCTCCAAGACTTCCCTCAGTTTCACCCTTCCTCCTAAAATAGAGTTCCCTAAGGACATAGACTTCGCACCAGATACCAGAGAAGACAAAATTTAACAACCCCGATTTCCATTCTAAGCAAATTTGTACTCCCACCCGCAGTATGCGTGGCAAGGTACTGGTACAGTAGGTAAGAGGTGTAAATACGACGTTCGTCTTGGGAGCAACCTCCGTGCTGCTCCTGGTGTTGAGGGGTGGTGAGGAATGCTAAGAGTGGAAGTGCTTGTGACACTGATTCTGCTTCTCTGGGTAAGTGAAAACGGAAATTGTGTGTTGGAAAGGAGGTCGTTTCACAGGTCTGGATTCGTGGTGCTTGCTCGTGATGATTCTGAGGCTCTTTTGGACCATTCAGGAAGTTGAGGAAGTGCAAAGCTGATGAGACATATGTATCGAAGTATGACAATCTTTCTGTAGACTGGCAATATGGGTTGTCTTGTTGATTTCTAGCAAAGAGCGTTGTGACAGTGTCCGTATCAGAGAGCGAAAGTGTCTGGTTTAGCAATTGGGATTCAGCAAGGATTATCTCGGATAGGGTGGAGAACGTGTAGTATAAGAGTCGAGAATAGAACAGTGGGGTGAGGATCCTAATCTCCAGCTCTTGAATTTCTCCGTGGGCTTCCACCTGAAGTGCCGATGGGGAATATACCACTTCTTCGCCAACCTCTAGAATCCCCGCCGGGAGGTAACGAACTTTAACTGGCCGGAGCGTCCGTTTGATAACATGATGTACATATCGCCGGAAGATACCCTCAAGAAAAATCTCCATCTTGTTTGCACGCCTTGGCATGCTCTCCCTGCTTGGCTGAGGCTTGACAACCCACGTAATATTTTTGCGGTAGAAAAGAATGAACGCCTGGACCCGTGTGCGAAAATATGTGGCAAGACCTACCCATACCCACTGTGCAAGGAAAACCGTCTTCTCCCACAACAAGAGGGATCCTGGGTCGATTCCTGAGGATGTAGAACAGAGTCTCCCGACAAGCTTGGTGCGTGTGGACGAGAGTGCGATGGTGATGTTTATTGGGCCATTACCTGACATGGATGGGGAAAGAGCGTCGGTAGCACAGATCTTGTATGTGCCGGTGCGGGAATCGAATACGGATAAGTAAAGTGCTTTGGGGAATGTTGTTGAATAGCATGATGTTTTGCCTTGGGGGTGATCAATTTCGTGGTCCCCTTCAGCGGACTGCAGTTTGAGGAAGTATATGTGTCGTTCATTGTAGGTATTATTAACTTCCAATATCATGGCCCGCAGCTCTTTGGATGGGGAATAGAGATTCCAGATTGAAACGGGATTGGAGGCGTGACCTAAGAATCGAGCTGCGGTGAACAGATAGGCGTAGGGGTACATTTTATGATCGATTCCCTAAATGTCTCACTCAGCAAAGGGACCGTACAATAATTCGAGGGGAAGCAAACTTGGCTCTCGAGGTAGTTCCTGAGTTTCCCTTCCAAACCACCTTCCACATGCCCTCTCTCCAAATAATCATCTCCATTGATAGTGAACCAAGCACTTCTACCCTTCAGAAAAAGCCATCGCCAGTACCAAGGGATCGAGTCATTCGCCACATCTGAAGATAACATTCCACCAACAGAACCTCGCCATCCTATGGGAATACCGACCAATAGGTATGAATACACAAAACAATGCCGCTTTGGAAATAATCTTGCATGGCTTGTCCGGCAGGGGAAAAACATTGGCTTTGCCGGAAAACCATTGCTTGAAGATGATGGGCGTCGGAGACCAATAACACAGTGAATCGTATGGAGAAAAACGACAGGTAGAACGGCTAACTTAAGGAGGTTAACAACAAGGGTGAGGTTAAAGTGAGCTTTGACGAGGTGTAGAAATTGGTGTTGCCGTCTGATCAAGGTGAAAAGGAAGAGGAGAGATGCGTCCCAGAGGGACCCAAATGCAATGATAGCACCCAGAAAAGTTAGTGCCAGCGGGTATGGCAATGGAAGAGTCATTGCTGGCATCAGTAAATGGTGTTGGAGAATCGAGCTGTTAGGTTCATAACTGCTGAAACGACGGGAGACTAAATGTGATATTTAGAGACTCTGCACGGTGATAAGGCACTATGGAATCGAATATATACTCGATCATAGCAAGTGAATATGCAAAGTGCGCAGGAGTGAAATAGCATGCAACTCGATGGTTCACAAGATAGGAGGGATAGACATATCTGGTGCAAAATACCACAGTACCTAGGTAATTTAGAGAGAGATTATGCAACCACTGGGAGTAAATATCTTCATAGTTACACCCTGATCCATCTAATGGCTTTCTTGGGAACTCTTACACGTTCTTTCCGAGAATATATTCATGAAGTAGCAGAAGAAGTCATTGATTCCCAAAAGGTCCTAGCGTTAACTTGCGTCGATCCCGATCCAACCAGAGCACGTGAGCAGAGTGGCTTATCGGCGAATGACACAGCCACCGGCTGACGCTAACTGCTTACCTGACTAATGATCCCGCTCGAGTCTCGAGCCTCTATAAATCTGTCCCGCACTCGCCTTCGCCTTCGCCGTCGCCATCACCGCCATCACCGCCATCACCAAAACACAACACAACACCACCCACTCACGAGCAAACTTACCACCTCCTTTTACAAACGCTCTCTCAACACCGCAATCTCTACAAGAATCACACATACAAACCACCGCTTAATCTTTCACCATGGACGACTGGGATACCGTCACTAAGATTGGAAGCAGGGCCAACGGCGGCGGCGCTCAACGAGAGACAGTCGTGCGCGGCAAATCTGCCCTCAACGCAGCGCAACGCAGTGGAGCCGTCATCGGCACTGAGAAGAAATATGGTGCTGGAAATGCTGTTCGTCCCCCTTCTGCTCTCCCCTCCTTTTTCCTGCAACCATCTTTTCGCTTTGCGCCACCACTAACAATCCCTCCCTTAACAGGCCTCCAGACCCGGCGTCGAAGGCCAACATCTCACAAAAGTTGACCGCAGCGACGATATTGTCAAGCCCGCCACGATAGGGAAGCAAGTCGGAAGCGTTATCTCTGAGCAAAGACAGAAGATGGAGCCAAAGATGAGTCAGAAGGACCTAGCCACTAAGTGCAACACATCCCAGAGTATTGTGGCAGATTTTGAGAGGGGTACTGCTGCACCGGATCAGAAGGTTTTGGGGGCTATGGAGAAGGTCTTGGGTGTTAAGTTGAGGGGTAGTGACATTGGGGCGCCTCGGTTTGGTCCGAAGAAGAAGTAGATGTTATGGGAATGATGGTGGGGGTGGGGTTGAGCACAGGCAGTTTTGTTTACAAGGAACAAGCGACGTAAATGAGGAGAAATCCATTAAGCGTTTATGATTTTGACATGGGCGGCGAAAACTAAAAATAGATAGAAGGTCGTCAATTCATCAATTCGTTGGTTTCTATTTAGAGCTCCCATATCATTCGTGGGCTGGGTATCCAAGCAACAGTCTATAAATCATCCAACGCTGAAAAGCCTTCAAGTAGCGTGCTCAACACGCTCTCTAATACTCGATTCTCTAGGTCTTGCATCCCTATTCACAACAAGGGCTTCCATTTTACCCAATTTCACAATAGCCACCCAGTCAGGGGCTATCTCCGCGGCCATCAGCCGAAGACAAGTTTCTCCCTCCTCTTTAGACATAGGTGTATTCAATGAATCCCGCAATTTGCCCAGAACAGTTGGGAGAGTAAAAGAGACCCTTTGCTGGCCGACAGATCTGGACGTGCTTAGATTTGCCAACACAGCTGCTACTCCCTCGATTCTTGATAATGCTGCCTTGCGATCAAGTTCTTCCTTTGATGGTGGTGGTGGCAGGCTGGATAACTGCTGTTGTTTCGCTCTTAGGCGCTCGAGGAGAGTTGGTTTTGCGCCGATGGAAGAGGGAGTAGCTTCTTCCTTCACGCTGCACTTGCTTTTCTCCTGCTCCTTCGTGATGGTGATTCCGTGTTTCAAATCTTCTAGTCTTCGTTGTCCCTTGGCAGCCATAGGCGAAATCTTAAATGACGAGCATGTAGTAATGGCCTCTAAGGGTAAACTTCCGATGAATTCTTTCGGCTCCGTCTCCGTGGAGGCTCTTGACTCCCAGGCTGCCGTTAACCCCCTTACAAATATGCCATTCAAAAGATCCTCGTTCACAGGCCTGGCAATCCTACCAGGTTTACCTGCGGCTGTCCCAATCTCGATACATATTTTGCCATGTCCATAATCAGAAAGTATGAGCCGTGATATCCTATGATCACTGCAGTCTTCCCCGATATTGGTATTCAACACGCCGAGAGTCCGGCGAATGTCCTCAAGTGTCACGCTGCGCTTACCCCAGGCTCGGGCCACGTTCGGGCAGAGCATGCGGAGATCCGCCGGTGAGTGTGTTCCATTATGGGCGTAGTGAAGTGATGATGCGGTAAGGAATGCTGCGTGTAGGTTTATGAGGTCGAGTAATTCGGTTGGGAGGTCCTGAGGATTTTGCCCCGGAGAAGGATGTGTGTTAGGATCGAGAATATATGAAGTAGATGAATCGTGGTTGAGTGATGATCGGGTAGGAGTGGTCGAAGAAAGGAAAAGTCGGTCAAGGAGACCTCGAGCTCCTTTCGTGGGTGTTTCAATTGAGTCAGGAGATTCGCAGTTGCGGATCAATTTTTGCGGAGTTTGTGGGGTCGGTCTTGCTTCACTTGCTCTTCGCCGTGGCAACAACTTCGTCTTGGGCCTGCTAGAAGCAGACAGGATTTGCGAGGTGTCCTCAGCGATTTCCGCGTCCTCCTCGATCACAACTAATTTCCGTTTTCGCGTGGTCGAAGCATAATTTTGGGAAGGAGTAACGGTGATATCGGCATGGTAATTCTTCTCGATAACTGATTTAGTAACGCTGCTTCCCTTGGAAACTCTCGTGAAAGCGTCGATCCCTCGAGGTCTGTTTGCGGAGGAAGACGCGGCCTTGGCTGTCGTTGATAGCTTCCTTCGTTTGATGGCTGCCGGCATTGTGAAGGCATACAACTGCTGTGAAAGGTATGTTCGTATACTGAAACTGCTAATTGATGGCAGGAGGATATCGTGGGTTGTTCTTAACAGTGCTCGGAGGTTGAAGTTGCTCAATATATTATCTCGACCGAAGGAGGTTGGGAGTCGCGATTGACGCGACGCGACTTCTCGCGTAAAGTGGTCCTGCCAAGTGGAACTCCTGGACGCCCTTCCACATTTCCTTTGGGGTCCTTCCTCGCCACTTTAATACAATACAGCCAGCTACCTCACTATGTCTTGTTCACTCAAGAGATACCATCAACATCGCGCGCCGTCGACATTTACGCTTCAATATGCCTCGCAGTTTCTTGAGCTTACCTCGCGAGGTCCGGGATCAGATCTACGCTGAGCTCCTAACGTGTTGCGCGAACGTTGCCACATTTTCTCCATCTGCTATTGAGGTCACTCGGTCGATGACCATTCTACGGACATGCAAGCAGGTCCAGCGAGAATGCAAAGAAACCATCTGGCGAAACAATAATCTACGACTGCACGAGCCAACCGAAATCTTCACAAAACTTAGGGCTATGGTCGAGGTCGACGCCTTGCGTCAAGTCCAACACGTCAAAGTCTGCCTTGAGCTTCTTGATCGTGACGAGCTGGAATGGGTATGCAGTGGACTGAGAGCTTTTTCAACGTTGCCGACTTCACCAGCTTTGAGATCTATTACCCTCATTGCGATCAACGACCGGCCGCAGAATATGAAAGAAATCAAGGAAGTGCTGGAGCTGCTCCGCCGGGGTGCATGGGTTGATGGAAGACTCTTCGGAGGATTCCCGAGTGATGATGGAGCCCAACTAATGATCCAGACGGCATGGCCACACTTTTTGCACTGGGGAAGGCAACGCTGGTTAAGGGAGACGCTACTGGATCGAGGTGACACCGCCGATCTTCTCCAGGAGTTACAGTCGATGTTTGGGGGAAGCCTTTATATTGACGGCGTAATACAGTCCAAGGCTGAGAAACTGGACCCGAGAGACGGTGAGATAACAATTATTCTACCCTAGTTAGCAGCGGAGCGCCTTCAAATTGATTGGTATCATTGGGGCAAATGCTGTTGAACTTTTGTTACCTACTTGGCACATCATCCCAAGCATGAAAGCGGTAGTCCTTTGGTTTGAATGGCGAATGAGAGGAAATGAAATGAAGCAAATGATTACAAGGTCACTAGTCTCTTCAAGGTGTTTCTTTGGTGGCTGCAGCATCAGTTGCGAGCGAGCGACCCAACTCGTCGAGAACCGTTGGCTAGTGCCATACTTTAGTAAGAATTGGCATCTATTGCAAAACCTAAATGTTCACGTTTTAGTTCATTACATGGACCAAATTCCCTTGTTGTCAGTTCCATACAAGTGTGGTTGGTAAATGCTCTTACAATTTGAAACGATATATCCAAGCTCCAAGTCGAAAAACATGTCAAAATGAGATACCGATCAATGGGTGCGGGCGCATCTGCACTCCACAAAATGTCACCCAGGCAAGATTATCACTTCACAGCGCTCATTTAATTTGATTGACCCTCAATCCCCAATCATGGCCGGCTACACAATTCCCCTAATGTAAGCTGACGCACCCGAAGAAGGCCGTGGAACAAACTCATATACCAATAAGAAAGGCTCCTTCCTCGAGGCTGCACTAAGATTTAGGCCAGACACCATTGTTGCAGCCATTAGTGACAGCCCCAAATTCAACAATATGTTAACTTACGTAGGTATTTCTAGATATGTTCGTTCACGACACCCTCAGCACCTCGCTTCCTAGTGGCGGCAAGATAGGTGCATAAGATCGACGATTTCATGCCCATTACGAGGCTTTTTGGCAACACAATAACGTCACTACTCCTTCAGCTCTCACCTCAGCACCTCAGCACATTCGCCACCTTGGCCTCTTGCCAATCTCTCAAATACCACAAATATAGCCTGCAACCCACATCTTTTAAGGTTCGGCCCGCAAAACAAACCCCCCCTTTCCACTTTGCACCATGGGCACGCGCATTCTGCCTACCGCCAATTTGACTTGGGACAAGCTAGATTTCACTAAAAACTGCACTGCAGCTGCAACTTTCAATGGCCTCTACTTCTGGGGATCTCGTAAAGAGTTCATCCCAACGCGCCAAGCGATAGAAGCCTTCATTCGCAGTGCCCTTCCTCCACAGTCCAAGCAGCCAACCTCCTGCGAAATAATGCAGTGGTTTGAGGACGTATATCAGGAAGAAAATCTTACGGAGTATATGTACCGGGAATCCTTTGATTCCTGTCTTACAAAAACATGTTGGGCGATTAGCTACCCCGGTAATCCTGATATTGCCGGTGTTGGAGTACGTTGTCGTTGAACTGTGGCGTCATGCTCTACCTAACCATCTCAGATGCGTACGGCATATTGTATGGAGGCGGTCATGGTGACCATCTACCTCGCTATCTTCGCGCTTAGGTCGCTTCGACCTCAACATTCGCACACTCAGTCACCCACCACAGCTACTCGGTGGCCATTGCAGGGCATTGGTCATCGATTGATGGATGCAGCGCGGTTCTCTGTTAGCGGATTTCTTGATACCGCCATGGTTTTCAATCTATCCGTGGTAATAGCCGGTATAGTTATAATCCCTCAGTCGAAGAAACTATACGATATGCTTCAATCCACGCTAATGGCAGGATTTTCTCTCGGTGTGGTGTTGGCCATTTGGCCATTGCAGAAGAGAATCAAGGCCCGCAAACTACTTCGCAACGGCTTCCTAGTTCTAAATATCTTTCTCACGTTCATCGAAATCTCTATGATTTATATTTTGCAAAAATGGGAAAAGAACACAACGCGCCGAGAGACGGACTGCCTTCCGGAAGTTTTCCAGTCCGTCAACCGTCCCAGCGTGTACTTTTTTCTACTCCAAATTCTCATCGGCACTGCGCTATTTGGGGCTTTTTGGGTGATCATCCTAACCGCCAAACCTATTCCCAAGCCAGTATCGAATTGGCCACTCTTCAGATTCGTTCAAAAAATGCCGTGGGGAGTCATTACTTGCATATACGGATATATCAGTCTTTGGCTGACGTTGGGCGGGCTTTTTTACGTCCGACATCTCGTCCAAGTACGCATCGGGGAGTCTTATTCAGACAACTCCTGGGGATTCGGCCAGGTCATGGCGCTGGCCACTTGGCTACCTACTCAGGCTGAATTTATGAGCATCTTCATCCGTAAGTTCCAGTTTCTCGGTGAATGGTGTAACTACTAACGAGTAGCTTCCGTAGTTGGTCCACAACAAGGTTTACAGGGCCGCATATCTTCATCATGGAAGGAGAAGGACACGGAACAGGATTACGCCCTGATCAACAGAGAAGAGGAATTGAGACCGGTGGACGAGCTGAGGAGGCGGCATTCCCAGACCGGCCCGACAGGATAACTCAGCCAGCAGCATATACGCTCCAGTGCCGTAATCGACCTGGTGGTGTACCCGATACGGCAGCAACAAATGTCAGTCGCCTGGTTTAACCCACAATTTTGAACTATGAAGCCTCGCAAATCTTTGGAACGAGAATCCCACTGCCCCAGGCTCCCTTCTGATAGCCTCGTCAGCTTCCTCCACACTGGTATCGACGCAGGATCGGTGCTGGAGTTGCCTAGTTTATTAGGAGACAGGTTTCATATGCTTCACGAGCAATTATCTGGCTGAGGATGGGGGCATGTCTGCTGGGTCTGCAAAGGAAGTGGCGGTGACGGGGTAGAATGCAAATTATGTATAGTGAGGAGTTGGCAACGAGCAGTTTCTGGGGTACATGGGAAGGGGGTAAGGGGTCGCATGGGGATAATTGGGAATGAACGGCACATGCTAAAGCAAAAGTGAACTTCTTTGGACGGACGCCCAAGACTAGGAACAGAATATGTCATATAACGGCCTTTGGAAATAAAGCGAGTGGCCACGATGTATACTCGGAACGGTATAAGCTACGACTAGACATTTTGACCTCGCCCCAGAGGTTGGGATTTAGAGGTATCATGACTTGATTTTCTCTTTCTTGAGTCCCGTATGGAGTTGGTAAGCTTGCTGCTCTTGCTCATACGCTAATCATCTCGGCTCAGTCAACTGTAACCTGAGCACACTGAGATCAAGTGTCCTCTGCTCTCTCATATCACTTCGGTTAGTTTAGGACCTAGAGAGGGAGAGCGTTGAACCCAAGGGCAGGAAACGTCGATTAAACGGCTCTCTAAATACCCTTTTCAAAGCAACTAGGTCGGTGGAAGTTATGTTCTGCACGTGCAAGGATGACCACGCGCCATTTAACTTTCAATTTAAGTGCTGCAAGGAAAGCAAATGTGGTTGTGCATTAATTCATAAGCTGACTAATTTTCAGCTCCTCTGTACGAGCGAGCAACTTCACAGCCTAGGCGCAAACAACCTTGGACCTCTTCACGACAGATATCGGAGGAGTACTGTCAACTGATAAATGCAAGTATACCACAGCACTTTTGCATGACCTGTTAGACCTGAAAGGTTGCCATGGAGGCGCTGGCAGCGATTGGTCTGGTCAGCAATGTTCTCGGCTTCATTGACACCACCGCCAAACTGCATGCTCTCATCAAAGAATATTCGTCAATGGGCGGAGCTCCAGCGGAAGTTCTTGCGATTTCGAAACGGTTAGACCTAACAATCAGAGCAGTCAAAGAACTTGATGAGTCCGGCCGAGCACGACTTGATCACGAGAAACTTGCGTTGCAAATCTACTCTGAGGAGGCTGAGGGACTATGTGTGTTTTTGGAAAGTTTGAAACTCACCTTAGATCAGCCGCGGGAAAGAGGGAGCAACTTCCCATGGCTGAAAAGGAGGCAGGCAACTGCGCGGACAGCGGAGAAAGGTTGGAAAGCTTTCAAGGCTCTCCGTGGGAAAGAGAAGCTTGACAAGTTCCAAACATCGTTGGACAGGATGTTGGACCTAATCAAGATGCAGCAGCAAACGAGGATTGAGTAAATTTTCTTCTCTATCTGCTAGACTTGATATTGATGCGCTCATAGGGCTACTGCACTGCGGGTAGATGACAAAACTACTATCCTTGTCCAGAACTCTGAGTCAATCATTAGAGGCTTGGGTGACTTGCAGCTCTCCCCAAACCAGCCATCCATAGATTCATCTGCTAGTGAGAGACTCCATCCTTTATTGATTTGAACCTAGGTTTTATCTCCATTCTTCCAAAGTCCATTTCTAATCCCGGGACTAGTGCAAAGGAAGATCATTTTTATGGTCCCCTTAGCAAGGAACTCTGGTTTTCTAGGACGAGATGAGCTCATCCTCCAGCTTGATAAGAGGCTTGGCTCCTCGCCGGGATCTGGACCAAGAGAAGTCCAGACAACAGCGTTGTGCGGGTTGGGAGGAATTGGGTAGGCCGTATAATTTCCACTCCAGACGAATATGAACTCAGCAAAGTGTGTAGAAAGTCACAAATCGCACTCGAGTACGCCTACTTACGTAAAGAACGATCTCCTAATACGTCGACCTTTTGGATTCTAGCCTCGACGGCCACTAGGTTTGAAGAATCGTACAAGCAAATAGCTACGGAATTTCAACTTCCGGGAAGAAACGATCCCCACGTCGATGTCTTGCAGCTTGTACGAGATTGGTTTGAACGCCACTACAAGCAGCGTTGGCTGATGGTAGTTGATAATGTGGATGATACTCAAATATTCGAGAAAATGCAGTGTGGGAAGTCGCCGTTGGAGTATTTGTAAGTGCTTCATTCGAGTTGTACTGTTCATGCTCTCAGCTTTATATCCGAATACAAATTACAAGGATTTCAATTTTCGACGTCAACTCACAATCAGCTGCGAAACTGACTCGCCAATAAATTATAGGCCAAAAGTTGCCGACGGATCCATTATCTTCACCTCAAGGAACAGAGATGTCTCCATCGATCTTGTCAGTGATCCGATCACTGTCGAACCATTGAGCCCTGAAGAAGCACGAAAGCTGCTTGGAGACCGCACGAAAAGAACAAGCACAGACGAAGAAAAGGATATGGTCCTTGCCGAGTTGGATCACCTACCTTTGGCTATCACCCAAGCAGCGTCGTATATGGCCAAAAGAAACAAAAGCGTATCCCAGTATCTCGTCCTATATCAAGACAGTGAGAAATCGAGAGTAAAACTTCTAGAGCATAAGTTCGTCGATACTGGAAGAGAAGCAAGATCTCTAGAGTCCGTTGCGACAACGTGGTTGATGTCATTTCAGCAGATCAAGTCCGAAATCCCCCGTGCAGCTAATCTGTTATTTATGATGAGCTTAATGGGCCGTCAAAGTATTCCCTCGTCCCTGATAGTGGCCGAAAATGAAAACATAGTCGATTTTGAGGAGGCTGTGGGAACTCTGGTTGCTTACTCCTTTGTTTCCGTCGACGACTCGGGAATCAACTACAGTATGCACCGGCTTGTGCAAACCGTCACTCGGGCATGGTTGGACGATCATGGGGACAGACTGTTCATTGAAAGTCAAGCATTAGGCTTTCTGTCATCCAGATTCCCAGATGGTGAATTTGAGACATGGGAAACCTGTGCCCAGTATCTGCCTCATGTGGAATCCATTCTATCTCATACTCCGGAAAGCCAAGTCAATACTCAGAGACTCCATCGCTCGGAACTTCTTACCAATCTTGCTTGGTATTTCAAAGAGCAAGGGAAGTATGATCTTGCACGGGCGAATCTGGAACAATCGTTGAAGATATTGAACACAGCAGGGACTGGAGAATCGGGAAAAGCTTTGAGGGCAAAAAGGAAGCTTGCAATCATTGTTGAGCTCCAAGGACATCCTGAGGAAGCTATAAAGTTATTTCGAGAAGTTCTTAAAGCCGAGGAGAATTTACATGGACCAGATCATCTGGAAACTTTGGAAACTGTGGATGAATTGGCATTAACTCTCGCGAACACCTTATTTCCAGAAAGATGGGTAGAATCTGAGAGATTAGCGAGACGGAGTTTAAAAGGAAGGCGGTCGGCCTTGACTGACGGAGATCTCAAATTGTGAGTCTTAGCCATTCGGTCTTGTCCTATCCATTGCAGTGTGCTAAAAGGAGCAGAATAGAAAGTCTCCATACGCTTGGTTGGGTACTATACCGAGAAGGAAAACCCAATGAGTCTGAGGAGCCTCTCAGGGAATGTTTGCAAAAACGCAGGATGGTCCTTGGAGACCAACACCCGAAGGTAGGAACTCTTTCGCAAGCTGGGCATCAGTGGCTATCCGATCCGTTGCTTCAAACCCTTCGCTGTGATCCAGGAAAGTCTCTCGGACTGACGAATTCTTAGACTACTTCGACGGCTAATGATCTTGCCCTTACGCTCATCAAGCTCGATCCCCCGAAATATGAAGAAGCAGAGCGACTGTTGAGAGACTCGGCTAATTTAATCATTTCTTCGTGTGGGACCGATCACCCAAACTCTATAGTCATACACAGCAATCTGTGCAACGTGTTGAGACGAAGTGGGAAGCACGCTGAGGCAGAAACTCTGCAGGTAGACCAGCTAACGTTGAGTGAGAAGGTCCTCGGGCAGAATCATCCCACCACGATTTGGTGTGTTGTTTCGGTGGCCGAGTCGCTCTTCTATCAGAAGAAATTCTACATGACCCAATCTTTCATTCTCAAGGAGGTAGAGAAGAGACCGGACTTGGTTCGGCAAGATGTCGTGAGCAGCTTGATTCTCATCAGCCTCTTCGCTCACGTCTGGGAAGAACATGGAGAATTTACAGAAGCGGCCGAGAATTTCCAGTCAGTTCTTCAGGGGCGAAAGAAAGCACTTGGAGACGATCACCCAGCAACGTTGCATGCCGAACACTGCTTCGCTAGAGTAAGACTGGCCCAAGGAAAGTGTTTTGAAGCTGCCGGAATCCTGCGAGGGTTGATGCCGAGGGAGATCCAAGTTCTGGGGTTGAAACATGAAGAAACTGTCCTTAGCGTCCGTCTGTATGGTCTCGCGATGTTCAGCCAAAGAAAATTTCCTGAGGCGGAGTCATACTTTCGACAAGTATTAAGTATCAGAGAGAAGACGCTTGGGAGGGAACACGAAACTACTCTCATTGCCAGGGACAACCTTGAAGCAGCTTTGGGCGAGCAAAGAAAGTGGGCAGAGTGGGAGAAAGCCTCTCGTGAGTCGCTGGCAATACGTCAACTATTAGCACCTACCGATTACCATACTTTGCGAGTCAAGTCGAATCTCTGGTTTGTATTAGAACAACAACGTAAGGCTGAGAGCGAGGCGATCTTCCATGAGTTACTGGCGAACATCAAAGCCCTGCCGGAGGATTTCATGGAAGGCCCAAACTTCAAGAAAAACGTCACCTGTGAGGAGGAATGGTATTTCTGGCGTCTCCGAAATGGCTCTTTTGATCTGGAAACATTGAGGGCTCGAAAACGAATGGCAGCTTGGTCACAAACTCCGAGGTTCACGAAAGGAGGTGACGCGGCAAGTTTTGTCTCTTTCTTCAAAGCCAGCTCCCAAGTCAGCTCCAATGATCTTGCAGGGGAGATATATCATGAGGTTCTGAGGAATATGGAACATACTTTTGGGAAGGAGTGTGAAGAGACCAAGTCAGTGAATGAGGAGTATGCCAAGCACTTAGAGCAGCGGGGCAAGGTCCATGAGGCCAAGAGAATTCGGGAGCGCTTGCAAGAGTCTGGAATCTGAAGGGTCAGAAGCTTCTCGTTTCTTTACCTTACTTCACAATTGACAATCCTACTCAGACTCTGCTGAGGTTCAGCTCAGGCATGCTCAGGCATGGCCATCCAGGCTCAGGTATGCTCGCCCTCAGCTCGGGTTAAAGCTGCAGTTGCTCACGTCCGCAGACTAAAACGGAACCAGCGAAAGGGAAAATTAATCCTGAGTCTATGGGTATAATGATGGAACGTTGACGATGTAGGGATCTTCGTATCGATACCAGTGGCTATGAGAAGGGGATCTACCTTGCGGTGTAATTGACATAAGTGGCGCTGCACGTGCAAAGATAGAGGGTGACTGTTCCATATCGTAATATGGAACATCGAAACGGGGTACAATAGGTATGTTTCTATTTAGATAGGTCAACTTTAGCTTATCACTACATGATCTGCTCATTGCACCCTTTCATGAACATTCGATTCCAAGCTGTCGGGAATTAAAGCCACCATTCCCCCACAACAGAGACCCGCGACGGTTGTCGAGTATCCCAACGTTGCATTTACTGGGGGAAGGTACCTGGTCCCTAGCACGTAGTGCTACTTCCAAGCCGGCACACGGCTGAAATTGAAGCATGCCAGTGTGTAGGTCCGGATGAGATTTTAGTAATAAACACGGATAGAACTTGCTGCACGCCAGCGAGTGTGCTTGGCACTGGTCTGAAAAGTGTGAATAGTATTGCCAACAGGCTGGCGCCGGTGGGTTTGATATAATGCAATCTTGCACCTTGGGCCAGTCCATATGCTGCTGCAAGAAGTAACCCTCGGCGATATGACTAGATCAGCACTATCAGATATCCTCCGTATATAATTTAGACAACATATACCGCCGTAGAACAAGAGCTCTAATTGATTTATAGTTTTAGTTTATTACATAAACTAACATTCATTGAATATCCTACTATTGAAGTTACAACTTATAGAGATTAAAATATAATTTATTTTTTATGTCTACCAAGAGGAGATATTCATTCCTAATAGTACAGAGACTCGAGCTAGTAAAGCTCTAATTCCGGTAAACTTCGATTCCTACTTTACAAGCAGCCTGAGATTTCGTTATAGCTGACCCAAGAAACCCAGAATCTTCTCCGCGCCTTCCTCCCAAGTAAGGTCATTCTGAATATGATGCCCTGCGTTGCTGACAACATCAAACTCAATATTATCCACATCAGCCCATCCATCATCGACCTTCCCCTGATCCCTTGATTTCAGAGTTTTTGCGGCAGTTTTCCGATAAATCCCCGCCATCTGCTGCATCAAAGTCACGCCCATCAAAGTATCCTTCTCGCCAGCGAGGACCATCAACCTTTTACTCTTTCCCCAGCCAGTAATATTCTTCACAACATTCCACACGTTCACAAACGGGAGCATCATGCCGAGAGGCCATAGCATACTCTCGTACTCCGGTATGTATAGCTCCCACTTCTTGACTTCCTCTCTAGGGAACTCGGGTGAAAAGAATGCTCGGTGAACAAGCGTTGTAGAAGAGAGTGGAGAGCGGGAATGCCAAAAGTCACGTATATAATAGCGAGGGGCGAACCAGGGGTCGTTTTTGAACCAGTTCCAGTACACCCCCAGACTAGACGTCCTCAGTTTTGAAACGTGGTCAGAATAGAAGAAAGTAAACTTACCCTCCAAAGTTAGGGAATCCTGCGCAAATCACCAAAGCGCCCACCTCCCCCATTCCTTGGCTCAAAAAGTACTGTGACAATCCACCCCCAGCTGAATGTCCTATCAATACCAGATCTTCGGAGCTGAAATTTCCTCCTCTTAAACCGGTCTCAACACCAGAAACCCAAGTGAGCGCATGACCTAGATCTTGTGCAAAATCACGTTTTCCGTATCCCCATACCATTCGCAAGTAGCTAGGTTTCCAGGAAGCCCCATGACCGCGAAGTGAGAGCGCGTAGCAGGGGTAACCAAGTTTGCTAAAGTAGGTGAGGTAGTTGTCCCAGACGGAGGCGTGTCCGAAACCGCCGTGTTGGAAGAGGATTGCTTTCTTCCTGGGCGATGAAGGAGAGGACGGTGAAGGTTGAGCAGAGAGGATCTCGAGTTTCCCTAGGGGTGTTGGAATGTAGGAGCGAGTGGTGTTGGAAGGGGGGTCTGGGACGACCACCGGGCTGCGCGTCCAGACAAGCGCGTGTCGGTCGTTCATCGTTATATTGTGAGCTGAGGTGTGTTGCTGCCAATGCTTTGGAGATTCGTGAGAAGAGAACGGGGAATCAATACACTTATATCTACAACCCACAGGGCTGAAAAGCCTCACCGAATGCGGCTGAAGTCATGGTACTAATTACAGTGAAAAAGGGGGAAGGTTTCTATTGCCAAGAGCGGCATGCGAAGTCATGAGGCTTCCGATACTCTGTGGCTGCTCTTGGATACATTCATTGCATGCCAATCACTTTGCTTCCTCCCGTGCGATTTTCGAGGTACTTTGGTACAACAGGAAAAAGTCGGGATTAAATAGTAGGCTTGATACTTGGTTGTTTTACGGTACTTTCCTCCATCCCCAGCCTTTGCGCAACCAACTCGTTTTTCTCCCGCGCTCATATGGGGAATGGAATGGCGATGGGAAGCGTAGACCACCACGTATAGCTGCATCCACCGTGAGCCACGTTCCCTTGCCTCCCATCTTAATCCCCCCTTTCAGGTATCTTCTGTCCACCTTCCTTCATGCACGCCGCGCTTGGACTTGTCATCGATTCCCTCCGACGCTGCGATATTCTCCGCTTATGGCCCGGGATGTCCAACTTCTTCAAATTCTCTTCCAATACTCTCCTCTTCTCCTCGACCCATTCCCTCTCCTGCTTCTCTCTCCTATCTTCTTCCTCCTCCGCCCCTTCTAATACCAGTGCTGACCATTCTGCTATTCCCACCCCGGGGTGTATATCAGTCTCTTGAACTTGCATCTCCGGCTCAGAATCTACCCACGTCCTAGGAGGATTGATAGGGCGAGTGTCAGCTATCCGAGAATAACCCTATGCGACCCTTCAAAACTTGCTAGGTCGGTAGTAGGGTATACTCTGAATTCGCGCTCGTCGGTTTGGGCGTTGTCCTATAAGGAGACGGCAGACGTGCCGAGATCGACGAGGTTGTTTCGAGGGTTTGGGTAAAGCGATGGTTTGACTAGGAGTGACAGAACGGCTATAACTTTGTCCGTGAATATTTCCACGCAACTAGTCGACGACGGCGATTAAGAGTAGAGACCGCGCATAGTGAGAGCGGCGTATACCCTTTGCTACGCGAATGCTACCATTACCTCCCTGAGTAGATTTAGCTAGCCTATTAGAGATTTGTCGAAGTAGTCAGAGGTGTTTTAGATCTTATAAAAGTTATCTCGGACGACAAAGGCTACTAGATAATATCCTGAAACAAAGAGGAGAGAATCTGTTAAGTATATATAATATAGAGCTTCGCGGAAACTTTACCACTACAAGCTCAACGTTGATTCTAACACGCCTCGTTTACCAATCTACCTGTGACACTACTTTAATCTAGTTTGGCGACGAAATGCAACTGATTCTCACTCGTGAGTACTACATGAAGACAATAGGAACGTCACCCCGAGTCCCAACCTTGATGAGTTGATGAGTAGGAGGGGAGAATGAGACCATCCTAAGCTGTCTAAACTTCCCCATTCTTAACATCCGAACCTTCGTCACATGGGCTGGGGGAAATCGAAATGACATCGATGAAAAAAGGTTAATGACTCGACGAATTCTGGCTTCATGAGGTCTCCCTAACGTCGCAATCATGAACAATTCGAACCTGTCGGTTAGCGGTTCTCGGTCGATTGTAGTATGTTTCCCTTGGGAGATATATTCCTTTCGGAGAACCCCTCATGCTTCCTTGACCCCAGAACGAATTGGAGAGTTACCTTCCATTGATCTACCAGCAAACTTGCAAGTGTCCTGAAGACGTATTCTGAGTGATCAGAATCAAATCCTACCTCTGAAACCCACTACCTCTTAACACACCCTAAATAAGGCAGTTGTAAACCCCTTCCTCAACTACTAAGCCATCTCCATATGGTCCATCTAAAAAGGTATACAACCGTTCCAAACCCAACCATTCCAACACCCAGAAGTAGATATCCCCATGATAGCGAACCATCACCATCGCTGTCATCTGAAGGCCACCTAGCTCGATCTGATTCCAAATCCTCCCAGTCGGCGCCATTCTGTGGCCTCTGATGCGCCCGTCTTTCACGCTCCGTTTGCCAGGATGACATGTTTGCCGTAGGTGGTCGTGGTGGTCGCGCATTTGGCCGGGTTGCCCATGTGCTATTAGCTACTGAGACGGTGGGAATTCTAACCGTGGCTGATCTTTGCAATAAAGGTAATGGAGCTGCATTCCTATTATGCATACAAGCCTGGGGATCGGCACCTACAGAAGCGTCCATTCTCTGCTGAATTTGCGAAATTTGCTGATAATCAACTCTATATCCTCCCTGGCCCCTGTCAAGCAATGTGGTTGAAACCCAAGTTTTATATCCTTCGAGACCAACTTTCTTCGCAAGATACTGGTAGCTTTTATGGGTGAGGCGTATGTCGGACGGCTTGCTTGTCCAGCGGAAACTGCAGGTGCGGAGTAGCGCGACCGATACGTCGAATATATGCTCGGTTTTGATGTATGACTTGCAGTCCATTTTTCCCTTCTCGAGATATAGCTGCCACGTGACAGGGGCTTCAGGATCGGCTGGAGAGTCTTGCATTATTGGCACTCTGTATCTTGTTTGTTTCGAAGTAACCTGTGGTTTGTTATTGTTCACTCGACCGACCTTGGTAATGCTTCGAAAGGACCTACTTCCGCAAAGGAACATATCCCATGTTGCTTAATTTTCAAAACCAGTATCGGGTGGCCGTAGCCTTCGCTGTGGAGCTCCTTATTCTCGCAACAACGCTCCTTAATGCATTTAATCGTTCCATCATCGTTCTCGTCTTTGGTAGGAAGCCAAACAATGCAGCCCTCGCCTAACTGTTCGAGTACTACTTTTGGTCGCCGATTTCGTGCGCTATTTGAAGCTGGGCGAAACCCATCAGAAGGGGTAAGTTGCCGCTCCTGCCGACGCTGGGAACCAGACATCGACGCGTATTTGAGAGATGCAGCAATAGAATGAGAAGAGGAGAATAATCTTAGATGGCATACGAAGCAGCCTATTCAAGCAGGTATGACTTTGTGATTGTCCAACGATTCAACGTCCACGATATCAGACTTCCTGGGGAAAGCAGCGCTCAATAGCTCCCGCGCTCCTGGCACGCCAATACGTATGATTCCAGCCGCTCTAAGCCACGCATGATGTCGTAGCTGAACAAGAAGTCGTGCGGTTGCAGTCAACATCATGCAGGTGCCCATTGGGGCTTGTTGTGATTGCATTCATAGGCGTGCAGGTGGCTAGAATGATATCTAGGTAGTGTTAGATGAAAAGCTGTGCAGTAATAGAAAACTAAAGTAGTAACCGAAGTTATAATTATCAGAGTACGTGTAGAGGACATGGAGATTGAGAACCATGGCAGTTGAAGTATTGATATGTCAGTGTAATGAGTGGGTGTATATCTGCGTTCACTATACTTGCTGACGCGCATGCTCTGCGGTGAAGTCAAGTAGGGTTCTCGCCTATATAGTACAAATGTTGGTTCAAATGTTGGTTCAAGAAGGGAGTACTTTGTACTTTGTTGTGTAACTGGTAGTTGGAGATAAGTTTCCAAAATCCGCTATCATTAGGTAGGGTGATTATAGCGTAGCATCTCCTATCAATTAAAGTGCTAGGGGATTTGCAACCAACAAGTGTCCTGCTCTTGGGCTTCTTATGCACCACACACCCTTACTAGCAATGTTTGAATGCTAAACCTCTCAACCTTCGTGGGACGACCATCATTATTCCTTCGAACTTCGACGATAAACAATATATCTTCGTATAATATACTTTGCACGTCTGACTATTAGCTAGAAAATCACCTGTTATTCAGTGATATTTACTGCCTAGTTGCTTTCACACCTGCCAGTGGCTGCCCTTTGTCATTTTCATTTCTACAAGCGCTTTCTTCTAGTACCCTGCCTGACCGACATCACACATCGCCCGCATATAACCTCTGTCAAAATGCCGCCTTCTACAAGATCGAACGAGCGAGTTCTTGGGGAGCTGGGAAGTAGCCAGACACTCGATGGTGATACCTGGAATGAGAGTGATACAGTTGTGTCAGATCCTAAGGAGAGCCCCAGGTAATCTATCATCCCATGGACCCAAACACACACCCCTAAATCAAAATATCCACCTACAAGTTGGATAAGCTCCGAACGACAGACTATCCATCTGCAAATTGATATCCTGATGCTCAAATTATATATAATATCCGACCGCTATATGTAACAGATGATGCAATACTTCTCACGGCCTTGCAGACCTGCCACCAAGGCGACCAGCACCCAAAGCCTGCAACCTCGACTCATCGATCCTAGGTAGCTTGCATTCGCCATTCTCTGCCGGCGCAGGCAGGAAGCCAACTGCAGCAAGGTACGCTAAGTACATGCCAAGAGTCTTCACATCTATAGCATTTGCAGCTAATGGATCCTTGACTGTGTCTTTATCATATGCCTTGAGCGCTGCTGCTGCATTGACATCGTCCAGCTCTGGGGCTATGGTATTCGCAGGCAAGTCTCCCACCACGAAGTGGAACAATGGAAGCAGAGCATGCTCCTCCTTGGTGTTGTCACTTACGTATTCCTTGACCTTAGTGCACCACTCCTGGTACGACACCATTGGCACGAGATACCCATACACCTCAAGAACACCAACCCACTCGTCAAACGTCAGGCATGGATGGCTGGTAACCTGGGCCACGCCTAGGGACTGCCCGATAGCAGCTGGGAGATGAAACGCCGCAGCAACGACGATGCGACTGACCTGCGTGACAGGGACGGCGTTGATCCTGTTTGCAATGCTGGGACGCGCTCCCACCTGCAAGCATCCTTTCCACAGCCGGACTAGAAAATCGTCTGTAACTGAAATTCCGGATTCCGGATCCCCCATAACATATCCTGAGCGAATAATGGCGCCTACAAGGCCCCGCCGTCCAGCCTCGCGTAGGACAAACTCGCTCGCCCACTTAGACTGCCCATACCCTGTGCCAAGGCCCTTGCGACTGCCCTCCAAGTCGTCCGTCTCCAGCACAGCAGCCCCGGCCTTTGAGGAGAGCTGGACGTAGTGCTCGTTATCTAGAGTCGAGGTTGAGCTGACAAATGCCAGTCGCTTGGGCTTTCCTGTGGCGCAGAGTTGGATGCATGCCAGGGTACTCAGAACATTGGTCGCACGCAAGCTGGAGTACGGAAGCATCCAGTTAACTTGGGCGCCGTTGTGGATGACAATGTCAACTTCGTTCAAGAGGCGGTTCCAGACGTTCTCGGATAGACCGAGCTGTGGCTTGGAGATATCCCCGACCACGACTTCGAGCCTGGATGTAGATATCCAGCTTGGGGGCCATAGGCAATAAGTCTTAGTGATGGTCTCGAGCCGAGCGAGACTTGCCGCTGCGTCCTTGGCTCGCACGTGCGCAATAACACGCACTTTCTTGGGGCCCTCAAGGAGCTCGTGGAGGATATATGAGCCTAAGAAGCCGGTGGCGCCGGTTAGGAACACTGTGGGCGGCGTGTCTGTGTAGTCTTGCTCGATTTCTGCACTTCGGATGGAGTCTGGAAATTGATGCACTAGATCTCTCGCATCTGCTGCGTACGCCTCGTCTCCGACATCTCCGTCTCCAGCGAGTGGCATCGCATCAAGGCGGAGACCAATAGGATCTTGTGAGCGATCGATCTCTGCGGCAAGGGCCTCGAGGGTCTGTGACTGGAATATCACACTCACTGGCAGGTTAATATCTTTCCATTCGTTCTTGAGACGGAAAAACAACTGCTGTGCGAGGATGGAGTGACCACCTTCCTCGAAGAAATTGGAATCTGGCACAAACATCCGTGCAGAGCGGTTGGGGAGGATGGATGCCCATATCGTAGCCAGTTGAGTTTGGGTATCAGTCATGTTGGCAGTCTGTGACGAAGCCCTCCTCTTTGCGAGAAAAGCAAGGTCCGCCGCGTCCGGGAAAGGAAGTAAAGGTTTGTCTATTTTACCGTTCGGATCTAAAGTCTATCTGTTAGTCTCGAGAGTACGATCTGCTTGACCAGGGTGAAACATACTCAAGGGCATTCGAGCCAGAGGAATGAAGATGCTTGGGACAGCATATTTAGGAACCTTGGTTGCAAGGAACTTCTTGCAGTCTTCGGACAGTGACTTGAATCGCCTGAGCATTCCAGCCATCGATTCATTGAGTAATTTCTGCTCGATATCTTTCCCATCCTCCTTCTCCTGCAGGTGTTGAAACCAACGCTTTGTCTCGGGGACAAAGTACGTGACGAGTGTCGGCTCCTCGTTCTTGTCTCGTCGAACTATCGTGACGTTTTCGCGCAGAAATTGGTATTGCGATAGGTATACGTCGATCTCGCCGAGCTCGATTCGAAAGCCGCGAATCTTGACCTGCGAATCAATTCGGCCTATACACTCGACGCTTCCGTCGGTACGGAGTCGACCAAGATCACCGGTTCTATATAGGCGATCTCGTGGTCCCTTGTAGAGCTTCCTCCAGGCCTCATGAGCCCCCGAAGCAACCTGGTGGTCATACTGCTGTATCCATTTGCTTGGATCAACAAACCAATTGGGAAGAAACTTAGATCGGTTGAGTTCCGCCGTGTTGTCGTCATCCCCAAGGTACCCCTCTGCGAGGCCCCCTGCTCGAAGGAATAGTTCTCCTTGCTCACCTACCCCACACAGCCTGGTCCTGTCCTCGCGATCGACAACCAAGAGCTGGACATGCAGCATGCCCTGGCCAACCGGGATGATATCTGGCAAGTGATCTAGAAACGTAGGGTCGACGGCTTTGCTTGGAACCTCAAAATACGAGACTGCACGCTGCGACTCGGTCGAGCCATATAGATTTATCACGGTAGCATTAGGTGCAAGGTCGCACAGCTTCTTGCAATCTTTCTTGGTCAAGATATCGCTGACGAAGAAGGCATTTCGAAGAGCAGGAAATTGAGTTGTGGCACCGCCGACAAGGATCTGGCCCATGGCGGGAGTCAGGTGGGTAACTGTGATGCCGTGTTCTTTCATCCATTCCGCGAGCAGCTCGTAGGCAATCACATCAGCCGGGGGGATAACTAATGCGGCGCCTAGGAAGAGCGGGGTGAAGATGTCTCTCTTTATACGCACTTGTTAGACCGTTCGCATCATAGTCAAGAGTAAGGGTATTAGATTAGAGAATAGCTTACTTGGATCGGATCGTGAGAAATGCCCGATAGCATGCTGAACCTGTCCTTTTCCGAAAGGCCAAATCTCTCTGCCATCCAAGGTAGGTAATGAGTCAGTGAGAAGTGGCGTCCTTGGACGCCCTTCGGTCTGCCCTCAGATCCGCTCGTAAAGCTCAGAGTAGGGATCGAATCCGGGCCAATACGAACATTGGGAAATTCTTCTCTCCGGGAGACCTGAGGTTCGAGACAGTCTTTGCCGTCGACAATGCCCCCCTTAAGCTCCCCATTACCGGATAGTTCTAGTGCCGGAACGGTAGACTTAATGCTTAGGTTACTGCTGACAAAGTCCATAGCAATGTCAGAAAGATTGCCAAATTCCTAAGTAGCCTTCTGGATACAGACAAGGAATCTAGGGCTCGCAACTTCCAGCAGTACCTTTTGGCGCTCTGGAGGATACTGCGGATCAAGCACACTGACAGTTGCGCCAGCTTTGAGGGCCCCTAGATAGGCAACCACAAGGTCTACCCTATATCCCATCAGTCAAGTGGCGAGCAAGCAAGCAGAGAAAATAACGGACCCTCGATAGGCATATATCATGGCAACATCTCCCACTTCGCACCCATGCGCCAAGAAGTGGTGTGCTAACTGGTTGGAGCTCTCGTTGATCTGGCGATATGTGAAAGTGCGCTGAACGGCTGGTAGGCTCTTCTTGGTTTCAATGACGCATTGCCTATCTGGAAAGCGCTCGGCATTGGCTGCGAATATCTCATGGATGGCTGCAACGAGTAAGTAAGCATGTGCTGTCACAAATGAAGGATGATCTCCTACCTCCACGATAATCACCCCAGCGAAGGTCGATTGTCGGATCCGGCAAGGGGGAATCCATGATGCCATGCGACATTATCAGCAGAGGACGACAGTGTCGGGCGGCTCTCGGGTTCTCCTCTCCTCTCCTCTCCTCTCCTCTCCTCTTGTCTTTCAATCCCTGGGCTCTCTGCTTTTCACCGTTGGCGTTGGCAATCCGGTTTCCGTCGTGTAGGTAGGTTATTGAGGAGTCAAACCCCCCTCCTTTTGGCGGGGTGAAAGTTTGTTTCCAGGGGAGTAGAGCTAAAAAAGAACCCTAAAGCGCGGTGGTCAAGGCCGCGCGAGGCTCCGCAACAAACTTTCTGTGCCCCTAGCAGAATTCACCGTCAGAGACCGGCCAAACGCACCCCTGGCGGAACACTACGAACATTACTCTAAATAGCCCAGATGATACAAACACACTATTCAAAAGTCCTGCTAAGGTCTTTTCCCTTGCCCGATCACCCAAGATCGATTGATCGAATGCGGATCAAGTTGCATCCCAACTTCAAGCAGCTGGGATCACACAAAACACGATCATCCTTGTCTATCATACAGGTCGGACTGATCTGAGAATCTTATGACGTTTCTTGGAATCGGCTGGATATCATAGCCTCCTACCGCCAGATAAGAACTGCGTGTCCATTATTGCACCTCTTCCGAACTAATCTCTCAGTGGCTCCGCGTGGACACAAAAGGCTCCCCGTAAAGCTGGAAATTATATTTCCACTATTATTCCCCCGTCATCACCTTGTCGGGCTCAACCATCGGGCCCTGGAAGACTGTTTGCAGACGCGCCTTTTATCTATGGCATTCGACGAACTGTGTAAGCCAGTGAGACAGCGGGGGGGGGGGTGAATGGCAGCCAGAGAATTTTGCCAACATTGCACAGACATCCCTCTTAGGTTGGCTGAAAGATACCAAACAAGCTGCCACGGACCAGAGTAAGATCCATCGCCATAAAAGATAGCGAGGCATTGTGGAAATTGAAATTAATAGAGTCCAATAAGCAAAAGTTATCCGAGGATGATAACGCATCGTTGGGTGAAAGAAACGCCCGAGAGAAGAGCTGGAACCTAACAAATCCCTCGAAGAGGGTACTGTTGCGCCGGTCAAGAGGAGACGTAGTGCTCGACTCGAGGAAACGCTATCAAGTACTTCGCATCGCACAATGTGTTGATTTTCTCTATGCAGTCTCCTAGCCTGAATGGGGTACACCCCACTGGACCTAGAAGCAGCGGAGATTCCTATAAAGGCAATACAGGTTTATCAAAAAGCAGGATTAATTTATACGTCAAAATATGACTGGTTTTAGGAGGTTTAGAGATCGGAACAGCTGCACTGCAATAACGTTGAATTGGTAATATTTAATACATTGTGAGGCGGGGTTGTCACGTACTAGTCACATACGACTGGACCAGAGAGGATCAAAAATCGGCCCTAAGAGGGACCCTTGTAAGCTTGACAAGGGAGCGAGAATGGATACCGCCACGACAACTGGATGAGTTGAGGGAAGTGACTGTACTCAAGGCAGCAGACATTATCGAAAGCTGTTATAGTGGATTTATTTCCTCAGATTCTAATGCCTCGTCTACGGACTTATTTCTTATGCATATATGTTGTGGAATAGGGCTAGTAGAAGCAATTGAAGAGATATTTCGACGGTTTGGTCTGAACCAATACCGGCCCGAGTTGCGTGTGCAATTAAATACTTTGCCATGCATAATGGAGATGAGGAGACGACAAATCTTGGACGGGATGCGCTGGGTGATTATAAGACAAGAGTTCTGCCCATTATCGATGAATGGGGAAAATCAAGCTTGAGATCTTTATTCTGCTCAATCCCAAGAGTTGACATCGTCCTAGTTTGTTCACGGAGATTCGATACGAGGGCTTCGCTTTTGAATTCTTTTAGATTCGTGTAGGTTGGATCGGATAGCAACGGTTGGCAAGCGGAATTCTTCTATTATATCTATTTTGTAAGGGAAAGGGGAGAAGGGACTTTAATGAAGATAATATATTTACTCATATATATCCGCCTACTGTAATAAGTTAAAGAGCGAAAAGGTAGACCCAACACCCCCTAACCCAAGAATTATTCGATGCAAAAGCCGACTATGGTGGCCTACGCTAGCTTTATAGAATACTTCGCGGACAAGGATGCCAAGGGGGTGTGAAGAGTATACTCCGGCTACAGGGGCATATTAAAAATGCAATGGATCTGGATCTGACCTTAGGGGGATGGAACATCAGACATACTCCATATAATTCGGAATTAGCAAAGTAATTGCTGAGAAGCATGTTGGACTCGGAACACTGAAGGAGACTTCCCAAACGCTGTTCCGCAAAAAGCCCCTGATATCTCCTTAAAGTTCAAGGAGTAGAAATTAAAGGCTGAATGGGAGCTCGCGGAACGGAATTAAGAGAAAGAGTGGGTAGCTAGCATTAGGAGCCGAAGCCAAATATCACTATGAGGCATTGTCCAGAAGACTGTTGTTAGTGTTTGGAACTTATCTAGAACCTAGGTAGTCTCTGGATGTAAAAGCGCGCTTGATGGGGAAGGGATCATGGAAACAAAAGGATGATGGGCTTGAGCCCGTGGAGGATCCTTATAGTATGAAGGGATTATATACCAGTCGTCAGTGGTTTGAAATGTAACGGGATGGGAATTGTAAATCACGCAAGCTTGGGGCAGTCACATTGATCAATCCACTCTCACAACTTCCACAGAAGTTTATAGCTTTCTGCAATGGGTTTGGGTATTGACAAGCTCACACCTCTATAACGTCAAAATCTATAACCCACCCGCTGGCGGGACATAAGGCTTAATCAACATCTCACTAAACTTCTCTAGCCTCTCCTTCCCCCTCACCTCCTCTACCAGAAGCGGCATCTTAACCACATTAAAATCATCATACAACTCGGCAATCTGCGCCAAGTACTTCTTCTGCATCTTTCTCCGAGCATTGCATTGCTCGCACTCGCTGCCTGCCTTCGGGAACAGCAGTTGGTTGACCACAATACAATGCGTGTCTATGTGATAACTCGCTAGCTCTTGGATCATGCGCTCTGTTTCGTAGAGAGAGAGGAATTCGGGTATGCAGACGCATATGAACGTTGTGAGGTTCTCGTCCTTGAATTGTGTGTTTACCTCGCTGATGGTTTCTCGTAGACCCTCGAGCTTCTCCATCATCTCGTTTAGGTTTTGGCCGTTGGGGAGGGAGCCGTTTGCGCCTAGGAGGCCGTTCAACATTGGTCCGAATTGAGAAGACAGCTGTGAGACTTTGGCTAGGGCTTTCTCAAGGACGGTGGGGAATTGGAGGAAGCGGAGTGTGTGGCCTGTAGGGGCGGTGTCGAATATGATAGTTTCGTACGAGAGAGATTTGACTTGTTTTAGAACCTCTGCGAAGGACATGGCTTCATCAATACCAGGGATCTGTAGAATAGTTATAGTTAGCATTCCTTGTCCTCATGAAGGCGAACTTCGGTGGTGCCTACTGCGAAAGCCAAATCTTGCATCATGCCTCCCATACCAGCCGCCGGACCCTCGCCCTCCTCAGCCTGACCCATAAGCTCCTGAATGCTCCCATTAGGGTCAATCTCCATAGCGCTCAGATTCGTGAAGCCTTCCACAAGCCTAGCCTCCTTGCCAAACTTCTGTGAGAATGCATCGGAGAGATTGTGCGCTGGATCTGTCGAGATGAGGAGGACAGAGCGGCGGACTTTGGCAAGTTGGATTGCGAGAGAGCACGAGGTTGTGGTCTTGCCTACACCTCCTTTACCACCTACAAAGATCCATCGCAGTGACTTTTGGTCGAGGATGGTCTGGAGGGTGGGTTCGAGCTCGTCGACGTCGACGTCTACTAAGGCGGTCGACATGGTGCGTTTTCCGGCTCAAAAAATGGAAATGGGGTATCTAGCGGTATAGATATATGCGCGTCGAAATGTAGAGTGAAGTGCGGATGGCGTATGGTGGATGGTAGGTGGTGGGTTGTGCTCTGAGGGGCGATTTATTTGGTGTTCTTGTTCTTGAGCTTTGGTCTTGGACTTGTTTTCGGGCTGTCGTCGTCGCGATGATCTTCGAGGTTCGTCGGCCTTCTGTGAGTGGCCAGTCGCTTCTAATAGTAACAAAAGGGACTCGGTCTTTCAGGTACTGCGTGAACTGTTAAAACCAGGGTTCATATTATCTATATCTTCCTTAAGGCTAAAAGGTATCTGTAGGTTGCATTCCAAACTAGAGCAGAGCGCACAATGCTGAAAAGGCGGCGAGCTCCGACTTGCCAGCTGAGCTGCCTATAAATTGGTATATTAATGGAAGGAGACCCCTAACGTTCCTTTCTCTCGACTCCCAAGTCACAGCTAATATCGCAATTGACTATAATATTTAGGTAAAGTCTGGGATTATTTTTAAACCCGTATCAATCAACCCACAAGACTCTTATTCTGATTCTGGCGAGCAGCGAAGCGTACTCGACCGAAACCTACCCCTCCATCCATCCCACTTGAAGGCCCTATCTACTGCGGGCGCAACAAACACCACATCATTACATCACGTCGTCCCCTCCCGCCGTCTTCTTGCCACTCATTCATTATCACAGCAAAACAAACAGCGACACGATGACAACACCTGCTCCCTCCCAGCGCGACCCCATAACCTGTCATGTCCTCGACACAACCACCGGCCGCCCCGCACCAAACATTGCCGTAAAACTCTCCTGGAGCGAAAACCCCAACATCACCTTTAGCAGCGTCACCAACAGGGATGGTCGCATCGCAAACTGGCAGTTCGACAAATCCTCCTTCCCCATGGAAGATCTATACAACCAAGTTCGGGCGGCCACAGGGGAGGGCGACATTACGATCGAGTTCATGATAACGAATTGGGGGGCACAGGGTAAAGCGGCGCTACCGAAGGGAAGCAGCATGTGGAAATTGGAATTTGATACGGGGGCTTATTTCGGGATTGAGAAGACCTTCTTCCCGAAGGTCGAGTTGACGTTTCTGGTGAAACCGGGCGAGCATTTTCATGTTCCGCTGTTGCTTGGGCCGTATAGCTACACGACTTATAGGGGGAGTTAGGGAGTTAAGGAGTGTTTATTTTGTTTTATTTGCGGATAACACCAGGAAAGCAGCTGCCTCGAAAGAGACTATTAAGTTAAGCTATTTTATTTTGGTTATATTCTTTTGGGATCCCTTTTTATGAGAGACCTAGTGAGACGCCAATAGCCTCGACGAGCTTGTAAACGAGTGGCCCTGACGCCCAATATGCAACAGTAAACTCCAACGCTGTAAAAATTGCAGGTCCTGCCCGTCCCTCTTGATATATTAGCAATTTCAGATTTCTGTTTCCTCTCTCTCATGATTTCTGCCAGCGCAGTTTTCTCAGGACTCTGCGTCTCTTCTTCTCTCCACGCTGGCTCGCGGTATCCCTGTCGCTATCTTTTTCGCTATCATGCTCGCTATCCTCTAGGTGCTTCGCGTTGATTAATGTCTCTTCACTCGCACTTGCCACACCATCAATAACACTATCGTGTTTACTCTCCTTGTCTGGACTTTTCTCCTCCATCAAACCAATCTCTTCCACACTCCCGTCGGCATATTGAATGTTGTCATACAGCCCCATCGGCTGTACATTAAGAGTTCCGCCATGAGACCGTGTCTTCGATTGGTGTCTGCCGAGAAATAGACGATGCCGGGAATGGACTCGGACGGGCGGGATATCTTTTGCTTCAATTGTGGCGTTTGGGGATGTATCGGCGTCGGGGTGTGGGAGTGTAGTGTTGCGATCTGGAATGAGAGTTAGTACCCGAGTCGAACAACCTCCTCCTTGGCATTCCCTTTGAGGAAACAAAGCCTAAAGCGAGGGATAAACGAATAACTCAAAAAGGACAACAAACCTTCACATAAAGGCTCCGGAAACCCTGTCCCCTTCCCTAGGGAATTCCTCTCCTCCCTCACTTTTCCAGGCATGTCATGCTCATGCATGATGATAATTGAGACGTGGTCTTTATATTTCCTCGAATGGAAATGTTTGGGCACGTAGTTTTCTTCCTCGCCCACGTCTTGTATTTGCCTGACTTGGATATTGTGAATTCTAACCTTGCTGGGATTAAAGCTGTTGGTACGTCTGTATTTGCGTGGTTTGGCGCTGGAGAGATCCTCCTTGGAAGTCAGCGATTGGTATAAGGTGCTTATGAGCATGTTTGAGGTTGATGTTTAGCGAAAAACAAATGGAATTAAAAGACCAGCTTTTTTGAATGGTAGAAATTGGAAAAAGGAAAATACAAAGGAGATAAAGCCCAGTGAAGAAGATGAGGAATAAAGGAATGGGGTCGAGAACAAAATGCTAAAGTTCGTAGGACGATCACACAGTATATACAACGCCGCATCATGGAATCCCGCGGTTCTCGAAGCGCCCACTCGCCCACTCGCGCGCGCGCAATGCGAAACGTCGAATCGCCCGCTGACGTCTGACTTCACCCCGGTAGCAACCACTCGCCTTTCTGTGGAGTCTAGAACCTGTGAATGGAAAAAGAACTTACCCGGTAAGCACGCTTTTTATTTTCGTGTGTTGTGTTACTGGTATGATTTGTGATGAACGAACGTATTGTAGGAGTGAGGGTTCAGTAAGTCGATGCCAAGGTCAGCCTCCCAACAGAATCTAGATTCAATTTCGCCGTAGGCGTGGTATTTATATTTTCTCCAGAACTTGGCACAGCCCCGGCTTATTGTCTTGTACATGAGTGCTTTTCGCCATCATTTATTGCCGATCCGAGGTTTGCCATCAGCCTTGTGGTCGTACAATATTTACATTGGCAGGTTATGGGCTCAGCTGGTAGGGTGACGTACGCTGCTGCGTGACACGACGGCGATCCCGCGACACACCGGCCTTCTACCCTTGGCCAAGTACAAGTATAGATACTAACCTTTGGTAAGGGTCTTGGTACGCATGGCATGGCAGGATATGGCAACGCACGAAATGATTCTACCGTAGTAACTGTACCTGGGCATGCAACTAAATGGATATGGAGACGGTCCGCTGTCTGGGCAGTCGCATCTCACTCCCAATAATGCATTGTCTACAGTAGAAATATCCCACTTATGTCGAGAGTGATACCCACCTAAAGAAAATAAGTCCTAATTCGTTGGCTTTTAACTATTAGAGCTATCGCCGTCTCTTCCGTGCTGCCGCCACTCTACTCAGCAATGCCGACATTAAAAAGAATTTAGCTTCCACGGCCGAAGCCGCAGACTTGTGAATATATACAGAAGAAACATATACAATCAATCCTGTCATGTCATCGATAGCATGACTTGACCCCGAAATCTAGAATCTCTCCTCAGTGGAGTTCTGTGGTATCTGTGTTATATCCGCCTTGTATAAATGACGGCCTTCATGCCAGCCAGTTGGGGAGATTAGAATACATACTTTCATCCAGTCAGTAAATCCACTTCACAACTAGCGGAGGGGAATGCATGGGGAATGGGGGATACGTACAGGAATAAACAGATATGGCACCAACCGCTCATACTCGTCCCAGCTCTCCCCATACTTAAGCTTGCATCTCTGAATATCCCTATAAGCGCGATGGATAATCATACCAGCAAAGAATACAGAATAAAACCATGGGAAGGGGCTATTAAATCCGGTAACCAGTCCCCAGGAAATGGCAAAGAACAGATCACAGGTATAGTGGATTTTGCGAGCATATCCGTACCACCCATCAGCGAGGATCGAGTCTCCCGTCTTGGTTTTGATGGTGCGGGGGTTCTTGACGGTTTGCCATGGGAGTTGGGGGAATGACTTGCGCTGGAGGAGCTGTCCGCGTTCTTGGTTCCGGAAACGATTCTTCTGTGAGTTGGTGGTATCCCAGATCCAGTACATGAACAGATAGGAGGTGAAGAGCACTGCCATTAAATAGGGGTTCCAGGCGTAGGTGGCTGGGTCATGGTTTGCAAGATAGAGAGTGCAGTGGCAGTAGCTGAGAGGAACGCCAGCCAAGTTCCAGAAAATCAGCATGAAGCCCCATTTTTCGTAGTACATATCCCTTTATTTAAGCGTCAGTTGATGCTTGGGCGGTGGACGGGAATATAAGGACGGGTCTTACCAGGTTGTGACGATGAGTTCTTCGCCCTTCGCACAAGCATTGACATATAGGAAATGCGCCATGACCAAGAACCAAACTTGAGGGGAAATATATCCATATTGCTCATACTGTCGAGCAGCAGTCCCACAAGACAGACCGAAGAGGATGAACCATGGGAGGCGAACCTCGAAGAACATCTTGAAATCTAGAATACCGAACATACGAGGATTCAACTCAGCGCCCATGAAGAAATCATAGACGAAATACCCCGTCATACGATGCTGGGCTCCTCGGGCGATCGCGGAAAAATAGGCAATGATGGATACTATAAACCCAGAGCAGATTGCTACAGACAATAGAGGCCCGAATAGATCGATGATGGTATATAGCTTGAAGATATTGAAGTAGTGCAGTGTCGCTGCCAGGACGATGGTGGTGTAGAAGGCCCAGACTCCATTGCAGAAGTACTTCATCTGCTTGCCACCTGCCCAGGGCAGCGGTTTCCCATACGTATATACTCCAGGGAGAATGCAATAAGCGGCACCCTCAAATATAAAGAAGGTCCAGTAGATGGTCCAGGCACGCACCGAAGGGAAAGCATGTTCGTAAATTATATTTCCCAGATGTTGGAGGAAGTCGGCAATGCTCATTCCAGGATCTGGCGTTGGGAACTTGCCGTCGTAGAATGTTGCACCAATCCACATGTAATACATGAGCAAAGGAAATGCAATCATCATGGTACCGACTCCCCAGGAGCCTCCGAAGTCGAAATGCGGTGAATAGTCGATCTTTGGATCCTTCCCTGGCTCCCAACCATCGACCACGCGGTCTTTGGGCGCTTTAGGCGCGGTTCCGTTGGTCTTTGCAGAACCATTGGCCGTGCCGTTCACCTTGCCATTTGCATGTCCGTTGCCAGTATGCCCTTCAACGGATGCACCATTCGTCGCTGACACATTCGGCGACACCTTTTCAGCAGCGCTGCCGGATGACCTAAAGGAGGTATCTGCCGCAGATGAAGAGTCGTTCGCTTCGTCCGAGTCGGATATTGGAGCCCGGCGACGAGATGATCTTCGCGTCCCTGGAGTCTGGACAAGACCCAGATGTTCAGTCTTCCTGTGCAATTAAGCAGTATTAGTACGTGTACAAATAAAACAGGACACCTTTTGTGAGGGAGGGCGTATTTACTTGGGCGTTTGCCGCAACGAATATCGTTCAGACATGGTAACAGGACAGATTTTTAACGATGCAATTGGTCGTGCGCGCGAGTAAACTCATACAGCATAAAGAGTGGAAGGAATATATAGAGCACAGTACTAAATACACATGGCGCTGCGGTGCGTATTCACATCTGGCGACCGACGAGGTTGACGATGTGTGGTGTGTATTCGGTTGGGGGGGACAACAGAGTATTTGGTTATTTGAGCGCGACTAAAGCGCTGTCTTTGGTTTGTGGCTCCGCTGCCTCGGGGTGTTGTTAGTGCGTTAATAAACAATACGCCATTGCGCCAATGGGGCGCAAAGGGGCCTGAGCCGCTGGAACCCCTGAGTCCCTGACTAGACAACGCCGCGCTCACTAATAACAAAGGTACGAATACGAGTAGGTTCATTTCGCGGGTATTCTATTATATCAACAGCCGGAGACTCCTTATTATTATTGAAGTTATTATTCCGAGTCACTCAAAGTCATTAAGTAATGGTAGATTTTGTATTTTTTATCACAATGGTCGCCTTGCCCTTGAACAAAGCAAACACGACCAACTAATTATTATACATCGAATGCTTTGCTACAGGGTGAAATACACGTCTTTTTTGGATGCGACTTTCTTCCTGCAACCCACTTACGATATCCATGTCATTTAACTCACGTTGACAACAATCCTATAGAAGGAAGTCAAATGCTGTGCAAATAACCTCGCCTTGATCCGGCGTGCTGCCAAGCATAAAGTCACTGAAATCATCTCGGAGCAAGGAAGCTCCAAGACACAGGACAAATGTCTGGCAGGAGTTAATTGGCAGCCATCGATGTCCCACCCTCACGAGTATCCCGGTCACAGCCTCTCCTACACCTCCCATCTTCATATCTTTTGATAGAACAAGAGATATGCAACCTTGTTGTCCTTAATCGATGACTTATCGCTCTTCGATTTCGGTGTTGAGACACCATTCACCACGCTCGACCACTTCTTTCCCGGGCCGCTCGCCTGTTTCCAGCCTTCTTCGCCAGTGGCTTCATCCTCGTCATCAATGCTGGAGAACAGATTGCCTGATGACGGCTTGTCTTTGCGATGCTCCTGCAAAGCAGCGGCAAGCACCTTTGGATCTTCTTCGCTGCCTCCTTCAGCAACATCTTCGCTCCTCACCCGCCTGATGACGGTGTCATCGAGCCTAATCCATTCCCGCCCATCTTGTCTCCTAACATCAACAGTGTAGTGTCCACCGCTAGCATTCTTGCCGTGGTGATAGACAGCCGCAATCAAGCGGTATTTAGGAAGGCCTCTATGTGCATAGACGCTGCGCTTCTGCCGAGGGAAGACCTCTTTCGGAATCTCCAATTCTAGAGGATATCCGACGTTCTTCCAAATCTTCTGAGTACCGCCAGAGGAGTCGTACTGGAAGCGTTTGAGGTGAAGGATAAGGACCGATGGCAAAGTCTCAATGAAGACTTGCTTGGTCGCAGTGACATTAGGCCCCTTTGGAGACTTGAAATCCCCATGGAGGGCTTCAGAGCGTGTAAGGCCCTTCAGAGCGTCAACGATATTGTTTACATTCGGGGCTCCAATGTCAAGCTGTAAGGGCTGGTATGGCTCAAGAGTAACTGAGTCCTTTAAACCCGGAACTCGTAATTCTGATCTTAAGCTTCCTCCAAAAATCTTAGTAATGGGAGAACCAGTGATGATAGTTCCGGATGAGCGAGTAACGGCCGCCTTCTGCTTTGGTCCAACTTCCAGCCAACCATTATCTTTCTCCGGGAGAGTTTCGGTGGTATGAGCAACCTCGCTGGCTGGGGATGAAGGGCCATTGGTGGGCGTGGCAATGGCCGATGTTGTGCTTGAAGCGCTTGCCTTCATCACCTGGACACACTCATCATGGAGCCCTTCAAGTAAAAATCCTAGAAATTCTTCGGCGTCTTGCTGGTGGCCACGCTACAAGGAATTAGCACTCTGGATGACGAACAATGGCAGTTAACACTTACCCGCATGCTTGAGAATCTCGGTAGGGCTTTGATGACATCGTAAATAAAATCTGGCGTGAAAGGTTCGCCATACTCCTCTAGTTCACCATCCTTCAACCGCATCCGAAGTTTCTCAACGGATGGAGCAGAGTCGATAACAGGATATTCTCTCATGAACATGATCCTTGGTTTGGGTCAGCCTGTAGTGCCAAATGAGAGAGGGGCTACTTACATTGCATCAATCAATGGAGTTTCGCTTTTGAAGCTATAGGCTGCCCGATTAGAAACTTGGTCGAGGAAGGTATAGAACGGAGCACATGAGATGAGGACTTGTAGAACCTATATCGTATTAGCATGGACTTTGTCAAATATAGACGCGGGGGGGGGGGGGCTTACAGAATTCATATAGCACATATTACCGGTATTAATGAGGCCGCGGGGTTTTAAAAAGGCTACTTTCGAGTCGCTTGATGAGGGGCTATAGGACCTGAGCGCCTCCGCCACAGATTCGGCATTCGTTTTAGAAAAGCTGGTGACACTTGCGAGACCAGATTCAACTGTGGCAGAAGTATGAGCTGGTGCACCATCATTGAAAAGACCTGTCCAGAGCTTCGGGGTTGTCCAAGCCTTTGGCGGAGGCGTGATTGCAACATCATCGGTTAGCGTCTGCTCAATGGAGTCAGTAGTCTTGCTCTCATCGTCGCCGGCACCTGGAGTAATTGTTTGTAATTGTGCTTCCTCTCTAGGCTGCTCGGGGGTTTGCTTGGGGATATCTCGAGGAGCGGTTTTTGGTAATGCGGGAACTACTGGTACAGCTGGGGCTCTAGGTTTTTGCGAAGGCTTTGGTGCTACTGGTGTGGTATCTCCTGCAGCTAGAATGGAAGCATTGTTTATTGAAGAGGGCGTAGTAGGATTAGTCGAATTTGTTGCCTCCGAGTGGGGGTGGCTGGTCAAGGGTGTCTCGGGCCGGGCTGCTGCTGCTGGGGCGGATTCTTCGGTTTCATTCTCGTCCTCAGGGCGTGCACCTTGCTGAATACTAGGAAGTTCGACAGGTTCTGCTGAGAGCTCTGGGGTTTGTCTTCGTTTTCTGCGCGCCCGTCTCGCTGGCCAAGGAAGGTCGGGTCTTGAAAGCCATGGAAGCTGATCTACTATTAGCAATTGCCATGTTCAAGGGATTGTGGGAAATAAGAGACTCACCGGAGCTCTAAAGGTTTCTAGCGGGGGCTCTTGAGGAGGGGATGGTGCAACGCTCAATGTTGTGTGTGGGGTTGGGGGTGTCATCGGACCTGGGACGGTATGAGACGACCGGGTGGAAGATGGGGTTTGCGGAGGTGGGAGGCTATAGGGCGTTGAGACCGACGGCGATTGCTGAGGTCGAGGAGCTGGATGAGGTGGGGGAGCATAGGATTGCTGAGGCTGGGGCATTGGGGGATGAGCATAATGCTGCATTGGAGGTGGAGGAGATCGGATATAGGGAGGATATGGGTTGTATTGGTGTTGATGTTGATGTTGATGTTGATGAGGAAGAGCAGGGGCGTGGTATTGCGGAGGGATCTGCTGAGGTTGTGGGTAGAAATTCGGGTTGTATGGGTGCATGTACGCATTCGCATTGTACATTTGGTTTGGGGGAGGGTATTGCTGGTGTTGATGTTGGTGTTGGCCTTGGTGATTATGGTTGTGACTGTTGTGGCTATGATTATTATAAGGTCGCCGCCTCCCGACATCTGGCGGCATGCCTTGCCCTGCCGGCAGATGACGACTGTTCATCATACCGGCGTAGGGGTGGGGGAGAGAAAGAAAGTGGAAGATTCAGGTTCACTCCAACCAGGCGCGTCCGAAAGTTCGCTGAAGGGTCGCGTTGCGGCGTGCGGCTCGGGGTCTTGTAGAAGAGGGCGAGGAGTTCTCTAACACGGACGATATATGGCGCATAAATGCTTCCTAATGGGTTGTATTCGAAATATGCGCGGCGCGTCAGCGAGAGGGTGCTGCGGTCAACTGAGGGTGGGCGTTCTGTCGCAGATAATGTGTCGTGTGTCGCTATTCCAACACTCAACTATAAAAGCGCGGCGATGAAAGAACAGGGACCTATGGCTGATCCACTGAAGAATTACAGTGAAGACAATTGATCTCAGAGAAACGACACGTAATAACGGCGTTTTGTAGAAGCTTCGGTTTGGGGCTGAAGGCGACTTTGGGGGGAGGGAGAGTGCAAAGGTCGTCAACTCAGAGGATGCATCAAAGAATATCAAAGATGTTGCCGGCATAACGCCTCCGTAAAGCCGGGGTTCTGCGAACAATTCCTGGCTGCCTCAGGCCACACAATCCGATAACGAATCATCCATCGTCCATCATCCACCACTGTCGTTCACCCCTCCTCGCGCATCATCTGGAGGTGACTCGAGACTCTCGTTCTCTCTGTCGCTCCCGCCCAGCGCCATCTGGCGCCTGAATTTCTGCCAGAACATCAGCAATAACCATATCACCAAAGCCAGCTTTAACACCAACGTCCATATACTCGACCTTTTATCTCGAGTCCATTTCAAAACCGCGTTTTCCGTGCTCTGGTGGCATCAGTCACGCCAGTTCCTACACGCCAACCGCCACACAGAGGGCTCTATTGCGAAGGCATCTTCCTCTACGTTCAACGACCTTCAGGATATTGGGGACATCAAGGATAGCAAGGATAGCACAGCCCAACTGGCAGTGGCCGCCAGTATCTCGCTTTGGCCACAAGAGAACAGTGCACGTTGCTGTATGCCCGCCGTAGCACGAGTTGACCGAGGCTTCCATCGACACAACAATGAATTGTGCGCCATCTAACTCGTCGCTTTCTGGAGGGAAAGTGCCCAATGCTTCCTCGTCCTATTCTCCGCTTCAGCAACAACAACAACCCCAGATCACTGCCTCCTCCGGCTTCGATTCGAGCTCGAGGCGTTCAAACAACTATTCCGGTTCCGTGCATGCCACGGCCCGCAACAACCAAAGTTACAAGAAGCAGCATAAGGGTTCCAGAAAGGCTAGACTTGTGGGTGAGGATGCTATGACGGAATCCGTAAGCTTAGGCAATCATAAGATATGGCACGGGCTAACATCAGTAGGGAGCCATGAGAAACGCCAATAGCCGCAGGGGCCAAACCTCCATCACCCATCTCATGAATTTTACCCTTCCGCCCCGGCCACAGGACAACCGCAGCACCATCGCACGTGGAACCCGCCGTGGCAATATTTATGGGATTGGTTCAGGCCACCATTCCAGTGACAAGGCAAGGTATGTATTAGAAACAGATTTGAATTGGACTCCTGCTAATGATAGCAGATATATTCATGCCAACTATCGATTTATCGTTAAGCCTAACGGGGACTACAAATCCCAGGCCGTTAATGCTGATCAGCATCTGGATTGGAATGATGTCCTCCAAATTCTTGCATCCTCGGTTTCCCAAGAAGCATCATGCCCAATCTGTCTTTCACATCCGGTAGCACCGAGGATGGCGAAGTGCGGCCATATATTCTGTCTTCCTTGCCTCATCCGCTATATGCACTCCACCGACGATGTAAACCCAATTCCGGAAAAGAAAGCTCGGTGGAAGAAGTGCCCGATATGCTGGGATTCTATATATCAGTCAGAGACGAGACCCGTGCGGTGGTATACTGGTCAAGAGGGACCTCCTCCACGGGAAGGCGACGATGTTGTACTGAGACTTGCTATGCGGCAGCCAGGAAGTACTTTAGCCCTTCCGCGAGATGGGGCTGATGCTCTTGGCAAAGCGGAAGATGTTCCATGGTATTTTGCGGCTGAAGTTATGGATTATGCTCGAATCATGAAAGGTGGCGAGGAGTACATGAGGGAGCAATTTGACAATGAGATTGCGGAACTGAAGAGGCAAGAAAACGAAGATGAGTTGATGTTTGGAGAAGAGCCAGAGTGGACTAGGAAGGCTGTCAATTCGGTCAATGACGCCAAGGAGAGGATGCAAGGCATCGGGAATCCCCCTCCAGTGCCTAAACAGCCTGCTGAGAAGAAACCGAAAAGACAGCCTATTATCTTCAATCCCATCCAGGATGATTCCCCAGAAATGTATTTCATCCAACACGCTTCAAAGTCCGGTATCAACGTATCTTTTGATACACCAGATCCCTCCACCCCGGATGCCGCCTCTGCCGATCAGCAGGCGGTGCCCTCTGGCGGGCCTTTAAACACAGGTCCTCCAGCTGCCAATGATCAAAAGCAGCCTCCATCTCACCCAAAGGCGGCACAGTCTCAGACCTTGAACGAAGCCCATCACCCCGATTCTCCGTATTTCTTCTATCAGGCCTTGCTCCATTATTACCTTGCACCACTCGACATCCGAATCCTTAAATCCGCGTTTGGAAACTTTGCATCTTTTCCATCAACGCTTCTACCCCGCGTTGAGCGCATCTCTACTGGCCATATAATGGATGATGAATTACGAAAACGAACAAAATACCTTTCCCACCTGCCTTATGGTTGTGAGGTGGGGTTTCTTGAGTGTAATTGGACTGATGTGGTTGTTCCTGAGATCCTAGATCTGTTCAAGTCCGATATCGAGAAAAGAAGGAGGCGAAATAGAGAGAAGGAATATCGAGAAGAGAAGGACAGACTGCGGGCGGAAAAGGCGGAAGATGATGCGCGTTGGGCAAATGCGCGGAGAAGACGACCGAGCATACCCACGGAAACCTTAGCAGAGGGGGACTTTCATCCCTTGGCTTCATCGTCGCTTGACGCTGCAAATGCATCGCCGCCTTGGGATACGCGCCAAGGCTCTTCATTCGCGTCCCTGGCGTCCCCATCGACAAGCCCAAATGGCCGGAGGACGGTATGGGGAACCGCAATAATATCACCGACGTCACCGGACCTTCACCCTCAACCTGAGAATGATGCCGATGATGGATGGCTACATTCATGGGAGCAAGAGCTGCTCGCGGAGGAGAACAAGCTCATTGCACAGGTCCAGGCAACCTCGTTGATTGGCGAGGCGAGTGACAGCGCGAAGCCAGCTACAGGAGTAGGCGGACAGCAGGGGAAGAAAAAGAAAAAGAAAATCACACTGATGAGCACAAATGTTAGACGGGGGGCGTGAACATTCCATAGGCATATATAGCCCACGGTGCCGGCTTTCTAATTCGGCACAGAAGTCTTGATAAATGTTGATAAATCCCTCGCATAGTAGGATTACGCTAGGCCTGGACGTTGTGAAATGGGGAGGATCCTCCCCAACACCTTGTCAATGAACATCCTAACACCATCTACTTACCATCGCTCCACATTGTGTCGAGTAGATCTAGTGACTTTTTATATTATTTTGATATTTTCGCTTATGTCGTACGCCCCCCTTTCGGTTTCTGACTTCATCACTCTCCCAAATTGAATTTCTATAGAAAGATTTGGTCTACGACAAGCGTGGGATCAGAGTTGCAAGCATTATCATATGTCCGATCAAGTAGGACTATGGGTAAATTGATCTTCAAACTTTGACTAGGTCAGCAGAGAGTCAGTCATAGTCTCAACTAGCTCAGAATAGATTCATATTACGAAGCAGTGGTAGGAGCCCAGGATTGGAAATTCAAAGGAAAGAATCCTGGTTCGGAAGATTAAGTTTTAAAAATTTAAAGGACAAACTAGGTACGTATACATATTTTCAAAATTGAGAAGGGTAAATGGCCTAGGAAACTCATTTCTTCAATATCACATCCTGGAACCAATTCATCGCAACCCCATTCATCATCTTTAACGCCCCAACATGGCAATGCTCACCCGCAGCATCCTTGGCTGATAACTTCATCAATGCCGCCCTCTCTCCAAGCGCCTCCATAACCCGCTCCGGCTGACCCTTGAAGAACATATCCTCCTCCGCAAGTCCCACCAATATTGGGCACTGCACTTTGCTTTCCAGCCCCTTGAGGGTCATACTGCTAGTCTTGTCAATAAACTCCGAAATAGTGTTTGTGTTGAAACTCCATAAGCCCTGCTCAATACCCCACCTTGCTGCGGTAGGGAGGTGGGGGTTGGCCAACATCCCCCGAAATATAGGCTCTGCAGCCACAAAATCGCCATTATCGATAGATCCTTTCAGGGCTGGGCCGAGTACATTTAGGAAAGCTTCCGCGACATCATACACGCCATCAATGGCAAGAACAGCCGCAAGACGATGTTCAAAAGCTGCTGCTCTCACACAGAGAAAGCCTGCCATGGAAAATCCCACCAGTCCTACCTTCGTCATATCCACCTCCGGCAAGGTCTCCAAATAATCCACCACAGGTGTAACAACTTCCTCCCATTCAGCTATAAAGCCGAGCCCCTGACTTCGGAGAACGGTAGGTTGACCTGGTCCCTCATACGTGATGACATTCCAACCCCTTTCCAATGCTGCAAATCCGCAATTATGCAGCATCTCCTCCTGAGCGCCGTCATACCCATTCCCCAAAATAATAGTTGGCTTCTTCCCCTCGCCTCCGGCGCCGTAGAAAATAGCAGGCACATCAAAACCATCTGCTTTCAACGTCAATCGCTTAGCAGGGACTGGCAACAGCGCAATTGCTTTATCAAATGCGTATGTCTGCTTCTCCCACAATGCCATGATCCGAGGATCATCTTTCTTTCCATGCAGGTAGAAATCTGCAGAGCGGAAATACGTGGATGCTGCGAAATAGGCATCACGGGCTGAGATTGGGTATTTTGAAGAATCAATTGCTTCTCCACGAGCGAGGACGTTTTCTGCTAGGGAGTTGAAGACGGAATAGAAGCTTTCGAAACTGCCAGGTTCGATTTTCCCGGCGGCTTCTAAGACTTCGCCAATATCTGAGCCGTGATAGGGGGCTATGGCAAGCACGCGGAGGAGCTCGAAGTGGAAGGAATGGTCGGTGGATAGTTGGAGCATTTTGAGATATTGGATTTGTTGGATGGCTTATTTGTTGAAGAAGGGAGAATGATAATAGCTATTTGATGTGTTTATAGGGCTTTTTGGAGTAGAGTATTGCATAGCTACCTATATACATGAGGATACGACTCAATCATATGATGAAGCAATAAACCTACGCTGGTATCAGATCGTCATTTCGACGCCGGCGCTGCATGTCGCGCTTTCGGCACTGAAACATATATTCCGAAGCCCGAGCCCATTTACAGAATTCCAGTTTTACCAAATTATCAAGCAATAGGGGCCTAATAGCTGTGCCCTTTAGTTGTACTAAGCTAAATAGCTGTTACTGGCGCATACGACTTCGAACTAAGCAGTATTTCATACGGCCGTTAGAATTATTCGGGCGATGCAAGCCATCGAGCGCGAGGTTTGATACTATTATAGCCGCAATGCCGCCACTTAGTGCGCTACATCGCTGTTATTAATTGCGGGGTTTCCAACTACCACTCCTCAGGGGTAGCATACGGCCTTAAGGTGCACACTAAAACGTTTCTTCGACATCATAAGGTTTAACACAGAATCTAATTTTATTTCAATAATAAATACCGTTTTTAGATATTTAACTGCGCTATTACCCTCTAAAACAGATAGAATAAAAATATCCTAATACGAGAGCATTCAAAAATGCTGCTATCTCAAGTGTCCCAACTCCAACTCCTAATCCCATAGATATACACTGATAGAGAGAGCATTGCCACATCCCTTATTGATTAATTAGGATATCGAAGGATCATAACCTTGGAACATGAGGCTCCTAATAATTTCAAAGAAAAAGAGGCTAGGTACCTACCAGTCTGGGGACGTCGCTGCAGCGTGATCACTGAAGAGCCATAAGTTTCAGACGGCCTTAGTCATAATGCCAACCTCAATTCTGCAAAATGCTATTATCCATACATCTAAATTCCCCCCAAAAGAGCGCTTTGCATAGAAGAATACAACAGAGCCAGATATTCCATATTAGTTTAAACTCCTCCTTGAAAACTATCTTGAAAATATCTAGGAGAGGTACAGCGTACGGAAAAGATCTATTGGAAGCTGTTTTCTGATGGAGCTTGCATGATCATACGCAGATACCAACCTCAGTCGTATTGATCGGCATCATCTACAGCAGGCCGATAAGCCCTCTGGGGATTATGAGTGTAGCCTGGACTCTGAGTTTGAGGTTGTCCAAACTGGCCGCGAGGGTCACCTTGGCTGTAATTTTGCTCGCTATAGTCAAAGGGGCCTTGGGCCGATGGGGCCGCTGTCCCTCTGGGTGGGGTTTGCTGGGACAGTGGGAAGGCGGGCGGCTGGTCAAGCCTTGACGAGGACCGTTGCGACAGGCCTGGATTCTGAGGGAAAGGAGCTGGTTGGTAGGGGCTGCCCTGATTGTGCCCTACTTGTGGGCCAGGTACGAACCGTGCAGAACCGTCTTGGGGCTGAGAATACCCGTGTCCGCCCATTTGATTATAGTCAGGTACACCATGTACACCTGCTCCTTGGCTATAACTTCCCGGTATACCTCCATAGAAATCTGGGTTATCATTCGGGGGGTTTCGGGGGGCAGAGAACTTCGTGTTCTTCACGTAATCAGCACGCTCTCCAAGCATATGTGCAAAATCCGCATCGGCCCAACCCTTCGCTTCCTCCATGTATCTGTCAAACGCTCTAGTTGCCAGTTCGACTTTCTTGAAATTGTCGGCATCCAAAACCGGCGCATTGGGCTTTGACTCAGGGTTGTTTTTAAGTAGCTCGGCGTTGTCCATTCTATTTTTATGATACGCAAGAGATGACGCAATCTGAAAGGCGTTTCGTATCTGCCTGCCATTCCACCTCCCGGCGGACTTGGTGTTATCAAAGTGTGACTCGGCAAATTCCAAGATCTTGTCCTCCTGGATTAGAAGTGGAGCCTCGCCGATGAGCATGCTCCGTTGATTTTCAATTTCTTTGAGCCTCTCGATATTCATCTTGAAAATCTGTTTCGCCTGTACTTTTTCAAGTGGGGGGTAATACAGACTCATGTGAATTCGGGACTTGAACGCTTCATCGAGTGTTCCGACTCGATTTGTCGTTAAAAATAAAATTCCGTTATAGTATTCAAGCACACGTAAAAATACTATGAGTTGGTAAGCCGGCGTTCATCAACATCCAAGTGCTGCCTGAATTCTGAAAGAGATCTATACGAACCTGAGACCAAGGCATTCCGCTTCAAGTCGAGTCTCGACCGTTGGGAGAGAAAGACATCGGCCTCGTCGAGCAATAGTACACAGTCCCAAAGATGGGCCAAACGAAACACTTCGGTTAGTGAGGATTCGACTTCCGACGGTGTGAGCCCAAGGTCACCACAAGTAATAGAGAAAAGTGGTTTCTGGTTTTCCAGAGCTACTGCTTCCGCCGTGGCTGTCTTCCCCACGCCAGGTACTCCATGCAGGAGGATAACTAGCCCTCTGCCCTTCCCCTGAATGAGATCCTGACTCAACCCCTCCGTAGAGATGCTATTATATCGCCTTTCGAGGTCCTTCTTCACAAAGTGCGACCCCACTAGCGCTTTCACGATATCTTTGTATTCTCTGAGAATCTTGAGTCTGCTGAAAACATCCCGTTGTTCTGAAATTGGTCTCAAATACCGAACATCTAGTAGAACAAATTTTCGTTCGCGGAGAACATAGGCAAAGAGCCGGCTAGGGAGGAGGATAAGGTCATCGTCGCGGAGTTCCACGGCTGCCTTCTCTCGTCCGCTTGATGATTGTGTCTTGCACTGGTTAAGAAACTCATCCTTGTCAAGATAATATTTTCTGTCCCACATGGTAACTCCATCATTCTCTTGGATGATTTCAATAGTCTCTGATACTAGCTTGCTCCTACTAGAATCAGCCCATAACTTGATAGCAAATTCGTCATGGTCAGTTGGCCAATCATCGGTATAGGCTGCCGGTTGGTGGAACTGAGGCCTCCATGATGGGTACGTTTGAAATGCTTCGACGAAGTCGACGATGACGTGACTTTCGACGAACTCGGGGTGCTTTATCAAATCGCCACTGTCGTCCTCGATAGACTCCCCGGTAGGATTGGAGGTGAGCGTCCATCCATTGTAGGCGAGGTGCCTTTTATCGAGGCATTCTTGGAAAAGCTTCCCATGCTTTCTAAGGTCCACAAGAATTTGTTCGTGATTTTGCTCGTATCTAATAGGGTAGCAATCTAGCAGCCTGATATCCTTTTCACCTTCATAGCGGCGGATGCCAAACGTTTTTTTAACAGCACCGTATGAGACCCCATCGAAATCAATGTAGTAGACCCACACTTTAAAATCATTAATACTGTCATTGATACCATTGTCGTAGTCACCTGCAAGAGGCTTGGATTTTATCTCAAGAGAAGGATATTCATGGCGATCGTCTGGGTTATTGACCGTATATACCCTCCATACCGTTTGATACATACCTAAGTTATAAGTTTAAGGTTAGCCAAATACCCCAAAACTACATACTACTTAGCTAGTTTGTAGTCTCACAACATACCTCGCTGTGAATTGACGGCATATCTTTGTTGTGATTTTTTGGTCGTCCCTACATGTGAATTCTCAGCGCCAGGAGGCGCGAAGATTATCTCCCCTGTCCTAAAAAGTAGCCACAAGTCATCGAACCGGATGGTTTGACGAGTGGTGCCGTCAAACAATTGATAGAGAGGCATAATTTCCTTGTCAATGAAGTTGATGTAGCACCGCATATCTCTCAACGCCTCTATGCTATCCATTATAGAGTCGAGAGATTCATCATCGTAATGATCAGTATCCTCAGCACCAACGCCATCCTCAACTTTGCTTTCGGCTACCTTGCTGTCAGAGGAGGCTTCGGCCTCATTTCCTTCAGCAGACGGAGTATTAATAGCCGCTGCTTCTTTGGCGGAGGCTGCGAGCTCAAGTTTCTCAGCCTCACCCCATTTAGCTTCCAGCTCGCTCAATGCTTCTTTCATCTTCGGCTGGAAGTAGATGAAGACCCTGAAAGGCCTGAAAAAGGTACGCGGCTGTTCCACCGTCCATGACTCTCCTACGACCTTGGCGAGATGGAGAAGAATAGGCTGGGATTGAATACGGACACGCTGGATCCAACCGTCATCATGTGTCACACTTGGTTCAGTCTGCGGAACATCATCTTTTTTGGCTTTTGGGCGCTCTCGGTGATTTCCCCGCGTGAGTTGCTCTCGTCGAATATCATGGTTGAGGTCAGTCTTGGCAAATAGAACATCTATTGCGTAGTGACTATCCTTCTCGCAGTAATGGTTCTTGAAGTTTTCAAAGTTAACTTTTCTGATCTCTGGAATTGCTGGAATCCTTGGTTTTCGTTCCGGGATGGAGGACATCTCACTGTTCGCATCATCCTCACTCCTCGCATCATCGTCTACCATCCGCTCGTCCTTGGTGTCCTTGGGGGCTACCGTGGCAGTTTGATTATCATCTTTTGTGGAATTGTCTGCTGAAGACTTTTCGGGTTCCGGCTTTTCAAGGGAGGGGCTGGGGTCCGATTCGGGTTGAACAGTGGTTCCATTGGGACTCGAAGGCTGCTCTCCATCAACAACAATCGCAACAGCTTCTGTAGCTGCGTCCTGCCCTGCACCACTTTCGGATGCTGATGGAGCTGAATCAGAGACAACGGTCACTGGTTGCCCCATCTTAAGTGAAGCTTTGACATCGTCTAGAGCTGGAGGAGGAATGGGAGCAGGGACGAGCTAGAACATAGGTCAACTGTCAGCCTGATTCTATGGCGTGGATCTTAGGATAAACTTACAACTCCTTCCATCGCCGCTCTGCTTCGATGCTGGAGAGGAAGAGATTGTCACGGTACGCGAATTGAAAGCTGGCTTGTGTATAGATTCTGTGTTTAATGGGAATGTTGACCTAAATAATGAATAATCTCTGGTCAGTAGGGAACCGACCGTCATATAATCAAAGCTCGGTCCTAATTATGGACCAGGCTGGCGCTCAGCAAGCATACGAATAGCTTTAGCGGATAGAGCCGCCTCCGCCGCGCCAGCCCCCACCATGTATACAGGGTTCGGTGTGCTTGAACTGGTGCACAGTGCATATGGCTGGCCCCGACGGCAGCAACAGAGAGGGGTCGGCGGCTCCGAGCCTCGAGGACGGGAAGCCAAGCAACCAACGTAGTATAACATAGCGAAATATTCGATATAATTGTTTGGTATCCCGACTGGCTGGTTACTGACCATATGGTACCGAGGAATGCCGTGTAAGTGCTATGTGCGAGGGCTGTTCCGTGACTTGCATGGGGAAGCTCTAGATCCTCATAACTAACAAAACTAATTAAATGAGCGGATTGTCGCCCAGCCCATCCAGGGCTCGTGGTAGCGAGTGTTTTCGAGGGAGTCGAGTGGTAGTTTCTACCAATCAGGCCACCACACGTCGGGAGCTGAGACGCACAGCGTGGTCTAGTGCTGACAGCGCGCCTGCAGGATTCCTGTGGCAATCCGCGAAGGCAATCCGGAAGAATGGTATTGTTAGCCAATCGTCCGGATAGATGAAAGTCAATTAGGTAGCCGCATCCATAAGATAAGGCTGGGCTCCAAGCGGAATCGCATCATCACCGTTGCGAATGCTCACCACTCTAGAAAGTCCTGCCCACGGAATAGTGCTATGATGCTGGAAGCAGCCTATCGACCCTGTTATTATCTTCAGCCAGTGATCTCTTGCTCAACCTCAAACTCCGACGACTAATCTCAAGTGCGAATTGCGAAACTTTGAGAATGGAAACTGATATCGTAACATTCATAGGCACCGAGGCTCCTAAAATTGACCCCGCCTTTGGAGTTCCATCGCACTATGACTATCAGCGGGCGACGTTTGGTCCCCGTAAACCTCACCAGTATGTCGAAACTTCTACATAATAGATTTGCCAACCCCTAATTGTGATAGTGACCTTGAGGAAGCCTTGCTGCAATACAAGAAGTTAAAACTCACCCCAACTCTCGATTTTGACGTGGAGAACTGCTCGTGGGAAGACGTGTTGGATCAAATGACGAAGGTTAAAGGGGATTATGAAGATAGGGCCAACGGCTTGAAAAATACCTTCCGAAAAGTGTGGAGAAAGATGGGGGATGGAGATATACTCGGAAATATAAATCCTTTGCTTGACATGATTCCAAACCAGTATGGACTCAGTGTTCTGCGAGGAGGCTTGGCTTTCATATTCTATGTGAGCAACTTCCCAAAGCAACCATACGGACCGCCGATTCCAATCGGCTGACTTGATACCTCCGAATAGCTTGCAAAGAAAGCAGCAAAGAAACGCGACAAAATTTTCAGCGCGTTCGAAGACATTCCCGATGTTATAGCTAGAGCGATGGCTAAGAGGGAACTTTTTCCTTCTCACAAACGACTAAGAGAATGCTCAGACAAATTATATTCAACTCTCCTGCTAGCAATCACGCACCTGATAGGATATTTGCTTCCAAAGCAGGGTAAGCCAATAACCCAACCCAAAACTGGCAAAGCAAATTTAACCATTTTGAAGCCAAGCAAATATTCCAGAACTTCAAAGAATCGCTCTCAGAAACAGAAATAGATGGAATATTAGGGAGTGTGAGTACAGATGCCGCAGCGCTTTCTCTGTGTGCCGAGGGTCTCCTGGAAGCTGCAGCCGTCGAGACAAATACGTTTACCAAGAAGGGAGACCTCCAACTTCAAGCAATACGTATGTCTACAATAGATAATGGAATCAAAACTCAAGCCGTAGGCAGGCAACTGGGAGGAGTTGAAGCTAGAGTGGAAGCATTACAACTAGTGCCGCAGAAACTGGACGATATGGACCGAAAGATCGACGAACTCAAGCAAAGGGAGAGCGCTATTGTTGCTGAAGCCACTGCTTCCGGGATCAATGGAAAGAATGCACTGGCCAGGTTCCTGGCTGATGTATGGGCAGAACGGGAAGGTAAAACGATCACCCTCAAAATCTGCAAGCCAAATATGCTCATATTTTGATAGAGCGCCAGATGCGAGAACTCGAATTAGAAGAAAGAATACTTGATCTGGAACGATCCCGAACACCATTGCCACCCTCTACTGCTTTCATAACACTGCCTCATCTGCTGGAGGTCCTCGCAGTCCCCCTTGAAACTTCAATAAACGACTTGGAATCTACGCTCAGGCAAGGCAGGGAGTTTGATATGGCGGCCCAGGGGCAGTCACGCTGGCTTCTGCAGACGGAGCAGTTTCGCCGATGGTTCTCCTCGACTCGTTCAGAGCTCCTGTTAGTTGACGGCAACACAGACTCTGCAGACCCAGGAAGAATCTCGCCTATGGCTTTCCTGTCTGCAACACTCATTGCCAGCATCCTAAAAATGCAACCGCAAGCTATTTCACTCTATTTCTTTTGCGGCCAGCATACGTCTCCAAGTGACGTTTTGAGGGGACCAAACGGATTGATGAGGAGCCTTGTGACCGGAATAATTATAGAACTCCGGAGACGAGGAGCGCTTAGCCTTGATTTCATAAACTCACGCCCTTACAGGGAGGCGCTTGAACGACAGGATGCACTAGCAATCTGCGTCACTTTTCAGCAATTGATCAAGCAGCTCCCGCTCGAGACACCTGTCTATTGCATTATTGGCGGTATTTCATGGCTCGAGAAACAAGAATGGCTAGATGACCTATACCGTGTTGTCGACAAGTTCCAGGAACTGGTCTCGGACGAGCATCTCCGGCCAAACTTCAAGGTCTTGATGACGAGTCCGCACAGGAGCAGATTCATCTACCGGAGAGTTTCACCTCAGCAGCGCGTTTTCCTGCAGACCGGCCTGATTGATAATGGCCTCACTTCCGAAAGATTCCTCTTAGCGGGTATGCGCCGGCCCGTATCTCCTGGGCTGGCCCAGTTTGTTGGTCGCCACGAGGCAGACTCCAATGATGATGAGTGGGCAGCCGACGACTACAATTGAACCCACTTCGCCCTGCTGCCTTAGTTTCACTTGCAAACCGACAAAAAGTTGGATAAGAGATGCTGGTAAAACGTCGTCATGGATCTTCCGTTGTATAAAGATGCCTAAACGCAGGGACCCAAAGCGGTTCCGTTAACGATAGTTCTAAAGTTTGATGTCCTGTTAAACCGAGATGTCTAGGACCCAGCTAGAGGCAAGTGTCACTTTTGATATATCCCTGGAAGTCAAATAATGCAGGCCAGCCACCCGCATCAAACGATAGGCTTTAGTTATGTGTTGATGCACAGGAGTGATAAAAGAAGGAGTACGAAGAGAAGGTTTACAATGCTGCAAGCAGATGCGAGGAACAGATAGAATCAAAACAGCGAAGTAGTCTAGTCAAAGGTGAAAACGAGGTAGAACGAAGAATAAATACAAGCCCCGCAGATAACTGTGCCATGTTGCAAGATATATGTGCCTTAAGAATGAGCAAAAGAGAAAGACTTATTAGATAGTTCTCGCTAGTTGCGAAGTTCGATAACACTTGTAAAACTAAGCTCTACTGTACTCTATACGCTGTTGGTAGTTGGTTGGCAATGTGGAAGCAGACGGGTTGGGAGACGTCTGCTTGGCTGTCCGCAACTATCGTCTTCAGATTCATTTACTACTGCGGAATCGTATTCTTTATAACGAAGTTTTTGACGCCATATTGACTTGTAAAGCAGGGAAGCTCCAGAAAAGGATATTCTTTGAAGTTGAGAGAGAGGTTGGCGCTGGTTTTGATTGCCATCAGGAGGTTCGTCACAGGTCGCTGGAGATCTCCTACCAATTCGGGTGGTCGTGTTATAGCGGCGTCCATACCAACCCAAAACAAGGCTTCCGTCCGCCTCCACTCTGCGAAGTACGACGCGCAATCAAGTACTTCGAAGCTTCGGGCGTTTGTTTACCACTTGAGGCTTTGGGATCACCCATCGATACTGTGCATTCAATATTGCCATCCAGCAGGATGTCCGACTCACCTGAGCCATCCGAGCCGGAGCATCAAAGCAAACGTGCCATGTTGGGAGCGTACTTGTGAGTACCTTTATTTACATTCGTTCTCTCATCGGACGGAAGCTAGATCCTGATTCTTTCGAGGCACGACGGATGGTCCAAAGGCAAGGAAAGAAGCAAAGACGAACTGCTCAAAGGCAAACTCGCCCTCCAACACTCCCTCGGGCTCGGCGCAAAACCAAACATTATACCGCCTGGCGAAGCCCGTGTCGATGGAGACCTGCGCACAGTCGAGATAGGATGGCATCCTGTCGCGGGCATGGGCGGGAAATGGTTTGCTGAGAAATCCGGTGTGGGGGAGTTGATCACCAAGAACATCGGCGGATATCCCGACCCGACACAACATTGGGCTGTCCTCGTTGGGGGGTACGTTCACCAGCTTTGGATGGACGAGGAGCTTGATGTGATCTATATCAACGAGGAACTTGATCGAGAAGAGTGGCATACGTTTGAGGTTGGGGGGACGAGGTTTACGGACGAGGCGCTCAGGCAAGCCGGTCAGTATGTGTCGATATTACCCTGACATACTGGTCTGAAACTGTGTCGTGCGTTCAGGCGAAATGGTGATCCACAACATGAGGGAGAAACGACCCGCATACAATGTGATCAGCAACAACTGTCAAAATTACGCAGTCCTTCTACTTGACGCTATACAGATCGGAGCGCACCAGGAGTTTGCAACAAGTTTTGCTGTATATCAAGCAGCTACAGGGGCTGGGACGATTAAGGACCTCTTCGCCGATAAACATCCCGAGGAACAGAAGCCTCATCCGGAACGACCAGAACTTCATCGAGTAGATACCGTGCAGAATGCTCAGCAGGTTATGGATGAGAACACCACGAAGCTAGACAACCATCGTTCGTTCTTCTAGGGAGAGCCATCCGCCAAATTATGAGTCTGGCTACTTCCTATATACCGGCGGTCGATATACTTCGATAGTAGTTCTATGGCCCACTCCTTTCTTGATCAGCTAAAGCTTAGCTACAGTTACTTGTTATGTTTGGGTAGCGCTTAAGATGCAAGGCTTGAAAGGACGTCGCTGCATCAGGCGGGGGTATCCTTCATTACACCAAACAGCTTTATAGTATGAAGTGTTTGCTGGCGGGTGTCTAGAGTTGGGGGAAATGGTAATGATCTATCTCCACCTAGGTATAGATACTATACAAACCTCTAGAAACCAAACATCGCGTTTGTCCTTCTCCTTCTCCTTCTGTCACCTGATTTAATTGCCCAATGCGGCCATTAGTGTCGCCCCACCAGGTCGGCATCCTTTTTCTGTTTTTACCACCACTCAGAAGCCCGGTAGAGACCCTGTGCGCAATTTTACCGAGGATTTCGTACTGCGGGCCAAGGAGATCCGGAGATAAGGCGACCAGAACGGAGAAAACCCCGGACCCCACATACGTCATTTGGCGGACAATTACTGGTGACCTGGAGTCCTCGAGTCTTGGTCGTAGCCTCGATGTACGAAGTCCTGTACTCGACCACTAGTGTCGTGCTGGTACTGTACTCTATTCTTGAAGTATACCTTTCTTCCAATCTCCAAGAGTAGAAGCAATATCAAACCAATATAAAACCAATATTGCTAATTGCTGACCTCTCTATGGCGGGGGTTCGGAACTATTGTCGTATTGTACTAGGGGCTGTGGCCTTGAAGGCGGAGGGATGACCCTACTCCGTAATCTGATAAGTCCCCGGCCTTGGCCCAACCCCACGACCAGCACTCCGGAACTGCCTACGCTATATGCCGTTACACCCTACCAACCGGTTTTCGTACTACCACTCACTAATTATTATTATCATGGTCTTCATTTTCGCATCGCCTCCCACACCTCCACCTACCTCCTTCAAGCCCTGATTTTATAGATGCCCTCTTATCCCTTGGCCGTAGCATTCCTATATTATTATTTCATCCCTTTTCTACTCGAAAAACCTCATCCGCCGCATGTGCCGCCAAGTTACACTTCACACAGCGTTCTCCACCCAAATCCATATCAAAAAGTCTATCTACCAACAAATCGCCACACAAACAACCGGCCGCATCGCCCGCTATGCCTATATTTCGCATCGAATAGGCACGATATCCCAATCGCCTATTGACGCCCATCGAGGGCCCGCCTGGCTCCTGGCGGCAGTCATGATCCGACTTCCTCTCGTCCCTTAGATGCCGAAGGAAGAACAACTCAAATCCAATGCCCTCAATCAACTTTCTCAACCGCCGTGCGGAGTGGGTTTTTATTGCGACAACCACGACCTTTGCCCTCTCAACCCTCTTCGTTGCAGGGAGGCTCATTAGCCGCTTCTTTATTCTCAGGCATAGAACCGCGGATGACTGGTGGATGATATTGGCTTGGGTGAGTGGGCAACGGGATACCGATCGGCAGGAGCCGCAAGAATACGGAGCTGATGAATTACTAGTTTCTCGCTTTCGGCCTGTCTTTCTCTATCGATTATAGTACTACGAAAGGATTAGGGCGACACGATAATAATATTTCGACGTCAGATGCACTTTCCTTGCGAAGATGCGAATATGCGTTCACTATTCTCTATGTATGTACTATTACTATACTATATAATTCGGCCACTGACTTTCCTAGAATCCAGCCTTGATGGCAACTAAAACCTCTATCCTAGTACTCTATCTCCGCCTATCGAAAAACAGCCAGCGTGTGCTCCGGTACGCCTCATATGCGACGTTGGGGGTGGTCAATGTAGCTGGAGTAGTGTTGACCTTTATGAACGCTTTTCAATGCAGACCTGTTACTGCAGCATATAAACCCTCGGAAAGTGCGCAGGAATGTATATCTATCGTTACGCTATACTTATGCTCAGCTCCTGTCAACATCATTACGGATCTTGCCATTCTGGCGCTCCCAATACCTGTCCTCACAGGAATGCGGCTGCCGCAGAGGCAGAAGACCATTCTTGTTCTGACCTTTGCACTGGGTATCTTCGTTACAATCGTTGACGTCCTTAGGATATATTACCTTCAGGATGCTATATCTAGTCAGGTTAAGGGGACTGGAAGGTTGGGCACCTCGCCGAACTTTGCATGGAACGTTAGCACCGCACTTGTTTGGTCTACTGTCGAGGTAAATGTTGGAATTATATGCGGCTGCGTGCCCACACTGAAACCTCTTATCAAACGCATCCTACCGGCAATGATTACTTCCAAGTATGGCACCAGCAAAAGCGGTTCCATGTCTTCTCAACGCCACAATGAACTTCACCAGGGTGCGTCCATTCCCGAACCAGAATCGGGAATCCAACCACCGTCTCGGGCGCAAATCCCGAGTCGTCAGGAAGCCGAGATGGCCATGATGGATTTCTTAACTGTCCCCGAAACGATGCCAGATATAACACGGCCCCGGTCTCCCTATGAACAGGAACCTCAAAATGCCGTTTACTTTGGCTTTGTCAATATGCAGGTACCTAAGAGCATGCTGAAAACTAAGGGTATGGACTCGTTCAAGTACTGCGCCACGGTCACAATTCTGTTCTTCCTTTGGGGTTTCTCCTATGGGCTACTAAACACCCTGAACAGCGAGATCTCCAAAATTGCCGATCACACTACCAGCCAGACTCTGGGCCTCAGTACAGCGTATTTTGGGGCCTACTTTTTTGGGGCGATGACAGTTGGGCAATGGACTCTTCGGCATGGTGGCTTTAAGGCAACTTTCATTAGTGGCTTATGTATATATGGCACAGGGACGTTGATGTTTTGGCCCTCGGCGGTATTGACTTCCTTCCCTGGTTTCCTCATCTCAAATATTGTCGTTGGATTCGGTTTATCGGTACTCGAAACTGCTGCGAACCCATTCCTTGCACTTTGTGGACCGATACAGTACGCCGAGTTACGATTACTCCTCGCACAGGGCGTCCAGGCGATCGCGACTATCCTCAGCCAGCTTCTAGCGGAAAGAGCTCTATTCAGTAGTATCTATAGCAGCCCCAGTTTGATCGATGTACAGTGGACCTACCTTGCGATCACACTCTTCACCGTTGCCCTTGCGCTATTCTTCTACTACATGCCCCTTCCCGAGGCCGACGATGCCGAATTGCAAATGCAGGCCGATGATCTCGGAATCTACTCTTCAGAGACCTTCTTCGGCACCTGTCTTCGTCTAATCTACATGACCCTCGGCCTCGCTATTTTTGCACAGTTCTGTTATGTCGCTGCCCAAGAATGCATGTCTGTATGGTTTACCGAAATGCTCACTGAAATATCTCCCGCGTCAAGTCTAGCCGTCCTGCCTAATAACTACGTTCTCATTGGGCATACCACCTTCGCACTGGGCCGCCTCTTCTTTGTCCCTCTATGTCTATTGGTCCCGCCCCGTATCCTGCTTCTCGTCGCCTTCATTGGATGCCTCGTCTGCTCTAGCCTCACAATGGCACTGGATGTCTCCGCAAACCGAATCGCGGTACCTTCCTTATTATTCTTCTTCTTCGAAGGTCCAATCTGGCCACTGATATTCGCAATTGGCCTGCGGGGCCTAGGGGGCAAGACTAAATTTGGCGCCGGCTGCCTCACAGCAGCTGCAAGCGGCGGTGGCATATTTCCATTTGTTATGTACGCCGTGCAGCAGATCCAAAACAAGAGCATTCAATACAGCTACTGTGTTATCATTGCATTATTTGCATTCGGCATGCTCTTACCCCTCTACTTGAATTTTGTCCCCAATGCAAGAGCACAAGTCGACCCTTATAAGGGTGCGCCTGGGACACGCACTCGGAAGTTGAGTCGCCCGTTCCATATTCTTTCTAAGCAGGTCAGCTCTGCCACCAAAACCTTTTGGCTGCAGACTTCCAAAGCGGAGGGATAGTCGACGACTAGCAACTTTAGGGAATGAGGGGAAAAAGCACGAATCATGACTCCCTAACTGGGCTCTTATATGCTATCATCTGGCGTTTTAAGGGGGGTATTGGGTAGGCACTCGGGGGGTTACTATACAAGCCAAAAGTCACATTGGGGGGAAGCCCCTTGTCTCACGGCCATAGGGGGGACGCGACTAGGGAATTATGGAGTTTATAAAATAAGGGGAGGGGGGGGGGGCAAAAAGATTTACAACGAAGATATGTCGCTTGCTTGTCTTATATACCCAACATGATATATACCCATAGTTTATAATCTTTCGAACATGGTTTTGACTTTTGATGCTTGCTGGTATTTAAGTTAAGATTATTGTTCACATAAACTGCTTCTCTTAACAAGCTACTATGCCTTTACTCTCATTTCTCCCTTGAGTGAACAACCAGGACCTTTTTTTGCCCCATGTTTGACATCCCGTCACGTAAACAGCATAGTAGCAACTACCCCCCTATTTAGTTTCTATTTCCCGCTATTTATTATCCCTTCTTCGTATCCAATAATAGGTAATTTCGTGATTTCTGTGACCTTGCGGATATCTATGCTTAAGTTCTACAGTAACCCTTGAGTATATTTCTATCTTTCTATAGGCATGCTGATTGAAGTACGTTTGGGATATTACGTTAATTACCTAGGGTTAATCATCCCTTCAAGTTCATACTATGCAGGCTCTCTGGTAGGCTTTGAAAGATTATTCACGTTTATGACCGATTGAATGCCTTCACTTGTCCCTACTACGACTCCACTACACTTCTCTTAATATTGAAGATTTCCCCGCAGCCGCTGGTACTCCCTCTGCGTAACCGGCTCATATTTTACGGGATTGCTCTCCGTCACACACTCAGGCATGCATTCGATAACTGTATCGCCATCCGGAGCAACGAAATACGGGATCGAATACCTAGCTGGTATCATACGCTCTGGGCCAGTGAAGCGATGGTCAGCAGGCGGGGCCGTTACGCGATGGAGCGTTGACTTCAGCCAGTCTGTCGCAGATGATTAGAATGTCAAGTAATCCGGGGCAGTAGTAACTAATATAATGAACCTACCATTGCTCCACCTCATCAACAAATCCCCAACGTTCACCACCATAGCATGTTTAACAGGCACCACCTTGACGAACTCTCCGGGAACAAACTGATTCTCAACCTCTAAACCACCACAATCGTCCTGGAATAACAGTGTTATGGAGCCCCAATCCGAGTGTGCCGGCATTCTTGCATGCGAACCGCTCTCAAGGTGCGCCGCGGGAATAGGGGGATAGTGCAGGAGCCTGAGCTGATTGTTATGGCCAGAATGAAACTTGAGCAGCGATTCGGGGACCTTCAAACCCATGCCAGCTGCAATTGCTGTGAGGACCTCGCGCGAAGCTTTGGAGCACTGCCAGTAGAAAGATGTCATGAATTCGCGGAACCCAGGGAGTACGGGTTCTGGGAGCCATATATTTGGTTGCTCGGCGTTCTCTTCGCTCCCGACTTCGTAGCTTTCCTACAGCACCATTCTAAACTCGAGCTCTGCGTGCGTTGGTATGCAACCTACCTTACAATCCACCACTGCCCTCAATTTCTCGCCGACCTGAGGGTCCGTACTGATGACCTGCGAAACCTTCTCTAGCCCTGGCCAGGAGTATCCGCGATGCACTGTGGGCCCATCCGGGTGCGGAGCTAGCATCTTCTCCTCGTTCGTTAGATCAAAGAGGCGTTTTGTCCAGCCGAATGCTTCGTCTAGCAGGGCAGGAGGGATGGCGTGGTTGATGATGGATACGAATCCTACGTTATGGCACGCATTTGCAAGTTCTTTGGCAATGGCTGCTCGTTCTTCGGAGGAGCTCTGAGGAGTCCATGTTGAGAAATCGACGATGGGGATATTACCGGTGGAGGAAGCCATTCAGCTGCGGTCTCTAGCTACTAGGTAGCTTCAATGGTGGTGATAGTAGCTAGGGAGTGCGTGCAGGTAAGTGGAGACGCTGGCATGTTGTGAATTTAGAGTGATGGTGCGATATATTTAACGATACAGTAGCCGTTCGTTCATTCCTTCATGTGCAGGACTTGTTACACAACCTCGAGAACCTCCTCCACAGCTTGGAAGGAGGGGGCTGGAGCGACAACATCAGCAAATCTTATCTACTTATCTACTGTAGGCATCGGAGCTGACCTCGCGGGGCGGTTCCACGGATATCAAATAAATACGACATATGCCCCACACATACGTGTGATGCCGGATGCCGCATGGCTAAACCCTGAAACGCTGAGATTTCCTCGAACCTTCATGCCGGATTCGAAACCGGGTTCTTGTACGCATCTTGACAACTGCTGTTGTGTCATGCAGCCAACCTAATGCAACGATTATCGATTATCGACTGTCGCAGTAGCTGATTTCGAACGAATTGATGCCCATCTCTACGGAGTAAAGACACCATTTTCAGCTGTTCTGTGTGTCGAATTTCCACATCCCACCAGGACGGGAGGGATTGTCCGATCGGGCATTCTTTAGTGAGGGATCAGCGCCAGCGTTGCCCTGTTGATCAAGAGTTCTGCAAACGGAGCTCAAGACTTTGAGTCTGGAATCACTTTTGGAAGAGTTGCCCCTTGTTCTCGGGACGAATTCTCCCTTGTGCTGACGCTGGCGGCGTGTGCATGGCCGATGGTGCATGTGAGCCACGATGGACACCGGGAGAAACCCAAGCATTGGCGTTGGGGCGAAGCAAGGCTGCCTATCAAATGATGATGCTCTGCGACTCTCTGGCAGCCCAGCAGCCACGGAAGAAGCTGTACCGGACTGGCCAGCCAAACCGAGCTACGTAATACCCAGGCGGTCAGACAGAGAACCGGCCTGGCTGCTGGGCTGCTGCCATCGTCAGCCACAATCATGTTGCGGCTTCTGACTTCCTTTCAGCCCTCGCACTTTTCCGTCCACAGCTATATCTATAACTACGCCCTTAACTAAAACTGCCGCCGCTGCTGCCATACCACCACCACTGAAGACCGATCAAATAACCTCCACCTCCATACATACCTTACCACCTAAACCTATCGATCAATTCGCGATGGGTGTACTTATTCCCCGCAGAACGTGCACTACTTATCGTAATGGGTATGTCCTCCCTCTATCGCACTCCCTCGTCCTTAGACGCTGTCCTTCAATGTCCTAACGCGTCCTCGCAGATATCCATACCGCACCACTTGTAACTCGGCCTGGACTGTATGGGTTCGCTGGCTGGTAGCTGGAATAGTTATTTTCTTCGCTTTCGCCTTCTTCGCCTTCGTCCTGTAAGTGTCCATCCTATGATATCCCGTCGCAACCCATTCCCTCTCTCGAGCGGCTGCTAACACGATGATAGATGCTGCATCTCTCGTCGCCGTAAACGCTCAAGACGATACGCCACAAATCCAATGCCTATGGCTCCTCAAAATGTATACAATGGACCACCACCACAGGACCCTTCACCACAACAAGGTGGCTATTATAACCCAGGACCGTACTCGCCACCTCAGGGAGCGCCGCCCACATATGGCGACCAGAACAACACTGGATATTACCCTCCACAGCAGGGCGGTGTGACGCAGCCGCAGGGAGCGTACCAACCTCCGAAGTGGTGAGGGACCTAGACTGGTACTCGTTGGATGAGGTTTTCATTATTTTGGTATCGGGTCTAGGCTCAACGTCGGGTTCGCGCTGGGCCTGGGTGCGCCTTTTAGATTGGCTTTTYCTCTTTCGGCGTACCGGGGACTGGGGAAGTATATTATTATTATGGGCTTTTGAAGTGGAGCTACTGTCGATCACCGACTGTTTATAACGATCCCTCTCATAGCTCTCACACGTGGAATGACAATGGCCGCGATTAATGAATTCGAGTTTACCTACATATCCAAGACGTCCTTTTTCTAGAGCTCTCAGTGTTATTGATGGCTACTGATTTCTTGGTTGCATCTTCAGGGTATGGAGGAAGCCTGGTACTTCGTTGCTGGTTAGAGGATATCTCAAGATAAAAGACCTCCGCAATTATCTTTGAAGAATAGACGGGATAAGATTTATAATAATGAACTGAGATATAATAAGTTGTTAGCTTATCACCGTCAATCTAGACAGAAATTTGTCAAATACCGATGCTTATTTGCTAATATAATGCATAGTGATTTCCATCCCACCAAATAAAATATCATGAATATCATATCTCTCGTCAAGCAAGAACCATACTACACCTATCCGCCCGAGATCATCATGCAGCGCGTCTCTGCTTCCCACTAATCAAATAAACCGCAGCCCTCATCTCCAGCAGCGGATCATCCGAAGGCTCCACGCCCTGAACCCTGGGAATCGGATCAAAAATGATGTTTTTCTGCTCCTTCGCATTATCGGGCAACACACTATCCAACTTCAAGGTTCCCAATTCCACCACCGGACGATCCTCTGGCCAGTGAACAGTTGCATCATCCGTTACGTCCCCTTCGGCAGCTACTTGTGCCTTGATCTTGAAGGAGATGGGGCCCGAGGCTAGACGCTCGGTGAGCTCTTTGCGGAGATAGTCGGGGTCTTTATCCTTCAGCTCGTCGGCGGAGAGGGTTGATACACCTGCTTCAGGAACAATATGATACCGGATGAAGGTCGCCTTTCCTTCAGCATTGATCAGTTTGAAGGCAGTCACGCCAAAGTACTCCTCAGTGCCGTAGCTAGCTGGCGCTGGTTTGGGAGCTTGGACGAAAGCAAGAGCCTTTGGATTCGCACCGAGGAATTGTTCGACGGGAGAAGGTTTAGGTCCATCTGGAGGTGAACTCGCCAGAGCTTGGAGGAATTCAAGGAATCCTTGCCCTGTACGCGCGGGGAAGAACGGCGTGGAGTGACTGATAATATCAGTGTGTTTGCGGTCTCCTAAGATGAACCGGATGGCGATGCCACGGGGATCGGCGTGGGAATCTGTATCGGGGATGTTTGGGAGCCCCGTGGAGGACGAGAATCGTACCCAGACGGGGGTGCTGGGGTTGTTGAAGTGAGGAGCTGTGGTGAGCTTCTTTGCTTCTGCGGAGGGAGTAAAAGTGCCAGTGAGGATTTCGCCTTTGGCGTGTGCTGGAATAGAAGATTTAGTATCAATGCTCCATATGACGGAATTGCTAGCTCCTCTAACCAGGACGGAACCCCGGATGCTTTCCAAAGATAGCTTGCAATTGTGCGACTAAGTCACCAGCGGTCTTCATCAATACTTCATCGTTTGGGAACGGCATGGTTGCAGCTGATGGGAAGAATAGTGTAGTCAATTGTAGTGAGACAACAACAGTGTAATTACTACTAATTGGAAATGAACCTTCCGGCAGCTGCCGTCCATTATGTACTCGAGTTCACCCCGCGAGCCCCTCCAAATGTCGCAACCGATCAGCAACGCGGTTGAATTGCAACATTGAGTCCGGAGTTAATAAGCCATGCTGCAGCATCACGATCCCCGACCAATGATGCGCATGGGATAGTAATGTATTAGGTTGGTACGTAAAGGATTACTAAACCCGGCGCTTTCCACGCCCAGTGCGACAGAGGGCGACAACCCCTCGTGAGTCATTACTACCTGTCGCTCCCGCATTGGATTCAGCAATCAGAAGTGAATGGCTAGATAGTGCTGGGGTGAGGCTTCTCAATTAAGCCACGACTACAGGATGGCGAGGTTGCTCTAAACCATGGCGCAATATCGGGTACCCTTTACACTTTGGTACTGTACATGCCGCTGGAACTTAGTAGCATAGAGCCACAAAAGCCTCCAAAAGCCTCTAAAAGGTACCTAACAGAACGTGCCTCTATCCGCTAGGTGAGGTGGGCGAATATCGAAGCTATTGAGTCAATGAAGTTCTGAAATCTCATGATTCACCCGCTGATCGAGTACTCTGTCCCTTGTAATAATCGCGCGCTTTTTATCTTTCTTGAATCAGAAAACCGGGAGGCTATTCTCTAAGATATTATGCGCCGTATCCTAGTTATACGCATCGTGATTAAAATACGTCTTCCCTATATCTTAACAGCTAGGAGTTTCAGGAGAAGGCTGTTCGGGGTTGGACTTTCTGATTGGAAAATAGCTCTAATTTGCCCATGAACGAACTGCTGGGCCGATCGGAGGTAATCGGTAGCAAAGTCTTGTGCAAGAGGATTAAGGAAAACACAAAATGGTAGTCGATCTTTGAGAGCTTTCCTTGCTTCTTCGTATTTGAAATCTCTAACCCTGAAAGGGAACATATATAAGTAGGAAATTTATATTGCAGAAATTCAAAATGTAACGCCTGCAAACTCCTCAAGAGCCAGAATACCAAGGAGAGACATGGCTATGTAACAACAGACAACTAACAAAATGCAAAGACACATTGAAAACCCTTAAAGCAACACTTCAACAACCTATCAGCTCTTATGCTGGTCTCCTGACTTATACCGAGGCGTCTACTGGTCAATAGGTACGGGAGTTTTACCATCCTTGTTGACCTTGTTAGCAGCCTCCATAACCAGAGTCATTATGCAGTTTGTGCAAACACCTGCGTTGTCGTATTCGGGTTTGTTGTTGGGTTTGTCGCCAGTAACAAGTGCCCAGTCGAACTCGCCACCGTTTACAGACATATGCGAAACCTTCTTCCCCACCTTTCTCTCTGAGACACATCCTGGATCGCCGGTCAAGCGGTCAACACCCTTAGTGCACAGATCAATAGCGAACTCTTTGACGTCCTTGATACCCGCAAGATCCGCCCCTGTAAGCAGAACGGTCATAAAAAATTTGACCTTCGGGCTCACAACCGGTCCGAAATTTCCCATGTAAAAACCAGACTTGGTGTCAGTGTACTTTCCAATTCCATTCCCAGTTGCTGCAAGGGCCTGGTTGACTGCAAAAGTACAAGCCTCCCCTTTCAAGGCTGAGACTGCAGTGTTTGTGAGCCAGCTAGTGCGGCCGAGGTTATTGACCGAGTAGCATTGTTCAGATCCTCCTAGTTTGTGACCCAAATCATCGATAAATCCCTTGAAATTGATATCGAGTTTCCGTTCGGTAAGTACCAAGTCGCGGGTCTCAAGATCCCCATCAGCTTCAGCTTTAGATCGAAAATCAGCTGATCGTGGTACGAGTCCTGCCGAAGTGGTGCACTTCGCCAGAGTAGCATCTGGCTTGTCCATACAGTCGTGAAAGGGGCTGGTGGAGGTTGGTGCATCTCGCTTAAAACCTCGACTTTGTGCGCGGCACTCATTGAACCCTTTGCCAGAACTGACGCAATCGTGGAACGGACTAGTAGAGACCGAAGTGTTTGGTAGATCAGAGGGAAGTGCAAAGGCTGTTCCGCAAGTGTAGCTCATCATGAACCCAAGTGCAAAAGTAGTGGCTGATTAAATGTTAGTAATCTAGATTTGTGATAGAACAAGATGTTTCTTACTCTTCATTGTGGCTAGATTTGAGAAATTGAGAAAGTTTGAGTACAGAAAGTTGATGCTTGAGAAAAATGTATAATTCAGGGAAGATGTATGATTGAGGAAGATGTATGATTNGGAAGATGTATGATTGAGGAAGATGTATGATTGAGGAAGATGTATGTTTGAGGAAGATGTATGATTGAGGAAGATGTATGATTGAGGAAAGTGATTGAGAGTGAACTGTTTGGATGCTGTGGTAAGAGGTGATGCAATAGACAGCTTATATAGACTCTCTAATACTCAATGCAGCAATGCCCGTTGATGAAACTTGTTATTATCGAGATTTTCTTCGTAGAATACTGGAGACAAAGGCGGAGTTGCATCCGTAACACTCGAAATAGCAACTTGACGTCAATGAGATCAACTCCAACACAATCCTACTTGAAGAATAGCACAAATAATAGGCAGTTTTGAATTCTCTAACCCTCAAAATACCAACGGTTCTTTCACGGGACTATTACCAACATTCTCGTCCCCAAATATTCGAGGCGGAGCTGAATTCTGAAACAGTCAGAATTGCAATATTTGGCCAAGAAAATCTATCTCCTACACGATCCTCTTCGGAAGTTCGGGAAATAACGTAGAGAACAAGGCGTTTTTGGCCATTGATACGGTAGAAATGGCGAGAAGTAGCCGAAAATGAGGCGGCTAGGTACACTTACCCAGGTACTGTTTCTGAAGATCCTGTTGTTGGTTTGGGCACTACTGCTGGCTTAGATCCTAGAAACAGGTTGGTCTCCGTTATTGATCTGGGTCACATCGTTGGTTTGGATCCTGATGTTGGTTTGGATCCTAATGTTGGTTTGGATCCTGATGTTGGTTTGGATCCTGATGTTGGTTTCGATCCTGATGTCAATTTACGCCCCCGTTGTTGGTGTTGGTTTTGCTGGTGGTTTAGACCCAAATAGACTCAGTTGTTGATACAAATCCTCTGGTTGGTCTAAATCGTTCAATTGTATGCGCCACGTTTGAGCCTGCATGACCGTCTGGCGACAGGCGCACAAATGAAGGTGTGGTAACCAAAGCTAGGTGGTACTTACTAACTTCCCCGCCTAGTACTAACTTCCTTCCGATTATCATTTCCTTCTAATACCAAACTTCCTCCTGGTACCAACTTCCTTCTAATACCAACTACCTCCTTACACAGGGGTTAACGATCTCGAAGGACCCATAGATAATCCAAGGATTGTTTTCATAGGCATACATGTTACTATACTCGATAGAATGGGTCAGGTCTCAGTCGTCTGTAAAGCGACCTTCCGAAGGATTGATCATCTCTTTTCAATTTTCAGCTGCACAAATCACTGCTCATAGTACATTTCGAATGGATATGAAGGGACTCGATTGCTCTTGGGCAGTATCTGGAGTATAACTCAAGATTGATCACGGAGGAGGAAAGAGGTCGAAGATCGACCGACTATTTACAAAGGTTAGTGTTTCCTATTATGTGACACTTCGCTATTCACCATCCTCACATGTTTCCTGCAGTGCTGTACCACTGCAATGGGTTACTAAAACTCAGGGTATAGAAGTAATTCTGCACCGCTTGGTGCATGGTTTGAAATTAGCGCCGTAGGAAACATATTTTAGACGCTTCATCTGCCTCGTGATGGATTGCTGACTTGAAACCATAGCCTCTGCCAACCATAGCCTCTATCAACCATAGCCCCTACCAACCATAGCCTCTACCAACCAACTAACCATAGCCTCTGCCAAACTTTTTGAGTTCCATGGGAGATATGGATTGCGGGCACGAATGCTCTGCGCTAGTCTGTCAAACTTCCCACCAAGCTCGTGGGATCATTGTGCAACCTTGAACATGACTTCGATACTGTGTATATATGCAGATATTTCTCTGACACGAACTTTTATCGGCACCGACTATCTCCCTTTACCTTTCAATAACCTTACGACCACTTGCATCTCATTCTACTCTATCATTTCTTAGCTATTTTGGAATACTGTTTATCACTTTCCTCTGGGCTCTTTAGATCGCGATCCTTTTTAAATTCAAACAGTCTCGAACGTCGGAAGCCAATCTACGATATGAATTCTTTTCGATTTACCCACCTCTTCGCACTTTACATACTCATAGCTCAGGCTTTTTCCTTCCCCCCCCCGAAATATAAGCCTTTCAGTGATGGTACCTACGGCTGGCAAGTTATTCAGATGACTGGCCATATGACCCCGGAGGATGTAAAGAATGCTGCTATCACTGGTTACGGAATAATGGTCGCAGAAGCACACAGGTTTGAAAAAAAATGTCCGAGCGTAATGGCCGCTCTGTACGTCCCTACTCAAGATGGAGGAGTACTCGCTGTCGCTTCCTCCATCAAAGGACCGCAAGGAAGCCAACTTACCGAATTCTACTGTAGCAGTCAGCAGTAAGTCTCAGCCCAGCCCCGAATTGACAATTCTTCAGAAGGCGAAGGTCTCATAGTTCACACTAAGGACAAAACAAAGATCCAACACTGACTTATTGCATAGTAAACATGGAAACTGTGCCGAAATGAACGCCTTCGCGTTAGTTGAAAGAAGACAAATGGATTGCAGAAACAGTTTTGTGGCTGCCTATGGGTCTACAAGGCATGGTGTGAGGTTTTTGGATCCCTGTCGAGACGAAGATAACAGATGGGGCTGTGCTTCGTTTTGTACTCAAAATTCGATCACCGCTCTGACGAAGAGGTCTAGAATAGAGGGGTTGCTCACTATAGACGTTGGACAAGAAAAGCGTGAATCGGACGATATAGGGGCATCAGTCAGAGTATAGACTTGTCGAGGTCTCCGTTACTCCAGCCAAAGAAGAAGTTCTGTCGAAGTGTTGTGCTGAGGAGTAACCAAGAGTTTGTTTTGTTCTCTATAGTGGTGGGATATGTTTGTTGTAGGACTAAAAAGGGGATCTGAAGGCTTGAGGTTTTAAGTTCAGCATTTGGGATTTAGACTTCTGGATTGTAAAGTATCTATAGATAGATACCATCAATCATGCAACCTTGAAATCTCCCGCATTATTCTTCACATACCTATCCTGACCAATTAAAAATAACCCTGTATAATGGCTAGTGCCCCCCTTTATACTGTAGAAGTAGGATCTTCTTAATCACGGTCAACATCTCGTAAAGTCCCCTTCTTGATACCATGTTGGTAATTTAAACCATACGCCACTTTCTCTCCGTGAAGGTACAGCTGGTTTTGCTGTTGACAAACACATGGGGTGCTGCTGACCCAAAATCGCTTGTTTCATTACTGGCTCAAGGGCTTTGAACCAGCCAAGATCAAACTGGACATCCTCTAGTGTGTGGAGCAGACGCAAAGCCCGTGTGATGTCACGGCAGATGTCGTAAATGAATCGAGTATCTTCTTCCTCTTCCGCATAAGCGCCACGGTCAAAACTATCGAGGGTGATAGTGATCGAAAGCCTCTTAAGTTCAAAATTGTCCCTTATAAACACAACTAACCGCGTCAACTTCTCACGGTAGCGAAGTTGATCCCAATCGTCGAGCTCTGGTTCGGAAAACAGAAGTTTTATTCCCCGGCTATATTTCAATGTCCCTTGTGGGAAGTTCCTTAGAAACCCAATCGTCTCTTCCGGATCCTGGAGAAAGTCAAAGGAATTCTGCGCAAGTAGCACTTCCATCACGTCTGCCCGCATCTCTTTGCTAACACGTGAGAGCGCGAATGGGATGTGACGACACTCGCAATTCGAAGAGTAGGCCGCGCGGACTGGAGCGCAGCAACAATCGACAAGAGTGACTGTACACTTTCGACAGCAGGTTTTCGACCCGTGGTAAGAGAAACACTGACCTCCGACAAGCCTATTTTTTGTGATTTGTAGAAGACGGTGGGCCTTAAAATACGAGTTGTGGTCACCAAGGTGTGTATAGCCTAGAATTTTAAGGCGTAGTTCTCTAGGGAGACGCTGAAAGGGGAAAATCCCTCGCGTTTCGCTGTATAAACCTTGAGCACGAAGAGAAGCTTCTCGAGCTAGTTGATATAACTCGTAATTGAAATGTCTTCCAAGTCGAATAACACATTGTTTTAACGTCGGAAATCGTAATAATGGCTCAAGAACGGCCATGCCAGATGCCTTGTCCGTGACGTCGCAGATGAGGGTAAGTTCCAATTGACTAGGTGAAACAGATGATGCGAGACGCTCAGCGAACCTCCGCCACCCATGGAGGAGAGCTTGGCCCGCTTGAGAGGTCATATCAAGGGGGGGGTCGGCATCCGCAGTAAAAAATTTGCAAGTCGCGCATTGAAAGCCAGTAGCAAAAGGTACTTCGTGCCCGCGTGGGCAGGGCCAGGAGTTGAGTCGAATCAAGAGGGAAGTTATAGTGCTTTGAATGTGCTGGCCCAAATGAAGAGATTCAAAACCACCTGCACCGTGGAGTCGTATCAAGAAATTGTTTCGCGAATAAAAGGCGGTAAAAACATCGTGGTAGACTGCGCGCGAGATCAGAAGCAGTCGGTGCAGTGGCAACCTTGGGCATAGACAGTCTGGTATGTCTGGTCCCGTCGTCTGGTCACCACCACGTCTCCGGCAGATATACAAGCATTCCCTTGGTGTTAAATCGAAAAAGCCTGGGTGAGAAGGTCCAGGAGACTCCTCGTATATCTGTGGGTGACTCAACTCGATCGGACACCAGCGGAACAAGCCCAGGTACGCATAAACTCTGTGCCTCGCGTGGAGTGGGAGATCCAGGAATGAGGCCATTTTCTAGTTGTAAGTTGTGTCTTCGAAATCCAAGAGGCGGGGGCAGCGGGCTTAGAAGATAAAAGATGAGAAAGAATGGGGCGACCGTAGCTACCTACCTTTACGGTAGGAAGTTTTGGGTACCTAACTCGTGATACCCAACCAGTAAGCGAGTTGGTACGAGTAGGTACCTAGGTAATCCAGTTCAGTAAGTTGGAATTTGTCGCGCAGGGTTGCTCTTTAGGTCATCTTCAGGATCGTGTGGCCCTAGCAGGGTGCTGTTTCTGGCTTCGTGGTGACCACAAGAAACGCGGGGTTTTCGATATTGAGTTCAAGAAGATGGCACAAAATGTTCGAGGAGCTGTCGTGCAGGTGGTGGGTGTGCCAGGCATGAGCGGTGCGTAGTGTCGAGAGTATCCTTTCTAGCTTTATAATAACTACTAAAAAATAAAAGGGTTTCAATATCGAGTTTAAGAAAATAATATAAAATAAAGAAGAATTATTATCTAAATTACTAATAAATATACAATAATGTTTAGTATAAGTAGTATATAAAATAAAGAGTAAATAAGTCTTAATACTATTTTATTTATATTAGTAGTTTTCTTAATAAATATATTTTATATTTACTTCTCAAGTACTCTCCATCGATCTCTTATTCCGCTCTACTACCTGCCCACAAAAGTTCTCCGGCTTTACAAACCACCTATTCACCGATTTCCACTCCTTATTCCTCACCTCATCATCCAGCGCAAATTCAAACCTCTTCACCACTTCGGGGATAAGTTTGCTCATCTCAAGCAAGCTCAAATTTTTCCCAATACATGTCCGGCTACCCATCCCAAACCCAAAGAAATAACGCTCAACTTCCGCCTCATGGCTATGCTCTTTAATCTCCAACCAGCGCTCTGGTCGCCAAGTATCTACGTCGGTCCCGTAGACAGAAGTGTTGCGATGGGCAACCCAGGCGTTGATTCCGACCGTAGCACCAGCGGGAAACTTCTGCCCGGCAAGCGTGGCGCCAGAGGGAGGCACGACACGTGCAAGAGGTAGTCCAGTAGCAGGGTGTAAGCGGACGCCTTCTTTGATAACGGCCTGTAGGTAGGGCAGTTGCGTGGCTTCTTTGAAGGTGATGGGGTCAGAGATGGCACCTGCGGCTATGCCGGCGTCGATTTCATCTTGGAGGCGCTTGTACGTAGCAGGGTGCTTATGGAGATGATATAGGACTGAAGAGAGCGTGATGGCGGTTGTGTCGCTACCTGCCCCAATGTTACTCTGGCAGATAGTGAATATATCATTAGTTGTCATTTTTTCTGGATCTTCAGAACGAAGAGCCAGAAACTTAGAGACAAAATCCGGTGGGCCGTCGCGGTCTTGGCTTTCGGGGTCTTTGAGTAGCGCCTCTCGTGATGCGATCTGGGATTTGGTATAATTCCCGACGTATCCGTGGCCTCCAGTAGATGGAAGAAGAGGGAAGAGGATATTGTGTAGCTTTGGGAAGATACCAACGAATGTGCTGTACGAACCCCTTGAGTCAATTGCGCTGAAGACCCCTTCCTCATCAACGCCCATGTCGAGGAAGCCAAAGCGCTTTCCGAAGGTTATCTCGCCGATGACGTCGAATGCGTAGCATTGGAACCAATGCCCAAAGTTGACGCTCCGGCCGGCCTGAGCTATCTCATGGAAGCGTGAAATGAGCAGATAGCTGCAGTTATCAACGAATGGCTCGTAGCCCACGAGAGAGCTCATTGAGTATGCTGATGCAAACTTGCGGCGTTGTACGCCATGGCGATGAGGATCAAGGTCAGCAAACAGGGACGCCTTGTTAGGCTCTGGCGGCATCCACGCCCAGTACCATGGAGCCTGATGATATTGTTAGATTTGTAAATTAGAAGCCGGGGGTTATTCATCGCACCTTGACAAACGCATTTCCATGCCCGTAGACTACCTTTGCAGCTTTGACATCGTCGATAGAATACTCATTCGGCGCAATACGTACAACTGGCCCATACGTCTTATGGAGATCGATATTCGTCCTCTCAAAATCGCCTTGGTATATTTTATAAAGATACCACAGACGTGTGAATCGTGCAAGAAACGGCCCCGGGACGCTGCGTAGCGGATCAACGAGCCATTGGGCCAAGCTGAAAGCAACATAGAGGCCAGCTCCAAGAGCCAGAATGCTGCCTAAAGGCAGTGATAATAATCCTTCTAACATTGTCCTTGTTAGAAAGCTTATATCCTTCAACGTAGGAGAACGGTGTAGGGAGCAGCAGGATGTCTATTATATGCTGAAACCAGATTGCAATACAATTTCTAAAAGTAGTACCCGATCCAAATATTCAATTTTGGGACACTAAAAATTAATAAACAGTCTGAGTAGAGAGAAGGACTACTAGTCTATACTTACGGATAGCATCCGACTGTGGCTGGGTTTCAACCTTTAATTTCACAGCAGGTCCGCGGGAAGTGGTTAGAAATGTGGGGTTAACGGATAGCAGCCGATATCAACTTATTTACTAGTTGCGGGCACTGCGGGGTACCAAATACCCCACCAACCCCGGTAGTTGTTAGAATCCTGAGGCTCACACTTGCCATTCCATGCCACTCCAGCTGGCACCTACATCTTGCCTCTACCAAAATAGTAAATCTTACGTGTGTGTCAGATGTGAGCTGAATTAATAGATATTATTAAGTCCAATATCTTTTTCTAATTCAAATTTTTAATTAAGTGGTAAGAATAGCGTTAACGACAAGAAACCGTGTAGTAGAGCGACAGACAGCAAGCGGTGAGGAGTGAGAAGGTTGGTTTCTGGGACAAAGCCCTGTCTAAAGCTTGATACACTTGATAATTTGAAAATAAAAGTAACAGATACTGATTATATCTTTATATCTTAACTGGTTTTCGGAATTTTGTAGGGTTTGTTTTTGGTATTACTAGCGGTGATCAAACTAGCAGTGGCTTATATATTAATCACATTACTTTACTCAGATTAATTACTCGTTCAAAAATGGTAAAAGATTATCCCACTCTCTGTAGTCTATTCCTCTACGGCCTTTCTAATATACCTTGCCACCAATCATCTTCAAGTGAATCCCATAGCATTTGACCGTTCGGCTGTTGTCTCAGAACATCCTGCAACAACGGGTCGTAGAATTCAACCGAATCCTCGAAAAAGGGGTGGGCGGTTGAAGACCTTTCATATTGTGGTGCATCTGTTGAAAGTCTGTGCTGGCTTGAATCACTGTGTGTCGGGTTCTGGAATCCGAATTCATCTGGCCGAAGACTAGAAGACGAGTTATAATGGGCTTGCCAGTGTGCGCATGTTAGCTAGTAGCAGTGACTTTCGTGAAGTGTAGATCATACTGGTGTGTGAAGCGAGGGCTTGGTCTCGTAGCTTAACGATTGTCAAGGCGCATTTCCGAGCTCTGACGTGCTTCGACGCCAATCGGTCTAAGGTCCCTAGACACTTCTGCCATGACCGGTCAATGCTATGTTGGGCTGCAGTTTCCTTGGGTGGGGAATCCGAGCCGGCCAAGATAAGAATCATTGCCGAAGTAAACATATCTGACGGATGAGCTTATCGCCTGGATGATTGGGCGTGAGAAACTCACAGTAAATGTTATACCACCATGAGCCTGCCGCTTTAGTCTGAGAAGATTTGTCGATGAAATCAATGAGAGCATGGGCGCTTTCAATACAGGCGCTTGAGCAGCGTTGAGCCACAACACTGGTCACAGTTTCATCGGCATGTTCCTCCGACTCTGTAGGGCGTTTTACACCGTCCCTTCTGGCCTGAACGTATAGCTGGTGGAATACTGGGCGATATAACAGCACCTTCAAGTGCAAGAAACTACTAATTTTAGCACTATACTAACGACGAGAGGGCGGAATACGTACCGTGTATATAGAATATTCCGCTGGCGCTCTAGCAGCCATGATTCACCGGGATCCGTTTCTTTATAATCCCACCTCAGTTGTAATGGTAGATTAGATTTGAACTCCAGCAAATCTTGCTCTAGGTCCACGACTGTTTTGATGATATTATTAATGCGTCGTCCGTCCAACTGTTGATCGTCCTTGGTTTTGTCTTGCCAAGGTTTGTAGACGCTGGTAAGTACTTCGCCAAAAATTGCATACAGCTTAAGATTTTGAACAAAGAACATACTTTGAGAAAATATGCCAGCAGGCTGGATGCCGGTGGCCGCTTCACCTTCGAGATATATATCATCAACAGCAGCGGGCAATGGCACGTTTGCTTCCCTAGATGCTAAGGCGGGCCGCCCAAGTGTCATACTGGTGATTCTGTTGTTTTAGTTAGCATGGCACAAACAAAATGCATAGGAAGCAGTAGTGCACACATATCAAGTAGGAGGCAGCCATGCCAGGTACGCCTTTTAATTTCTGTCTCTAGCATTGTATTAATGAATGAGCCTTTGTCCATGTATAAGCCAATCCCTTGCGCAACACGAAGCGCCAAACCAACAACATTCCAGCAACGAGTGGGATTATCTGTGCTCTGAAGGTACTGCCCAAGGATGAAAAGGGTCTGAACAAGTGCCAAGCTGCTGTAATCCAATAAATTTCCTAAAACCAGGTCCAAAGATCGTTGACAGAAGGAGTCAGACAGGGTTCGCCGTTGTTCGTATGGCATGTCGGAAAGGGTACAACCGAGAGCAAGCATCGCATTTAACCCGCAATAAAATATAGAAACCGGACATGTTGAGGATCCTAGTCCTATCTGTAGAGTACATGCGGCTTGTCGTGTTTCCTCGGGCACCCAAATTTGCTGATATGCAGCTTCAAAACTTGTTCTATGGACAATAGGATATAGGCAATGCACTTTGTCCCAATATGAATTGAGTAGGTAATCCGTAAACGTTCTTGGAGGTAAGTAGAAATCTTTAAGCTTTGTGCTCGAATATAATTCGATTGGATCCTCCCTCCGACGATTGTCTTCACGAGTCTCTGCGCTCTTCATATGGTATGAATCTGATCTAGAGCGAGTAGAGCTACTCAGGTTTTCTTGAATTTGATTGAAAAAGGATATTGCAGACGATGAGCCATAATATCCAGTCTGAGAGGAAGGCGATTCAGTATCGGTCGTTGCTGCTGCACCCATCGCACTAATCATTCCTTCCACGTCTGTTGTGCGGCCTTCGATGTTTGACCGGGACGGAGTGTGCTGGGGTGTAGTCGCTTCCAGAAATCCAGGCGAGGTGTATGATGGCGATACTCTGCTAGCTATGGAATTTGTAGAGTAGTTTGGGGGAAGGGATTGAACATTGGCCTCTCCATTGACACGAGATTCACCGCAAGATAAAGAAACTGCCCCATTAGGAGTGTCGGCATGTTCTAGCGGACGCAAGCCGGTCCTATTGTTACCAGCTCCCGGACCTAGTTGGGATATGTTTTCGAGGGCAGATTGCGAATCACCGGGCCTTTTTTCAAGTTCTCGAATACGACTGTGCAAGCTTTCTATATACCTGTACCGACTTTCATTAGTAGGATGACTCCGCAAATAGCCGTGGCGTACCTGCTCTCTCTCGCACGCAAATTTTAGTACATCACTCTGGTAGGTGCAACGGTAATTTTCCTGTGAGGGCTGGCGTTGTCGACGCTGCTGGCAGCTCGAACATTCCGGCTTGATGCCGTCGCATTTGATCTTCCTGTCTCGACACCTATCGCACGCCAATGCCACCCTGAGTCGCTTCTGTGGCCGTTCACGAACGTGTTGATTGTCCTGTGGCGATGAAGGAGGCATAGACATATGGAAGTACAATGCTATCTATCCCAAATGACGACTTTCTTTGCTGAAAGGATCAGCCTTCAAGCCTACCCTGCATGTTCGTCTCGACACTATCGTGGCTGGTAGTGGTGAAGCTAACCGAGGTTCACGAAGTAGAGATGGTGGGGTTAGATGATTGCGGGGCTGCCCGATAATAGGCTTGGTGGAAGTGAAGTACCGTGAGATGCCTCGAGTTCTCAACTGCGCGATTCATCCTACCCGACAAATAATATGCCATAAGTCCACAAGGCCTCTAATGATGCACCATCAAATACAAGAGTTTTGTTTTCAAGCGGAGAAGAGCATCCCCGAGCTCCAGCAAGCTCGTAGGGGCGTACTAGTCATGGTTCACCATGCTTTCGCGGACACTTCGCGGCTGTCAGCCCAGGGCCATCCAGCTAACGGAACGTATCCGAAGGTATTTGCCCAAACCATCTCTTAAGTCCGCAGGACGGCAGATATCCGTGAACAACAATTTGAAAATGCGGGGGAAGAGGCAAGGTTTCAATGGTATTACCACTTGCCAAGGACTTAGGTTAGACTCCGGGTCTGTCTCTGCTCGGAGCTTATCTCTATACGAATTGAAGTAGAATCAAATCCAAACCCCATAGATCCACATAGGAGGGTGCTAGTGACCAAGTCTAGTGTAAGTACAAATCTGGGGTCCCGCATCCTTAGTTAGGACAACGGCGTTGATAAGTATATATGGTCTCTTATATCCTTCTACTTTAAACTTCCGAGTCAAGTTCTACTTTGCGGCCATTTCTGTATATTCTTATCGTGATTCTCTTAGTACAATTATTACTCGCAACCAGCAAGATGTCGGATTCCAAAGAAGGCATGGATACGCTGGAGGTAGAGCATGTGAATGATATACTTGACTACAAGAAGTCGGAGTCTCTTGACTTAGAGTGGACAGAAGACGATGAATCCCGAATCAGGATGAAAATGGCAAGTCCCAGCATTCACATAACCTTTGTTTGTATTCTGTTAATATTATAAAAACAGGACTGGAGGCTTGTACCTACCTTATGGCTCTTATATCTCCTGTGCTTTATTGATCGGTAACCACCATTGAATCCTTATAATTGAATGCATTGCTGATACTAGAATAGATCAAGCATTGGGTAATCCATCCTCGACTGCAGATAGGCGAGGAGAGACTAACACTTCTCTCCTAGAAATGCTCGAATTCAAGGACTTGAAAAGGACCTGAACACAGCAATAAACTTTCGCTTCAATTGGGCCCTCACAGTATTCTATATCTCTTACATTGCCATCGAAATTCCGTCTACCATACTGCTTCGGATTATTGGAGCTAGATACTATCTACCATTACTCGTCATTGCGTTTGGATTTATATCCATGTGTAGTGCGTTTGTGACAAACTATGGAGGGCTGGTGGCGTGCCGTTTCTTCCTTGGTATTGCTGAGGGTGGCATGATGCCCGGCATAGCATTCTATCTCTCCTGCTTCTATCGTCGGCAGGAGCTTATGTTTCGCATTGGGATATTCATCAGTGGGGCATCACTGGCGGGTGCATTTGGAGGTCTACTCGCTGCTGGACTCAGCTCCATTCCTCAGTGGGGTATTGCCAGTATGCCCCTCTATGGTTGGCGAAATATCTTCTTCTTTGAAGGCATCATCACATTTCTACTCGCAGGTTTGGCGATCCTGGTTCTACCCTCTCGTCCCGATCAGTGTAAGTTTCTCAACAAACGGGGCAGATATATTGCACTCGAACGTATAAATCGCGAGCATCACGAAGATATCCAGGCCAAGACAACATTTAAGGACGTCAGGGTTGGAATATGCAATATCAACAACACCATTTACGGGCTTGGATTCCTGTTTGCCACCATCTCAGCACAGTCACTCTCATTGTTCCTGCCTACCATTTTGAAAGCCCTTGGATGGACAGCTTTGAAGACGCAGTTCTATAGCGTGCCTCCTTATGCAGTGGCATGCGTCTGGACATTCACGGTCTCCTGGCTCAGCGACCGCTATAACCGCCGTGGCATATTCGCTGCATTAAATGCAGCAATTTCGATGACAGGCTATTGTATTGTCGTTACCGCAAAGACTGACACGATCAGATATCTTGGGGTCTTTTTTGCTGCCAGTGGATCCTTTCCCAATGGGCCTGGTTTCCTCTCTTGGGTGAGCAAATCCCCCATATCTTCAAAATTTTGAAATTTTTGGTGTCCCTAACCATAATTCCAGGGCCTCAATAATGCAGCTGGGCCGGCCATTCGCGCTGTAACATCTGGCTATATTGTGGCCGTCGGAAATCTCGGTGCACTTGTTGCAACGTGGACGTATCTGCCGACCGATGGGCCGAAATACTCTCGGGGCCACTATGTGAATGTTGCTGCGGAGGTCATGGTACTTCTGCTGGCGCTCTTGGGAATTGCGTACGCGAGATGGGAAAACAAGAAGAGAGACAGCGGCGCCCGAGACCATCGTCTTTCTGGTTTGACAGATGAGGAGATTCAAGGTTTGGGGTATAAACATCCTTCTTTTAGGTATATTTCTTGAAGGATAGAATATTTAACAAGTTAGGATAACTTTGAAAATATGAAGAGGGCCGCAGAATCGTTTGATGCACAGCACATTCAGAGTACCCATTGTAAGGCAAATTCCGTAACACCCAAATAAATCAATGTCGAGCCTCGATATGACCCCGTCTCCCTGCCAGGATTCTCCTGTACAGACTCCATACTATCAAACACTTGATCCTACATGAACCTTCGCTACCGAGACTCGATCTTCCGTCTTTTAAGATAGCGTTGCTCTAAACGTTGCAAGTAATGCGTCTTCATCGTCTTGAGAATTGCGTCCACTCCTTTTCACGTCTTGGCCTCAGTGTGCTATTCAAACCCACCTTCTAACGAGTAGGAATCGACATGTTCACTGATAATGCTGTCGCTTGTAGGAGGAAACGAGTCGAATAGCACCGATAATATTCCAACTTGATATTCCGAATTTGCAGCTTCTGACGCAGCCAGCACCACCGAAGCCTTCACCGAGATGAATTCGGCCTGTGCAGTGATATCGAGCGAATGTTTACAGTGCGAGTGAGGAGGGGGTGGCGCTGTAGTTTACTGTTGGATCCTGAGGTTTAGCGATGAAAAGCTCCAGGTTCTTTAGCGAGCCCCTGATTTCAGGGGCTAACTCGAGAGAAGAGCAATATTAGGGGCATTTTGGGATACTTTAAGCTGGAATAGAAGGCCTAGGGGGCTGGAGGAACGGAAAAATTTGTTATAAACAAGGCTTCTCTTGCTCACTTTACTCGTTACAGAAGCAAAGGTTGCTAGAATAATCGTGCCTTAACAAGGTGCCGAATACCGTCTTGATCTTTAAAACATCCTTCACATCATTCAGCTCGTTTTTGGAGACATTCCACTGTGGACTTGAGACCCTGTACCCCCGAGCATGAAATTCTTTTGTTTTGCTGATTTGCATAATTGATCTCGCTCTTATCGGACCGATGTTGTTGATCGTGTTGCACAAAACTCTTCTCACGACTCTCCGTACATCTTCCGTAGCAGTAACATTCTTTGCTTTTATAGTTGCTTTTATCTCTAGTGGTTTAATACCTGGGACGAAGACGATTGATTTAAAGCCAAGAGATGTTTTAGCAGCTACTGCAACTTATGTGGCTATCCTAGTAGTGTTCGTTGGAGCCAGTTCTTAACTTAATGGCATATATGGCAGTCGGAGAAGTACGCTGCCGAGGTAAGAAGAACCAAAAGCTCCTTTTCCCCTTAAAACAAGTAACTTCCTTTATATACTCTTCCCAAGTATGTCTGTGCGAAGCACTTCAGATTTTACCTCTCTCTGCGTGTATTTTTACACTTTCACCAAGTTAATTGTTGAATCCTTTATCGCCTAATACTGGATCTGTTTGATACGAAGGGCTAGAGAGTAGCTATAAATCTTGGAGAAGGAAGTCGGCCATTTTATACTAAGGTTACGTTCCCCCAACACTCTTTGTCGTCCATTATCTTTTTCGCTTCTTCCCCTCCTAGAAACATCCACCCAACCCTTTTCATCCTTGAGTCCCGACCGTCTCCTGCCTGAGTGATAACCAGACCATAACAACGTGACGTAAAATTGTGTTCCGCACCGTGGTTCTTCTCTTCAATTGTTTTCTTGGCCCTTTCATCCTTACCATTTTTCCCGCAAAGTAACAGGACTTGCATATTCCATTTACGCCAGCCTGCTGAATTCTTTATATCGTCATGATCAGGCGTCATCACTTCGCCCTCCTCGTTGTCGGAGTGTCGCGTCCGCAACCGTGGAAGTGGAGTCCTACCGATTTCTTTAAGTTTTTTCTCGTGATCTGTGATCTCCTTTTCGCTGGGTTTCAGCTCAGCCATGGGGCCATGAATACATATCCAAGCATTCTTCACCTCTCCAAAGGGGTTTCCTTCGTTTTGCAGCTCGACATGCCAGCCCTCGATCTTAGCAATATCCTTCCACTCTCTCTGTAGACCAGTGGCAGCACATCCGCCATAGCTCGCCCAGCTCCAGCTCGGTCCAGTATACTCAGTGGTTGAGGCCGGTGACCTATCTCCTATTCCCTGCCATGCCAGCCCTTCGATAAGCTTATCGCTCCACAGTCCGGCTACATATTCCGTGGCAAATCGTGATTTGAATAACTTGGCGATTCCGCTAAGGGCTGGGAGCTTATCGGTTGCTTTGGTCAGCTTGCGTAGCCCATACGACCAGAGCAGGCTGTTCCACATGGTATGGGGCTCCTTGGACTCGTTTAGGTCACTTAAGTTGCAACAATACCGCTTTCCAAAACTGCTACCATCCTCTCCCATAATGCCGTAGTTGCACTCGATATAAATTTGCCTGGTATTGTAGTGCAAGATACGTCGAGCGAGTATGCGCTCCTGCAGAGCCCAACCACGTCTGCAGAGCGGTTCTTTCTCGAAATCTTTTCCCTGCCATTCATTTTCATCTCCGGGGTATACTAACTGTACGCAAATTTCACCTAACTCAGGGATATTGACCATTGATTTTGGGCGGGCCGGCCGGCTATGGAAGCAGCCTTCACTGCCATCTCTGGCGTGATTTGCAGCGACGACTAGGTAGGCGTTGGAGTAGACATCCGCCATGCGCCCCGATTCACGAGCCCAGTCGTCCTGGTCTTCTTGCATGATGCAGAGACTGTCTATCCAAACATAGCGAATTCCAAGGTGTCTAGCGATGATCACAGCGTCGAGGAAGGTCTTAGGAAGATGTAACAGTGATATTCCAGTAATACGCTTCTCGTATGACTCTTGAGTAGTTGTCAGAGTTTCCGAAGAACCCCAGCAATGAGATAGGCAGATATATTTCCCGCTTAAGCCAGCAGGGCAGTCGATCAGTCTAATCATGTCGCCGGTCGAGCTGACATCCAACACACGCGAAGGCAACGGAGTTACTTCTCTAGCGCATCGTTCGTGCTTCTCGACACAGTTGTTCACTAAAGAGGTCGCAACATCAAGGCTCTGTCGCGACCCAGAGTCTCGCTCTACAGGTCTCCAAGGGAACTTTGAAGTTAAAGCGCTACCAGCCTCGACGCTAAAGCTGACGCCGGTGAGATAGAAGACTCTGTGTTTTGTCACCGAATTCCGAGCCAAGACGATGAAACCATCCCCTCCGCCCAACCGCTTCGTTAACCACAGTCTCTCCCCAGTAGGAATCGGTTCTGACTCCTTGTAGAACTGGCGCCATCCGGGATAGGACCTTTCGGCCTCTCGATAGTGATCTAACCAAGTTTGCACGCCGGTTTGCACGAGGGCACAGAGGGGACATCCAGCTCTGGCCGATTCGGCGAGTGCATCGAGACATTTGTGCCAGGCGAAACCAATTGGGTCCTTCGGCAGAAGCGACTCGTTGCTGCTGTTGCGCCGCCACCATAGTTCAGGCATTTCATTGTTGTCAGCTACCCGGCTTGAGCCGTCTTGATCCTCAGGGACCGAAGGAAGAGAGGCAAAAGGGATGTCCTGACAGAGCCTACAGAGGGCCATGAGTAAAAGACGGTACAGAATGTCACGAAAATCAAACAGAAGTCGCGTTGAGCTCAAGCAGTTGAGATTGGAATGATAGCAACCCAAAATTGCAACTCGAGGTGTGGAAAATTCAACCAGGACAAGCTGTAAGGACCTAATGATAGGGAATCACGATTCATATGACAAATACTCGGATTATTACAAGACGAAACTTTACTGTTCTATTTCTAAGAGAATCCCCTCCATTTAACCGCTGGACATCGTCGGTTACGATTCGGCGCCTTACCGGATACGTTAGCGAGCCTTAGTAACACCCCCAATAGTACTATTAAGAGAAACTTAGTTTATAAATATATTATAAAGGTTATTAATTACTACTTTACTCTAAGATATTATATAAAGTCTATCTATACCTACTTTATATATGTATTATAAGACTTATTACTAAAAATAAACTATTTTCTATTAAAGGCAGTGGTGGAAGGCTGAGCATGCTGCCTTTACCAAAGTAAATTGGGATGCCTCAGGTGAACATTACCCAAGGGCCTTCTGCACATCCCTCTACCCATAATTATTATATTATGGGCAATTCCACCCACAGTTATGGATAACCCGCTCACGTAGGACTGTTCTCTCCACCCTTTTGCAATGGCCGAGCCGCTTGAAAGTTACTCTGTACGTCGCACCCCCATATAGCCCCATTTACAGACTCTAGGCTCATCACGATACGAGTACTTTCTAGTGCGATCCGTGCCGCTCCCGCAAGGTGAAGTTGCCATCACCTGTGCGGACCAGGCGTCGATTGCTCTGACATGTGTTAATCCAGGTTGCGTGCTCGCGCCATCACTCTGGATGCCAACGCTGCGAAGGCGAAGGGCCTGAATGTTCCTATTCCCGCTCAGGGGTGATTCGTCGCAGTAGAAAGAAGAAGGATGGCGAGAGACGTCCTCCTCGCAGTTCCGAGACCTCAGCAGGCACAGAGCCCAGCGGTTTATCACGACGGCCTCGTCAACTCCCGCCGGACAGCACTGGCACCACGCAAGAGCGGCTGCAGCGGCTTATCGGCAAGGATCATCGTGAACTGGGAGCGCTTGCATCTCTGCTGGAGGAGTATGCCACGGTTTGGCAAGGGTCCTCTGCATTCGACAAACTAGCCGAGGGTGCAGAGGCTGATTTCTTTCTCTTCGAGGAGGATCAAGTTCGCCCTTGGGTGGAGGGTGAGTGGTTCCCTTGGTCGTATGTGGCTCTGCTTATGCTCCCCCCATCAGCGTTTATCACCACTCTCCAGAGACAGAGATTGTTGCTCACGTCTGCACCCCCGGAAATACTCGATCACCTGGCGGCATCACGTCCGCATCAAGTTCAGGATCGAGCATGGCTGGTTATGTTCTACAGCATCGCGCTGAGCGCTGTGTCCTCTACCAACCCGTCGGATGAAGCGACAAAGGCCAAGTTAAGAAGCAATCTCTGGCTAGCATTCAATGATGTCCGACTGCTGCTCGAACCGAAGATTTCGAGTCTTCAGGCTTTGTTCATGTTGGCTTGCCATGTCGAGGAGTTTATGACGCCGTCAGTTTGCTGGGTGCTGGTCACCAAGGCCTGTGTCATGTTGCAAGCATTAGGCATCTCTCACTGGCGTCTCGACTCTGCGACCTGCGAGCGGCGCACCTTGTTCTTTTGGCGTCTGAATATCCTGGACAAGGCGCTGGCGCTCATTCTGGGTAGACCGCCGACTTTCCACCGTGAAATGACAGCTGCAACTGCCTTGCCGACGTTAGAACAGCTCTTGCCTCCCCAGCCTTATCAACTGGGTGGCGCGCCCACTTTGTTCGAAGCGCATTACACACATCAGATGCATCTACTATCGTGCGTCATGGGTAATATCTGGCATTGTCTCTACGGACAGGGCTCTGATGACCTTTTCGCGGTTAAAGGGAACCTGGAGTCGTGGCATCGCCAGGCAACGGAGGTAGCAGGTACGCCCTCGCACATATGTGAACAGGTGACTGATATCCATTTCAGGTTCTTGAAGCTGCCGCTCTTGCAGAGAAACCTCTCCTCAGCGCGAGCGGTGCCGCCTCGGTTGATTTTGGCCTGCGAACTCTGCAGTTCCATTACCTTTCTCTTCTGGTCTTACTGACGGTATCCAGCAAACAGCTGCGGAAGCAGTCTACTCACCCATCGCAGCAAATGCTTCAGTTATTGCCAAGTCTTGGCGAGATGGATCTAGATCTCCAGGAACCATACACCTGCCTAGTATGGCAGCGTCTTCACTGTCCGTTGGCCGCGTTTGGCGCTCTCTGGGGAGACACTGTGCTTAAGGGCAAGACCCATGTTGAGCAGAGTAAGCAGTCTCTAGAAACTATGGAGCATCTGTCGCCCTTTTTTAGCAAATTGAGCTCTCGGAATTCACTTGCGGCGAAACTAGAAAGCATCGCCGACAGGATGGTTCAGTTTGCAAGAACCGATCTCTATTTTCAAGGCAAGTCCTCCCCCGAAAATCATGAAAATGAGGCGCCTAACATTCTTGTCTAAATGATGAAGCAGATCAAAATACACCGAACCCAAACATCCCGACTCGTGAAACACCTGATGGGCGAACACAAGGCGTGGAGAACCTGGACCAGCAAGCAAATGCATTCCTAAGTCCTGCGTCGACAACGAACGCATGGAATGCTTCCAGTAGTGAAAATCCCGATGCACAACTCGAAGGTTTCTATACGTTGCCAAACGACGGCTTCTTGAACACCACATTTGATAACTTCTTTGCTGCCACCTTCGACTGGTCGATCTGGGATAATCAAGAACTCTAGTAGAGCGATGATTTGGTTCGACGGATAATGGAAATCGAAACGCGTTTTGACTTATAAATAGCCGTTAAGGCTTAAGCTACCCGGGGAAGAGTGGAGATTTAAAGTGGCTCTGGGTTGGACAGTTGCATTACTGAGATCTTCTTTCTTCATTTAACCCGGGCAGTTTATCTAACCAACTTCTTTCGACGGTGGCGGTAATGAGATATCTTCTTTGGTCTTGCTTTTGTTTGGTTTAGGTTGTGAGATTGGTATCCCAAAGCTCGTCATTGTCAGATTTATGGTTGTAGACGGCAATATTTACGTAAAATAGCTTCTTCATCCTCTGTTGGGTATTGTCGAAGGACAGAGTCGCGTAGCAATGCCCACTCCCTCGGCCGTGGCACCTGGGCTTCCTTATTTCTGCCACTATTTCCAGAGCCGAAGATTGAACCAATGAAGTCTCATTGACAAGAAGAGCCCGGTTTGTTAGTTGCGCGGTATGTTTTCAACCATGGCATTATGGAACCGAACCCAGCTGCACTAGACTATACAAACAAGCTTATCAGATGCATCTTACGCCTTCTTGAAGTACTGTTAATATCCGTATTACATGCCGCACTATGTTATCAGTCCTGCCTCGGCTTGCCACGAAATCGATGAAGACCTTCAAGGCAGGCTCGGCTTCGATACCTAAGGTATTGATAAGTTGTCGATACGTATTAATACTTAGGCTTAAATAGAGCTAATACTTATATCTCTTATAATTATAATTATTTTAAGATTTCAATAATTAATATTATATAACTTAATTAAAAATTAGTCTTTATATAACCTTTTTTTTTTTTGGCAATTGTGACAGCTAGTCACGTGCGTGGCTCGCCTGCCGATGCTTGCCCCTGACCACGGCCTCGTCCGCCTCAGGGCGTAATCTTATTTTGTATATAGGGGCTAACCACCCATCCTTCCCTTCTCTTCTTTTCTATCTTCTTTGTTTCCTACTAGACTTATAAATGGACTACGGTTAGCCTCCACGCACTCCCATATGCCTCTGTGAGCACGTTGCGCCATTTGTGTTGTTATATTAATAATTATTAATAAAATTAATAAAATTAAAATTGCGAATATTTGAGCTCTCTCTTGACGTATGGTCACGAATCAAATAGTTAGTAAGCTGTGGAAGAAAGCAGCATCGTGATTAAAGAGGTGTCTTATTACAAACTGATATACCTACATTATGTATAAGCATGAGACAGCGGAAAAAGAAACACATTTGTCCAGCTCCAGGCTGATCTTCTGCAAGCTTCAACAGCCTCTCCAGGAAGAATTTTTTCTTACTGCAGGTATTCTAAGATGTCTGTCCATCCTACTTCTTCTCAGTCGCCTCGGTCTTCTCAGCAGGGGCATTCGCAGCTCCGTCATTCGCAGCTGGGGGTGCTTCCGGTTTCTTGAGAATGTTCTTCCACTCCATCGAAGATACACCCAGCACGGCGAGGCAAGACAAGATCAAGCCGATCTGAAACACCTTCCGCAGCGACTCATTATAAGCCGTGAGGACTTGTCCCAGGTACTCCGCCCGCACCGCGCCAACCAGGGTCGTAGCACCACCCGCTGTGACCAAACTGCGGTCAAAGCCAGGAATGCCCGCCAGCCGCTGCAAGAGCTGATTATCCAGCACGTTCTGCCCCGCCGAGACGAAGACGGCCGCACCGAGGAGCTGCCCGAAGAACATGAGCGCCATGCCCATGGGAACATCACGCTTGGGTAGACTGGTCTGCGTGGCGAGGTTCGGGGTCTGGAAACACAACCCCATGCCGAATCCGTACAGGACCTGATAGCCGATCCATTTCCCTGCCGCGGTATCGACCTGCAATATCGTGAGGAGCCCGGCGCCGACGGCCATCAGACTGGCTCCGAAAATCCCCAGGGGTGTGTACCAACCGATCTTCTGGTTGAGGAATCCTCCCGAAATCGAAGCGAGGACGAAGGCTATCATAGTTGGAAGGAGCCGGATGCCGGATTGTACCGCCACGACACCCTTGATGGATTGAAACCAGAATGGGAGGTAGTAGACTGTAACCAAGGTCAGTCATGAGGTTAGCAGTGGCTGGGAAATTGTCCCCTTACTAAAGATGTACTGCGAAGACCCGATGCAGATGGTTGACCAGAGACTTGCGGCGACGCTCCGCTGCTTCAGAATTCTCGGAGGGAGCGTTGCGGTCTTGGGAAGCAAGGCCTGCACAAAGATGAAAGCAACAATTAACACCCCGGCAACAGTCAACAATACGATGACACGCCCATTGTTCCACTGGAGATTGTTAATACAACGGAAAGTCAAACCTACTGTGAGCGCTACTTACAGCGTATATCTGGCGACCCCACTGAAGTGCGAGCAGCAGACAGACGATGCCCGGTACTAGAACTGCAGTGCCAGGGGCATCGAGTTGCGATAGCTTCTGCGCCCAGGGGAGTTTGTAGGTCTCTTGGTCTGGGAGTTTGAGAAAGAAGAAGATGGCGGCCATCGCCACGCCGCCGAAGGGCAGGTTGATATAAAAGCACCATCTCCACGACACATTGGACGTGAAGCCACCACCAATCAAAGGACCGATAACGGTGGCAAAGCCCATGATGGCACCCATGAGGCCCTGTACCTTTGGACGCTTTTGCAGAGGAACAGCATGAACCACGCATACGATCTAGGGGATCGCTGTTAGCCAGGTAAGGCGAATGGGGCAGTGAACAGTACCAGACTTACGGTTCCTGCGAAGATGCCAGCGGCGCCGACTCCGCAGACTGCTCTCCCGAGAATAAAAGCTATCGAGTTGGGAGCAGCTCCACAGATGGCAGAACCAACCTCGAAGATCAAGAGAGTGCCAAGGAGAACCCACCTCACAGGGTAAAAGGTGTAGAACTTTCCAAACAGCAACTGGAATGCACAGCAGGTCAACAAGTACACACTTCCGTACCAGCTCACGTCAGAGAGGGAGTGGAAGTCGTCTGTAATCCGAGGGATGGCCTGGCCGGATGAAGTCAGCGAGGATGGTCTGTTCAACACGAGGTGCACATACTGTCGAGATGATTGTCCGGTCCACAGCGACCAGGAACATGCCTAGGAAGGCGGCGGCAAGGATGAGGATGGTCTGTAGGTTCGACTGCTGCAGCTTGGCGGCGTCTGGTTTGCCTTGATCGGGTTTGATTGCATTACCATCGTGAGATACTTCGCCGGCGTTTGCCTTTTCCAAGTCTACTTGGTCTCCTGTAGTGGTATTGACGCTTTCGTGAGCCTCTGGGCTTGACATTTGGGATCGTGGAGTTTGTTACTCTATTCAATACGGTACAAAGTTGGCTGGAAGTGTAATCGGAAACTGTTGATCTGACCTGGGATGCGGGAGAACGAGAATGGAATTGGTTGTTGTTGAAAAGTAGAGGATAATGGGATAGTGTGTTGTTGAAAGGTAAAAGTGAGCGGGCTCGGCCTCTTAAAAGGTGATCGGGCAATAAACGTTCTGAAACTAACATTCTACTTGGTTTCGGAAGATACGTATAGTATTGTGTGTTGTAGACTTGCTTATCTGGCATTGCGATCGTTCTAAGAAGCGTAGGGCATCTTCGGAGCTTACGGAGGTTATAAGGAGTTGGGCATCTCTTCGGAACTTACAGAGGTTATAAGGAGGGCATCGTCGGAACTTACGGGGGTTATGAAAATGGCAGGGCTGATTGGTTTGTCAAGGCTTGCACTTCTAAATACGCCTTCCTAAAATCGGTTACATTTACATTTTATTAAGACTACTTTATAAAATATTGATTTTTTACCCTAAATACTTTATAACTTTACTATTACTTCTTTTGCTCGTAGACTTGCTATAAGAAGCAAAGCACAGAGAATCACGTGAATAACACCTACTTGGTCTCAAAGAGTAATATTTGTATATTATTACTTTTTGAGCCAAATATAACAGATAATTGTAACGGCAGGCCGCTTAACCGACAGCAACACGTGCTCTACCGAGCTCTTATACTTACTTGGGCTAAGGCTCGGGGCTAATACAGATGGTTGTGAGAGGTCAAGTCGGGGATAACGCCTTTTTTGACCTCAATAACCCTCCTTCAAGTAGCCAAACATTGTGAGGGGAAGAGGATAAAGACTGCTGTCGACTGGTCATCCCAGATCTCAAGCGGAGGTACGGGAGCCATCGGTCGTTCGACCATGTGGGGAACTGTTACGGTCATGTGCTGCATTTCCAGTATTTAGTTTGAGTTGTTTTCAGTTGATAAGGTCAACAGGCCAATCAGGATGGAGTTGCTTATAGGGCAAAGCAAAGGGCACTTAAAAAGAGGGGAAGCCTCCCCTTGATGATCCTGATCCTGAAAGGTCTGGCAAGACGAAAAAGTAGCCTAGGGAGGCCCAATTGAGCGATTAATCCGGGAGAAAATAGGCACCACAGAGTACACAAAATACAGGAGATACAGGGGACCATAGGGGAGAGAACAAAGACCCTGGAGAAGAGGATATAAGAGATCAGGACTCTGAGGACGATATGATCGACGTCTTTTTTGACAATCGGCGTAATAGTACTCAGGAGGATTGGTCAAGTCAGGCGTGTACTCTATTGATAGAGTCGGATGAGGAGGACATATCAATTGGGTACAGTTCACTGGGAGGATGCGGCTACATTTGATTCTCTTAGATAATACATATAAAAATACGATATCCTACATTGGGGCTGTTAGGGGATATCACCAATTAGAGACGCTTTAAGGTGCGTAGCGCAGTGCATAGGCTCTCCGAACTTAATGGACCTCCAAAACTTCAAATCCAACCACTGATCGGGTGTGTTTGGCCTCAGGATGGTCGTCGCAAGAGTATTTAATTTTGCTTAGCTGCGGCCCGTAGAGAATTTGCATTTTCGAGTATTGAAATGGAGGCCTTGACAGAGGACCAAAAAATGAAAGTAATGGTTAAAATCTCAAAACCCACCCCATGGGGCCCTATGGTGCACCCTACCCACACGCTGTAAATTCCATCCCTCCTAGCTGTCGATCTGTTAGCAAGGAACCGCTCTACGGATGCCCCATAGCTGACTTAATAACATAAAGCTACTTCCAAGGAGCAAGAACGCTTACCGGCGCGGCCCCGAATGCTTCCTGTACAATTATGAAATTGGTATCCAATGGTGGCTAGGGCAACAGCGAAAACGATGGTTCGGCGGTCGTCGGTCATAAAATTGACCACATCGGTGGGAAAGGGGTACCTATATTTACTTGTAGCCCGAAAGCAAACATCGTTGGTGTGCCTGCCGGCGCAAATAACATGATTCGGAGCCTAGATAGGTAGGTATGCAAAACAGCCGAACCGCCTGTGAGATCTTATTCCTCAGAGTAATGTCAACAACTCCTAAGTTGGTTCGGGCTGTGAAAGTCTTGCTAATAGTAATCTAGCAATTAATGCTCTGATCCAACGGCATATCCTCCCTCTATTGTGGCTGCCAGAGCTGGCCTCAGATTGCCTGCGAGGCCCGTATCAATATATGCGCAACGGTGGGTGATTTGATCGAGGGGACACATGATACCAGAGGCCAAGTGCAGATCGTATTGATATTTCCAGGAACAAAATAGTGGCCGGCATTGAACATTGTGCATTTAAAAAAATAGAAGGTTTCACCGACCATCATCCAAAACCGCTCCCGAGACCGGAAAACCACCAAGTGTTCGGTCTCCGAGCAGCACAAGCTCCGCAGACAAGCCATCTTGAATGCGAGGAAATACCGTTTGCAAACAAATGTATTGTGCATAAATGGCTAGGTTCGGGGTGCTTTGACAAGGTGTCGGATGATTGGCCATTGGTAGTGAGTGAGACAGCATTGCATAGGGGATGGCTCGGGTACTGACATCCCCACAGAAACCGATTTAACTACCCCGCTGAGCACTTCAGAATCTCTCCCACTGGGATAATCCGTACGTTCATCGAATTTATCTCCAGTGAAAGAATCGCAAAATATGGCCGCAAAGACTCTCCCCAACGGACTTACCAACATCCATCGGTTCATTACAACTCATGATCAGTCCGGCAAGGCCGTTTTCTCGGATGCGGTAGCTCCCGAAGCAAAATGGGACGAGATAGGGAAGACATCTGGTTTCAACTTCTTCCTCGGGTACACGACAAGCAATTTCCCCACTTCCATGAAGCCGTCTGATGAGAAGGACCATAAGTCCGAACATGAAGATATCGTGAGTTATAAGCAGCACCTGGAAACCCCTCCAGGGTTGTGCGTTAGCAGTGGTAAGAACCCCAACTCCGCGCAACTGCAATACCCAATGATGATAATATAAAACTGCCCACAGGCACTGTGTGTCGATTTGTCGACTTCGCCCCGGGCGCAACACCTATGATGCACCGGACAGCTTCACTTGATTATGGCGTTGTCTTGGACGGAACCGTTGAATGTATCTTGGACTCGGGAGAAGTAAGAACTATGAACAAAGGGGACCTATGTGTGCAGCGAGCTACAAACCACGCGTGGAAAAATGTCACCGAAAATGGGGGCTGGGCGAGGATGATGTTTGTGCTTGTTGGGGCAGAACCACCAGTCGTGGGGGGAAATACATTGGGAGAAGAGCTGGGGGCTGCGGCGGATGGAATTAAAAGCAGCGATTGATCCTCCTACCAATAAAGTGAGGTTGGAGACGCACAACATATAAACAGGCAGTTTTGTAGACTTTCTTAACAATAAGTTGACTAAAATCGAGAAACGCCTCGCAAAAGGAATGACTGATTGTTTTTACGTCGCATTTTGAATCTCTTAATTGTTGTCATATCTCTTGAAAACAGATGTCTCCTTTCAACAGAACTACCACAAAGGATTTATTTGAAAATTTCAAAAGTCAAGTACAATATAATGCTCGATATGCCGCTCGGCGGATACACTTGTACACTCGGTGGGCGGAAACTTTCTTGTTTTGTTCAACAGAATGGAGCGCTGGGAGAACATGGGAGCTGTGCCACGACGCGATACTGGCTCTTAACGTTTCGCGACAAACCCTGCACTTTGCGACATCAGCTTATTTAAGTTACTCTAGATATGATACACACACTTCATGGCAACCTTTATTCGACAGAACACCAAGGCCTGTGGAGATTGGAATTGCATAAAACCACGTTTCTAGTCCATTCTAAGTTCGACGTTGCTGCCCGCACCCTCCAGGCGAACGAAAATAGAACGGCTGTTGCTCGAGATATGTCAACGCCCACCACCTTCCCACAATCCTCCCCACCAGATCCCTCCCTCCGTCCATCGAGCTGCTAATAGCGTTGAGAGATGCCTCGGTCGAACGAAGATTCCCTGGAGATGGCATGGTCAAAACAGCCTACCGAATGGACACGAACCCGAATAAGTGGGAAAGAAGACCTGATGTGCGCTAAATATTGAGATCTATAGCGATTGAGCAGTTGTGGGGTTTTTGATTGATGGAGCGAACACCGAAGGGATGCAGTACAGAACTGGTTGAGAGTGTCTGGAAACCCCCAAAACCGTCGCGTGGCACTAGCCCCGATGGATTTGACAAAGATCCGGTTCTGAAAAGTAGCAGAACTAGAGCATTTCTAGTTTCCAAGACGTGTTACTGGCTCACGAAAAATATAATCTGGCCAAAATGGATTATTGGAAAACGCTAGAACCCCCGAAGTGCGGGGACGTTTATAAGGTTATCCATCCTCCCCCATTTTCTCGATATTTCTATAAGAAAGCTACATATATGTTGGAGTTGCACTTCTCATCTTTCAATTCTATTATTACCTATTTTTCTCTAGAACACTGTTTATTCCGTTGTCTTGGTCGCAGAGAGCCGATTCAGTATATTTTCCATCGATGTCTTTATCTAGGATAGTAGTATCTTCCAATTCTCGTCTGGGCACTGGTTGAATGGGATATCTTGATATTGAGCTGCACACACCCGCTCACACCTTGCCATAAATTAGCTTTGCATACGTTCGACCCTTTAGGTCCAAGTAATGAACTTGAGCGAAGTCTACATTGGAATACGTTGGCGAGAATATATTACTATATGCAATTCTGTGAAACATGCTAGCTGGGCATGGTTGAATTGGCGATAAAAATGTCTGGGAAGTTAATGGGAACGTGTATAAAGATGTCCCGCGGGAAGCATATAGTACTTCTGCGCTAGTGCTTGTCTAGCATTAACTAAGCTGTTAAAATATTCTACTGAACTGACGAGACTTTACTCCATCGAGTTACTTCAGTTACACCTATTCTTCTTTGAGCGTTCAACAGTAGCGGGTCAAAGTTGGGTTCATCTATCTAGTAGAGCAAAGAAAGACAGCAAATACCCCAAAAGATGGACGTTGATCTCCAAGCACAGTACTGCCACACTATCGTAGTCATAGTAACAGACACGTGGAAACTCAAAATATATAGCTTTCATTTTGGTTGAAGTCTCTCAACACCCGGAGTATTCTAGACTCATAGAATATATCATATCCCAACAGAGATTCGAAGGGTTAACAAGAAAGAGGAAGGTAAATTCAACCCGGCCTTCTGCTGGAGTGTAGCCTCGTGGGCAAGTGTGTTAGCGGTAGGTTATGCCGCCACTTCTAAGTACCCTACCCTGGGTCACTGGAGGGGGTGTCAAGTGGGTACGGTAATTGTAAGGAGTTATCAGTTGCGTTGCGTTAACTTCTAATGCCACGACTCCATCCCTAGGTGTTAATAAGTTCCTATTGGCGGCATTGAGTCGGTTTGAAGTTGCTATTAAACCGGCTAGTTCTTGAGCTCGGCGTCGACCAAGCGCGCGGGGCGGTGCGGGTGGTGGAGGGCCTGGAGGTATGCCTGGAGGAATAGCCGGAGGTATGCCTGGAGGTATGCCTGGGGGAACACCTGGAGGAATAACTGGAGGAATGCCTGGAGGAATAGCTGGAGGGACACCTGGAGGTACTGGAGGAGGTGCTGGAGACATATCGACTTGTATATAAAGTTAGTTGTAGCTCATCTACCCAGATCATACACATCGCATAGCAATACACCTACTTCCAAGCTTGTTCCCAAGCCTTTCTAACCAGACGTCGTTGGCTCATAGGGCCGGATTGTGGAATCATGAGATACACATGTAGAATTTGCCTTCTTCTTCTTAACCTGCCCTTTGTCGGGTGATTGTACCACGCCACAATCATACCGAGAATTTGCTCTGCAGCATTGCTGTAACCGTACCCCAGATCTCCAGAGCCGATTAAACCAAATGCAATACTCCTAGGCGTTCGCCACCAGTCCCATAGTTCCGGATAGCGGCCTCGGTCTGGTTCCTCGTTGGGGTCGCTCCACTCTGGGTCATGCGGGCGCCTTGGCTTGGTGACCGCTCTACGTAGGATTCTGTGAATACATAGCCTTAGAGTCCGGTTGCTTCCAGGCGGTTTGGTTTGCAAATTGACTAAAAGGGCGGCGTTATAGAGGCTGCCCTCTCCTCCTAGGAGTAGTTAGCTGCAGAATAGGTTTTATGGGCCAAACATAGGGGCTAAGAATAACGTTCCAAGGAAGCTTACCTGGAACTATCTTTGCAAAGTTGTTTCGCAGATGTCCGCCAAGTACCTCGGAAATATAATTATGTACACCGACCCCAGCTCGATCATACCACTCCGTTTCTTTCCTGCGAGCGCCTGACGATCAACCCGCATACGCCCGTCCGTAACCACAGTAATCGCATCTATGGGGCTGTCAATAATATCACCATACATAAGGTAGTACACAGGAACTTTGCGTCGGCGACCGCTGCTTTTAATGATGGTAGGAGCTGCATTTCTTGCTGGACGTGGTTGGTTCATTTTGAGATATATGCAGTTAGGAAGTGACCCAGACGGTACAGCGATCTTGATTCGAACTATTAATAATAAATACACCGGGGACTTGAAAGGACCCCTAAAGAATGTAACATACTCATGCCAGAAACGGGATGCCCTTGCCTTTTGAGCTACATACAAGTGATAAAGGTCAAGGCTTTTGTTGGGGAAGTCCCACTGGAAGTATCCAGCTATGGGCTCCAGTCGTTCTTTGTTTGAAACTCTGGGTCATCTCAAACGGCCGCCGTCTTTGTAGAACACAGATATTCCTTAGTCCTAAGTATGGGATGATATCCTTGGGGAGGGAGATGTTGGGAGGAACGGGGGTATGCCATCGGCTGCATAGAACCCGCCTTTTGTTCCCATCCCTATCGCAGATATATATAGAAAGTCATACTCGTGCTAGCGTGATATATTTGATCACTACTACATAATCTACCAGATATCTCCCTCTGCGCTTGAACTCCGTTCTATTTCACGATCAGGAGGTGGTCCAGGCTGCGAGCTTCCGTCAGAAATTTCTTCCGAAGCAGAACTGGAGTTGCTCGCTGTATCTAAGGCCGACTCAGAGTCAAACACGGAGTCAGAGCTCACTGATTCAAGCTCAATATCGGACAAGCTAACTCCAGCATCCAGCTGGTTCTCGGTATGGGTTATATTTCGATCTCTTATCGCCTCTCGGCGTTCTACATGATCTTCGTGCCGTAGTCGGCGAGTTTCATGTCGAATTGTGCGCGCCTCTTCTCCGAATTGTCTGATAAGGTCGGCAGTTTGTTCATAACTGTCCCTCGTCACAAAATGTCCGGATAATTTGATCGTAGATAAGATTTCTGCCAACAGTGTCCTCTACAACGGCTCTAAGTAGGTTTGGACCATTATTGAAGCCGAGGATGAATAAGTTGAGGGGTAATGGAAAGGCCCGGTGGGGGAATGCTCGGCCACGATATGTATGATGGATATTCATGAAGTATCCGCATGCCAAAGAAAAGGACGTGGCGGCTACAACATCCATATTTCCGTGGATCAACCCGAAAATCTCCGTGGGAAGAGGCGGGGTCCAGGGTTGTCAGAGTCGTCAGAGTCGTCAGAGTCGTCAGAGTCGTCAGAGTCTCCAGAGGGCGATTGAGAAGGCACTGGAGGTGCTAAATGATGATTGATTAGTACTTTATGGCCGAAATATGCGGAAATCTAGCGTACCCTTGCGCTTCTTTTTATGGGTCCATCTCTTTGCCTTAGCCTTCCTCTTCCGTCGTGGAGCCATTATGTACAGATTGACAAATATATAAACGAAATTGAAAATTGAGGGTTGGTGAAGGCATTCGCCCTGGGGGCGCGGAAATTGAAGTTTGGGGAGGAAAAGTGTTGGAGGCTGAGGCTGGTAGAGAATAGATGTCGTGTCACACTCAAGTATAGATACTGGTAGTAGTACTTAGTACTCTGCTTGTAGCGCTAATGGGACTGGCCATGCCTACCAATGTAAATAAAGCGGGCCAAACTGTTTCTAGGAGAGGAAAAAGCTGCTCGTAGGGGAGGGAGGCACTTAAGTCGTGCCTATTCGAGAATGTTAAGTGTTCGTTCTCCTCAAGGAGAGGAAACCGCTAGACAATGAATCTGATCAATCGGTCAGGGCTATAGGCCCTAGAAAGGACATCTGTAAGAGTTTGTAGTTTTACATTAACAATTGGGGGGAAGCCCTCCTAGGAAATTATCTGCTTGTGGGTAGAATAGCAATGTAAACAAATGAAAGGCTTCCGAGGGCCCGAGACAACGCTTAAACATCTACAAAAGAGACATGGTAATTCATCTCCACTTAGAGCTCAAATTTCCGGAAACGCGCAGATTTACACTTTTGCCAGCAAGTATCAAAGGAGTATAATAAATATGCTAGCTCAAAGGTCGCATTTGGAAGCAATTTGCGCTTTCCTTTGTTGGTTGCACTATTTCCGGTCAAAGACTTAAGGCATTTTAGGGAGGGCGTCCACTCTTCGAATTCGAAAAGCTTCACTAATAATGCCGATGATTCTTTGATACGCTATGGAATAGATTTGTGCGGTTTTAGCTTCCTATTTGAGGATCTGCATCAGGCGCTAGCTTGATTTTCATCTATTTTGGACACCTTAAAACGGACCACATGGGACATGCTACATTCCACATTTCCCAATCGCTTGATAGGGCACCCACCAAACAAAACAGACATTGTATGTACCACAACACTAAGAAATAGGAGTATTAAGCCGCAAGAGCGAAAGCAAAAAAATCAAGTGGCTAAGTGCAGGAGTCTCGACCCACAGTATATGCAAAAGTGATAGCATTCTCACATCCTCCTTTCTTCACTTCATTATGTAGGATATTAATGTCTCTAGGCGCCGTATTCCAAGCACTCTTAGAGGAAATTAGCCAGCACTCCCACAAGAGCAGCCCCCAACGAGCTTAGACCCGCCACACCAGCAACCCTCTCCGCCCCCGCGGACTTCGTTGCACTCGCGCCAGCACCTGAACCTGTTCCCGTAGAATTTCCTGCTTGCGAACTCCCAGTAGTCAGCGTAGTCGCACCAGTCTGGGTGGGACCAAGGCCCGCTGTAGTTTTTGTTGCAGCTACGGATGAAGCTGATGCCTCAGCTGCCGTGAGCTTCGCAAAGAGACTATTGGAGTCGGGGGAGGAGGTGGCTGGGGTTCCTTGACGGAATGCGCTCTGGGTGGAGTCGCCGATGGGAGCTCCTACTACTACCCTTGTGGGACAGACGGCGACATAGAGTTCCGCAACTAAGTTCATGCTATATTTATGTTAGTTTTCGGATATATCTACGATCCACGGAGAGAAAGAGAGGGATGAAGAAATAAATTAGTAAAATGAAGGGGGCGTAGGAATGAAACCCCTAAAAATGTTATGACTAACGTATTAGCTTGCCCATTTCCATTAGTTGTCGTTATGGTCTTAGTAGTATACAGCGTGGATGTAGTCATTATAGTCGTGTATCGCGGGTATGCATCCAACGTCATTGTATCTGTGGACGTAGGGTTCAACGAAACAGTAATCGTGTTCTGTCCCGTAGGTTTGACCGAGATTGTAGGGGGAACAGGGTCTCCTGGAATGATCCCACAGTTGTACTTGGGGGATGCACTGCATTCTCTATGTTAGCTTACTCCAGTTCATGGCCTCTTCGTTATGAAGTGAGTTTGGGCCTCGAAGATACGAATGTCATACTCTTTATTATAGCAGAGGTTATTCAGCGCCTCAGAAAATTCCGACCAGTCTGAAGAACTGCACCTCGCCTTTACACGGCATAGATCTCGGGCATACGAGACGCCGGTATCGTGCCCTCCAAAGGAATTTTTCAGTGTGTAACTCTCGCATGCGCAAGTCGGATCCATGACATCGTCGATGGTAACGCATCCTGCATAGTTAACGGCTTGCGCGAAACATGCTTGCTGTTCGAGAAGCTTAGTTAGTCGCATAGAATTGTTTAGTTTGGTTAGAGAGACTAACCGCACATTTGGGAATCGCGGCGATTTGCGCGAGGGTCCCGGTTGCGGAAAGCAGGAGTACGAGTAGAAGATTCATTATTATAATAGAAACGCAATTAAATTTCAGCTTGCAGTAATGACTGTGATTTGGCAGGTTGTGAAAATAGGAAGAAGGAAAGATGGAAACTTATTGAGGGTAGGTTTGGTCGAGCGGGTTTGGCATTAACGTACCTTACGGTCCCTCGGCTCGGATTGGATAAGAAAGACAAGGTAACCTTGTTTTAAGATTGCTCTCGGGATTATCTGCTTTGGGATATTTTCCCCCACTAGTAAATGTCGTCACCACGTGACTCGCGATTGCCTCATAATTGCCACTTTGAGACAACATAAGAGACAGTTGAAAGTGGACAATTATTAGTCCTGTGGGTATGCCTGAGCAGCCACTATGAACCCTCAACTTTGAGGATCATTATAGTTGTGTCGAAGATTACTTTCTGAGAATGCGACACAGTGTGATCAGGGACGTGCATGGCAAGATAGAGCACCAAGGTACGTCGTAAATGACTCTCCGACGCATCTGATACTATTCTACGAGCAAACCCTCAAAATGACATCGACATTAGAATTTTATCTTTCGTAACACTTTTCATGCTAGAACCGCCCAAGTCTGAGAGAACTCAGAGTAGCACTAGAATCTAGGTATCAAACTTACAATAAGCCAAAGGATATAAATTGCATAATCGGAATATTTTCTGATTTCGATGCATTGTCAGGGTTCCTCTAAAAAATATTGGAGATGATACGGAAGGACAAACAACAGACCAATCTTCTCTTGAGGTTGAATGTACCAGACAAAAGTCTGAGATGGTACTGACAAGTAAGCCACGGCTGAAAGCTTCCTTTAGTATCAAATCAAGAGATCCTATCGGCAAATAAACTTGAAACTATCAATGGTATCTCGCGCCCACTAGGGCAGGGTTTTCACACAAACTGTTCGCTCAATGAGGTTAGGAGGGCCAATTACACGACCACTTACTCAAAGAATGGGAAGTATAAAATAAAACAGTCGCAAGGGCTAAAGCAGGCGATTTTCTCAAGGTTCGTAACGGCGTCTCTACCATTTAGCACCCTAGGTATGTACTTTATGGCGGCGCAATGCTAGCTGCCTACTCTTCCTCCACGCACAGCCTCGTAACTCACCCAGTAAACGGGCCCCCTTAGACCGCTAACCATGCAAATCTTTCTCCACCATAGCTCTACAGATCGGATGATAGAAGTCTTTGTTCTTCTCAAAAGTCTTGACCGCGAGCTCCCTATCTACCCCAGCTAATCGCCGATATAGCGGTCGTACGAACTTCATCCTTCCAACCTTACCTAGCAAGTCTGCTGCAGGCTGGTAGACGCTCTCATCTTTAGCTATAAGACCGATGCCGTAGTAGCGTGAGCTAAGTTCAACATTACGGGTATCCGTAAGAGAGTATGCTTCTCCCATGGCGCGGGATTGGGAAGTGCTGATTGGTGTTGAAAACAACTGGACACGTTCAAGGAAGGCGACGACTTGATTAGCTGTCCAACCGTGGATGTCAGAGGGGCTGGGTTTATAATCCTGTTAAAAAGTTAGAAATCAGTAAATATTTGGGCAGTTACGGTCCAGTATTGTATTAATGAAGTACCTGTGATTCCCATTTATCAGCTAGCGCATAACACTTATCGACCATGCTGGTATCAAAATCAGGCTTTGGCGGCATGCCTGGTTTGTAGAACCATGAATCCCAATCGACCGATTCGAGCGCCTTAGATGCTTCTTTGTCGGAAGCGAAGAAATCTAAGAGCGTTGCTTTGAAGTCGTAGGAATCGAGAGACTTCTTAAGCCAGGTTGTGAAATAATGAGGGATGAATTTGTCAAATGTAGGCTTGCCAACAAGCTTCTCTAGATAATAGAGGAAATGAAATCCCTAAGAATGTGAGCAACATAATTGAATAAGTGGCGAGGGAGGTGACCTTTTCATATGGGATGCTGCTGAATGCGTCATCGGGATCTTTGCCTTTAAGATCAACGATAAGTTTGGTAAATTCGTGGTCATCGCCGAAACGATCTACAGATTCCTCTAAAGGAGATTTAGCAAATGTTCGGTTAAAAAAGGTGTGGATGAGGTACTCAAAGCTGTCCATCCGATAATAGCAGAAAAGTCTCGGTGAGCTTCGCCATGAAGAGCAGCTAGGAGTCTACGTTCAAGATAAGTTGTCCAACCTTCATTCAACCAGCTGCCCAGAGTCAACATAAATCCCGCGAGGTCAAAAAGTTTAACTGCGGTGAGCCAAATTGTCCCGTTATTGGGCATAAGGCGCGGCCGACTAGTGGAGACTTACAAATGTTCCCAGCTGGCGTTCGAGACCAAGTTTCCACTCCAGCTATGGCTCAACTCATGCGCGATAACATCCACATTCTCCCTATCCCCGCTGATAATAGTGGGCGTGGCAAAGGTAAATACGGGATTTTCCATACCGCCGTAAGGAAAGCTAGGAGGCAATACCAGAACATTGTACTGAGTCCATTGATATGGAAAGATCAACTTCTCAGCGATTTCAATGTACTTTTCCGTATCCGCTTCTAACTCCCACTTGGCATCAGAAAGCTCCTCTGGACCCGTGGATACTAAGGATCTGGGGCCAATGGAGGCAGTCGCGATGTCACCAGATGCCAGGGCGAAGAGATAAGATGGCATTGGGATTTCTTGGCGGAACGAATAGAGCAAGGTTCCAGACTCGCCATTCTCGCCATGTTTAAAAGACGAGGCTCCAGTAGGCAAGCCACTGGCCAAAACCGGGAGTGGAGAGCGGATGCGGAAATCATATGTGCTCTTCACATCTGGCGTATCCTGACAAGGAAAGATAGATCTGCTGTGGATAGCCTGGCATTGGGAAAACATGTATGGGAATTTCTTGTTCGATGTTTGGGCTGGAGCCATCCACTGCAGGGCTGTACACTGGTCTGTGGTTGACAGTGCAATATCCAATGAAACAATGGTACCCTTTGAAGCACCCCCAGGTACTTTGACAGTGAGAGGGCTACCATACGGCTCGAAGCGTTCCTTAACTTTCCAGTCCTTGCTCTTACTCCCATCGACACTGATCTCTTGAACATCCAGGAAGCTAGTATCGAGAATGATTTCTTCAGATTCCTTCTCTGTGGTGGACTCCAATTGCAGGGTAACTGTGCCCGTCAGGCGCTGCTTCTTGAAATCAATAGCAAGATCTGCAATGGTATGCTTCGTAACCCAGTTGTTGTAGTTGGATAAGGTATTGGGATCACGAGGGGGGGTGATATTGATGGACGCCATGGTGCGGATAACTGGTGTTTGTGGCCGGAAATGGAGAGCAGCTCGACGTCCGAATGAGAACAGTGAGTTTGCAAACGGGGTCAGCACAGTCATCTACTTGAGAGTTTGAGGCCTCGGGAATTGAAACACCCAGGTACAGATGATGATAGAGACGATTGACGGATGATGAGGGATGCTTTTCTTTTGTGCGCGAAATAGAATATAGACTCGAGGTATGATGTTTGGGGAGCTGCCCAAAGGGGTTAGTGCAACCGCGGGCCACATACCTTTGTAACTTCGCTATGCGTTTTAAGCCGAACTTAAGCCGAAACAAAATCGTTCCTAACATTCCAGGTTTCCATCTACTCTTCAATCTTTTCCATGGAAAGATAAATGCAAAATGATGATTCTATGAGGCTCTATGAGGCCCTGATTAGAACCACAACTTCGATCAATACTGAGAGGGGTTGCTGGGCGAAGGCTCCGTATAACTTGTTCTAGCCTTGAAGTCGACCCCAACTCCCAACTGGTATATTGCTGCTAAGAATCTATGAAGCAAGTGACCTCCAGCGATGCCATCAGTGGACAACGAACAGCCTGCCCCTAAAAGTCTCTATGTAAAGCTCCGACATTCATAGGAACCCTTCCGTCTTCAATCTTCAAACAATATGAGCTTGCACTCCGCCATCCCCCGTAGATGCACAATCCCGAATAGAAAAGATCAAAATATAAGTTGAACTTCTGTGCAATGTGCTTTGCACTTGCATGCGGTCATGGGCCTGCGTCTGCTTTGCGTTGTCGATATAGGGCTTCCAGACGATGCAGCGCAATGAATCGGTATTGTCCAGATCGCCCACGAAGATCATGGGGCCCATGGCAGCTCGACCAAGGAGTCGAGTGCCTTGGATGTGGTGCCTTATTCCTCTGAAACATAGCATTTCTTCAACTTCCTGTAGGGAGTTCCCGCGGTGTAACAAGTCATCCTCCCTACCCAACGTCGTCCGTCACCTCTTCCTGCTCCTCCCCCGAAACAATGTTATTCTCTCCCCTCTTTTTCTCACCACCTTCTTTGTCTGGCCAAATCCGCCCTAAATATTCCTTCGGGCATTTTCCGTCTCATCTTCATATTCCCCTGCATGTCATACCTGCATCTGTCATAGTGCTGTCAGACCTTACTTCATGGGGCTACTGTTGCATCCTTCCTACCTCAGTTGGATTTAAATCCGAACCCCGGCACTAGAAACAAGAACCACTTCAACCTCCTACCAAAAGTGCCAGAAAACCAAACCACCAATACTAGTTAGGTGCAGAGGGGTTGCAGGTGACGGACTTGGAGCGCTTATTAGGGACTATTGGTAAATATCAGCGGCTGGTATCGGATATGAATCCCCCGGGTCTACCTAATATGCCTGGTCGTCTACTCATTGTCTGATTATTTTGGCCATGTTATGATTATGCGTTCTATTTTACTTGGAGTTATGAAGATCCATATCCGAAGGCATGGATCGTGGGGTGAGGAAGGTTCCAACGAAATGTTTCTGGATTATCTACTCTTTACACACATAACCTCATAACCCCCTAACCCTCAAATGTCTAGTCATACGTCGGGCATTCCCCTCTAGCTTATCCCTGTTGAAACAATCCGATCAGCCTTCCTTCTCTGTGCTTTCTTAAATCTGGGTGGTTGCAAAGATAACCAACCAACACCAGAAGGGCAATTCATCCGTCCCTATATTACGCTGTGCGAAGACGATGAGACGAACATATACGGAGGTATATTTAGAATGTGCGGATTAATTACTAACCTATGCGGGTTGCGTGTAGTAGTATGGGGACGGTTAGATTTCGGAGATGTGACATAGATTTCTAAGCTGCATAGACAACAACAAAATCGTACGATCTTGCCCATAATTCGGCAACAGGGCATCGGTCATGAAAGGAGGCTAAACTAATCCAAGAGACAGCTACAGTCTAGTCGTTTCAAACACCACGTTTCTAGCAAGAATCCTAGATCCCAGGGCAAAAACGCCGTAGAGCTTGAGTGCGGCCGCTAGTCAGGGGCAGTGATTAATTTTGGGGATTGTTGCCGCAGGGGAACACTTAAGTCTGAGAGCCGGCACGGCGATAGTAGCGGGGCGACGACCCGGTGATGTGCTTTGACAGGTGCCGCCCCTCAGTTCATCCATGAACGGAATATAGGCCCACGGCACCCTGGAGAGGAATAGCCGTGTGCTGCTTTCCCAGTGACCGAGCAAGGGGAGATTTGATGCCTTCGCTACGAGTACCAAAGGCCAAAGCGACAAAAGTTGGGATGAAAAAGTAAAGGTCAAAGCAGGGTATGCCGCAGTCTTCGAACAAATCGGTGTTTTTACCTCGTATTCACAGCAAAGCTGTCATGTTGTAATATACTTATAGAGAATTATGAAAGTTATTTATAATTTACTCGACCCGTCTCAGCGGCATTGTATCCGTCACAAAATCACCAAAGGTGCAGGGAGGCCATATTTTTAAGTGACTCAACTCAATTTTTGCTCGTTACATGTGCTCTAAGCATGTAAAGGTAATGACTAAAAGGAAATCTATCTAAATTCCAAACCACCGAACGCCTCGCTGCGCTGCGCTAACCCAGCCAAAAATAAAACATTATATAAAAAGAAAAGTACAATTTATCTCTTGAGGACGAACCCAGTCCCACCAACTGTCAGGTCCATCGAGGCAAAGTGCCAGGCGATGCCCGCCTGTTTGGCCGCACCAACCCAGACGTGAGGAGCAAGGGGCTCAAATGTAGTCCGGTGCTCATACTCATCTAGACTCTTCTGTACATCCTGCATATTCAATCGTGCCTCAGCCGGGTAATGGACGACCGAGAGTGTGGACTGGTCATTTAGCTTAATATCCAATGCAGAATCGCAGACTTGATGCGCAAGTGGACCAGCAGAGATGAGATCAAAGCTACCATTCCACCCATTCTGATCCGGAATCTTCTCCATGCGGGTAGACAAGTCCGCGAAGTCCTTGATGATATCAGGAGATGCTTGTTGCTTATCAGCTGGTGTAGAGATGACACGATGGATGCGAACAGGTAGGCCAAGTTTCTGCGAGGCATTTTCGAGATATGCCTCGCTGGCCCACTTCGAGGCGAGGTAGCCATTGGACCCATTGCTTGGTGGCGCTGTTCCTGTGACTGACCCGGCTAATGTGTGGACGATACTTGGATCAACTAGGCCACCGCTTGATATAAAATGGAGAGGAATACGACGAGCTAGTGCTAGCTTGGCCAACTCTCTGGTAGACCAGAAGTTTGATCCTCGAAGCACCTGATAGTAGTCGGAGAAGGATCTATCAGCACCACTGTGGATGATGACATCGACTTCATTGGCCAGGGATGTAAATGTTGCTTCTGAGAGCCCTAGCATTGGCTCTGAAAGGTTTCCCTCGTGCTCAATAATCTTCGGAGACTGTCTTAGGATATCGCGAGGCATGTTCTTGGGGTTATCTTTCCGAACTGCAACAGCGTGGATCGTTGTTACTCTGCCGTCGCTAACCAGTTGCTTTAAGAAGTGTCGTCCAAGATATCCAGTTGATCCGGTCAGTAGAACCGCCAAGCCAGAGTTGGTTGAAGGAGCTTGGGTGATCGCGACTGAACGGCGGCGGAACAAACTATGCTCAAGGGAAGTCTCCGTTGTCCAGTCAATCGAAACTGCTGAAGTCGAATTGTCAATCTTGATTGCCATGTTTCGAAGTGTGCTTGCTTCAAACATCTCAGTCATCGGGACGACGACGTCAAAACGCTCACGGATAGTTGCCTGGAGTTTGACCAGCAGAAGTGAGTTCCCGCCGATATTGAAGAAGTCGGTGTTGCCATGGATCGAGGCTGCTGTTCCAATGTCTTTTGATACAACATCGGCCCAAACTTGCTTGAGAGCCAGCTCCGTCTCACTGAGGACTTCATTTGAGCCTTCGTCCTCGAGCAGGGGCAATGGAATATTATTCACCGCACGCCTGTCGATCTTGGCATGGCTGTTTAATGGAATCGCATCCAATGCAATGATCATGGCCGGGCACATGTACTTTGGAAGTGGCAAGCCAGCCAACAAAGCCTTCAAGTAATCGTCTCTTTCGCTTTCTGGGAAACCAGTAGCGAATTCAACATGGGCTACGAGAAATCCAGGATCGCCTCGGAGAGATGTGACGGCCTTGAAGATGTTACCCTCCGCAGCCTTGATAATGGTACTCTCGATGTCTCGCATCTCGATACGGATACCGCGTAACTTGATTTGTGTGTCGCCAGCAAGTCGTCCCTCATACATCAGATTCCCATTGCTTTCCAGGCGACCGACATCCCCGGTCCGATAGACAACTGGCCACTGCTCGGATGGAGAATATTTATTGGGGATAAATTGAGACTGGGTAAGCTGGTCGTTTTTGAAGTATCCCTTGGATACACCCGCTCCTCCAATGACAATCTCGCCACTGACGCCAACAGGAAGAAGGTCCAAGTTTTTGTCGACGATATATGTTTGATAGTTAGGCAATGCATGTCCAATAGGGACCGCGTCGTTTGACTGATATTCTATCTCTGCGTAGTGAGAACAGAAGGTGATCTCTGAGGGTCCATAGAGGTTGAGGAGTCTCAGGTTTGGTTTCCGCAAGGCCCAAAATTCTTCGGTAAGGGACTTGGTCAAAGCCTCACCACAAGACATTGCGCGATTCCAGGTTGGTGATTCAGCAAGAGCTGCTGCGTTATGTCGGAGCCAACTAAAGTACTCAGAAGGTGTCGCCATGGTGTAGGTAATGCCCTCGGTCACAATCAGATCTGCGATTGCTGGAGCATCTAGGCGTTTGGATTTTGGAACCACATAGAGAGTGCCACCATTACCAAGCCCATAGACAACCTGTGCGATGGCAAGATCAAAACTGTAAGCAGTTTGTTGAAGAATAGTCTCCTTGCCGAGGCTGTAGGCTTTGTTCACGGCTTGGAAGTTGTCTCGAATGGCTTCGTGGTGTAGCTTGACGCCTTTAGGGGTCCCAGTTGTACCACTAGAGTACACTATCATAGCAATAGATTCTGGAGTGGCCCGGTTCAGAATGGTGTCCTTCGAGGCTGGGATGGTAGTGATGTTGACAATTTTAGCAGACTCGGTCTTTAGTTCTGGCACAGTCTTCATCGTAGCTTCGTGGCATAGTATGATACTAGGTCCACAGTCCTTGGCGATCATAGCAAGCCGCTCCATACCGTTTCGGGCTTCAAGGGGAACAAAGGTGGCGCCAGCCTTCCAGATAGCGAGCAGTGAACAGATCCAGTCGACTGTTGGCTCTTGGAAAACTGCGATGATTGAACCTTCAGATGCTCCAAGGCTCAAAAGGACGGCACTGATAGCATTGACCCGCTCTGCCATTGCGCCGTATGTTAGGACATTTTCGTCATCTTTGAGGGCGATGCTTTCAGGATCGGCGAGGCCCATATTCTCAATACGATGAGAGATTGTACCAGGCCATTCAGAAACCAGCGTTAGACCTATTCAAATTAATAAGAGCATCCGTATCTGCTTGCAACCTTGACTTACCTCGGCCGAGATCCATCGCAGTTTTGATATCTAAGGTGTCGAAGAGTGGTGCACTATTCAGGTTGATTTTGGTGGAGTTTTCGGCAATAGACTTGACCAGTTGGGCGAAACTCTTCACCAAAAGTTGGGTGCTGCTGCGCGAATAGAGGTATGCTTGAGTCTTGAAGTTCACTCGAAGGTCGGATGCTGAAACGTCGCTGATATCCAAGATCAGATCAGAGGCAGTTCGGCTAGGAAGTTGCTCGCCGTAATCTTCGGCGTCCAGGAGGGGCATCTTTGCACTGAATTGACGGTAATCCATAAGAACTTGGAACAGAGGGCTGTTGGTAGATGATCGAGGTACGTTGAGATGTTCCAGGAGAACATCAAATGGCAACCTTGAGTGGGCCAAGGCAGCGTAGGACTTGTCGCGGGATTCCTTGATGGCGTCGGCGAAATGTTGCTTGGAATTCCTCTCGAATCGGAGTGGGAGCAGATTCAACAGATATCCCATAGTAGAATCTGTGCCGCGTTCGTTCCTGTTTGCATCTGCCATACCGATGCAGATGTCATCGACATCCAGCATACGGAACAAGAATACCTTGAGACAAGTAAGGAAAAAATGGAACTTGGTTGATCCGTTCTTTCGGCATATGCTCTTGATTTGCGCAATAGTTTTGGTGTCAAATTTGATCTCATCACCCTCTTCATGGGCATAGCATGTCATTGTACGACGCGATTTGACCTGGGATACAGGAAAGAGTGGCAGCGTGTCGGGTATTTTGGCGAATTGATTTTTGAAGAAATTCAACTCGGTTGCCATGGAGCCATTTTCAACTTCTTTCCGTTGCTTTGCAGCCAGATCGGAGTACTGCAGTCCAACGGGTGGAAGCTCGTTGCCTTGGTATAGTGCATTGAGCTCTGTCAGGAACAGGTTGAAAGTGAAACCGTCGGTAATGATGTGGTGGAAACCGAAGATCATGAAGTTGTGCTTCGGCGTCAAGGAGAGGAGTGTAGCTCTAGCAACGTCACCACGTTCAATGTCGTAGACATATTCCCGTGTAATCTGTGACTCGACTTCGACTTCGGCAATGTCATTGATCTTCTTCGTCACTAGGTGATAACTGGATTTCTCGATCACTCCTTGAGTCGGCTCGTTCAACCGGTCGGGGTTACCATAGAAGGCGGTTCTGAAGGCTTCATGTCTTTGTGCTAGACCTTCGATTGCAAGTTCCATTCGTTGGATATCGAGCGCACCCTTGATTGATAGCGTAAATTGAATATTAAAATGGGTTGGGTCCTCAAGGTATTGCCCCAAGAACCAGAATTGCGATGCACCGTACGCCATTCTTTCGGTCTTGATGAATGTGGGCATCGGCTGCACTTCGAATAGATCATCCTTTTCGCCGTCAACAGGGGAGTCCGTCGAAGAAGGAGGCGTCAAAGTACCTTGGGAGGCCTCCTCTGCTGAGACAATGACCACGGATGATGACTCGGAGGTCTCACTGCCGGACTTTTCCTTTCCTCCTTCCGGGACCTTTGCGCCAGGCTTGTCACCGGCCGTTCCCTCGCTCTTGTCCGCCTCACCCGCTTTGCAGTTTGGGATGAGGTCTCGGGACAGTCTATCGAAAGCATCTTCAACCATAGCAGCAACGGTTGCACCTCCCAAGATCTTGAGCACGGGCATATCGAGGTCAAGCTCATTGTGGAACCAAGACCTCATATCCACCGCGACGAGGGAATCGATCCCAAGCTCCACAAGACTTGATTCGGTAGTAATGCCATTATCTTCCGGTAGCATGTTCAATTTCTGGTAAAGAACGCCGAGGAAACCGTCTATCACATGTTAGAAGCTAAATCAGTAAATATAAAGGAGACTTACTAAGAAGTATTTCCATAACGCCCTCCTCAGTTGTTTGTTCCTTGAGCTGTGCTCTCATAGATACCGTGCGTTTGCTGTCCTTTCCATCCGCTGCACTTGCCTTAATAACCTTATAGTGAGCAAATCTGGGAATGTTGATCCAGAATGGAAGTTCTGTATCCTTCTCCACATCGAATGATTTGACTCCATTGGAGATCTCGAAGCTTCGGCCTGAGTCAGGATGCGAAGCAATGACAGCTTCAGCAAAGAATTGGTGGGCATCCCACTCGGAGGCCCTGGTGTAGCCCATCTTATCCAGACTGTCGTGAAGGCCCTTATCGAAGCGATCAATGTAACCAACACCGGTAATACCAGCGAGGTTCATCACACTTCCGGCAAGTCCTCGCTTTCGTCGTCCCTCGGCCAATGCAACCATGAAGCCATTAGCTGCCGCATATGGCGTCTGGCCAACATTGCCAGCAAGATAGGCAAGGGAGGAGAAGAGGATGAAAAAGTCGAGGTTGTTCTTAGGGAAGAGCTCATCAAGGAAGATGGAGCCATCGACCTTTGGCTTGAGGGTTCGGCCGAACTGCTCGTGAGGCATTCTCGAGAGGAGGCCATCCTTGAGGACCATAGCACCGTTGGCAACACCAGCAATGGGGGGAAGCGTCTCGCAGATCATCTTGTGGACTTTTCTGACGGATGACTTGCTCGTGATATCCCTGTGTTCTTTAGTTAGAGAATAATATTTGAAACAAGGCCAAGGAAACTTACATTGGCCAGACCTTCACCGTAGCGCCTTTGGCAGCCATCGTATCCAACCAACTCTGTTCAACTTTGGGGTTTCGGCTGGTGATAACAATATATCTAGCACCGTGCTCGATCATCCATCTGCAGATAGACAGGCCCAAGTCGCCTGACAATCCGATCATGAAGTAAGTCTTGTCACCTCGGAATTCCACCTTCTTCTCAGCAAGTCGCTGTTTCACTGGTACCACAGCCTTTGCAGTCCAGTCCACAGTTCGGAGAGTCTCACTCTCGACAGTGCAGTTCTCGATGTCCTCTAGGGAAATATTCTTAACCTGGCTGAGAGATGAGGTGCTCGAGAGCTCCGCTTTCGATCGGGCAAAAGCATCTTTCAGAGTCTCCGAGAGGTCGGAGGCGGTCTGGCGAGCAAAGCCTTCTGGGCCAAAGAAGACGCCAGAGTGCTTAACCTTGCACTTAGCAGGAAGCTGTCGCTCGATACGAGCACCGATTCCATCAGCATCGGTTGCTGCTGAGAGGTCGACGAAGGCTGAAACATTTTTGGGGATATGGGAATCGATGATGGTTTGGGAGGTCGATGGATGAATGTGGTGGAATGAGGATGTACCCTTTGCTGTGGTGAAAGAAACGGTAATCTTATCAGAAGCTTTTCGGCTGAGTGCTTGGGCAAGCAAGGTAGTCGGCTCATGAACGAGGAATGATCCGGTTGCCTTGCTAAGGATGGCATCAGCAACTAGCTCAGTGGCGGCACCGACAAGGAGATTCAGCTCCTCTTCCTCGGTAACCTCAATTGAGGTGGTCCAGGTCTTGGGCACCGAGATAGTTGATCGGTGACTGTCTGTAAGAGCAAGAACCTTCTCCTTAGTCTTAACATCCTCGGCCACAACAAGGTGCAAGAACCCCACCGACTTAATCTTAATTGCAGATAAGACAGATCGTCTGACTTGAAGCGTAACAAGATCACTGGCTCTGGATGCTTCCAATTCGAACACCTGTGGAATGTGTTCCTCGAGCTCGAAGGCGGCACCGGCACGGCAGATGGCGACGGTGGCAGCTCCAAGGGCTACATCGTTCTTGATCAGTCGCTTGTTCGAGTTGTAGCGGCGGTCAAGAGTAGAGCATGGTTGGTATCGAGGGGCAGATAGCTTCCCATCTTTCACATGCTGCTCCAATTCCAAAGTCCAAAGTGGGCTGTATGAGTTGTTCTTCCACGACTCAACAATATGCATGCGCAGGAGGGTCTCCGAAATCATTTGCGCATTAGGCTTCTCATTCAGATCCATATCGATGAACTGAAGCTTGTGGCCATCCTTGCGCTCGGCCTCCATACAGCGGCCGACACCAATCATCATTCTTGAGTATGGGTTCTCGCCATTAGCTCCTTTGACGACCCAGAGCATGTGCTGACCTTGGTCCATGAGGGTCTGGACAGCCCTGTATTTGGCCTCCGAGAATGGCTTGAAAGCTGGCTCGTCGAGTTCCGCCAAACAAAGGACGGTGTGCTTAGAGGAGAAGTTATCCTCATTAATATCTTCCAGCTTGTCGATGATTTCCGAAGTGCTGTAGAACGGCTTCAGCATTTCCTGGACTTCCTCGGCAAGGTCATAGGTTTCCTCCTCTTGTCCACCAAGAATCAGCAACTTCTCAATGATTGGCTTTTCGGCTTGCAAAGATAAAGGCTGTCGGATGAGGCTCATCTCCGTGTCAACAGCTTGGGTCAACATGACGGAGAAAGGAGTCAACCAGCTCTTAGAAGGAGGAGTGACAGTATCAATACCAGAGAAGCCAGTGCGGCGGAATACACCGTCCCACACGTCGGTTGATACCAATGGGGTGTATGGACGGCCGTCGTCAGCTCCAGCCCACCATCCAGACATTCCGGAGAACAGGAAGCCAAGACGGAGCCAGTCAGTCTCCGTAATTTCGAGCATGATCAAATATCCACCAGGCTTCAAAAGCTTGCGTGTGTTGCTAAGAGTCTCGTCAAGGTAAGGGGTGGCGTGAAGAACATTGGAAGCGACAATTAGGTCATAACCGCCTTCCTCAAAGCCTTGCTCAGTGACGTCCTTTGTGGCATCGAGGACTTTGTAAACGAATCCATTAGAATGATCGGCGAAAATCTTTGAGGCTTCTGGGAAGAAACTATCAGAGATGTCGGTGTAAGTGTATGATGCATAGGAGTGGCCAACTGATTTGACAACGGCCTCAGTTGCACTACCAGTACCAGCACCAATCTCCAGGATGTTCATATACGGGAATCTGTGGGCAATTTGCTTCACCAAACCACCGAGGTAGGCGTTGTAATCCCTGGTTCCATCGGTGCCTTTGTAGAGCCAGTCAAGCATATCGTGCTTCTGGAACTCCTCGAGCATGTTGACTTCGCCGCGAATGAATGGAATCATGGTATCACCCACAAACAGCAGGTTCTTCCAGTCCTCGTACTGCTCGGCCTCTTTGAGAAGGGTTGGCTTGAGAGATTCAGCAGTATCGTTAATCCACTCTTTCTTGAGGATCGGGTGGATGCCTTGAGCGGTGAGAGAGACGATGTGTTCGGCCCAGTTTAAGACGGCCTTTCGGTGCGAGTCGCACTTCTCTCGCTCCTCGGCGGTGATTGTCTCGTGGAGCTGCTTCATGTAGAACAAGCAGGCACGCTCGGCGAGGATACCAGTGCGTGCTTGGAGATCAGTCTCGACAAACTCCTTGTAGTTAGTAGTCACATCTGGTTCGACGAGGTTCCAGAGAGTCTCAGAGAAGATATGACGATCGCTTGCCTCGTTCGGCCGTGCAAGGGCAGAGACACGAAGGCTCTCGCATTGGACAAGGCAGTGTTTTCCAGCCTCATCATAAATTGCGACATCTCCAGTAAACCCGTAGGTTCCGGCTTCTTGGGGAGCCAAGCCAGTGTTGAATGGAAGCTCAATACCGAGACCAGCATTAGTTGGGCATGCAGTAGGATTGATCTTGATCCTGTCGATGGTGGTTGGGACATGGAGAGTCCAAAGACGTCCATCGCCTGGTGCACCAACGCTTCCAAAAAGTGCTTGGAAACCGACATCCAAGGTGGTAGGGTGGATTGTGTACGGGCAGATCTCATCGCTTTCGGTGGGAATGAACATGGTACCAGATGAGATATCCATTGCGCGCTGAAGTTGGGAAATTCCACGGAAAGGACCGTTGTAGTTATAGCCTAGAACGGCCAAACTATCGTAGAATTCATCGACATCGACATCCTTCAGGTCGAATGGCTGAGCTGGTCTGTCTGGCAGAGCATCGGAGGACGGCTCACCGAGGCGGAGCACCAACTGTCCGTTGGACATAGATTCGAGGGATCCGGAATCTCTGTTTGAGCAAGCAGAGCAGGTGAAGTTTGCGATGATGACACCGTTACCCTTGGTCACTGTCGAGAGAGTAAAAAGGATCTCGGCGCCAGCAGTCTCATCAGGGAATGCCAGTGCGCGATGGATGCTGAAATTGTGGAGTTCAACCAATGCAACCTCACTTGCAGGTACAAGAACCTTGGAAGCTTCAACTGCCATGACAGCAAAGCCTGCCGCGGGGAACAGAGGTTGCCCCTGGATGAGATGGCCGGAGAGCCAAGGGATCTCATTTGGCTTGATGTAATTGCGCCATCTGTACTCTCCCTCTTCTTCATCGTCCATTCGAACACCAAGAAGCTCGTGGGTGGGGTCCTTTCGGAGGCGTTGAACTCTGGAGGTACGTGCTTCGTAGAAGTAAACTCGATCATGGTCCCATTTGTATGTTGGGAGAGTCTTCATGATCGTATTGTCGGCGTTGGCAAACAATTGCCTATATGCAGCAAAGTCGACAGCTGATGGGCCGAACGAGGTCCAGAGGAAGCCTAGAGTATCGGCAAGAGATTCGACGTCATTAGTGCCGCGGGCCAATGTCCCAGTGTATGGGAGGCCATGGCCGAGGACTTCTTCGATCGTGCCGCTTGCCGGACCCTTCAGAGCTGGGTGGGGGCCAACTTCCATTGCAATTGCCGGAACCTCTTCGCTGGCAAGTGCTTCGGTCAATGCTTGGGAGAATAGCACAGGTTGAAGCATGTTCTTCATCCAATAGGTGCTTTCCAGGCCATCACCCTTCACAGGCCTCTTCCCACCGAAGACCGAGGAGTACCAACGGGCGGAGCCCTCTGGTGGAGTCAAGATCTCTATCTTGCACTCCTCCAAAGATTTGGTGTAAGCTTCAGAGCAAGGTATCATGTGGTGAGAATGGTATGCAGTGTCAACCTTGAGCTGTCTAGCAAACTTTCCCTCGTCTTTCAAGATTTCCAAAGCTTCTTCGATGGCTTCCTCGTCGCCAGAGAGGGTAACGCTGGAGGATGAGTTGCTTGCAGCCACTTGCATTCTACCCTCGAAGCTGGGAAGCTGGCAAAGTTCGTTAGCATCGTCGATGGATGTTCCAGCTGCCAGCATGGAACCCTTTTCGCCGTTTGGCCCCTTAGCAAGCTTAGCGTAGAAGCCTCTGTAGTATGCAATACGAATGGCGTCGGAAGCGCTGATATAGCCTGCGGCATATGCAGCACCAATCTCGCCACTGGAGTGGCCCACGACCGCTTCAAATGTGACACCAGCTGTCTTCAGGAGGTTGACGAGGACTACCTGCACAGCTGTGCATAAGGGCTGGGACAACAGGCCCTCGGCAATTCTGGATTCCTTCCCCTGTTTCAAAATCTCCGCCTTCAGGGAAAATGTTGGACGATCAGCAGCTGGTAGGTCTCCTAGAGACTTTTCGAGCTCGTCAATAATACCCTCGACAATAGTGGAGGACAAAATCAGCTCGCGTCCCATAGCAGCCCACTGGGCACCCTGTCCCGTGAAGACACCAAGAATTCCCTGGCCGTCTTTGAGCTGACGGACACCAATGGGGGTGTTGCCGGAGGTCTTTGCTTCAAGCTTTGAATCAATCTTCGATATGAGAGACTCCGAAGTAACAGCAGAGACAGTTGTTCGGAAGTTGAAAGCTGATCGACGGGACAAGGTCCAGGCCATGGCCTTCAGGTCAACCTCTGGGTTCTTGCGTAAGAAAGCAAGGTAGCTGTTGAGTTGCGTTGCGAGAGCCTTCTCCGAGGGAGCCGAGAAGGCAAACGGGATGGCCACCTTCGCTATAGAGGAAGCTGGTTGCTTTCGTGCTACAACCTCAGTGCTTGGTTCATAGGCTTCGATAATGGCGTGGGCATTTGTACCACCAAACCCAAAGCTGTTTACACTTGCTCTGCGTGGTGTTCCGTCTGGAAGCTCAGGCCACGCCTTAGCCACGGTGGGAATCTGTAGGTGGCCATAATATGGCTCCAGATCCGGGTTCAAGGTGTTGAAATGCATATTGGGAGGAATTGTCTTGTTCTGAATGGCTAGAGATGCCTTGATGAGGCCAGCAAGACCGGCGGTGCCCTCGGTGTGTCCAATGACAGTTTTAATAGAACCAACATGAAGGATATCTTCTGGGTCAGTGATACCCCTTCCATCGTAGAATGCCCGGAAGATGGCACCCGCCTCTTGAGGGTCGCCAGCCTTGGTGCCAGTTCCGTGAGCTTCGAAATATTGAGGGCGGTCGGTTGTCTTATTGAGATCGAGACCGGCTTTGGCGTAAGTTTGACGGATCAAAGCAGCTTGAGCTGTCGAGCTCGGCATGGTGATACCCGGGGTTCTTCCATCTTGATTGACGCCAGTTTCTCGGATAATGCACTCAATGTTGTCTCCGTCAGCAATGGCCGCACTCAGCGTCTTTAAGACTACTGATGCAATACCTTCACCGCGGGCGTAACCATCCGCTCCAGCATCCCACATACGGGATCGACCAGTGGGAGACAGCATGTTGAGGTTGCTCTCAGCAATGAACATTTCTAGAAACGTTGTTAGCTCAGACTTGAGAAATCATGAACGGATACACATACTTGGAGCAAAAATAAGGTTGGCACCTGCGGCAACTGCAACGCGAGACTCGCCGCTTCTCAAAGTCTGCACTGCCTGATGAACAGCGACAAGACTGGAGGAGCAAGCAGTATCGATGGTCATCGACGGGCCGGTCCAGTTGAAGAAGTATGACACTCGGTTGGACATGATGCTTCTAGCAGTGCCAGTAGCCGCATACTTGGGAACGGCTTCGCCATCATGGTAGGCGATTCCGTTGTAATCGTCGCACATGAGGCCGACATAGACGGCGGTGGGGGTGCCTTGCAAGCCTTCAACTGTCATGCCAGCAGACTCAATGCCCTCGTAAACTGACTCGAGCAAAACACGCTGCTGGGGATCGATGGATTCGGCTTCTCCAGCCTGGATGCTGAAGAACTGAGTGTCAAAGGTGCGGGTATCCTCGTCCAATAAGTAGGCGTCGAGAACATTGCTGGCACCGTGGTGGTGGCCATCAACGTGGTGATAACTCTCCGCCTTGAATCGGTCAATTCTTCCCAAAACATCACGGGGGTTTTTGAGCAAATCCCAAAGCTTAGAGGGGGAGGATGACCCTCCGGGGAATCTGCAAGCACTGCCAACGACGGCGATGGGCTCGTTGATTGGGGCAGACATTTTTATACAAAGATGTTGATTGATGTGGCGATATTGCAGATTTTGGTTGGCAAGTGTAGATCCGAAGTTATCTCTGTCACGTTTTCAAGTATAGACTTTTACCGCCAATAGAAGATAGTGAGGAGTTTGTTATAACTAGAGACTTTGTGTTTGCAGCGATGGGAATGGGTCTTGAGTGATTGTGTAGTTGGCTGTCTTGAGAGAATGTTGGGTTTTGGTTGAGTGGTATCTGGGTGTTAGTAGTACTTGGAGACGAGGGAACTTTCCTATGAGCGAGGTGATATTGAGCGTTGTTGAGCGTTGTTGAGCGGTTGAGTCACTTGAGCACCTAGATGATAGGAATTGAGCTGTTGAAAGAGCTTGTAATAGAAACGAGAAGAGCGAGTTGATGATTTGAAAGTATCTTCCTATGCGGAGGATGTATCATTTATTGTAGCTGCTCGTGGCCTTACCCTAGGCCACGAGAACCCTCGTGCCCTCAAGCGTGTACTATTCATAGCAGAACACATGTTTTCGAGGATCGCCATGTGGTGTACATGCTTCGATGACCACTGGCAAGCTGACAGTAGGAAGAAATTGAAGCCGCAAGCACTAGCAGCGAATCAGAGCGCCACTACTCTAGCGGGTGAGAATGACCAGACAGGAGGCTGAAGTCGCAACAATTAGTGCCAAATGCCAAAGGGGAATAAACCGTCAGCGGGCGAGGCTGGAGATTGGAGGCTGAAGGGTTTAGATCTGACGCTGCAGAGGAGAACAGGCCAAGGGGCGCCCAGGAGATTAGCTCCACAGAACCAAGCAGCACCTTAATTCGATGCGGGGCTTAATGATCCTTCGAACTTTCGAAGGATGAAGTGTATTTGTCCTCCTTACTAAGAGCGGTGCTGGGGTGGGAGTGGTCGAGCAGGTTGAGTGTCGATCCAGACGGGGGCTAATGTGAAACAAAAGGACAAAAATACACACGCAGCACGAAGAATCGAGTGGAGCAACCTTATGAGCCCTGTAATCTGGTACAGCCACGTTTACTCCCGCTCGGCTCGTTCCATTGCGGCAGCGCTGCGCTTGCGGCTTACCTAAGGCACCAAGCAGCTTTCCTCGATCAACGTCGCACCTCATCCCTCACAGTCTCACACTTCATCCGAACTTGTCAATCCTCCTTCATCTGCATCCGCAAGCAATCAGCATGTCAGATCCAAACTTGTCCGACATCTCTCAAGGCTGTGCCTATGTCAGCACCAACATGTTAACCTTAAGTATTGGCCGCTCTAGAATGTCGCCCACTATAACACTACGTTGGTTTGCTGCTTACAGTGTTATAAACTTCTGCAACCCTCTTTTGTCACGTCATACTGCACTCTTTCTTCTCGCACAGAATTTTGTACTTGATATTGCACAGACTACTACAATACCATCTTCCTTCCCTTAAAACCCCAATTCTTTTCAATCAATTATCGTTACGTCGAGTAGCCCTCACAATGGCCCCAATCCCCGCCACCCAGACCGCAGTCATTGCTGGTCCAGATGGCCAATTCTGCATTTCGAAAAACCACCCTGTGATTGCCATCGAACCCGATACTATCATTATCAAGACCGTTGCAGTAGCACTCAACCCCGTCGACACCAAACTTGCAGGGGACTTTGTCACACCTGGAGTAACCTTCGGTTTTGACTGTGCAGGAGTCGTGGTGGCTATTGGGCCAAATGTCAAAAAAGATCTCAAGATCGGTGACCGGGTCTGCGGCAGTGCGGCTGGCATGGACAAGTCCCGGCCGGCTGGTGGGGCACTCGTCGAATATGCAGCTTTGCTCGGCGATGTGTGCTTGCGTATCCCAGATAACATGTCATTTGAGGATGCGGCGACAGTGGGTGTTGCCATCAACTCTGCGGCCCTCGCGTTGTTCTCCTCTCTAAAAATTGACTGGAAACTGCTCGAGAACCCGACAGACAAGCCCTTCCCGGTTCTGGTCTACGGTGGCAGTACCGCTGTTGGCACAATGGCTATTCAATTCCTCAAATTGTATGAATAATATTATATCTGTTTTATCAAGCGTTGCTAACCTGCCATGATCTAGGTGCGGACTTCGACCGATCACCACATGCTCTCCCAAGAATTTCGACCTGGTGAAGTCCTATGGCGCCGAGGAAGCCTGGGACTACCGTTCTCCAACCTGCGCACAAGATATCCGAGCATACTGCAATAATGCCTTACTACACGCCTTTGATTGCATCACCGAGGAGACATCGATGAAAATCTGTTATGCTGCCATCGGACGCGCCGGTGGACGCTACTGCGCCCTCGACCCATATCCTCCACATGCGGCCACCCGTAAGGTGGTGAAACCAGACTGGGTTGTGGCCTTTACAATCACCGGCCGCCCATGCCTCTGGCCAGCTCCATTCGAGAGCCCCGCACACCCGGAGATGTTAGAGTGGTCAGTTCCTATGTACCGCGTTCTGGAGAAGCTCCTGGCGGAAGGAAAGGTCCGAACGCACCCAGCACGCGTAAGCAAGGGCTTTGAAGCCATCCTTGACGGGGTTGGAATTCTACGCCGCAAGGAAGTGAGTGGCGAGAAACTTGTCTTCACGGTCGGCTAGTGGTGGAGGGTGTAGCTTATGTATTTTGATGGCATTTAAAATTGGTTCAAACCTAGCGAGTATTTCTATTGACGTTTACCGGTTGCTCCTGCCTGGCGTTTTGGATTAATGCGATATTTGCTAGCTGTTCGACGGGGATTAGATCGTTTAGATGGAGCTCTGGTACAATTTACTATTGATGAACTACAACTAAATTTTGACTGTCCATGCAACTTTAATTGACTATTTTTCATGCTTCAGCACAATGGCTAATATTGGTATAAAAAAAGAAAGAAAACGTAGTACTTGTCATTTAAGGATTGAATAATATTTATAATTAATTAATCAGTAAAAATATATGTAAGAGAAACAAACACGCATTATAAATGAGATCTCTAATTCTAACTTCTGAAAACTTCTTATTCCTCTAATTTCTAGACTCTAGCTTCGAAGTTTTCATACTAACTATATTGATAGTTTCTAAGTATATTTTGTTTAGACTCGTTTATTTATTTTTCAAATATTCACAAGTTACAATTACACTTTTATTATTATAAAGAATATTTATCCAGATTATATATTTATACTCCCTATATCCTCATAGATAACATACTATAAATGACTTCTACTTTTGCAGAAATTTGGAACCCATTAGATCAATTTAAAAATTCTATTTTCTACGTAAGAGTTCTTGATGAAACATCAAGTCACGACGGTTGTCAGGGGCCTCGGCAATGGTCAAGATGGCTGGGCTGACTAAGAAGTCCTACAAGCTTTTGATAGCGGAAACGGTAGAGCTTGTTTGCCTTGGAACAACATGTTTTACCCACAATAATACCAAACACAAATTCGGAGTAGAGTACAGATAAAGCACGATGCAGCAATTGCGCCGCAGCCATGTGTTTCCCCTGTCGTCATGATGGACGGTGACTTATTTTTGGTACCACAGCAGGCTCAGAGCTGACGTGCAGATTCGCTTTCCTCCCTGCCCCCACACTCAAACAGATCATTTCCGCTTATGGTGGCAGGAGTTGCAGTGCCACATTTTTGCCTCGTGTTCCAGACTGATCTTCACTAAAATCCTCACTAACGAAGCTTAGGTTTCCTCCATAGGGCTCACACGGTTCTTGCTTGGATCAAGGTGAGATGCGTGCCATGTGTCCTGTGCTTGATTGGTGGCTGTCATTGCCCCGGCGTGCAAGTGCAATCCCGTCATAGCCTACTAGTAATCTTCAGCCTCGGTCAGTCAGCCTCGGTGACTATCTGACTGAGGATGACGATCAGTGGTTGTTCGTCGTATTTGGTGACTGAGAGGCTACGGACGTTGCAAGCTACCCCTCCGTTCCTAAATCCCAGCGGGGAGAATACAAGTTGAGTCCAGGTTGCTGCATCTATAGTGACAAGGACGTTTCGTTTCGTTCAGTAAACAAAGTTGCTCATTGATACGATAACCTCGTTTTCATCATGTCTGCCTTCATTTTCTCGGGCTCCGAGCCTAAGCACTTCTCATCCGGGGAAACCCGAAAGTCGCTCTTCAAGAACCTCTCACCACCTGCTCGCACCCATTCTATATACCCTACCGTTCCTATGAAATCTTTACCTGCCAAAAACAATGATACCGGCAACAAGATGGCCCCTCAGCGAACCTCTCCGCTTTCTGCCATCCCTTCTCCCTCATTTGGCGACTTGGACCTAGACTCGTTTATGAATTCTTTCAATACGAAATCTACCATCCAAACATCATTCGACATATACACCTATGACGAAGCGGAAGAGGATCAGATTACATTCCCATCCTACGATGACGATTGGTTTGATGCCGTAGTCAAGGACCTGGAGCTGTCGAATCGTCAGAGGGCAGACTCAGGGACGGATTCTTCGGGTTCGAGTTTCTCGACCGTCAGCTCACCAAGATCCGAGTCTCCGGAGCTTGCCAGTAGCATTTCTGCTACTTCATCTAGAGCTGGGACTCCTGAGCCTGCAGATGATCTTTGGGTGCAGCACAAGCATAAAGATGACAATGCTATCCGTGACGAGCCCGCCCGATGCACCGATTACTTATCTCACGAGTGGGCAGAGGCGGATCTTTGGGCGTCTTGGAAACATGTCAGAAGGAATAGTGAAGCGTACGAAAACGGCTGGAGACTTGAGAATGCTGCGTGGAGATCATGGGCGAAGTTGACAAATAGTTTGAAGACTGTCTCTCCGACGATAATCAACTGGTAAGTTACCGCCGGATCTTTTATTTCCAGTTCAGGGCGTCAAGCTAACAGTCCCTCCATCAGGCGCAAAGATGCTGATAACACTTGGCTATATGGCCCTTTTCAGAGGGCCTCGGAAGACGCTGTGGGATTATTGAATCCCTCACCTAAACCAAATCATACACCCTTGGTAGTGCGAAGACCAACCAACAACCCCTATCTGAAGCCAATCCTAAAATCTCCCTCACAGGACGCTGTCCGACCACCATTGAAGACCAACTTGAGGAAGCGGAGTACATCTGAAGTCATGCAAGAGCGATCATTATACACGGTGTCGCTTTTTAAACAGGCTGCTGCTGGCGTGCAAGACAAAATTGAGCGAAGGCGCAAAAAGGGGCGTCAAATCGCGCCAGCCAAGACAACAGACTCTGCGAAGAAGCAGGTGAAATTTGCTATGGCTGCTGAATACATCCCAACCGCGATCACAGCTGAGAAGAGTAAGATGCAAACCCATGAACCGACTTTCTAAACTTCAGCTAATAGAGCAATAAAGAAAAACCAAGTGCCAAGAAGAGCCAATCGATACCGAAGTTCCCACCACCACCAACGAAAGCCAAGAAGAGCTCTCGCCGCTCCAAATCAACATCTGATCTCAAAGTATCCATACCATTCCCGAATCTGAAGAAGTCCAAGACTAGTCTAAATCTGCGGGCGAGCACTTCGCAGGCGTCCCCATCCGAAACAGATAGTGAGAAAAACATAAAGGAAGTCGGATATTGGGGATCGAGTATCCTGCCCATATCACCAATACAAGAGGGAAATGTGGGCACACTATTAACCCCAACCTCACCAAACACGGTCAGAGAAAGCCCTTCGTGCAGAGCTCTCCTTTCTGCAACATTAAGTCGTCCGGACAGCATGATCGTGACGAAGGATCACAAGCCAAGTCCCCAAAGTCCGCAAAGTCCGCAAACCTCACCGATCGGGCCGATTTATAATTGGAAGGTATCATCAATATCGTCAGGGACCCTGCGATACCAAGAGGACGAGTACGATATCATGGCTCGAACAATGTTTGGCCCACACAGTACCAGCCATGCGGACATGGCGATGGCCAGGTCCTTAATGGGCCCATACTAGATGTTAACTCCTCAATATTTTCCCTTTTGTCTTGTGCCAATTAGCCTATTACTTAGTCACATGGAAATACCCCTTTACACTCCTTCATGGGGGTGATGTGTTTTTTTTTTTTGGGCGTCAGATTGCAAATTTTCTGTACTTTAGATTTGGAATATAATTGCGTACATGTACGTACTGTACATACGGAGTTAGTATAGTAACACAAGAAGAAAAAAATAAGATTGATTCTCACCTCGGCAGTTAGTCATCATGCACATCATGCACCATATTAATATAGTACCTTACCAAGAACCTAGATTTAAACATGAAACCCTGTTACTGGTTTCCCTGGCACGCCCGTTTTTTTCCAAGATACGGTTATATGCTTATATCGAACCCCTGAACCGCCCCAAGGATCCCTCACCAACGGAACTTGCCATACTGCGTACGAAGTACGTTAACGCTGGAACCCCCCCCCCCCTCGACGTCTCACGTCATGCCCAATGTCACGTAAATTATTCGCCCTCAGCCACTCAGTGTCCGTGTCAGTGCTCGGCGTAGTCCGTACCTCCATATTCTCGTACTCCTTCTTCGGCTGTTCCCCCACACAGAGAGTGACATACTCAGCCCCCCCCTTCTCCCCCAAGTGACTAGCCCCCACAACATCCTTGAGAACTGCAAGCGCGACAGGAACAGCATGCAGCAAGGAGTCCCTTTTAGGGCAATTTGCGAACAAGGAGGGCAAGATCGTGGTACAAGTGCCCCCTGAGGGTAGGTGCGGCTGTAGGATTTCCCGCGTGGGTAACGTCAGTACGGACGTATGTTCGAAGTACCTAGGTACTGTACATCTCCGTTTGCGGGGTTTGCGTGTTTAAGGGACATACTCGCACCATATGGGTTTTTGGTGTTCGTAGAAACTGGTTTGTAATTGAACGGGAAGCGCCGTGAGGTGAGAATGGTTTTAAGGAGGTGCGGTAGGTTAAATCAACAATGTCAGATTGTTAATGAAGGGACCTACTAGTATAGGGGCAATTCAAGTGCAGTGCAGTCGTACTTTGTAAGGGGGAGTGAAGTGGAAACGATGAAACAGGATATGTAAAGATTTGTAAAATTAATGCGAATCATCTGAACTATCTAGATGTATAGATGCGCGGATTGCATAGCAACCTAAGACTAATAATCCATCGCAACATAGAAAATCACTAACAGCCGCTAAAGAACCATCTCTGTGTAATAAAATACATTTCCATCTGTTGGGTATTCCAGCAACAAGAATATACATTCAGGAACTCCGCAGGCGCTCAAATGCAGCAAAAATCAAAACACTCCTCCATCATAGCCCATAGCAAAATCTTGTGACACCCACTATGGCCCGATCTTAGCCTGCGAGTTAATGCCTTTTACCAGCATAAACTTCACAATCTCCTCGTGCCCCTGTGCAACTGCGCAATGGAACGCTGTCTGACCTAAGCAATCTCTCGTATTTGGATCCCTGATATACTTTAGCACTAGCTGCACTAGAGCCAAGTCGCCTCTCTCGACTGCTAGATGGAGCACGTTCTGGCCTATTGCGTTGTGGGTATCGCAATTGGCGCCCTTCTCAAGGAGCATGGTGGCCATTGCATGGTTGCCGGAGTAGAGGGCGAGATGGAGAGGGGACATGCCGTCTTTGGCGACGGCGTTGAGGTCCATACTGCCTGCCTCAAGAAGGAGTTGAACAATAGAGTGGTGGCCCTTTTGTACGGCTAGGTGCAGCGGTGTATAACCAGCAATGTCTGTATGTGCCGAATCGACACTAGGCTGGAAGACTTCTGGGCTTGATTTCGCTGCTGATTGATTAGCATGAGCATTTGGACGAAGAATACATGGGTGCATACAAGAGTTTGGTGGTGTTATGGATATTGGGATAGGGGAGCTGAATGACCCGGAACCATGGCCGTAAATATTCATATAGTCGTCTATGAATTTCTGGTCGACTGGAGCATTCTTGTTGGGCCTATAGTCCGATTCTGATGTAGATGGTGTAAATAGATCACAGTCGGTAAAGAAAAGATTCAATCCGCTATCTTCGATCGCAGGAGCTTGGATTGAGGGGTCCCAAAATGGTTGGCGGCAGTCATCGAAATCATTCTGAGTCGGTGGTGTTTGGAGTGCATAGTGGTCGGATTTCTCTGACGACATGCTTCCCTGCCTTTGAACATAGTGGTCGGATTTCTCTGATGATAGGCTTCCCTGTCTTTGTGCATGGAGAATCTGGGAGACAACTGAGTTGGTGTCTCCGGAAGGTAAAGTCCACGCTCTAGATCGCGGGTTCGCCAACGAATATTCCTGTGAGGCCTGAGATGGTGTGGCGGAGGTCGAGTTCGAGGATACAGATCCATTGTTGGCCATCAGATATCTTAAGTATGGCGTTTTCTCAAACATAAGATTCGAACTACCCTCATCGTAGGGTGAATTTTGTCTAGGAGGCGTTCTGGCAGTAGGTGGTGTACTTTGTCTTGAACCTGGCTGTGGTGATAGCGAGCCACCAGCTCGCCCTTGCCTCTCCTTGAGTTTTCTTCCTAGAAGACGTTAATAACTATCCGGCACCGACAAAACGATGCAACCGTAGCTTGACATGAGAACCACGTACTACGATTCCGCTGGGAAATTCGATTTTGAATTCGCCGCCTCGACGTGATGTCCTTCACCTTCGTCCAGTCCGTCTCGTTCGAAATGTCGTTGGTGATCTCGATTGCACCATCATATTGACCGTTGTCGTTGCTGTGAAGATGGGTGTCGGCGTGCCTAGGCGCTAAGAAGACTGCCATGATATAAATTGAGTGGAGTGGAATTGGTTGCGGCTCTTTCTCCAACGATGCCAATGTCTGGGTATAAACGGTGCCAATGTCTGGGTATAAGAAGCTTTGGCCGTTGTGGGAGTAGCGTGGTGTTCCCGAAATAACAGCAGTGCCTAGGCTGACAGGAGGAAGTCTCCCGTGCGTCGGTTCAAGCCTGTTTCAAAATTGAGTTGGAAGATCCTCTTGCGCGGGGCTCGGCAGCGATCGACTTCGACAACTACTGGGTAGTTGGGCACAGTCATCCAGACTCCAGTCGAGGGACCAGCCTCGCTCGCAACGTTGCTGACGATGCGGCTGTGTAAAGTTAGGGCCACAGTTGTCACCCACTTAAGTACCTGTGACCAAGAAACGTAGGTAAATAAGTCGATGATCCTATGCAGCCCATGTTCTCGGTATCTCAAGGGTTCATGAGTATGAATTGGCCAACAATAACAAATACATCTTGGTGCGAAGTGCTCCGTAAATCGTGCGAGATGCAAAGTATCGTTATCCAATCACATGGCAATCGTGAAACCCACCTCGACCTCGCAGGATCAGGCCGGAGGAAAACCGCTTAACCCCTGCGGAAAACCAGCTTTCCACGAGGGAAAGTGTCGGTGAGGGTTGTTTGGAGGAGCGTCAGATAACTAAATTGCGTCTGTTATCGTCGAGTTGGAGTTTATGCGGAGTTCAGTCAGTCAGTCAGTCGAGGTAGAACAATCAAGGCCGGACGCAAATTCCCAATTCGGGCGCGGCGGAAATTGATCTGCGTCTGGTCGCCGGGCCCCTAGCCCAACCATGGAGAAGTGAAGGTACTCGTAGTAGTCGGCCGCAAATCAGCCATACCAGCATGATCTGCCCAACGGTATCCTCGAATCCTCAATAATTTCCCCTGCGGCCTGGTCTTGGCGGCACCGGTAAACTCCGTCGCATGGGCGAAACGAAGTATATACTCCCATGTGGCCAAGGATGGAGGATTCTTAGAAACCGGCCAGAAAGCTTGACGGGCCGTGATTTGCTTCCATCCATGCTTGACTGAATCAGGGGGAATGCCGTAAAACGTGGTCACTAGAACTCTCTACTGTATTAGTTCCGCCCTATGAAGCATGGCGGCTAGGAGCAGCAAATTTGAAATTGGGGGTCGGAATCGAACCCTAGGGAAGTCGATGTCATCGCGGCTGGAAGTCTTCTGGAAGGAAGGTCGATGGCATGATTGCCAGGGTCTGGGAGGAAGATGTTTCAATCTTGATCTTGGTGTTGTTGTTGTTGGACCGATGAGATTCGTGATGTCAGACGCGGGTATGTTCGTTCGCCAGCCTCGCATCGTCTGTGGTAGAGTGCTGGGGGGCTGTTCAGGATCGATCCATGGAGTCTGGACGGCTCCGGTCGGTAGATTCAAATTGACCTTGCAGCTCGCAGGCGTCCAGCTCTTTCGCCACGCATCTCAGGCCCGAGGCTGACCCGCGTGGCTGGAAACAACACCAACGAAATCAATCGACCAAAGCGTCCTCCTGGGGCGAAGGATGAACTCGTTCTCCAAGACGCTTAAGAGTAGCCAATATTGCCAAGGAAGCTTATCAATGCCACATTTAGCTTGCTGCTGTCGCGGGAGCTTATCTCATCAACTAGGCGCAGGACGGACCTCGCAAAAGCCGGCCCCTAAGTTTAAAAATGTTTTATTTTATTTGAAATTAAATATTCATATGTTTGATGAATCTGACGATTCCCCTGTAGCCTTCAGTCTTGAGTAGCCAATATTCGGCCTCCTATACCCACAAGTATTTATATCTTCCCCTTTTGTCATACTCCTGGCCAAAACGCCTAGATCCCACGAAAATGCAAACAGCAGCCCATCGCTCAAACGCCGGGTAATAGTAATACACAGGTGAACCCACGGCCCAATCCTCCCATAATGCCAAGATATCGTGTCTCAATCCTGCTTGTCGTCGTGCGTCCGCGAGAATCCACATCGTGGACAGGCCAGCTCTGGGAAGAGGTCACTCGAAGGAATAGGGTGGCTCAGGAGTGACCATGGAGTCGGATTGCTGGGCATCCATTGGCTGTCTTCTCCTGAGGATCTGCGTTCTATACGGCTGTCTGCTGAGATAGCGACTGATGTGGCTCGGCGGCGGAGGCCTGGTCGTGCAGGTCTTTCCACGTGCGCCCCCCTCTCTTGCTGCTCTATATCGAGCGTAGATCCTCCACGGGTGGTCTTCGACAGATCTGCGGGGCTTTCTCCATTTTTCTCTGCAACCCTTGAGGCTTCAAGCGCGTTCATGTCCACCCGGTCCTTACGGTAGGCGAACAGACTTACTACAAACGCAGCGGCTGCGAACCCAGTGACTGTCCGCATCTGCAGGTTCACTGCCTCGCCGTAAATGGCACGTGTTGCAGCCTCAAAATGGGGGTCGAGACGAGAGATGTATGCTGTCGAGGCGAGAATACCCTCAACTTGTTCTCTATTAAGGAAGGTAGGGAGGGAAGAGCGAACGTGTGATGATAGAATGGCTTGGACAACAGCAATCCCAATCACTCCGCCCAACGTCCGGACTTGCGTAATAGCGCCAACGGTGATAGCTAAGAAGGGTCAACAATTTGTAGGGATGGGAGGTGTTTGCTTCAATCCACTGACCATTATCCTCTAAAGCAACTTCACTGCGTGAGACAATCATGAGAGTTGCCAACCCTATCCCGAAGCCAAGACCGACGATGACCTGGTAGAAGTAGAAGACCCCGGGAACCCCTGCTGATGTTGGCAACGACGACATCAACCCCAGCCCAAGTGTGCTGAGGGCGTTAGAAAGCACAAGCATAAACCAAGCAATGTTCATCCTGGTGGCAATAACACCAGAGGCAAAAGCGCCAAGGGCAGTCATGATGAGAAGAGGTAGTATATGAGTGCCAGCGCTGGCAGGTGAGAGGTTGTTGACGATTTGAAGGCGTTGCGGAAGACTAACTACAGTGACCATGAATGGGAACCCAGCAACGAATCCAGTACTATTCGTCAGTCAGTCCGACTATCCTTGTAATATTGGGATGGGGGATCACTTACAGGATTGTGGCACCGATGACACGGCGTTGGACGAGTCTGAATGGGAAGATGGGCAAGATTTTCCAGACTGCTTCCCGTCTAGTCACAAGCCATTCCCAGATAGCGAATCCTACCCAGGAGATACCTGAGACTGCAAGGAGAAGGACAATGAGAATGCTTGACCATGCGAATTCACTGCCGCCTTCTTCGAGAGGGATAAGAAGACATAGAGAAGCTGTAAGAGAAAGTACTACTCCCACCCAATCCACCTGTGCAAGCAGTCCTCTGGAGAACTTCTGCTGTCCAATGCTCACTGGGAAGATCCACCAGACAAGGCCAAAGACAATGACACCAGTTGGGACATTGAGCCAGAACACCCACTACGGAAATATTAGGCCTGCATTGTGTTGATGAGAGAGGGTATACTTACACGCCATGTGGTGTTCGATGTGATAGCACCACCAAGAACAGGACCAAGAACACTTGAACAAGCTGAGGCCATAGAGATAGCTCCTGATGCATGACCAACGAGTCTCATTGGAACAACATCTAAGACCGAGGCATATGCCAAGGCGTAGATACCAGAGCCACCGATACCTTGGAGAGCACGGAATACGATGCTGTGACTATATCAGCAAATGTTCTTTGGCAGTGGAAGCCTGTAATATCTTACAGCTGTGTCATCGTCTTTGCGCAAGCACATGCCATAGAAAACATAACAAAGAAAAATGTTGCAATGAGGAGACATGGCTTTCGGCCAAATATGTCGCTAAGTCGGGTAAAGACGACGAGGAATGCCGTATATGTGAGAAGGTAGGTGACAACTATCCATGAGGCCTTGTCGAATGAACCGAGATCTAAGGAGATGGTAACAAGAGATGTCGAAATGACTGTAGTCTCAAGTGTTACAAGGAAAAGACCAAAGCATAATCTAAGAAGGTACGGTCAGTGTTGGGAATCTAAGAAGGACGAGTTTCGAACTTACGAAAACATTGTCAAGGCAAGAGGCCATCCCTCCAGTATAGGCATGCCAAGGTTCGGTATTTGTTTCTTCTGTTCATCCTTGATGAGGGCGTGGGTGCTTCCCACCAGTGTAGATATGCTAGATACGGTGCTCTCTGCATAACTTCGTAGTGTCGAAGACGATGACCTGTGTGATAAGGGTGGTCTTGGAAATGCCGAAAACGTTGGCGGGTGATCAGGATCGTTATGTTTATCCCAATGATCTATCTTGTATAATCTCTCTGGTAGATATATTCTCGGTGGAGAGGAGTTTCGTGGTAAAGACATTACGATGGAATAGGACGAGGCCGAGTGGGTCTTTCCAGGTTTTATGGAGGCCAGTGCCAGATGTTGGATTAACGGAGGAGAAGATAGGATGATATGGCACGAAGTAGGAGATGTGTTTAAGGTGCTGAGATATCCTTGGCTGTTGGATAAAGTCTGTCTTATATTAAGATTGATGGAGAGGATATAGCAGTATGCTGAGGGCAGGTTCGTACGGACTTTATCAGAATGCAAGTGTTGTATTCAGTGCAGATACTAGAAGTGTCATAAATATGTGGGAGAAGTGACGGGAATGTAAGGGAGATCGAGGCTCAGAGTGGACTATAGAACAGATCGACATCGGTTGAGGAAGTCGCTACGCATACGGACGAAAGACTAAATCCTCGATTTGCAGTATAGTACTGAAGACAAAACTCCTCGGGATGCTCCAATGCTACGGACGTTGATGAAAAATCACCCCGATCCCATCCTCCAAATACGCGTATGCATACACAACTATCCAGTAGTCGGCCTCTGAGACGGTACCGAGAACCTCAGACTCGGCCGAGAGTCATAGAAGATGTCATATAAAACGGCTCCGAAATGCACAAATAAAAGGCAGTGCAAAAAGAGAAGTGCATAATAAGTAGTGCATAATCAGTAGTGCATAAAAGGCGTCTCAATGGATTAGTGAATAATGAATAATGCTAAAGGCCCGGAAGATAGCTCACCACAAGGGAGCCCGCGTATGAGAGAGCCCCAATATACGGCCGCAGAGAAATGGCACTCAGCGGAACTAACTAGAGCGAGGAAGTGGCTCCCAGACACTTGTTCCGGGAGTTATGCAAATACCGCCGCGAGGCTATGGACAATAGGAAGAAATAATAGGCCAAAAGGGCGAGGACTGGCAGAAGATGCACCGTTAGGAAAGTCACTTGATGTCAAGGCAAACATAATGTCCCCGGATCAGGCCTACCCACATGCCGTTGTCGGTTCGCAAGCACTCTCCAACCCGAACTAATATAATACGTCCGTAGCATAGGGGGACAGCCTGGGTGAGACTGCTAGGAAACAAATCACCTCGTAGCCGTGAATCCCGTAAATCCCGTGACGGCTCTCAAGTTGGGTGATCATTGACCGCAGAGTATAGAGATGTGCGCGACTTCTAGCATCATCCCGGCTACTGCTCCAGAAGGAACCCATGACAAACCACCGAGGCTAGTACGCCCGTAGTATAAACATATGCGCAGTCGCGTTCAGCCTCCAGGTGGATTATTGTTGTTGTGCATGAAACACGATGATCCTATCTCGGCAAACTTTCCGTCCGTCCATTGATTCCTTGGTGGATGACTAAGGAAAGCTTAGCGAGCAGGCTAGAACCTTTAGGATGGGTGGCGGTGTGCCTCCAAGTCCTCCATCCTTCATCAATAAAAAGGGGCGAAATGCCCATCGTCGCTGACACGCATATTCTAGAAAACCTCCAGCCTCAGCCTCGCTGACCCTTCAGTACAAAGCTGTACCGTGGCAAATTCTACTCGCACAGTGTAGTTTTGTCAGATTCGTCCGGAGCGTCGCTGTCACTGGCTCTAAATATAGTCACTTCCCTGGATTGAAATCCGAAACTCCCCCAAAGTTGGGGAAGTTTGGCTTTTGAATCTGGCTACGGCCTTTACCTTCAGCCACCAGCTGACACGCTGATTGGAGTGCCTCCCGTCAACAGTTGGCTCGTCTCATTCAACCAGCCGCTATTGGTCAATCAGTGAAAATGTTCCTATTTTCATCTCAAGATGGCTCTCCGAGGCTATTGCAATGAGGACTTAATTCCTACTTATACAGATCAATTAAATTAGTAGTGAGCGCTCGTATTATATTATATTCTCGTTGCCTCATTACCATGACCACATTCACATCGTGCTACTTCTTCCCCTCAACATATTATCTCTCTCCTTATTCCAATGAACGTTCCTACGCCTTCCTACTTTCTCATTTCCGCTCAAGAAAATCAGATCAACTCGATTGTGAATGTGTGGAACGTCCTAAGAAGAAAAACAAATTCAGACTCCCTAAAATCAATCAGTCGAAGAAGCAGTCATGACTCAACGTCAACGGGTCCTGTTCATCACAAACAGCGAGCTCGGTCAATCAACAGTAGCATTAGCAGTAGCTCATGAATTTCTACTTCGGGTTGAGTACGATGTTCACATCGCATCCTTTCCAGAACTCGAGAATGCCGTCACCGAACTTAATGAACAAACCGCTATACTTTCCCCAAAGCCATGCTGCAATGCAACATTTCACACCATCGCTGGCAAATCAATGAAACAGGCAGCTGGGAGAAAGGCTGAATTCATTGAGATGCATCCACCTGGAGTCCGGGGCGCTGTCTTTGCATACCAAAAAGTCCTTCCAGCGACATTCGCATCGTGGAACGGCGCGGAATATATGATCGGCTACAGTAGTTCAGTCAAAATTATCAACGATGTCAGACCGAATATTGTTGTCATCGACCCTCTGTTCAGTCAGGCGATCGATGCGTGCAAGGAAATGGGCCAGCAATACGTTGTCTTGAGCCCAAACACCTTCAAAGATCACCTCATCAAATATCAACCAGCGGCAGGCGCCCTTTGGAAATATCCACAGTAAGTATTTGCATTACAACATATTGGATGTATCTTGCTAACAATCATACAGGCTTGGTTCCGGCTTTGACTATCCATTTGTTTCTTGGTACACTGTTTTTGCAAACATTTACCTCACCTTGCGCATCATGTTTGCGCGGCTCTCAAATCCTCTTCTGAAAGAGGTGCTCGAGTATCGCCGTTCTTGTGGTCTCGCCGGGAGAATTCCCTCGATATTCGAGGGTTTCGGAGACGCAAACATTGTTCTACCCTCCACTCCAGATATCGAACTGCCGTATGTCGTTCCAGAGCGTATTACCGGCTGTGGTCCGATCCTCCCTCCGGTTGTTCCAATCGCAAAAAGTCACCCAGAATTAGAAGCGTGGCTACAGCGGGCGCCCACTGTATTAGTGAACCTTGGCTCGCATATTATCTTCGATGAGCCTTTTGCTCTCAAGTTCGCTACTGCCCTAAGAGTACTTCTGGATCGGCGGCCTGATATTCAAATCCTCTGGAAACTCAAGACTCAAGGAGAGACATGGGACAGTCTCTTCTCGAAGGAGGGAGCTTTCCAGATCATTGCCAAGGAGATTGCTGATGGTCGTGTGCGGATCGAGAAATGGCTCGCCGCACAACCCATTGCCATCCTTCGAATTCCCACCGTTGTGTGCATGGTGCACCATGGCGGATCTAATTCTTATCACGAAGCTATCAGGTAAGCACCCTACAATGTGCCCTTCCCCTCACTCATACTAATATGCAAATAGTGCGGGTGTTCCACAGATTGTCCTTCCTGTATGGATCGACACATACGATTTCTCAACTCGGGTGGAGTATTTGGGAATCGGAGTCTGGGGAAGCCGAACAGCTGCCCCTAAAGTCGACGCTGACGAGCTCTCAAAAGCGTTCATTAGGGTCCTCGCTAGCGACGAGACTACCGGCATGCAAGAGAAGGCAAAGGCGATTTCTCTGCCATTTAGCAAAACTGAGGGGCGAACTGTTGCATGTGAAAAGATCGTTGAGCTCATGAAATGCTAGCTCCTTGTTTATGATTTTGGCGCGAATGTTAAGGCATTGCTGCTACTGTTAGCCTGTTGGAGCAATTGATTTGGACATTCTTGGAGTTTTTAGAATTCATTTCCTTTGTTGGTATTATTTGTAGACAAAGGGGTGTCGGAACTTCTATATCGTTTACGATGTATCTACCATATTGCTTAACTTAAATATCAAAATTACTATATCACAGAAAGCTTGCAAACAACTTCCGTATCTCTTTCGTCATCTTGTCATGCTTCGGATAGTACTCGTATTTAGCTAGAACTGAAGTTGTGACTCCTAGATCCAGCTTCTCTCATCGCGGTTTGAGCAATTTGACTTACTCGTTAATGTAGGTTGGATTCTCCACAACAATCGGAATTTAATATTTTTCAGCATGGGGGGACCTCAAGGTAATTAATTCCATTCTTCTTACTTGCTATTTTATCTATTCTCTTCCATGAATTCCTCAATAGTAACGTCATAGTAAATATAGCGTTTATGCTACAAATATCCCCATTATGTATGCCACTCCATAACTTCTATTTTCTCTCTCAGATTTATGAAATAATTTTGTACCCATTGCCAATCGTCATAAATTTACGGACGTAAGATTTGTGCATTTTGTGTGTTCTAAATATAGAAGTCGGAAGGATGAAAATGATGCAGCTACCCGGATTTGCGTGGGAGAGCAAACGAAACACCAAGATGACCTGCTTCTCAGGATCCAACTACCATATTTAGTATTCAAGAAGGGACATGTCAAGGAACTTTTGGTAGGTTAATTTGGAAGGAATGATTTATTTCTCTATATTTAATGTTATATACTTCTTTGTAGCTCGCCGGCTATGTGACATGACGACCACAATATGAAAAAGTAGTCAGATATTCAGCCCTATCGGCTTACTCCAGCAGACTCCAGCGACCCCAACGCCACGCCACAAACGGTGTGTTTCCTCGTTTACAATGTTCAAACTCCCAATCAAATAACAACTTCGGCTGTGTTTCAAACAAGGATATGCAGCCGCCCTACATCGATCTTCGGCACTGCGCCACCTGAGTGCCTGACAATGCATCTTCCCTGAATAGGTAACCAGCACGCTCCAGAGCCCGAGTCCTTCAAGACCCCTGTATGATACTCTTTCCCCCCTAATTACTTGTAATAGTGGGCCCCTGGTCGTAGGGCTATTTTGTATGGGAGGAGAGGGGGCCCACTATTACAGGTAATTAGGGGGGGAGTATGAACATTGCCACCAAAGCACCAACGAATATGCCATATCTACCTTCGCTGATAAAAGTAGGGGTTTTCGGTCGCGCTGTCGTAAAGCGGTTTGATTTCTTCAGTAGACCCGCTCACTCTGGGAATCTTCCACATGTTGCGGGAAACAAACCCTACAAGAAGGAAGACAACGGCGACGATAGCTTCTGGTACGACGCTCATGATGATCTTGTCGACATTGGATTTCTTGAAGCCATCGTTGTCGAGGAACAGAGACAGGGCGCCATAAGCGACTCGCACCGCGAAAAATGGTAGACAGATCAGAATCGCGTTCAGCATCTATAGTCATTTATTAGTACTTGCAAAATTTAGGGCGGAGTAGCATGCTTACCATCGTGCCGTGTCTAGCGGTATCGTCTGTGGCTTGGTTCTTCTGATTCAGGCGTGACACGAGGGTCCATACGAATAGGATGGCCCAGGAGATGGCGATGACAGCATAGCCAATTTTCAGCATGGTATTCTTGGCAGGATCAGTGTGATCATTCTCGACTTTATTGAGCGCGATAATGATCAGGTTGATCGCTGCACCGACAATAACGTGGAAATTTATTTGCAAGAACCACTCTAGTTTGTTGTTGACTTTTGGGTTGCGAGCTCGTCGTCTGTATTTTATGTCAATAATTATTAAACAATTGATCAATTCTTGATAATAACTCACGCTTCATGAAGAATTCCAGCACAGGCGAGAAGGAGAGGCGAAAGCCCAATGCTGGAGATGATTAGAAGGACTTTGACGCTGATGTTGTGTTGCTTCTCATTCACGAGCGTAACTGCGCTACTGACGATCCGGATGCCACAGAACATATGGATGTAAAACCAGCCTAGGAAGCCTTTTCGGCCATGCTTCCACCAGACGAAGAGGGATGGGCCAGCTAGGGCGAGGTAGATTATGAGCGTGGCGACATCAAGTGCGGCCATTGCGGCTGTTGAGGTAGGAAGGATAAAGTATTGATGCTCCAAGTGCAGGTGGTTGTGTAGGAAAGGATAGAAACTCTGGAGTGAATAATGATGATAGAAGGAAGATGAAGAAGGAAGATGAGAGAAAGCTGTTTGTTCCTTATAGTATTAGTTAAGCCGGGATTATGATATAGTATATATGCTACTTGAGCGAAAGTGAGACATACGAGGTTACGGACGTATATTATCTAAATTTAGCTGGGCCTCCTGCAGTTGGTTGGAGTGCACAAAGTCCGGAAGGCTGCCCGGGAGGCTTCTATCAATCAGCCCCAACACCCTAATACCGCCCGCAGTACTGACGGTTAGGATTGGCCGTGAAGTCGATCCATAGTTGCTCCTAGTCGCAGAATCGGACTTCTAGCGTTGTCTCCGTGCCGGAGAGATCATCGTCATAGCAAAGGAAGTACGGCCGTGACTCTCGGGGCAGACCCGCGGCTTTATGAAAGGTTGTCCATCGATGACCTTCCTCTTGGCCCAACGACAGAAAGCACTGGTGTGCCCTGCCGGGCTAGTGCTTTTGTAACAGCTCGATGCCATTGGTCTGACACAGCTCCGAGCCTTAATATCTCTGAGCCTCTGAACCCGAAGTCAGACACAGCACTAGACATCCTAAAGTCAGATGCAGCTGTTGCATGGAAACGTGGAAACACGGACGCGGAGATAGACATAGACAAGGCTTAAACGTGTCGGTCCTAGCTGACATCAAGCGTCGGGGAGCAGAGCCTCTGAGAAGAAGTCATCCTCCTCGATTTGTTAGGATAGAGTAAAGGCCGAAACGTGAGGTTTATTTTTGGAAGGTGCTTTATTTCAAAAGAACGAAGTGAGAATTCCAGAGAGTATAATATGATCAAGAAAGACCTGTTTCGAGGGTGTATTCTGTTTCAAGTCAGCCCAGCTCTCACTCTTTCAACAGCACGGCCGTCTTCGACTCTTCCAAGTCGCAAGTCTCAAATTTCAACTATCAAATCTCAAATGCAGCAGGCCCTCCGACTGGGCGCTTAATCTCGGATTTCCCTATCAACGACACCAACTATTCCAAGTCGCCATAATGCCTCATGCAATCGACAACACCCACTACCAGCTCCCGATCATACTCTGTCTCCATGGTCATGGCACCTCTGCAGCCATATTCGAGGCCCAAACGCGTAACATCCGCCTTGCGCTGAGGACCCAGTTTAAGTTTGTCTATATTGATGCCCCTTACCTCTCGAATCCGGGACCTGGCGTCATGCCCACATTTGCAGATTCGGGGCCGTACTACAGCTGGTTCCACGATACTGCCACCGGAAAGATCCCCCAAACAACGATGGCCGCTGGCCTATCGGGCGTGGGCAAATACGTCGCAGCCGCGCTTAAGGCGAAGGGCATCCGCACATCGGATGTTGTTGCCGTCATGGGATTCTCCCAAGGGACTGTCGTCGCATCGTGTCTACTGCTGCAGTCCCAATTCCGCGACGTCAGATGGTCGGGTCTGCGCTTTGGGATCATGTTGTCAGGCGCTTGCCGCGACGATCTCGTAACCGCCTTCACGGGACAGAAGCTGAAGGTGCAAACGGTACACGTCCATGGCCTGCGGGATCCCTACCTGGGCAGCAGTCGGAGGCTGGCTGCGGAGGTGTACCATCCCAGCTGCGCCAAAGTGATGGAGTTCGACGTCGGTCATCACATTCCAGCTGCAAAGTCAGATCTCGACGTGCTTACCTCATCCATCAGGGAGATGAACCGGCGGACCAAGGCGAAACAGGTGCGGTGTTGGTAGACGGGGTACATAGGGACACGCAAAGTGATATGTAGATATACCAGGGATAGATAGGTAAAGGCCGGCGTTACATGGGACGGTCAGCGATGGATACTGGGCGTTGAAACTTTTCCTTTCTTCTCTTCTACACACGTATATCATTTCGATTTAAAGTTAGAATAAACGGGCCAATTGATTCGAGTTTACCGTATTTATAGCATGGCACGTGATTTACTAGGCCTGATTAAGCCTATCCTCTAGGTATGTATTATTATATTGCATTTTGTCGTATTAATATGAAGTGCATGACGTTTATTAAATGCTCCAGCTAATAGGTGTCGCTGTTAGGCTCGGGAATAAGTACACTGTGATGGGTTCAGATAGCTGTCGTCAACTGAGGCTGTGTTCTTTCTCGAGTAGCGCGCATCATGCTTTCCTACCTAGGTATGTACGGAGTAATGCGCCATGGCTGGGTAATAAGCGATCAGTGCTTGTGTTGAAACAAGCTTCTTAGACAACAACCAACTGCTCGATGCTTCATAAGAATCATAACGAATAACCAATCCCCAACACTATCGCCAGCCGTCGTGCTGGGATGCGATTCTCATGCGAGCTGCCACTCGTGCCTTCAGACTCCACAGGCACCAAGATCTGACTGTGGCTCTGCATCTATCGGTGTTTCAGGAGTGCAGCTCACCTCACGACTGGATGCGCACATCAACGCTGCTGACATGGACTTGTAAGCAGCGATACTTGGGGTTACCATGTGCAGATCGCCATGAAAACCCCGGTTTTATCACCAGCAACCGCTTACATTTGGGGGCCATTCGGGCAGTGCACAGTAGCCCTGCATTGTCACAGCCGCGGGCATCTGCCATTGGCGGGATTTGAGGTACGTGAGGTTAGTCGTTGTTGGATGCGTTGGAGCGTGGGTTGCGAAGCAGAGATGGAAATAGGTTGGTGGTTCTGGATTTCCATTTCCCGCTCCCTGCCCTGAAACAAGCATTCAGTCGCACTGCGGATTGCTCTGCCTCTGCCTCTACGGAGTACTTGTAAAATAGATAACAGTGCTGACACCCTCCAACTCCCACTCTTTCCTCTTCCTCTATTCTTCATATTCATCATCCACCACATGAAGCGGGTGTATGACCGTATAGCTGAATAGCTACATCCAAGCACAAATCTTGTCTTTGTCGTTATCGTTTATCAGTATCAACTCTTTGTTCCTCCTCGATATCCACCATCCTGAACCTCGTTCCCTCTCAATTTCTCGAGTTTCCCTTTCAAATCATATCATATTTGCTTTTCCAGTCAACCAATTCAGAAAAGCCAACCTGCAAATAATTTTGCTCTAGCAATCCCAAACACAACTTCCTCCCGCCTCATATACATGTCTGGTCGAGGAGGTCTAGGTGGTGGCGGCGGTGGTGGTGGTGGAGGGTTTGGTGGGTTTGGTGGCGGTGGAGGCCGAGGTGGAGGTGGAGGTGGAGGAGGGTTTGGTGGCCAGGGCGGAAACCCCGGTCTCGCAGGCCTCCTTGGCGGCGGTGTCAAAATGATAGCTGGAGGTATTGGCCTCGCGTCTGAGAGTATCTCTGCCCGCAAGGAGAAGAATAAGGCGAAGAAGGCGCGGGAAAATGGCACCGAATCGAGCAGTAGTGCCCCAACCCAATACCAAGAGGAGGATCATGGCCACCGCGATGTCGCTGAGGGGGACACTGTGGAAGAACAATGGGATCTGGACGAGGCACAGGACCAGCTTGTTGCCCGGCCAGAACCTACGCAGGGTGGTTACGCACCTTCCATCGGTGAAGCCACCGATTCCTTCCTACAAACCTATGGCCGGCCCCCGTCATATACGGAAATCGCCCCCGCCAGACTCCCACTTCCTGTGATTCTTCCTCAGCGAAGACCGAAGGATCGAACGCGGGGTTTTGTCAGAGCATATGCCCCGGTCCTTGAAACCGTGGGCATCGACCAGCCGGCATGGTTTGCTTTCCTTGATAGCTTCGACAAGGCGACTGAAGCATCCCCCTTGTTCCTATACATCAATCTTGCTTCGATTGCCACTACCTTCATTCCCCATGGTATTGGAATGGTAGTATCAATTGCTATCACAAAAGCCGTCAATGTTGCGATGGATATCCAGAGCAGACAGCGGACAAACAAACATTTGGACCGAATCAATAATGAGTATTTCAGACCTAAGAACCTGTTCTGCCTGGTCATGACCTGGAGGCCCGAATCCCTTGAGGATATGGGAACAGTCGACATCTCATCGACGATTGCTTCCACTCAGAGCTACGACGAAATGGGCACCCGCCGAAAGTTCAAGAACTCGAGCGCCACACAATATGGCACCTTAACCTTCCCAGAGACTGCACCCCTTATCTACCCCGCTTTGGACAAATTGGGTGACGATAACAACGAAGAAGCTCTCAAGACAAAGGCGAAATTAAAGAAAAAGATGGGCTTTGTAGGAGACTATTATGATAGACGGGCTACAGCAAAATACGTAAGTCCACTCCAGTCCTGCGACTTGCTGCTCACCCTATTGAACTTTTTGACTGGTATTAATTATTACATAGCAAGGAAAAAACCCAGATGCCCCCGAGGTCCTCAAGGGCCAAAAGCAGACTTTCAAGTCTCGATATGCTGATCCAAACCATGCTGCAAATAGTGGCTCGCTCGTTTCCTTGGTCACAGGCGGCAAGATCAATCCCCCATCACTAGGAGGGGGAGGGGGAGGCGGCTTTGGACGGGGCGGAGGAGGTATGGGAGGTGGTTTTGGACGCGGTGGGGGAGGAGGAGGAATGGGTGGCGGCTTTGGTGGCTTTGGTGGAGGTCGAGGCGGGTCAGGACAGCAACAACAATTTTCTGGAAACGGAAACGCCTCACCAGATGAGCATCAACAGCAAGTCCCAAACAATAGCAGCAATAGGGGAGGTATGGGCGGCAGTGGAAGGGGTGGATTCATGGGTATGTCCGGTTTTGGAGGCGGGGGATCGAACCCTATAGCGAAGCTGTTGAAGAAGGTTAGTGTTTCTCCAGCCTTCATGAGGATATATGCTAACATACGTTCCAGGATGTCTTATACCTCATGGTTGTCAACATGCCTTCTGCTGAGGAGATAGCACAGGCTGAAGCTCTTGTAAGAGAACATGAGCAGTCTCAGCGCTCCCATTAGAAAAGGGGCCCTTGCATGTGTTTGCAACCTGTTACATGACCGTTCAACACCTTTAGATCGTGATATTGTGGAAAGCATTTTACTCTAAAGTCTGCATTAGTCTATTTAAAATTTACATCCATCAGCGCTACGTATCTTAGTAAGGGGCAGCTCGCTATTCATGAACCTCTTGGCTGTGAAAAGATGCCTCGGGCAAATATATCGCCATAGATAATTTCTAAGTGGCAAGTCGTGAAAGAAGGAAATCCAAAGCCGGACTAACGGTTTATAGGGCCAAGCCTCCAATAACAACATGAACCACAAGATAATGGGCACCTAAAGGGATATTAAAGAGACAGCGGACATGGCGGTCCGGCGGATAATAGCTCTGCTACAAACAAAGTTAAATGTGTCACTAGACCGCCGGTGGATAAAGTCCTTGTTTACAGCAGAAATTATGGTAGTATTGACATTGCGGCGGTAACCACCATGTGGCCCCGACAGCACGAATTTTAAAATATATACCAACAAAACTCAATATCACGACATTAATATAAAGAAACAGCGTCCACCTTTTGGAGCTCCCCTGACAGAGTCGAGAACAATTATTACACAGATACATAGTACTTTGCTAGGTACAGGGAAACGAAAGGAAAACAAGGTACTTCGATCCCAAAACCGACTTTGTACTACTTGGTATTCAACGCTCTAGCGTCCCAAAACATTTATATACTACGATATCAAAATGGAATATATCTAGTATCAGGTTACAGAAGGGGGATAGAGAGTAGGCATCACAATCAACTCTTTGAAATGGATATGAGGAGTGGTGATTTTGTGAAGAAATTAGAAGTAGACGAGAGTCTCTTCTAGAACGGCATCCTTTGAGAAATTCCTCCTGCAGGTAGCCCAAAATGAATTCTATTCAATATTACCAGCTGATACGGCAAGATTCCACACCTTTGTACACCTTCCAAGAAGTCGCGTAGCGCCTGCAAGGATCACGGACAAGTACGTTATTACCACGTTGTTTTTAATATAGCATTAATCTCGATCTATATGAAAACGTCAAACATTTATCCTGATAGGTTCCGGGTATCGTGAATCTCGATTTGCCGATCTACGTCTAAATTGCTCCAAGATATAGTGTGGCACGGCAGTTGTGTGGAGAATCTCAACGACTATAGACTTTCCCCTTCTTCAACAATATAAACTTCTGGTCAGCCGCCTTATTCCGTTCACCTCGCATATCCCTCTTTTCACCCTCGAATCTATTCCCTATAATTAGTTACTACAACTACTGCTATTGCTGACTATGTTTTGGTCCGCTCTAGTCTTCGCGGCGGCCGTTCAGGGCCAGTTCGCCGGCCTGAACCACCTGCGATTCGGATGTTCTCAAATCACAGTCGAAAGACTCGATCCCCTCGTCAATCCTGGAATGGCCCCAACGCCTCACATGCATCAAGTAGTGGGGGGGAACGCGTTTAATGCTTCAATCCCCGTAACTGATGTTTCCTCTGTTTCAGACTGCACAACCTGCGGCCCAGCAGACGATCGATCTAATTACTGGACTGCCAATGTGTATTTCAAGGCTCGGAATGGTAGCTTCAAGCGTGTCCCTCAGGTCCCTAACAGGTATGTGTGACAACATTATTCTTCTCTTTATTCCTTTTGAGAATATAGGTAGCTTTGTGAGATGTGATGCTGGAGGTCTCGGACTTCTTCTAGCTCTACCCCTATCATAACTCGATACTTACTAATACTATTCCCATTTAGACTTTTGTTTAATGATAAGTTCACTACACAAACCTCTGGTGGTATCACCGTGTATTATATTGCTCCTGCCAAGAACACGGTCACCGCTTTCAAGCCGGTAAGCTCTCAATATATGGAGTCGTATTGAAAATGTGTTGCTTACCACAGTTACTTAGGGCTTCCGCATGCTTGTCGGCGACCCCATGAGGCGTGAGAAGAAGTATAAGATGCAGAGTTGCTACCGTTGCTACTCCGGTCCTAATTTTGGTGGTGACAACGCCGCTCCTTGCTCTGATGCCAAGCTTGACACTGAGGGTTTCCCTACCGGGCCTTGCTTGGGCGGCATTCGATCCAATATCCTTTACCCAACGTAGGTTTATTTTCTTAGTCTGTCTTTCATAAGTGGAATGCTAAAACAATTCAGTTGCTGGGATGGCAAGAACCTTGACACGCCTAATCACCAAGACCATGTTGCCTACCCTACTGCCGGACCTTCGAACTTCTTGTCGACCGGGAACTGCCCTTCAAGCCACCCCGTTAAGATCCCGCAGCTCATGCTGGAGGTACGGAATAGCTCAATTTTAATTCACCCTATACATATTTCTTAGCTCTTTATTGACACGTAAGTATAGATCGTTTGGGACACCACCAAGTTCAATAACAAGGCAGACTGGCCAGCAGATGGCTCCCAGCCGTTCTATCTTAGCACCGGAGACAACACCGGTTACAGCCAGCACGGCGATTACGTCTTTGGCTGGAAGGGTGATGCCCTCCAGCGAGCCATGGACGACAACGGCTGCTTTAGCGCCACCTGCGGTAACCAGAAGTCTCAGGACATCTCCGTGGCGAATAAGTGTACTATCAGGAAGACCGTTCAAGAGGAAGCAGATGGATGTAAGTCAAACCCGTCTGGTAAAATGTACGATTAAAGAGAGTCTAATAAATGTTCTAGGGGTGGATAAGCTCCCGGGCAACCCTACTATGATGTAGTGTATCTGCATGAATTATGTTGTATTTCAGGGCGGGGAGGAGCAGGAGGACAGATCTATATGTGCTTAAGATATCATTCGTTCGTATTTATGTCTGGCTGATACCACGGACACGCGCTTTCGTTCATTTCGACTATACAAACGTACGGTAGATACCACAAATGCCATGCGATACCTTTTCAATTACTTAAATGCCACTTTGCCTACCACGTTGGAAGGTAGAATAGTTCAGCTAACGCCACCACCCAAGTATAACGTAGATAATCCGGAAATTCGTCAGGGTGACTTTGTAAATAAGGGTGGAGGCTTGGCTTGCTATGCCTCCTACGAGGAGTAAATAGGCTCAATATTATTGATAGGTTGGTACCTACAGCAATCCACTTTTGCCACAAAAACTGGATAATTACCTAGGTACTCAGTATTGTCGTGTGAATCACGTTGATTGATTCTGCCAATTTCACTCGGCCGCGCGGGGGGAGGCTGCGCGTAAAGGGGGGATGCCAAGTCGAAGAACGTCAAAATACGGATTGGTGTTGCTGAGTCAGGCTTGGCGTAAGCAGGTCGAATATAACCGCCCTCAGAGAACCTTTACTCTTGTAATTAGATTAACCGTCCTTATCTATTACTTATGTTACAGTACTACCTGCTTAACTATTATCTACCTATAACTACTACTTTGGCTTATGCCAAGTCGCTGGAAATAATCCTAATAATGGTCAAAGTTTCGATAGGTCACGTGCAGTTGCAAATCCGATAGAAGCGCGTAAAGCAGAGAAACGTCTGCCCCTTTTTAACTAATATATAGACTACTTATAGCACTTGAAGCGTGCTTTATATGTTATTAACAACTACTATTATTGGTCACATTTTAGGTCGTATTATATTAAGGTTACTTTCAGCGCATATTACACTGGAACTTGTCGATGAGATGTGCCGAAGTTGTGCCCCTGAAGCCATAGTAACGTGACTTGGGGCCCGTGTGTCCGGCCCCTATTTTAGGAAGGAGCCCTGCAGGGAGGAGGCGTCCGGCCGTAAGTGCGCAATTCTACCTGGGCTGAGCTCGAAGGTTAAACAACAAAAGAACAGAACACAGCTTTACAGCTCCGCATTGTATGCTACATTTTGCGACCATGCATTATCAGATGATCGTTTAAAATCCCCTAAAATCCTGCGCCATGCCGCTCTCGATTTCATTTGTCCAACTGCTGCGAACTTCTGAATAGCCAATGGCAACTGCCAAAATGATGACAGTCAGAGTGGCGCTGTCTTTCAACATCATCAAGTGAAACAATCAACACAAAGTCTAACATCTTACTTTGCACCAACTCGTCAGCCTCTCTTCCTGCGTAAAAATAGAGTTCTCTGCCAAACCATCTAGTAGGCCGGAAAGTGGCACCATTTTCTATCTGTCACTTAGATGAATTCATTATAAAGCAACTAGCAAGTGCCAGTGCCAAGCAAGCTCCAATTCCTCCTCGTTGCATGTCTTTTATTTATTTTGACGCACTCGTGTATTTCCATTCTACCTTTCCTCTCCATACAAACCGGCTCACGATGGGTCTCCAGATTCTCGCGCTGGCTGGCGCTGGCATCATTGGAGCCCTTTTTGCACGCCTTCTCATGAGCTGGGCCGTTATTTATTACAAGAAAACTTTCAAATACAGTCGCGAGCATGGCTGCGAACTACCACCCAAGTATCCACAAAATGAGCGGTTTATTGGGTACCAAATAATAGGCGAAGGGACGAAAGCGGCAGCAGAGAAGAGAGTCCTGGAGATGAGTATGGGGCGTTATGACACCACCGGGCATACATACACAGTGGCAGCAATGGGATCAACGATATTCTTGACCAGGGATCCCGAGAATATCAAAACTGTCCTAGCCACCAATTTCAAAGACTTCGGCTTGGGACAGCGAATCTACGCTTTCGGGCCTCTTCTTGGTCATGGCATCTTCACGTCGGATGGTGCCCACTGGGAACACTCTCGTGCTCTTATTCGTCCCAACTTCAACAAAGCCCATCTGGCCAATTTCGAATCCGCCGAAACACACTTCCAACATCTCGTGGCCAAGGTCCCTACAGATGGGTCAACCGTTGACCTACAGCCGCTCTTCTTCAACATGACCTTGGATAGCGCCACTGAGTTCCTTTTCGGACAGTCCATCGATTCTCAATTAGCAGCCGAGGGATCCGAATCCGAGAAGTTCTCTCATGCCTTCGATTATGCTCAAGTTAGAGTTCAACATCGCAACCGAGTCGGTCGTCTGGCCAGCTTAATTCCTGACCCCGAGTTCAAGGCCGCATGCGAGACTGTCCATGCGTTTGCTGATCGATATGTCGCCAAAACTCTCAAAAACCGGGACCAAGAGAAATCCTCATTGGTTGATATGGAGAAGGTTGGGGAGAAAAAGCGATATGTCTTCCTCGACGAAGTGGCCAAAGAAACTTCTGATCCTAAACAACTATGTGATGAGATGTTGAACATTCTACTTGCTGGACGGGATACTACTGCAGGTCTGCTGGGAAATGTTTTCCATTGTTTGGCACGACACCCTAAAGTCTGGAAAAAGCTGATGGCCGAGGTCGATGAGCTCGAGGGGAAGATTCCTAATTATGAGACTTTGAGAGACATGAAGTATTTGAAGTTCGTCTTGAACGAAGGTAAGCTACTCATTTGACTCCTAACGAGATATCAATTAGCTAACTACGTAACTTAGCCCTACGCCTCTATCCCGGCATCCCAACCAACGCTCGTATTGCGCTCAAAGATACCATCCTCCCACGTGGTGGGGGACCGACTGGAACAGCTCCAGTATTTGTACCCAAAGATAGTCTGGTCGTCTACTCGACTTATAGCATGCACCGGCGCCGCGACATCTACGGCGACAACGCTGACGAATTTATTCCTGAGCGCTGGGCCGCAGATGCACCCACCGGTCCATTGAGGCCTGGTTGGGGATATCTGCCTTTCAACGGGGGTCCCAGAATCTGCGTGGGGCAACAGTACGCCCTTACCGAAGCAAGCTATACCATTGTAAGGCTTTTACAGACCTACGGGAGCATCGAGAACCGAGATGGCGAGCCTTGGGTTGAGGGTTACGGTCTCACGCTGTGCAGTGGGAATGGCGCAAAGGTAGCTTTGAAGCTCCGCTAAGAGTAATATAACATGTGTATTGGCGGCATTGTTCAGGAGTTTGGGAGTTTGGGAGAGGCATACTGGTGTTTCGTCTCCAATGGAGAGTCTTGCTTCTCATCGATAGGGAACCTATTCCCTTGATTTACCGTCCTACTTTTCTCCTGCACTTCAAGTTGTATTGTTGATTATGAACCATAAAACAAGAAGAGCCTGTACAATTTATAAATAAACTCCGCTACAAAACCTATTCTTCTCTGTCTCATGTTTGGATCACCTTTTACCCTACCAAATTCATGATACTTGCCGTCATGGAGTACGTCTAGCCTTCCGAACATATCGCTCGCTCTGCTGTCCTACTTTATCTCCATTGCGAAAGAGCTACGTTAGGTACGTAAGGCTGAGTAGCTGCTGGTCACAAAGTCCCGGCCGTACCCTTTTGCTTCGTTGAGGCTAAGGCATGCTTCACTGTCAGATTCTAAGATTCGGTTTCCATCAAGACGGTCAGCAATCCCACACCTTCGATCAGGAATATTCACATTCGCATACCTCTCCTTCGTGGGTCAGCTAAGCAGTTGACGGTGGCTAATTATTATGGCCTTGTTCGTACCAAACGTCCTCGCAGTGATTCAAGCTTCTAACTGTTCCCCTAGTGTTATGGTGATAGGAGCAGGTCAACGAGGTCACTTTATTTTTGTACTCGAGAGACCTTTCATAAATAAGAAGCGCTTTAATGGCGGCTATAAACTCCAAGCCGTCCGCAAGCCTAAATTAAATAGAGCAGCTTATGTATTACTTTTCTCCGAGGCTCTTGTGTGGGGAATTTATGACAAACAAGTGCGGATTTGAGTTCCTAATCTGAGAGCTTTCCAGAAGCAGCACCCAGAGAGCAACCCAAAGTTCAAATTATTCCAGAATGTTTAACGTGCTTAGTAGCCAAATCTCTAAAGTGCCTAATCTTGAATAAAAGAATCGAGACCTTGTAACGTCGCTATGTCATTCTCGATATCGTTCCAAACGTCTTTCGGAGAGTCGGTATTTCTCCTCTTTCATAATAGCTCAAAAGCCCTCTACTTTTCCCCTCATCCCTGGCTGCAAATCTGAATTTTGTCTAGAGTGTAGCTTCCCAATAATAATGTAATTCTCGGTCTCTAAAACTGGCTAAAATTTAGACTATACACTTAAGACATTGGAAAATATAAATAACGAGTATTATTGTGTCGAGAGACTATATTATTAAAAAATGTGCAAAACAAAAGGTAGGCTTCTGTTTTAGCAAGGTTTAAAATATTCGTAATACGTATTTAAGAGTTTATTCTTATTTTATTCTAATAAGTTCCTTCAAATCTCTTAATTCCAGTAGAGCCAAAAAATTTAATATTATAGTCGATCATATAAGTGTTCCCTAGTAGTTGCATAGACACCCGATCCGTCGCAACATTTGCTGTTTCCTAAAACCCCTATGGAGGATAAATAAAGGTAGGACATGTAATTGCACAGAGATAATTTTAGCTGTGGCACTTATGGAATATAATTCCTTAGGGAAGTCAACCATTAACGCTGCAAGAACTGGTCTAGCGCGTGTCAACAAAACATGTATAAGCTATTCTTGGTAAAGGAAGATCGATTCGAGAATATGTTAGAAAATGAGGCATTAAATGATGGGAAGTAATTATATGGATTTATTATATTTATTTGCAATTCTTGATTTGGGTAACCAACCATGACTGATACTGTTAAGTCATGGTCTGTATATTTGTGGCGACAAAACCGACCAAGTGATATCGCCACGTAGTCTCAAGGTATATTAAGAAGGGATTTAAATGGTACTGTGATGATCTGAAATGCCAAGGACGGTCGAGAATGACAAAGATGTCTATTAGAAAGTGAGTTAAAAGGATGCAAGCTGGGGATGCCAAAGAGGCTGAGAAGAAATGCACTTTGGTACACTCAAAAGATATTGGCAACCACTTATTACGAAAGGACTTCAAAATTACTCTGGCAGTCGATGCCATGGATCCACAAGACGCAAGATATTATCTATTCTAACCTCATCGTAGACAGTTTTACCTTGGCGAAGTATATGTTCGCGAACCAAGGTTAATTCGAGCGCTATCATCGTGCTGCTACGGACTAGCGGAATGAATACCCCATAGCCAACGAATTGTTCACTGACCATGCGCATGATCTGCCGATCCTATGCAGCTAGCACTGGCGCTTTTCAAGTGAGAGATCATATCTTTACAGTCTGTAGCAGGCGGCTTGCTCAGTAGAAGCGTAGGTTTGCAGTAGTTAATGCTAAGTCATGAAATCATTTCTTACTGGCTATGTCTTTGCCAATGACGAGTACGCATGACCATGGACCATAAGGTGGTTTTGCTTATAGACGTTGAAACTTCGATCCCTTCGGAGGCGTTAGACCCGAACTAATTGAGGTTAGTGTTGTAAATAGCAACGGTAGGGCAGTAGCAGATGCCATCATCGACTTTGGATTTACAGTTGTCGAATTGTCCGTATACTCATGTAGTAAGGTTTCCGATTGCAGGTTTGCAGATACTCGGCCACCTAAGTACTACAGCAACCGCATCCGGGACCTGCATCAACCGAGATCCGGACCGTCTCAGGTACCCCTAAGAGGAAACATGAGATGAGTTCAATACTCACCAGCCTGCCTATGTGTAGATGCGACTGGTGCAGACTGGTGCAGGTCACTCAGCAACAGGAAATGTTTCAGGCTTACCAAATTCAGAGCAACTCTTGCGTAATACTTTTGAGGATAGACGACGACTATCGCGAAACAATGCTTGAGGTTGTAAATTTTGGGTGCTAAATTTCCCTGATGATTTTCCTTGTAAAGCTATATGCCACTTCCAGGCACTCATATCGTGAAAAAGATTGCATTCCAGGGCTTCTAGTTGGTCCCTTGAGGTTTCGGGCGATCGGTATGATCCTGCAAGCTGATGGAACATCAATTCCCTTGAAACTTTATGCTTAAAACATTGCCCTCGCCTCTGGAATAGCAATATAGCTGGAATCCGGGGGTTTCGCCTAAGAAAGACTGGTGTACTGGCTAATTGCATCGAGCACGGAAATTTCCTTTTAAACGGTTATCCAGGATCATTGATAGCCCTTATCAACGTAGGATTTGGTCGGTAGGCCATGGCGATAGTGGACGGGGCCTAGTGCAGGAGACGAAAACGCAGGGTCGGATTGTGTATCTGTGTACAGTATCGCACTGCATTCTGCTGTACAAAGCATGCAGGCTGTAGAGGCACCAAGAGAAGACGGCCATAATCGATCTAGGAAGTCATAATTGAATATGCGCAAAGTCATTCTTTGACTGCACTGCACGCACTAGGCTGCAGCCGGAATGCAAGAAATGGCCTCGATATTCTGCAATGGTTTGTTTTACCTGCACGAAATCCTCCGCTGGTGGTCTCGTGAGGACTGATCAATCAATTGACCGCTCACCGCAAAGAACTAAAGTGCCCCGAGCACACCGAATTGTGACAGCGGCAGGAATCTGTGTCTAATGCAGGAGGGCGTAATGTGATTATGGCCCTGTCGGCCATTGCTTCCGAAAATCATATCCTCCCCTCCTGCCAAGCTGTCGTCGATATCGTAGGGAAGAAGTGATGGTACCGGCCGGCACTTGATCGACGATCCTCCCAAACATTGGAAATATTGAGTCAGGAAATGTTTCTTACTCGAGTGCGGGTGGTGATCAGCCCTGACAAGTTATATTCTTGGTGTTATGACAGGTTTCAAGATCTCCAGATCCCGCCTTCCCCACCCCGCACACGGTGAAACGAGTCAGCTTCCTGGTGTTATCGACAAGCTGACCATTAATTCTAGGGCTTCTAGATAATAGAAGCTCCGAATCTTTGCCACTGCCATTTGAACTCTGCCCGCCTACGCTCAGGGAGGGTGTTCGGCCAGCAAGACGGGCACTTAGATTGCTTTCCCTCCGAACATATGTACTGTACATCCTGTTGGCGTTTTGGCTTTGAAGCAGCGGGCGATATTGGAGGTTCCGTGCTCGAATGCGAGTTGTGTCTGCAAGAACTTAGTAATAAGCCGATGTTTGTTTCCCACTTGACACAGCGTTTTGTTTCCGCTATGGTCTCCTGGCGTTCACCGGGTCCAGGCTCCGCCCAGTGCTTGAGGATCCCAGTGAGAATTTGTGATCGCCCAGGCCCAGCCGCATGGCGACCCTGGGCCCAGCAACAGGAAGTGAGGAAGCCCCCTCACTCCCCCATGGAAATCTGCAATCGAAGCAGTCTCTCACGTCGCGGAAGCCCCGGGTGGATTCCTTGTAAGTCGTTGGAGAGTATAACTTGGAAACCCACGATAGAAGCGAGAGAGTGGGTCAATCGACCAAAGGAATCCCCACTTGAAGCCTGGAAGCCATGCTATGCTGCCCGGAGGATTGTCCTGGACTGAGTTTGGCGGTGATTTCGCTTGGACATTGGCAACGGTACAGAGTACACAATGCAGACAGTAGTGGCATTTTGAGTCTGCGCAGTATGCGCTTCCGGTGCGTAGTCCGATCACTCCCCGAAATGCCCCTGTGTTGCACTGACGTGCACGGCGATTTTCTCTCGTGGACAGCGGTACAGCGACACCTCGTGCCTTTTTAGCGGTGCCCGCGCGCACTACGACCCCGGACTAGAAATCTTGCACTGTTTTGCGGTGGTTGGGCGAGTGGGAGGTAGGGTTGGAACGGAAGGTAGAGTAGCATTTTTGCAACAACGGCTTCAAAAAAGAATAAACAGATGGCGGTGGAGTAAGTTGTAACCGAGGTGTGCGAATATTCCCGAGTTTTACGAAGTGCCCCGCACTATCTATCACATTTGTTGCTGCTCAGATCTTTCTGTTAATACCGCGAGGAAAGCGATGGCAAGTAAACTTGCTTTTGCACCTTGATTTGGGAAACGAGTTGGTACTCGAGTGCTACCCCGGATGTACCGCACGACTCATCTTATTAACTGTTATGCGCTGTATATCGCAAATTCCAATCCCTCAGGGTGGTCATGGAGGGGTGATTTGAAGACGAGCGAGTGCTTTACAGCTGCCATCTCCGATAATTCCTGCTCAGCAGTCCTGAGTCCAGAATTTCATCTCCAGATGTTTCTTCTCATGCCCACACACCGGCAGTTGAGTTTGATGGTATCAAGTATCAGACAGCTCCGGATATTCAAACGTAATCCTGGAAAACACGTTGGCCGATTGCATCATTAAAGTTCCTTTTGCCTTTCGTTTTCTTCGAGACTGTTTCTTGTCGTCCGGTCTCTTAGAGCGACGAGTGATATGGTGTGTAACCGGCGATCAGGGGACGGCCAAGAGGGGTGTGGGCTAGCAACTCTCTACCTAGCCCTTAATTCGGAGGTTGATGGTAAATCGACGCCTGTGCTACGGAGTAAAGCTGGGCAAGACGTAAATGTAAATGTAATAGTTATTTGCTTGCATAAATGGTAATTATCCTTAACTTTCAGTAGTCTGTAGATCTCCCTCGCTCTCAGACTGACGGAAAGCGCAGCGCGGGCAAGAGTAACATGACATTGTAAAGTAGACCCGAGTTCTAGGCTTTGACCCGCGGACGGGAATGACAAAAATTAAGGAATCCTGAGTAATGATGTATTACTGCACTCTTTTACATAGCGGAGAGCCACTACAAACCACGCGCAGCGCCGATCTGTCAAACCAAATGCCCGAGTCTTGCGCGCGCCGTCACTAGACAACCATCTTGCAGACTGCAGGAGGATTAGGATCATTATACAGTATTGCAACCGTGCTCCGTATAATCCCAGAGCACCGTGTACTGGACCACTGGGCACTGGCCTTTGCGGTTTCACTTCCTTCTGGGGGCAAAAATAGAAGCACACTAAACACGGACGCGGGCCAAACCCATGAAGTAAGCAGTAGAGAATCTCCGCTATTCATACGGAAATATACATCTTGTCCGGAAGAGAAAACTTGAGATGGCTCGAACGTTGGGTGTATCTACCTTAGCTATTGTATGTGTGGTCGGTAAGCAGGATAGGTAGTTGCACAACAACTTTCGCACCCGAGAAGTTTGTTCTTTGAGAGGACTGTCGCCTAGGTAGGATACGACCTCTCTCAAGCGTCAGGGCTCAACCAGATGCACACGCCGCGTCGCTTCGCCTCATGTCAACGGCCGTGTCCCCGTTTCTTACTCCGTGCTCACTGTACACTTCCTTGTCGTGATTCTTGAAGCGTCTCGGCGTGGGATGGACGCCTCGCCCTGCCTGCTGCTGGCTGCTGGGCCGGTGTCTCGGACGCCACAACGTTCATGTCCCCCGTTCAACTTTCCCTGCACTCTCCCGGGGGACTTCTCCCTGTTGCTGCTCTCCCTGTGAATCGGCACCATTCTTGGAGCTTGGAGCTTCGTGTTCCCTGCCCATGCGTTTCCTTACGAAGACCGGGGGGTCTATAAGACGTACAGTAGTACGGGGTCGGGGTCCCGAGCAGGAGAAGCTATTTGCTGGTGGGTGAGACGGAACACATAAGTATATCCTCTGCCGTCTCTGGTGTATGTTCAGCGTTCCGCCGCCGTGGACGACCGTGACCAAGGGCAGTTATATTGGGCGGTGCTAGTCGACTCATCTTCTACTCTTTTCGTGGTTCGTCTTTCGTTGCAAGCCCAAGTTTTGTTTGCAACTTGTACATAGTTGTACCCTACCTATTATTCATATCCAGCATCATTCAGAAATCGAGCAGGTATCCTCGATCCGACGGCCAATGGCCCATATCGCCGACTTCATGGTCGACGCCGACACCGCCAACAATGTGGGGTTAAATAATTACATAGCCAGGGAGCTATCTCCCCCGCCTCAAGATGCGGTATGTTCTTCCCGCTCCCTAGGCTTTGATGAGTATATCTGATAGTATATAGGCCACGGAAGCCCCAGGTCCAGAGGAGAAGGAGAAACATGTCTGGAGAATGCACCAACCGCCCGAGTCCCGCAAACTGCACCTCTTTCCATCAAGGGAAAAGCTGTCAATAGCGGCTGGTCGAAAGAGCCCCGACGCTGAAACGACTGCTAATAGTGTGGCGGCAATGGGGCAGAATGGATCTGGGGAAAAGGACCGGTCGGTCCTCGGCGCTGCTCTGAGATTGAAACCAAAAGAACCAACTCTCATCCGTCGAAGAAAGATTTCTGTGGCAGAACTTGGTCCAATGACGACCGTTCAAGAAATCGCCATGGATTCTCGTGAGTTGGCCCATATTGCTCTCGAGCTACAAATATATACAATATTGGTAAATTGAACTAACCATATCCCCAGCCACAATACCCGGGCGGCCACCAGCGCACGAAAGGTCAATCAGCGCACCTGGGAATAGCTGGCGGCAACATGTGTTTGGAGAGAGTATGCTCTCGTGCATAACCGGACCTGCATTAGATGAAAATGCAGAGATAGCTGCAACAGAAAGGGGCGTCACACCAAATCAAGCGAATTACTCTACTCCGGCCCAAACCACACCACAGTCGTCACATCTCCAGTACCGCAGGGATAATTCTTCCTCGCCGAGACGGCCCCTCTCTCCAAGGTCTCTCGCACCGCTGGTCATCCCTTCAACATCAGCTCCTCATCCACAGCATCTTACCCGGTGGCCATCGAAGTCCAGGTTGCGGTCAGAGAGCACGCCTCCTGATGTTCCGCCCAAGTCGGCGCGGATGAAGGAGTCCCCCTATTCTCGAGGTTCTCCCCTTGTTCCAGGATCTGAAATCGTTCTGAGTGCGTCGACTCTATCATCCTCCTACTTTAATACTCCTACTTCGGCCATCACTTCAGCACCCACTTCAGCACCCACATCAGCTCCTACCTCAGCGCCCGAGCGGCAAACTTCGCCCAAACCATGGACTACCGCCAGTGCAGGACCAAGCCCGATGTGCCATACACGGGGACACTCAGAAACCACGCAGCAACAGCTGGGACAGTCACTTGGACATCGACGAGGCGAATCGGAAGCGTCCATTATGGATCGAGGACGCCCGAAGAAGCGTTCAGATGCATCCCCCATGAAGCGCACTATGAGCAAGCGCAGTAAGTCGCAAGAGCAAAAAGCATTCGAATGTCTACCTAAAGGGACCCGCGCCACTGAGGCATATTCGGTCCTACCAGCCTCTGAAGTTGAGGCGCTTCGTAAACAAGCTATAGGCCAGGCGTCACGATTTGAAGTACTAAACACCAAAAACGTTGAGGCTTTGTCAAGAGTGCGTACTTATCCACCCTTCTGTCCCAACTCATCATATTAACATTATAATAGGAACTGCGTGGCCTCGACGAGCGCTGCGAGTATCTCCGCAAAACCCACCGCTCCCTACGCTCTGGTCGACGCAACCTCCACGGCCGCATCTGCACCTACTTACGGTCACCACGTGTTGCACGATTTTCCCATGAGTCGATGCTCAAGCAAGAGGAAGCCCTGTCGGAACTGGATACTTCAATTGACGACTGGGTCTCCAAGCTTGAACAGGCTGAGAACCGCCGGACTCGCGTCCGCCAAAAGCTGCTTGAACATGTGGCCGCAGCGCTCATCATGGATCCTATGCAAACTCACAAGGCAATTGCCGGTGCCCCATTTGGCGAGAACACCCCTCCACGTAGCCCGACGAAAACGCAGAGTCCGCGCCGAGGCGATACGACGCCTCCTCGCAGCCCAACAAAAGCCCACAGTCCCCAGCGATTAGCGGAGGAGGTGAAGGTTACCAGCCCGGAAAGCATCGGCGGCCGCCGGAGAACGCGTGCTAGTGCGGAGAGTATAAGAATATACGCCGATAGCGACGTGTATGCATTGTTGGCCGATGTTGAGGAAGAGATCAACCGCATGGGAGACCAAGCCGAATCTGACAGGACAGCTGCTCGGCAGCAGCAAGAGAAGGAAAGAGAGGAGAAGCAGAACGACGTTATTGCCGCGGGCATAACCCTTAACGCGGTGGCGTTTGAGGGTATACCAAATACGCGGGCAGTGCGGAATGCATAGTTTGTTTGAGGGACGAAGATTAAAATGATGTTGAAATGACTATCCACGGCCGGCTCTGGATGGATGGAGGCAACAACAGTACACCAACCATTATGCTATGTCATACTCTCCACGAGAATACATATTCTTTACGACGACGCTTCCAGGCAGCGCTTGCTTGGTACTTTCATACACTCTTTTATCACGACACGTTTCTACGATCACGTTATCGACGCATATTTGCTTTTCAGCGCGCTATCTTTACTATAATCCTCTATTTGCAGTGTTCGAGAGTGTTGATATCAACATCTTAGGAGGACGGGCTGATTCATCTCTTGAAGAAGATGAATGGTTATTAGTTAATGTTCATTAGTCGCGCCTGTCTCTCCATTGGAGAAGACAGGGCTAGTTTGTATATATGGTGGGAGAGAGGTGAGAGAATGGGGGAGATCAGATGTAAGAGATTGGTTTACCTTCTTTGTGATACTTTTATTGGATATTGGATAGGGAACTTGCATGCATGCATCAAATGGAGCATGGGTTTTGGGGTTAGGGGGATTGCTGAAGAAGAAAAAGAAAATAACCTAAAACAATTGAAATAAAACTTTTAAAAATAATGGAGGCTCTCGATATAGCTGTGCGCTACCCTATGAATATCCCAGGAGGTATGCTCGGAACCTGCTTCGCGGTGTCCTAAGAAATATTTCCTGATAGCTGGGGTATCAATCAGTAGTATTACAATCTCAAGTATCTAGGTACCTAATTACTCAATAAATCATATATCATCCAACAGCTTCATCCTTCTCTTAATTTAACCACCTAGCCTCCTAACACATACATTCGTAACCGTCCTCCCCTCCTCAACCACACCCGTGCCCTCAATCGGTGCCCCATCCCCAGCCGCCAAGTCTGTCAGCACCTTCCCCAACTCCCTCGTAGGACTCGTGAACCCATTCGCAACACTCCTTAGAACAGATAATACCGGACCAAACATGACCTTTTCCAAAACATTTTTCTCTGGCAAAAACTCATGAATCTCCTGATGGTGACCAGGATCTACGCCTGCTGGACGCAAACTATATGGTCTCAGATTCTGATGTTCGGGATCCTTAGAAAGCGCAAGCAGGTCCTTTTCTGCGCGGCCTTTAACGATGCCAAAACGCGGGGTGAGCGACGAGGGCGTTGTGGTTGCTCCCTCGCCGGAGACGTAGACGAAGTTGAGGGGCTTAGGTGAGGTGGTTTCTGCGAGGGCGCGGGCGAATGCGAGGGGATAGGTGTATGTTATCTCTTCGTAGGCTCTGTACGTATAATGTATAAGTTTTCTAGCCTTCATCTTGTTTGTTTCTCAATAATTGGGGGACTGGACTTGGCTTACTCCTTCGAAACTTTCGTCTGGCTGATTCCTTGTGCCCATACCACACCATCCGCATCTTTGACTTGATCTAACACCGAGCTCGCGTAGTTGGCGAAGTCTCTATGGATTATAACATTTACCTTCTCGTGGCCTGTAGCCTGGGCGACTGGCCGCCGCGAGAGAATAGTAACTTTGTGGATTGATGGCGCGTTGAGCATGTGGTGCAGGACGGCAGAGCCCACGAGACCCGTTGCGCCGGTTAGTACGAGATGCATTGCGAGTATGGAAAATGAGAACCGCTATTAGAATTGGAATAGCAAACAAGAGAAAGAATCGTAGAGAGAAGTGTTGATTTATACCTACCTTACCTACGATCGAAAAGCTTGCGTGTGCGGCTTATGGAGGTAAGAACAGAACATCCACGTTTTGACGACGGGGGTTCGGACTTAAGTTTAAAACGGGTCGCAGATTCCTCCGAGCCCGCATTTATGCTTGAACACTGCATCCAATCTCACCATTCTAGAAGATACTTAATGGATACTGATGGAACAAAGTTCCATCGCTTGCTATTCTCGGATCGGCTGTGAGTTGGTTGCATATGCAGAAGTTTCTCCAGTCTCTCCCCCAACAATCTCATGCAGTGGCGTCCCTAGTGCTTGCTGATAAACACCCCGAGACTCTCGTCTCAGGTGCCACCGACTCACAGCTCACCCATGGGCTTCTTCCGAAGTTAAGGCGTGTCGATACAGGCAGGGATCAACCATAGGATTCTCGCTGCCCCAGTGGGCATCATCGTCCTTCCTTATTGATCCTATAGCAGGGAGCTCGGGGACCTCGGAAACAGCCGAGCAGGATCGATATGCTTAAGACCTCGCGTTTGAATTTTTTAATTCCGCCTACCTGATTCAACAGTCTACGATAAATCCCAAGTGGGTAAAGGGCTAGGCGAAATTCATAGCTATAAAATCTAGAACTGCACTGCTATATCTGTAGCTATGGCTCTTATGTACTGTACTGAAGCTCAGCCGTCGGCGACAGATGCGAAGATATCTCCTCGTCAGATCTTTCCCCTGTCATGCCCTCGAGACTGCTACTCTACATAAAGCATAGGGTGCCCCAAATAGTCTCAGAACAAGAAACCTTTTGTGTGTTATTTATTGGATGAGCGGTCCTTGGAGTACTCACTCTGGGGACAATCCAACCCAGAATACCGTGTCATATTCGGCGAGGAAGTTCCCGCCCATGCATCTTTTGATCCTTCTCGAGAGCTACTCTATCCTCGCCTTCTCACCCCACTTGTCCAGGCCCAACATAACCCATTCTTGCATATCTACAAGCTCACTTCGAGCTGGGGTAAAATATATCTTTGGATATACGGCATGAGCAATCAGACGGGTTCACGCAATCAAGTGTCCATCCATTCCTTCTCCTCTTATGACGTTGAAGAAGGCGTAGCAACCGTTGAACGCCACTGGAGATTCACAACGATACTTCTCGTTTGAGAAGGCTGCCATAGTTGGGAAGACTTTCTTTGATATTCATCAAGTGGGCGGACTAGAGGTCATACTACATGCCAGGATATTAGCAATGAACCCAACGATAACGAGAGAGCAGGTCCTGAAATTATGACTTGAAGAGGGCGACTTTATGGTGATAACATTCCCTCGTTTCTTCCCCAAACCACAGCAAAGAAATGTCACACATACATTTTGGGCTGCTACTCCCCGAATCTCGAGTGTTGTCTCGGAGCTTGGCACCCTCGGAGTCTTCCAATTAAATATCCCCAGACTAAAGGCAAGAAGGCCGAAATTCTTCAAATAGAGGAAACTAATTGGATTTACCAAAAAAGAAGTACAAGTGTGCATAAGTTTTGTGTTGCCAATAGTTATGGCTGTTTGATAGTCTAGCTTTGGCAGACACTCAAACATTTTTGTCGAGTGGGATCGATGAATGAGAAGCGGAATTATGAAACGATGCCAACAACATTAGACTCGTCTTCTTTTGATCATCTTTTGACCGTACAATACTAATACAAATACCTACCTAGTACAAAGCCCCAACTATTCGTGGGTCGCATCACGTGGTGGGTGGCAACCCCCCTCACCCCTTTCCCGGCGCCTCGGTCCAATCCACACTCCACAAGCCACATCCCCGCATTTGAGTGATCAGCTTACCTGGCTTCCACCTGCGACTCTACCCACTAGTAAAAGGATATATAATATATAGACCCTTCATTCCTTTATTCCCCCTTGCAATTTTCGCATCATTTATTTTCGGCTTTTGTGCTTGCTTCCAAGTATCCTAGTATTGCATTTTATCACCATGGTACGGATAGAAGTCTCATATTTCTCTTATCCGGTTTGTTAATACAATACATTCAGGCTTCTAAAGCAGATCCCTTTTACGCTCGCTCGAGTACGATCCATGACCGCGTACAAGTCGGAAATGGCACAACTTTTCTTCCTGGGAAAAAGGACCCCTCGGTGGCACATCTTATTGACCATGTACTGGAACATGGATACGTGATCCTTCCGTCTATCTACACTCCAACTCAAGTCGACACCGCTATTAAGGAGCTCGATCGGCTACAGTCCAACAATTCCTCAGGCCCCGCATCAAAAGGTGGACGAAATGAGTTCGAGGGCTTCAAAACCAAAAGAATATATGCCCTAACGGATAAGAGCCGGGCATTTGATTACTTCCCGATCCACGACATCGTGCTGAAGCTTAATGATTATTTTCTACAGCCCAACTATCTGATCAACAGTTTTCACACGGTGGATATCATGCCTGGTGAGAGTGGGCAGGTAATACATACAGATGACGGTCTGATCAATTTACCACGTCCAAGACCATTGATGGGTACTGTATGTCCTACCGCCCTACTTTGAAACTTACAGTTATTTGAAGCTGACAACTTTTCGATGGTCAGGGTACTATGGTATCCCTTGATGCCTTCACAGCCACCAATGGTGCAACAACACTCATTCCTGGATCGCATCTTTGGGGCGACGACCGCAAACCTACTCGTGAGGAAATGATACCAGCAATCATGCCCGCGGGTTCTATGGTGTTCTTCCTAAATACATTGTGGCATAGCGGCGGAGCCAACACGTCGGATAAACAACGAAGAAGCTTGACAATTCAATACTGCCAGCCGTGGATAAGGACGTATGAGAACATGACCGTGGCCCAGGGTTGGGAAAATTTGGATCAGATTCCCAAGAGACTGTTGTCACTGATGGGATTTAGTACACATGATTTTATGGGATATGTGGATGGGAGGTCGCCTAGGGTGGGCGTGGAAATGAGAAAGAAGCGATTGATTGAGTGGGCTTTGAAGGAGAGGGAGAAGGAGAATGGGAAAACCCAAGATTCGAAGCTGTGAAAGCTAGCGGAGAGAGTCTCTATGAATTTGCCGGAGAGGAACGGGTATTTGTACATACATGAACAACTCTGAGGACAATTTTGAGTCTCCGGTGGGCTCCGGCCGTTGATGATTAGCTTATAGCGCGGCAAGACATCGTATTATCATTTTTCTGAATCCTTTGGAACACAAAGCATCATCTAATGTCGGGGAATCAGGGGTGGTTGATATCCCCGGGGCGGTGAACCCGTAAGCGGCAGTAAATTTAGCGCGGGGCAATAAAGGTGTTTGCTGACCCTGCTGATGGCTCCTGACTCACTAAATTCTTGACCAAACCTTCTCATAAACGCACAATTGACAGACTACCTGAAGCGCTACCTTGCCAATTGAACGATGCCGAAAGTATATCTATTAGATTATGTGGCGGGCAATATACGGAGTTTGGTCAATGCGATAGAGAAGGTGGGGTATACAGTGGAATGGATCAAGTCGCCGGAAGATGTCGAGAAGGCCGATGTAAGCAAATCCTTTTGAATGCCCGTTCCCCAATTGTTTCTTACAATGGCTGATATTCTGCTGTAGAAACTGATTCTCCCTGGTGTCGGTCACTTCGGTCACTGCATGACTCAAATTTCCAATGCAGGCTACCTCCCGGCCATACGAAAGCACATCGAATCCGGAAAACCATTTATGGGTATTTGTGTTGGGCTGCAATCGCTGTTCGAAGGCTCCTCGGAAAACTCATCGGTTCCCGGCCTCGGCATCATCAAAGGCCATCTCGATCGATTCGACGATAGCTCGAAAGCTGTGCCTCACATTGGGTGGAATAGCGCGAATACATCGGATAAACAAGTCTTTGGCCTAAGACCCAGCTCAAAATACTACTATGTCCATTCGTATAAAGTGCCGTACAAGAAAGGGGAGCTTGAGAATCAGGGCTGGACAGTGGCAACTGCAAGGTATGGGGATGAGGAGTTCGTTGGTGCGGTTGCGAAAGGAAACATCCTCGCGACACAGTTTCATCCGGAGAAGAGCGGTGTTGCCGGCTTGAGAGTTCTAAAAGCGTTCTTGGATGGCAAGCAAGAGAGCGAGGTCAATGCCGCAATCAAGGCAGTCGAGGAAGGCCTGACGAGAAGAGTCATCGCCTGTTTGGACGTGCGAACAAATGATCAAGGTGATCTTGTCGTCACGAAGGGCGACCAATACGATGTCAGAGAAAAGTCCGAAGCAGGAAATGTCAGAAATCTCGGGAAACCAGTCGAGATGGCCAGGAAATACTACGAGCAGGGTGCAGACGAAGTTACCTTTTTGAACATTACGAGTTTCCGGGATTGTCCGCTGAAAGATCTACCGATGCTTGAGATCTTGCGAAAGACATCAGAGACCGTATTTGTGCCATTGACTATTGGTGGTGGTATTAGAGATACCACAGACACAGATGGGACGAAGGTCTCCGCATTGGACATTGCCACGATGTATTTCAAGAGTGGTGCGGATAAAGTCTCTATCGGATCGGATGCCGTAACTGCAGCCGAAGAATATTATGCTGCTGGAAAGAAACTGTCTGGGAAGACGGCCATTGAGCAAATATCACAAGCCTATGGAAACCAAGCGGTGGTCGTGAGCGTAGATCCAAAGAGGATTTATGTCTCAGAGGCAGCTGCAACGAAGCACAACACCGTCCAAACAAAATATCCAGGTCCGAACGGCGAGCAGACTTGTTGGTATGCCTGCACTATCAAAGGTGGCCGAGAAACAAGGGACATGGATGTGGTCGAGTTAGTGGCCGCTGTGGAAGCAATGGGCGCAGGAGAAATCCTCCTGAATTGCATAGACAAAGATGGAACCAACAGCGGGTTCGACCTTGAGCTAATCAATCAAGTCAAGGGCGCTATTAAGATACCCGTTATAGCTTCAAGTGGTGCTGGAAATCCTGGCCATTTTGAAGACGTATTCGCGAAGACCACGACGGATGCAGCTCTTGGGGCGGGAATGTTTCACAGGGGGGAGTACACGGTGAAACAGGTGAAGGATTTCCTTGGCGAGAAGGGGTTGATGGTCCGTCAGTTTGAGAGCGAATTATAACCAGTTAACTTTTCCACGCCAGTACTATTTAGAGCGCTTTTTATGACGATCAATATAGACTTATTAGCAAGTTCGTATTTTCCTCCTTGTAGTAAGCAAGCTTGATTTATAATGGGAGGCAAGGTATCCGTCGGAAATGTGACCAACGCTACCTGATATCGGATATAATTAGTATGTCCGATTATTGACTCCGATATAAAGTAAGAGTATTCAATTTACACCCGGCCATGGAATACTAAAGCTAAGAACTCTTTTTGAGAATTAAGCATATATATCCACAAGCAATCCGTAACTCCACGCAACCCAAAACTGATACTCACTCAAAATGCCACTCCCAACAAACATCCTCGTCCTCGGCCTGGGCGAGCTTGGAACCGCCATTTTGAACTCCCTCTCAACTAGAGCTCCTCACACTACAAAACTAACAGTCACCCTCCGGCCTCAAACCATTTCAAGCCCCTCCGCTTCCAAGAAAGCCGAGATCGAAAGTCTCCGCGCCCAGGGAATATCGATACTCGCCGCGGATATAAGCACACTCTCACTCACCTCACTCACTGAGCTCTTCAAGCCTTTCGACTTGATCATCTCCGCCCTAGGCTTCGCCTCCGGCCCCGGTTCACAAGTAAAAATTACACGTGCGGTCCTAGACGCCAAAGTACCCTGGTATATTCCATGGCAGTTCGGCGTGGACTATGATATTGTGGGTAGGGGGAGCGCGCAGCCTGTGTGGGATGAGCAATTGGATGTGAGGGATTTGATTCGTGATCCTGGGCAGAAGGATACCGAATGGACTATTATTAGTACGGGGATGTTTACGAGTTTCCTTTTTGAGGAGAGTTTTGGTGTTGTGCTATCTGATGATGGGGAGGTTCTTGTGAGAGCTCTGGGGGGCGAAGAGAATAGAGTTACTGTCACAAGCCCCGGGGATATTGGGAGGGCTGTTGCGGAGGTTGTGTTTGATGGTGATGAAAGGAGGTATAGAAATCAGGTTGTCTATACGGCGGGGGATACGATTAGCTATGGGCGCTTGGCTAAGACTTTGGAAGAGGTTACCGGGAGGACGGTTAGAAGAGAGCCGAGGAGCGTGGAGGTGCTGAGGGAGGAGTTGGAGGAAAATCCTGAGGATGTGCTTAGGAGGTATAGGGTTGTGTTTGCTGAGGGGAAGGGCGTGAGTTGGGACAAGGAAAGGAGTTTTAATGTCCAGAGGGGAATGGAGATGCAGGATGCCAGGGGGTGGTTAAAAGAGAATTTGGAGAAAAAGGGGCTTGGGGGAAAATAGGGCGTGGAATGAAAAGGGACTGTTCATACCGACTGTTCATACCTATGGATTGTAATCCGGCCGTCAATGATGGCGATCAGAGAGATATTAGAATTTTCAATATTCGTTATACGGTAGATTCTGAAGTTGCATCTCAGCTACTGCGATATGAAACCTTATTCACAACATGAGTTCCTATATAGGGGATCGGTGCTTGTAACGAAGCTGACATCGTGTTCAGATTCATGGCAAGTGAGATGGGTGAAACGCGCGTTCTGGGTATTGAGCTTGCTGGAGTTAAATATAAGTTGCAATACAAATCACTGTGACCGACCAGATATCTGACAGATGGATCATTTATATGAGGCGGATTTAGCCAAACTTCAGCATCTACGCAAACTAGAAGTTATTAACAATATTGTTGGCATGATTTCCACTTATCCAAATTGTAAAGAACCTCGAGGATATTTTCACTTTGGCGTAAGTTAATAAAATGCGGGCTTTTCTAAGTGTATCAACCCGTTGGCAGGCTATTGACAAGTCAGCAAATGTTGGAACAATCCAGTAGAGGTCACAGACCGGTATGAACTGCCTAAGACGGACGCCAGCCTGTTTGAAGACATCCGCAGTCTCCCCATCCATGCTGTATCCCTGGCTATAAACCACCTCACTGATCCCAACCTGCGCGATCTTGATGCTGCATGTCAAACAAGGGCAGGTATCGCAGTATAGCGTCGCGGCTTCTCTAATCCTCTCCCTACCGGCCTCTAGTAAGGCATTTTCCTCGGCATGGATACATAAGCATGTCCCCAGACCAAAACCAGAACCCTGGCCTTCATTACAACGTGGACAGCCCCCTTCTCCGCAGTTCTTGAGTCCTCGTGGTGTACCGTTATAACCGGTACTGATAACCCGCTTTTCCCTCACTAGCACACAGCCCACTCGCCGTTTCATGCAATTACTCCTCTGCGCTGCCAAAGATGCCAATTCCATGAAATACTGATCCCAGCTTGGCCTTAAACGGTCTTCGTTCGTAAGATCCAGCTTGCCCAAAGTTGCGTATAAATGCGCGAGGTTACTTGACGTATTCAGCAGCCGGACAGTCGCTCGAGATATTAACGGAAGTAGTCCCGAGTGTGGATTATAGAGGTGCTCGTCTGATTTTATGAGGAAGGCCTCGAGGGACAGGCTCTCGGCTGCTGATTCGGATTTCAATAGTCGAGCTTGGAAACGCCTCCACCGCACACCGACTGGCGCATCCACACTGATGAGTATAAAGAACGGGCGGCGGAGAAGCTTATCGAGGATTGGCTCGGTATAAATATCTGTCGTTACCCAGCGTTCGCGCCATCGCTTAGTGACGAAGTCGATCAATTCCTCTGTGGTGCTGAAAGTATGGTCCTCCGCGACTTGGGAGGGTTTTGGGGAGACACCGGTGTATTGGGGAGGCGGTACTATTCTTGTTAATACATGACCGTCCACCTGCTTGATATCCATATCTCCATTGCCATGACCATTCACTTCTGACTCGGGAAAATGGATATCATCAGCCCTGTCTTGTCGAAGGTAGAGACGTGTGAAACCATGGTGTTCCTGGAGATACCTGGCAACAGTGCGTTTGCCAGCGCAAATGCCTCCGCAGAGCCCAATCAACATGGCTTGACTTCCAATTATTTTTCTCCTTCCTGTAGAGTTTCTCGGAACGTGTGTTGTTGACTGAAGGTCGACGGGGACTCAGAATTCAAGTTTATCACTGAAAGATGCCGGTAGTGTTCCTAAAGCTCCGTGTGTCTTGGAAGACGCGTCGCGGTAAATCGCGGTCCCTTTGCAGCGACAATGCGGCCGCACATGTTCACGTGCTCGCCCTCGTAATCACGAGGCGAGGCCACGTGAACTCTGCGTCACACAGCCGACCTGGTCATGACGGCTCATTGTATCTTTGTTCCTCGAAACCTTTATCCATAAGCCATATATCCAGACAGATCGAGAAGCAAACACAGGGAAATATACTCTTACCAGCAGACTTACGAATAGCTTCGCATGTAATGCAACGGTTGCAACATAGTCAAAACGTCAATCTCACTATCTCACCTTCTGCCCCTCTCATCTTATCGTCTTTCACACCCCGCCTTTGACCCGAGGCACGATTCGAAGCCGCCAGCCAGCATGGCTTTGAAGTTCGCGCCCTTTGGCTCCGAAATCGAGCTTCCGTTTTATACAGCCCTATCACAATCCAAGATAGATCATGACAAACTAGATGATTCGGCGCGGACGGTACTTGGCTTGTACGAGCCTCGCGCCACCGCCCCCGAAGATAGTTGCCGAATGAGAGTCCTAGGGAATGCTCTTACTAGTGATGAGTGGGTTTGCACTTTTCTAACTCCGAGATACCGATTTTTTATATATTGTTTCCTGCTAACTGGATAGCGTTCCTCCAAACCATATCCGTGCTGAGGGCAAGATCAAAAACGTAAACACTATCGAGGGGTTCAAAAATGTCGACAAAACAGCAATAATCCAGACCGCTGCTAAACAGGTACCAGCGGGACTTTTTTAATAAGACTTCAAAGTACTGACTTTCTCAGATCTGGGATGCTATTAATGACGGCACCATATATTCCATACCGTCACTCCTCTCTTCTTTCTCCATCCTTTCGTTTGCAAATTTAAAGAAATATACCTTTACATACTGGTTTGCATTTCCTGCACTCCATTCGGACCCAGTCTGGAAATCAGCCGAAGAACAACCGCCCCAGTTGACTGGAAAAGATACGACTGAACTTGTTGATGAAGTTGGCACTTGGAAATATGGAACTGACAGCAGAGAGCACGGCTTCTTTTTAGCCAAGAGAGTCCGCCACTCTTCATCTGAGAGCGAGCGGCCCCCGACTCCAGGTCTCGGGTTAGATTACAAGTGGGTTATTGGCTCTCTCGGGAAGTTTGAAACTGGCTTCTTCCATGGAGTCGAGCCTGAAGATCAATTCGTGGCCTTTGTTGACCCTTCGACTTATCCTGAACACCCTGGCTGGATGCTACGAAATTTACTGGTTTTGATCAAACGAAGGTTCAAACTTAACAAGGTTCAAATACTCAGTTTCCGAGATGTTCATGCAAAGCGACACGAGGCACGAAGTAGGATATTCCTTCTCGAAACCCAGCCTGGGGAGGTGGAGTCCAATGTTATGCCTCGAGTTACCGGATGGGAGCGCAACAGCATTGGAAAATTAAGTCCAAAGCTTACAAACCTCACTCAATATATGGATCCCATACAGTTGGCAGATCAAGCCGTCGATTTGAATCTAAAGCTTATGAAATGGCGCATTGCTCCAGATCTGAATCTTGATAGAATCAAGGATACCAAATGCCTTCTTTTGGGCGCTGGAACCCTTGGAACTTTTGTCTCCCGCGCCTTGATGGCATGGGGAGTACGAAAGATTACGTTTGTCGATAATGCAAATGTATCATTTTCAAATCCGGTCCGGCAGCCGCTATTTGACCATAAAGATTGCCTCGAAGGTGGAGCAAAAAAGGCGCACAGGGCCGCCGAAGCCCTCGAAGAGATTTATCCCAATGTTGACAGCACTGGGCATGTGATGTCAGTTCCGATGCTCGGTCACCCAATAGAGGATGAGGCCAACACCAGATTGGACTTTGAGACCTTGCAAAAGCTTATCAATGACCACGATGTTGTCTTCCTCTTGATGGACACACGAGAGAGCCGATGGCTTCCGACTGTAATGGGAAAGGCTGCTGGCAAAATTGTTATGAACGCAGCATTAGGATTCGACACTTATGTGGTCATGAGACACGGGGTTGCGCCAGCTGATGGAGGGCCAGCGGTCTTAGGGTGTTACTTCTGTAACGATGTTGTAGCTCCTGCAGATGTAAGTGCGAAATATATAAGTTCAGAACGCAGCTAATTTCACTGCAGTCAGTCAAAGATCAAACGCTTGACCAGCAATGCACTGTCACGCGCCCTGGAGTTGCCGCTATCGCTTCGAATCTCCTCGTGGAAGTTCTTGTATCCCTGCTACAACATCCTCTAGGAGCACAAGCTCCTGCTCCTCTGGCATCGGTGAATCAAGCTACAGCCTCCATCGACTACGAAAGGGATCCTCCAGGGCATCCGCTAGGCATCGTTCCCCATCAAATCCGCGGCTTCCTGTCGACTTTCCAAAATAAGATCATAAGTGGACAGTCATACGATTGTTGTTCAGCCTGTTCCCCTAAGATTGTCAATGAGTACCAGCGTCAAGGGTGGGAATTCGTTAAACGTGCTCTCACCGATAAAGATTATGTTACTGAACTCAGCGGGCTGGCCGAGGTGCAGCGTGCGGCCGAAGCTGCCGCGGATAACGTTGACTGGGATAGCGAGCCAGAACTTGGCGAAGATGAGGGTGAAGGAGAATTGATCTGATGATTTTATGGTAGCTTGATGGTATTACGGGCTCGGGGTTGGGAGGTTAGGTGATTCGGGATGGCGTTGGGAAGGAGTTGGGAGGAGATCGTAATGAGGTACGGCCCCACTTCTGGGTACGGCGAATGGAGGGATATTGTACTATGTACTCCGTATAGGAGTGTTATTATATGCAATTACCATTTCCAATTTCCTATAGAAATACTTTGTATCTGGTGTCTCCTGAAATGGGTACTTAAAACACGTGACCTGTCAGGCCTAAAGTGGCTTAGCTCCCCTTCACTAGAGCTTCAAGAGATTCGGTGTCACAAAAAAAGTACAGCCATTGCGTAGCTCTGGGCTTGCATCTCCAGTAATTGCCACTCATGATCTTGTATGCAGCATTCCTAATTCTCTGCCATAGTTGATCCTGCTAACACTCTACAGCTCCTAATCCGGGTATAGATTCATTCCCAGCGATGCGGTCCCAATTGACCCGCGTGGTCTTTCGAAGGCTGCTTTGGAACGAAGGCTTTACCTTTCGCTGTCCGACTCAATCGGCATTGTATCTTCGCCATAGACATGTAACTCCCTCGATAACATTACGGCCACAGCAGAGGACGTTGTTCGGCTTCTCGACGAAACCTCCACGAAAACCAAAAACTCCACAGATTGCCCCTGGGATGATGATGATCATGGAGTTTTCCAAGATGAAGAGGTTAAAAGCGAGGCTTCCGCCTGCTGATGATTTGGTTGCTGCCTTCCGAAATTTCGTCCAATATAAGTTGTTCAGGCAGGAGACGGTGACCAATTATAACGCTATATATGTCTTGCGATTGTTCAACCACCTGCGGGACTTGAGGACAGCCGATGGCCAGCATATTTTCACGGGGGCCGACCTGCGACGGTTTAGGAGAGTTTTTCTTGCCAAACCGAAGGATTCAGACAACAATTACGAGGAATTTCCCCAGGAAGTCTATGCTGATTTTACGCCCAACAAACACCTCGAGATTGCCAAGGAGATCCACAAAGAGCTTCTAAAAAGAGGGGACTGGCAAGATGGCGATGTTAGATACCTCGTGGAAATTCTAACTCAGAGTGGAGAATCTGCAGCTGCGAGGGACGCTGTGCAAGAACGCTTTAGATTAAACGTGACAACATGTCAACTAAATCTAGCCTTGAAAGCGACCTATAATTGGAAGTTAGTTCTAGCAGGATTTGCCAGAGAAAATAACGAGTCGGAGCTTCTCAAGACTGCAGCAATGATGGAAGAGTTGGGGATCGAGTTCTATGGAGAGGCACAAAGGATTATGACTTGCTTTTTTGCATCTCGAGATAATGTTGAGGCAACTAAGGAATGGTACGGCAAGCGTGACAAAGCCAGCAAGAAGCCTCACTCGCCAAGTCCAGAGACCATGGTTGCACTCTACAAGTTCTCTTTACGGAATAACGAGCTGGAGTGGTGTAAGGCCGTATTCCGAGATATTATTGAGAACGGGCCTAACAAGTATTTGTGGGACGTGATATTTCAATGGGCAGCAGGAGCTGTTGGGAAAGGGGTCGAGGATGTTGAACGTATGATGGATGTTATGATCCGACGAAATCCGGACAACGAAAAGATGAGACCGGATATTATTACTATCAACGGGCTTGTGGAACTGGCAATCTCCCTTAACGATCCCTACCTCGCAGAACGATATATTGCCCTTGGTCTCAAGCGAGGTATCCTCCCAAATAGTAGAACCTACATTCTACAGATGGGTTATCGCATGGATGCCGGAGATCTATCAGGCGCTCAGGCTGCCTATGAAGCTCTTCAGTCTGAAGAGATTCTGGAAGATGAGGATCTCCCTGCTATCAACAAGTATATCCGAGCTCTCTGCTCAAAACCAAACAATTATGATCGTATCAACGCCATGCTCACAGACCTGGAAGCGCGACAGGCCGGCTTGGAGGGTGCAACAACGTCAGCCGTTGCTATGATATATATGGATCGCGACGAAATCCAGAATGTTTACGATCTTCTTCTAACCAACGTTTATCAGTACGCCATGGGAGATCGAATCCTCATCCGCAATGTATTCTATGACTTCTGTATGGACAGACGGAATAGCAACGCCCGTGCCTGGGAATCCTATCAAGTGCTTCGACAAATCTTCGAGGAAATCGGCACCGATATCCGCACTGAGTTGATGAACGAGTTCTTCGACCGCGGCAGATCCGACATGGCCTGCTACGTCTTCGGACACATGCGGCAACATGCCCTCAGCGACCGAAAGCCCAGTCTAGAAACCTACATCCAATGCTTTGAAGGCATAGCCATGTGTGCAGATGCTGAAAGTCTCGAAATGGTGCACAATATGTTCAAGATGGATCCGAATATGGAGCCTAACACGCGTCTCTACAACGCGCTCATGCTCGCCTATTCCTCTATTGGTAAAGGCGGACGTGCTCTTGATTTCTGGACCGAAATCACGAACAGTACTGAAGGGCCTACGTACCGCAGCTTGGAGATAGTCTTCAGAGCATGCCAGTACACGCATTATTCAAGCGACCAAGCGAAAGAGATTTGGGGACAGATGCGCAGAATGGAGATCGAGATCACCCAGGATGTATTTAATTCGTATGTCGGCGCGCTGGCCGGAAGGGGGAAGTTCGAAGATGCGAGGGATGTGGTTGATAGTGCAGAGAAGGAGCTTGGGTTGAAGCCTGATTTGATGACGTGAGTTCTCCTATTTCCCCATTGCCGTTCGTCATCTTCTTTGGCTTGCTCCTCTAAAGCCAAACAAAATGCCATCGAAATCGAATAAAAACTAACCACCAAATAGAATCGGTATATTTTACAACGCCCTCCCCGGCCAAAATCGTAAAGATCTTGTCGAAGAGTGGGCTAAGGGCACGTACCCTGAGGTATGGGCCGAGCTAGAGAAGAAAGGCCAGACGGAAAATGAGGAGGAAACGCGGTTTTTCAAGATTAAGCGGGAGTTTAAAGCTTGATTGTCTCGTATGGGAAAACGCGAGTGTAGTTCTGATGGCTGGTCGATTGGAAAGTACGAGTATGAGTGATCGGGCCTGGTTAAGGCACGGAGCTCGAGAGGTGTACGAGGATTGCAGAGGTATTTTGTAAGATATACCCCCCGGCCATGTGGTGGATGAAGATATAGATAGACATCGGTGCCTAGGGCGCTCGCGGCTGTATAGTACGCGCTGTATGATGTGTGCATATAGAAGAGAAGGAAGTCTGTATATATAACGCAGAGGTTGTATAATATGTTAATTAAAGCCACTAGCATTGCCCCCTACGTTTTCCTCTCTATTATTCAAAGAATTCGGAGGCACAAATTCAGCTTGGGCTAGATCTCTTATCTAGGCTATCAATCTACGCACCCCCCTAGAAATGTATAGATCGAAGATAAATGAGGGAACGGGAAATAGGACAGGGATACTCATACCTCACATAGGTTGGTATTTTGGCGGCCATCTAACGACGGAAAGCCAATCTCTCGGCAGCCTATCTAAATAAGCAAAACCACTACCAGCTACTGTGCTTACTTATGATAGGTATACGACTATCTTGTTATGGATAATGGAGATACCGATACTGTAAAACGTGGGCTTATTTAGATATCTACTCGCCAGTGAGGGTATTTTGGGATCGGATTCATTTTCCTATGGCCTCTATCATATCCTATCTCCGTTCGCCGTACCCACAACACACGGTCCACCCAGGGCGGAAAATTAAAAAGAGGAGCAAGGAGATTGTATGCATTCGTAATTCATTCATTCATTTCGTAGAAATTAGTTCGTCCAGTTCATTCATTCATCCCACTGACTCCCAGACCTATTATCGTGAAGCAATAAAATGAAATGTAAGGAAAAGAGGCAAAGAGAAAGTTTATCGACGCGGCCTTGAACCAGAGCTATCCCTAGTATCCTTAGAAGCTTCCACCAGATCCCTAAACAGATCCTTCCACTTCTTCCTCCCATCCACCGCATCTCCAAAATCAAGCACTATCTTTTCCACCATCTCCTTTTGGCCATCATATTCCCCATCAAGCGGGCGACCCTCGCTGTCAAATCTGTTTGGTAAGACCTCAACATCCTCGCTATCATTGGAGGCGGGTGATGGGCTACGCGTGGAATGGTGATGGCGCCTTCGTCGGTGGGGATTAGGACGGTCGGTGCTGGGGTCCGAGTCCCGTCGCTTGCGACGACGTCGACGGCGTGGAGGAGAATCGGAATTATTTGCATCGTAGACGTGATCTGTAGATGTAGGGACGGTAGCAGAGCGAGAACCGCTGCGGTTTCGACGGTGTCTACGGAGGCGGCGGGAAGAAGTTGGGGAAAGAGGTGCGAACATGACAGATTTACGCTCGCTATCAGAGTCTGTTGGAGAAAGAGGAGTGTGTAGATTTACACGGCCTAGAATTGGTCAGTATATGTGTTCAGGCTCCAAAGATGGCCAGGTCTAACGAAATGTATCACAAGTGGAAAATGAATTAGAATAGAGAAGACGCACCCTCCTCATTATGTGGATCATCTGGGAAAGGAGCTGTAGGAGGTGGAGGAAATCTTGGCATATCCGTTGCCCCAGCAGATGATGCGTGGGGAACGCTGACAGGAGACTGATGAGGTATATGGCTTGAACTCACATTATCACCTGCTCTCGGTGCTGCTGGCCCCGGCGGGTGCTCAAGACCGTCAGGAGCTGCTGGCCCCGGCGGGTATCCAAAACCGTCATGAGGAGGTACAGGAGCCGGTTGACCTGCATAGTCTGCTGGATTGTATTGTGGGATAGGCGGCTGAGCTACATTTGGAGTGGAAAAATTGGGGTGGTTCGTGAAGCCAGGATCTGCTGGAGGAGGCGGGAACTGGTTGTTTTCGGGATAATATGAACCGCCAGAAGCGTGAGGGGGTGAGGGAGAATAGTAGTCATCATCGTGGAAGTCGCGAGCATAGTAATTGTCTGGTCTAGCTTCTTCCTCGTAACCTAGATCGCGAGTGTAAGTGTCACTTCAGAGATTTGCATGATAGTGCAAGATCGACTCACGATCTACATCATTTAGGTATCAGATTTGAATATCGCTTTGACAATACGTCTCTGATAGATGATGCAGACCGCGAGCGAGGACGAGATCTTGAGTGCTGGGGATTCTTACGTCTTCGCTCCTTTTCCCTCTCACGCTCACGCTCCGCTTCCTTCTTCTGCTTTCTCTTCTTGTACTTGTCAATACCAATAGCTGCCGCTGCTGTGCCGGCGGCGGCACCAACAATCTCTCGAGCTCGGCTTCGGCTCCTCGAACGTTTATCAGGGCTCGAGGACGAATGTCGGTGATGATGGGACCGGCTTCGCGATCGGCTACCACGGTCGTGTTCGTGGTGGGGGGCCGTATGGGTGTATACGGGGTCAGTACCGTACTGAACCATGCCTAATTCTGGGTCAACTCCAGGCTCTGAATATGCGCCGATAGATCTGGCTCTCGACCTGCTTCTGCTTCTGCTTAACCTGCGCTCCTCTCTGTCATTCTCGGCCTCTTTTTCTTCATTCTTGGCCTTGCGATTCTCGTAGAGCCCAGCTACAGCAGCACCAGCCAGACCTGCACCTGCTATTTCAGCGCCTGTCCGGATACGGGACTTAGACCTCGATCCTTTCCGCTTCCGTGATCTGCTACGGATATGCTCAACGACGCCTGCAACGGCGGCTGTAGCTGCTCCAGCTTTTGCAATACTTGCAGCTCGGCTTTTGCTCCTCTTACGGCTGCGGCTGCGGCTGCGGCTGTCATAATCAGAATGGTGACGACGTCTCGATACACTTCGAGTGCGGCTGCGACCCCGGCCCAATTCTTCGTTATCGCCTTTGCGGTTGGAAACATACTTAACCGCGGCTGCAGCGGCCAAGCCAGCGGCGGCGAGGCCAATTGCGGTTTTGAGCCTCCGGTGTGAATGTCTACTACTGGACCTTGATCTTGATCGGCTTCTGTCGTCGTGGTGGTCGCGATAACGGCTGCGTGCTCTAGTGATAACCTCTGCGCCTATGGCACCCAGAGCGGCTCCCCCAGCAACTTGTCTGCCACGATGCGGTTTTGAGCCATCACTGTTTTGGCGGTTCCCCACTAAAGCAGCTATACCGGCACCGGCTAAGGCTCCCTCAGCTAGATGTCGTTTGTGATGATGTGGGCTATGGCTTGAACTGCCGCGTCTAATGACCCGTCTCCGTACGACGTAATCAGAGGAGTCGCTATATTCTCCATCACTCACTGAGTCTCGAGGTCTGATCTCCCTACGGTCATATTTGGCCATGGCAAAATCCTCTTCTCTGTCCCTTCCCCGCCCAACTTCCCTAACATCCCGCCGATAGTAGTACTCATCTTCCTCTCTTCTGGGCTCTATACGCTCCTTAATTTCGTGCCTGCGTACCATTTCATAACCCTTTTCCTCGCGGGGGATGATGATGGGTGCTGGCTGAGGGGCCTCTTGCACAATGATCTGCTGAGGTTCTGGAGCACGTTGGCGGATGATAATGGGCTGTGGAGGAGGGTCGGGCCGATCATAGTACTCGACTTCTCTCTGCACTCTCTCGATATCGTATGGTTCCTCGCGCCGTTCCGTAGTTCGTTTTTCAATTCTAACATCCGTCTCCCGAACGTCCCGCTCCGATTCCCATGGTCTGGCCGGACCGCGCTCCCATGGCCGTGAAAAGTCTGGTTCGCGCGGGCGGTCCCGGTCGCGTTCAACGACGACAGTTCGAGTGTGCTCACGCTCGCGGTCCGGCGAAAGGATGGGTTCTCGCTCCCGTTCGAAATAACGATCCCGTTCGACATAGCTAGATCGAGCGCGGGAGTCAATGGCCGATCGTGGTCTCTCCGGTAAATCAAAGCGCTCGGTGCGACGATCGACCTCTAGGCGGTCGTGGCCACCCGGTCGGATGATTTCGACGCGCGAATGGCGGTCGTCCTCGACGTCCTCGACGCTGTTGGGGGTTACACGGTAGCGTTGGACGGTGCGATAAGACGAGCCGCCGCCGCCGCCGTGTCGCGAGCGTCCGTAGGTCGAGCGGTCGTCATCGGAGGAGTAATCATCGCGATCTCTCCCGCCATAGACAACCTTCTCTCGTATGATTTCGGGCATAATTGCTGGGAATTAACTGTACAAACCAACAGTGCTATGGTTTCGCCGTCCTTGTCCTATATAGCGGAGAGGGCCTCAAATATATGTATCCGCTGTCGGCGTAGCTCGATACAGTTGCGAGGCGGTGTTGTTGTCAGCTTCGGCGGCAGGTGTGGAAGTTACGAAGGAGGAAGAGGTGGGGAGATGGCTCGGTGGGGTCGGAAGCTGGATTTGTACTCAAGTCCTCCAAGATCTGCTGGGCTGGGCTGGACTGGGCAGAACAGGGCTGGGCTATATTCGCGCAGTTCTGTCAGTCTCTTGATGCAGTGATACTACTGTACGTCCTACCCGCCCCATAGGTACGTAGCCAAAAGTGCAGGTTAATTACTACCCAGAACTACCGCTTCGTGCCCCTCGGTGGGCAGCGCTAAGCCGCGAAGGGCTCTTGTTTTCCGGTGTTTGTGTCGCAGCCTTATGCCTCAGCTCAGCACAGCGCCATGAAACGCAGCGGGTCGAGTGGCTCTCGTGATGGGTTGGGATCGCAGGGAATAGGCGCGTGTGTGGATGATGCTGCCGTGTGATTTGGTTGTTGATGTTGTTGCGTCAGATGCCTAGTCCGCCATCAGCCAGGATAACGGCAGGCAGCTTGGCGACTCGTCACTGGCCAAAGCCCTGAGATGTTTTGTAGCAAGCCATTTCTTGATTTGTGAGGATTCAGCGGTGGGCGTTGATATTGTAAGGCCCATGCGTATTTGGTACTCTGGAGTCTGTACCCAGATTATATTATATCCCCAAGCTCCCATCTAAGCGCGAACAGCTGATGGAGGGTTGGCTCTCGAAGTCTTACTCCAGAGGCTGGGAAATAATAATATTGCTACCTCTGGCAACCGTCATCCTGCGCGTTTCTCATCGCTGGTCGGCGTTTGGTGTCCGCTCTTTGGCTTGTGAGTCCCTGGTCTCCTGCCCTGTACTGCCCAATAAGCCTCTGTTCTCTGGTATCTCTCTACCTTGTCCCTCCTACTGTACCTCTGTACTCGGTCAGCGTCTCTGCCCACTCCACTCTGCCGTCCTTTTTTATTCTTTCCTTGCTGCCTATTATTCCTCTTCATGTTCCCCTTGAACTGTCTCCCATATTCATATCGCGGAAATACTCCGTTGGCGGTTGTCCGAACCGGATCCCACTCTTCGCTCGTCCTCGTCTCTGCAGCCCTAAATCCGATGACGCACGCGGGGTCAAGGCACAAAAAAGGACGAACTCCTTCCACTCACAGACCCAGAGCCGTTGGCGGGTCCAGAGCCGCATGGGAGTCTGCTGAGTGATAAATAAGCACATGTACTGCGCCACCGCTGTGGAGAGGGAGAGACCTGATGACCGCGACGACGCCCGAACTCCCCGAGCTTCCCAACAATTTAGCTGTATACGAAGTACCAGTGTTTGCTTTGAAGGCGAAACTCTCCCAAAGTCGCACTAAACCCGTGTGGCAACATTGTCATTGTCATTGTCATTGTCAATGTCACTATTGGCATTGACAAACCACTTGGCTGGTGATCTGGTGATGAAGGGATGTCCTTGAACTGGCTTGGCGAGTCTGGCCCGACCCATCGGGAGAAGCCGAACGGCCACTTGTTCCAATTGAGCCTCAGCCACCACGACCATCAAAGTCTTCATTATGGACACCTTCTGCCTTATACTTCGTACTTCGTACTTCATTGCATCTGCACCGCATCACACTTGCATCTGTGCCCATAAGGAGGCTGTGAAATCATATGTTATTCATCTACCTAGCAAGCGGCAGACCCGAGCTTATTTGATGGACGACAACGATGGCTGCCTAATCCATCCACGCAATGTCGTCCTCCAACCATCGATGGCACGTCTCATATGTCCGATACGCGCCACAACTCCCATAACCATGTCATTGGTATCCCATCCCAAACCTCCAACGTCCCAAAGGAATTTAATGTACTTCTGCCGAGGCTGCGGAGCGAGAGGTCCGAATTAAAGCTAGGCGGTTGCCACTTGGTTGGAAACAGAACCAGCTGTCCCCTAACGGCGTCCCATCACTGAAGTCATGCAGAGCCAGAACATCTCAACAAAGCGTGACAGCTCCTGGTGGAGATTATTATGCTGTATAATGACCACTCCCTGTCGATATAGATGTAGAATCAGCTCACGGTGCAAGGCCGGGTAGAAGGCCATAGCTCGGTCGAAATTATTGCCACACATTCCCAGAATGTAGGCGCTGGTTGTGCGATCGAGGATATCCGTGGCTGCAATGAACTGCAGAATAGCGTCTTCCGGGATATGAACGATGTCTTCGAGAGAACCGCCTCCGATGGAGATCTGGAGGTCAACTACCCGCCCTAAGAATTGGCGACTGGCATTGTGTTAGTCAAAATTGCATGGGCTTCTGGACTCAAGAGATATTTACCTGGGGGAATCGAGCATCAAAAGATAATCCTGCACCTGTCGGATTGCTTCCTCTGGCGCTTCATTGGTATTAACCTCCTCAGGTGTCTGTTCCACCTCGGGAGGGACGTTCTCCTCTCCGAAAACTGTTATCTCGTCATCGGCGGCGTGTTCTTCTTCGACCTGGAGGGGATCAATATCCTCCTCCTCCTCTGGGTTGAGATAGTTCTCTTCCCCTTCTTCAGCTGGCTGTTCGGCGTTATATTCTTCGTCGTCATCGTCGTCGTCGTTGGGAACCCTGGGCTCTCCAACCGTCCGGCTTTCGTCGGCGAACGCGTTGATATATTCGACGTTATGGTTATCCTCGTCCCATTTCTCCATGAGACAGTTTAATTCTTCCTGGGTGATGTCTTCCTTTCGTACATCGGTATAATATTCGGCCCTTTGGGCCCTCATCATCGCTGCCTTTCGATTGGCCTTGAAGGCCTTGACTGCCTGCTTCTTTGCAGGGTATCTCTTCTTGATGAGCCGCCCATACATTGAGCGCCATCCCTCCTCCACCATTTCGTTTAGGTGGAAGTCGTCATGCTCCAGGAACGAGAGCCGCTCGTCTCTGGTATCGGTACGGCCATTTTCGGCCGGGCCCTTAGGTCGGGCCGCGGCCATGACCTGCTCCTTCTCCCAGTTTATACGCCCTGTATTGATCAGGGCCGCCTCCCCTGGTTTTGATATTAGCTTTTGTTCATGCACCTCCTTGCCTTCAGTGCTCAAGTTTATCTCGAAGCCAGGTCCATAAGTTGACGGCCTCGAGGCTTGCGGCAAGGTATGAAGACACATCTCAATAGGAGAGGAAATACTCACGAGAGTTAATATCGGCCTTTACGGCCTCTAGCGCAAGGACAATCTTTCCCCCGCAGCGTTCTAAGAACGCTCTTCCGTACTCTTCGCTGATGGCATAGCCATCCTTCGCGCTCTTCTCTCTCATAACCGAGAGAAGTTTCTCCTTCATCTTCTGCTCCTCTGGAGCGGGGGCGCTAAAGTTTGTCTCGTGTTAGCCATGTCGAGTTTTCTCTGATTAAAACCTCACTTTCAAGATGAAAATTTGCTGGGCGTGTTAATGTGACAAATATGAGATGATAATAGTGATAAGCCCTTGGTAGATCAAATGCTTTTGACAAACCGAAAGGGTATTGACAGCACGACAAACTTAAGCAGGTGCCATGGCTCTCCAGGGAGGTGAAGGTGAAGGTGAATATGAAAAGGACAAGGAGGTCAACTTACAAGGGAACAACAACCGCGTGGTCGCACAGCGCATTGCTGCACCTCCCCGCGCCGAAGCAGGGCTTCTGGGTCCGGCCCTTACCCTTCTTCTTCATCATGGCCTTCCACTCCTTTTGCAAGGAGGGGGCCGACGAAGAAGAAGAGGGGGCCTTGCCAGAAGCCTCTGCTTCGAGCACGGCGAGGCGCTGCAATACGCTGGCCTTGTTCTCGTCCATTGCGATCTGATCCATCGAGGGCTCTTGCTCTTTGGGCGGATGACGGCGCGCGTAAGGTCGACCTGCGACAATATCTTGATATGAAAGGGTACTAGGGTCACCAGAGGTATAGCGGATTGGTGGTCTGTCGAACCAGAGAGGAGATGGAAGATGACGAAGTAGACCTGCGTTGATGGGGTTGAATGAATGAACTGGAAGACCGTTAAACGAGAAGTTGGCGTCTAGGAGGACACTAGGATCATGAGGGCCCTCGTTTCGCGGTTCCTGGCTATTCTGCTGCTCCATTATGGCGGTGATATCGATATCAACTCGTGACCTTGATATCAGCTCGTGATCTTGCTTTGAACGGGGTTTGCTGATGGCGGTGTTGATGTCGGTGTGATGGGAGAGATGGAGAAACGTGAAGCCGAGAAGAAAGAGAAGATCTGTCCCAGGCAAGATATCTTTGGTGAGTTTCTCCGTCCAAACGCCCAACCGGGACTCCCAAAACAAACAGAACACAACGCTATTAGTCGATGGGGTGACGATGCGATGTGAATTCTGATTGGCTGAATCTTGGAATAGGGGGCGTGTTTCCCCTTCGCTTAGCTCGCAGGCTCCCCCCATAGGAGTAGGTTTGTTGGATTCTCTACCACGTAAGGCAACCATGGCGTTATTCAAAACATAGAAGATGTTCTTATTAATTATTTTGGGTTTGGTTGTACATGTGAAATGTTGTCACCTTGTTTGCTTTTCTCCCCTTCAAGCTAATGGGGCTTGCCCAACAGCGAACGCGGCGGGGGTCTTCGAGCTTCTGACTCCGTTGGCCAAGTGGCACATATTGCAACCGCTTCAGCCGCGCTATCAGCCCAGTCTCGTTGTTCACTCTGTAATTCAACGGGCCTACTCCTGCGGTGTTATTCCCTCCCTCTAGCAATTCTCTGTTTGGATGTTTGTATAATGGCAGAGTTGTCACAGTTATTTTTCAGAGATGACTTATAGCTTAGTCGTGGTGCTTTTTACGAATGTTAAACTGTTTAGTGATTAGCCTGGTACTGTAGTATGTTAACCTCGAATCTTTGAACGAAGCACGATAGGTCTTCTTCTATTTAAGGGTTCCGTTGCATATATACAAGCTATTTTCCCTCATGCTGTTAATTTCCATCTCCTTCCTTTCAGAAAATTTTATGAATTGGAAGATTACCTGCCTAGGTAGGTAGATGTATACACGTATTATGGCTTAGAACGACATTTTCCGTGTTGCCTGGGTGAGGAAGCTGGGAAAGACGGGATAATGTAAATGCCATCCCTTTTTACTTATACAAAGCCTATGTTAGGGTCAGTATTTAAGGATAATTGCGTCCAGCAGATATCCGGTGTAAGAAGGAGAAGTCCACTTAAGAAGGGAGTCTTGGCACTGTTTACTAATGGGACATAGGACTTATTATGGCTTGGCAATGCCCACGCTAAAGTATCTGGTCTAAAGCATTTTCGCGTAGAAGGATCGGGAGACAGTAAGAATCATATAGAATTAGGAGCTACAAACTAATGAGAATGATTCTACAACGGGTACCGAGCTGAGCGATGATGAGCATAGTATCGACAAACAGAGGAGAGTAAGCTTAACGAAGGTGACGGCATCTTAGCCCACTAGGCCTCAAGATATTTGAAAATATAGGTAATGTATCAGTGTCCAAAGCACTAATCGTGCCATGGTGGAATTCATGGATGCGTAATAACTGCTGTCCAGAATCTGTGAAGTACTAGCATGATAATTTCAGTGGAAGTTCATCTGTATATATATATTTCTACGCTGATGAGTTGACGGAAGATTTTCTGGAGGTCATGAAATACAAGCACGAGCTTTTGCCGTTGGTGAATTCATGTTTCTGTTTGACCATTGAGGGACCGACTTATGGCCACTATCAGGATTGCGATATTTGAAATTCATCAATGGCATTATGGAAGCGAGCATTGGATATGGTCAATTTAAGGAGAAGAATAGGAATTGTCAGTAATAATAAGGGCGCTCCGGGGGACAAACGTGGATGAATCAAATGAAAGCTTTCATATCAGAATTGGAAAATTACCTATCAGAGGCGTTCCTGTTACCTATCCAAAATCTTCATAAAAAGGAACCCTGCCACAATCTCAACTTATAAGGGGCAGCTCCAAACTTAAATATTTAGGTATATCAAGAGTTAACATTTAGTAAGCAGGCTCAGTTAACTGTTAATAGCATATAGTTTAATGTTGACGTTGTAGACTTGAGTATGTAATTGGTATGCCCCTTTGTTGCTTTGTTATTTAGTTTGCTCTGGAAAATCGGTATAGCGCAGCTATAGAACAAATCGGGGGGCTTTCTAGGGATAATGAAATCACCGGCTATTCCTCGCTATATTCTATATAGCACCAGTAACAGGACACCTACATAGAGATAAAACAGAAGTTTACTCAACTTAATTCAGCCTTTGCTTTACTTAATCCCGTTGAGTAATTTGCTTCACTTGGCCACAATAGGCATTCAAAATCCAATATCGATATCAAGATTCAAAAGCCGCTTATTAGATTCAGAATATCGGTCTGCCGGGATGGTAAAGCTCTTGTCAAAATATCGAGTAGTCATTGCCAAATCATTCACATAAGTAGACTGATGCCACTCCTCCCCCGATACTATTATTCATGAGCTCTACTCCCAAAAGTAGGATTGGGTTCAACCATTCAATAACTAAGCCTCCACAGCCTTCCATTCACTTCGCGGCTGGCTCCGCTCACCGACATACATATTTCAAACACACCACACAATATATCGGCAGTAACTGACTATTTATTCTTCGCGCTCGACAGCTCCTCCCTCTTCCTCTTTCCACAAAACACAAACCGAATCCAACGCAACTTGTGACAAGACAAGACAAGACAACCCAAATCAAAATAACAACAACACCCCAACAGCTAGATACCATGGCTGTGATCAAGCCTACCGGTTACCCCGTTCTGTTCTTCCTCGTCCCCTACCTTATCACCCTCGTGTATGGCAGTCCGCTCCCTCGTGCTGTCATGAACATCGCCGACACTGTGGGAGTAGTTCATACTCTTCCATCAGGTGGCCTTCTTACCGGTGAAGTCTTCAACGATGGAGGCCGCAACTACCCTGCCCGTGACCTCCCTGGTGGTGTCTTCAACGATGGAGGCCGCAACAACCACCCTCCTCGCGACCTTCCTGGCGGCGTTTTCAATGATGGAGGTCTCAACAACCATCCTCCTGCCCGTGATCTCCCTGGCGGTGTCTTCAACGATGGAGGCCGCAACAACCTTGCTCCTGCCCGCGACCTTCCAGGCGGCGTCTTCAACGATGGCGGACATGACAACCACCCTCCTGCCCGCGACCTTCCTAATAAGTACACTTAAGAAGAGCAAAGGCGTCCTAGCAGTCACTGACATGTTCTAGTGGATAATTAAGACCAAGTTTCCTTCAGCGACTCTGTGGCTGCAACTGGTGCTGCCGCTGTGACTACAGTGGCTTGGACGCAGACTTGAGCGACAAAACATATTGCTTGGGATCGGTGATGGTCGTGTTCTTTGACATTAATTCTTCGTTGAGGATTGATAGGCTTGTGGGGTGAAGGGTTCATAAGGACAAACAATTAAAGCAAATCAAAACAAAAGTACTCTTTGAGATATTTCATAATTGCCGTGACTCTTGTGCATGACATCTAGAACCAAAAGCAAGCTCGCCAAAGTCAGTCCCAAACGCCTCATTCTGGGCCTCTTTTCGAGCATAACGCCGGGCATGCAATGTATAAATCTCCCATCCAAACTCCTTCCTTTAACTCCCCTTCTCACATACATGCCAGTCCGCTTATAGTAAGTCGAAATCGTCCAACTTATCCCTATACTTAAGGATATTCCTCTTAATCTTACTCCCATCCACCCATGTAACGAAGTCCTCCATGTTGCGCGTGACCAAGAATGCAGTATCTGTGATGGTCTCCGTGCCTACACGTACATGGCCCTGCTCAATGATCTTTGTGGCAGCCTGGATAGTCTCGCTCATTCTCAACCTCGTCAATATTACTGGCAAACGCCGACGACAGAAAGCCGAGACCGTGACACTCCTTTCCACATCGGAGAGCTTCGCACTGGTCGCCGTGTTAGGAAGAATGCCCATGTCATTGAGCTTTTCGAGTAGAAGCGCTTCGTGCTTGAGCCGGAAAGGCGAGTCTGGCGGGAGGGCCGCGAGGCGATGGGCAATTTGTTTTAAGCTCTGAGGATGTGATTAGAACCAGTGTTTTTTATGCGCTGCCTATTTATGATTATGCCGAGGCAAATAGAAAATACTTACATTAGCTAATCTGTTGTATTTCTGATAGTCCGCTGGTTTCTGGATGTTGTACCGCCGTATCACTGCCGCATCTCGGTGGTTGTTGTCACTTTTGTAAGTGGTAAAATCAACTTTCCGAAGTAATTTCTGCTCGTGGTGTTTTAATTTGCGGACCATCTTGGCTGATTTCCTTTGCGTTGTGTTTGTCTAGTTATGCTGAAGCAGACGTCTGAAATTATTTTGAGATAGTCGGAAGCGGAGAAACTTTTGAGCGGCGCTAAATTTCATTCCCCTTAGAGCTTTGAGTACGACACCTTTAGAAACCACGAGGAGGACTGAAGTACAACGAAAAAAATGGCTCCTCCACGATTACAATGCCTCAATTCGATACGGGCGGTCTCAAGGAAGGCTCTATCCTTGAAAGCTACATTCTCTACATCTCATGTTCGCGCTGGTTCGTCAACCCCAACTCTCCTCAATGCTGGCGACCTCTTAACACCTCTACAGTTGAGATTCCCACCACTAACACCGAACGAGAATTCGATCTCTCTGATATCTCCCGTCCCGTCGGCCGTATCCAACTGCCTCGGGGTAAGCCCCGGCGAGTCGGCCGGATGGGCTCAAACCCTGAAGACACAACATCACCAAAAGCATCATCAGCACGCGTCCAGCGCCTGGTTGAACAGTCCTTCGATAAGAAAAAAAAGTATTTTGACGACAAAGCGGCTGCAACCCGCACGATGACGGAAATACAACAACAGAAATTGTCTGCGAATTTGAGTAAACAAATCTCACGACGGTTCATGCCAGGTGATGTGTACGCGCCACACGATTTGAGTGCCGTGGAAATGGCGAAATGGAAGCGGAGAGGCAGGCCAATGTATGATGCATTTGATGCCTTGAACCTAAATCCAATAGATCATTATAGGGTATGTTTTTGCTGCAATCGGTAAAATGATAGTATTTCAGAATTGGAGTGCTAATACCTGATAGAATTTCTCCATGATTTCCGAATATATAACACCGATGGGGAGGATCAGGCACTCTAAGGAAACTGGGCTACGACCTGTAAACCAGAGGAGAATCGCGAAGACTATCCGGAGGACTATTGGCATGGGTATTATGCCTAGTGTGCATAGACATCCCGAGATATTACAGAAGCTGTTGACCAAGAGCCAAAGTCAAAATACTGGGCAATATCGTTAAGTCGGCATCGGAGTACTTTTTGTGTATATTAGCTGTACATAAACGTAGTGTTAAAGAATAAGCATTTGGTATGATCTGGGGATAGTCTCATTGGACCACACTTTGGGTTCCTAGGCCCATATCTGCGTACTCATCATCTGGCAAGCAATATGCCTGCATTACTTTGGTACCTAGATCTTCGAGTTTTAACCAAATTCGCCTCGCAAAAGTTCCCTGCCAGATATCTCTTATAAAAGGCTTGTCAATACCATTATTATTACTGGTTTTTACAGCATTTGTGCTACCGTACCTAAGGTAGGTATATATGGCAAAATAAGCAGAAACCGTATAACAACTGGAGACAGGCGACTAGGCCTGTTGATGCAGTGGGGATATTAACGCCTTTCCGAGGTTGAACCACTGATCAACAGACCACCTAGGATGACCCTGGCCGCTCCGCCAGAGATAACCAAACGTTTCTCGGTATCCCATTTGGAACTGATAATTGGGTATTTCTTTTGCTATTTTTTTTTTAATCGCTGTATTTTATGGTGTACGGTGTACCAGCCCATTGGCAGGCTAGCAGCCCAGAAGGCTGACTGATAAGCACGTGATTCAGCCTCGCCCAAGTTATTAGATCTTGACCCAGGTACATTCATTGTCAACCGCGAACTTTAACTTCACAAACCACTTCCGCCACCAACCCAACAATGTCCGGTCGACGCGACTTTTTGAGCCAGCCTGCGCCTGAGAATTATGTTGCAGGTCTCGGTCGCGGAGCTACTGGTTTCACAACCCGCTCTGATCTCGGACCCGCAAGAGAAGGTCCCACTGAGGATCAAATCAAAGAGGCGCTCGCAAAACGGGCAGCAGCACTTGGGGCAGCGGCGCCGACAGCCTATGGGGCGCCTGAGAAGAAAGATGAGGACGAAGATGACGAGCGATTCCAGGATCCGGAGAACGAGGTTGGGTTATTTGCGGGAGGCGCATACGATAAAGATGATGATGAGGCGGATCGGATCTACCAGGAGATAGATGAAAAGATGGACAGGCGGCGGAAAGCACGAAGGTTTGTCTCCCATTTTATTACCCTCGTCTATATATATCCCAAGCTACAGATGATTTATCATTTTTGCAAATAGATGAACAGATTACCGACATTTTTACCTACAGGGAATTACGAGAAAAGGCCGAACGAGAAGAGTACGAGCGCGACAACCCCAAGATACAGCAACAATTTGCGGACCTGAAACGTGCTTTAGGCACTGTTAGTGACGAGGATTGGGCCAACCTGCCAGAAGTTGGTGATTTAACAGGCAAGAACCGAAGAAGCAAGGAGGCCTTGAGGCAAAGATTCTATGCCGTTCCTGACAGCGTCATTGCTGGAGCTCGGGATGCGTCCGAACTTGGCACTACAATCATGGATGAGGGCAATGCTGGTGGAGATGTTTCCGATGGAACGATGACGAACTTCGCGGATATTGGTGCAGCCCGAGACAAGGTGTTGAAAGTCAAACTGGATCAGGCATCCCAAGGCAGCGGTACTGATTCCACCGCTGGAAGCGCAACTAGCATCGATCCAAAGGGGTACCTCACGAGTCTAGCCAAATCACAGGTGAATGAAGGAGAAGCACAAGTTGGCGACATCATACGAGTGCGTGTCCTCCTGGAATCCGTCATTCGTACAAATCCGAAGCATGCACCCGGTTGGATTGCCGCTGCAAGGTTGGAGGAATTGGCTGGTAAAATTGTGGCAGCACGAAGCATCATTGCACGAGGTTGCGAATTCTGCCCCAAAAGCGAGGATGCCTGGCTGGAAAATATTCGACTGAATGACAATCATAACGCGAAGATCATCGCTGCAAATGCTATTCAAAAAAACGATCGATCGGTGCGTCTGTGGGTTGAGGCAATGCAACTAGAATCCGAGCCAAGGGCAAAGAAGGCGGTTATCAGAAAGGCCTTGGATCATATTCCTCAATCAGTCATGCTTTGGAAGGAAGCTGTAAATCTCGAGGAAGATCCAGCTGACGCCAAGCTGCTTTTAGCGAAGGCAACTGAGATTATTCCGTTGTCTGTCGAGCTTTGGCTTGCCCTTGCACGGTTGGAGACTTCGGAAAATGCACAGAAAGTCTTAAACAAGGCCCGCAAAGCCATTCCCACCTCCCATGAAATATGGATAGCAGCTGCGCGACTCCAAGAACAGATGGGTAATGCAGCCAAGGTCAATGTGATGAAACGTGCCGTTCAAGCACTAGCAAAGGAATCAGCAATGCTAAAACGTGAGGAGTGGATAACAGAGGCCGAGAAATGCGAGGACGAGGGTGCCATCTTAACGTGTGGTAACATCGTCCGCGAGACTCTTGGCTGGGGCTTAGATGAGGATGATGACCGGAAGGATATATGGATGGAAGACGCAAAATCAAGCATTGGACGAGGAAAATACGAAACGGCTCGTGCGATATATGCATATGCACTTCGAATTTTTGTGAACAGCAGAAAGCTGTGGCTCGCTGCCGCAGATCTGGAGAAGAACCATGGCACAAAAGAAGCACTGTGGAATCTCCTAGAGAAAGCCGTTGAAGCTTGTCCCCAGAGCGAGGTATTATGGATGATGTTAGCAAAGGAGAAATGGCAAGCTGGAGAAATCGACAACGCAAGACGGGTTTTGGGGAGAGCCTTCAATCAGAACCCAAATAATGAGGATATCTGGCTCGCCGCAGTTAAGTTGGAGGCGGAGAATCAGCAACCGGAGCAGGCTAGAGAGCTATTAAAGACCGCAAGACAAGAAGCACCTACAGACCGTGTATGGATGAAGAGCGTAGCCTTTGAGCGGCAGCTCGGTAATGTTGAAGCAACGCTAGATTTAGTCAACCAGGCTTTGCAGTTGTTTCCAAGTGCTGCAAAGTTATGGATGATGAAGGGTCAAATCTACGAAGGAGAAGGCAAATTCCCCCAAGCGCGCGAAGCCTACAGCACTGGCACGAAAGCATGCCCGAGATCTGTACCCCTGTGGCTTCTTTACTCTCGGCTTGAGGAGAAGGCTGGCTCAATTGTCAAGGCCCGTAGTGTCTTGGACCGAGCACGGCTAGCTGTTCCCAAATCACCAGAACTATGGACGGAATCCGTCCGCATCGAAAGACGCAGTAATAATATCAGTCAAGCCAAAGTGCTTATGGCTAAAGCACTGCAAGAAGTTCCTGACAGCGGCCTTCTCTACTCGGAATCAATCTGGCATTTAGAAGCGCGGACCCAACGGAAACCTCGCGCTTTAGAAGCGATCAAGAAAGTCGACAACGATCCCATCCTCTTCGTCACTATCGCGCGGATCTTCTGGGGCGAGAGGAGGCTCGAGAAAGCTCAGAATTGGTTTGAGAAGGCTATCTTGCTGGATAGTGATCTAGGTGATACATGGGCCTGGTACTACAAGTTCTTATTACAGCATGGCACAGAGGTACGTTTTCATTAACTCTCCCCTTCTTGGCTCGAAGCTAATATACGCGAATAGGAGAAAAGAGCCGACGTTGTCTCGAAATGCATTCTAAGTGAACCGAGACATGGAGATGTCTGGCAGGCGGTTGCAAAGGATCCGAAAAATGCTGGGAAAAGCATAGAGGAGATCCTACATATTGTGGTTGGGAAGCTGGAATAAATTGGGTTCAGCAAATATATTATGTATTGTATGATTAAAGAAAGGCGTAGGACTTTATTAAGCCAAAAACGATACCATCACAACTTGCGATTCTTCACCTAGCGGGCAGGGTATAAAGTTATTCATGTTTATGAAGCACTTTTCGCTCGCATATTGAATAATACCCTAGAGACTCACGAAAACGACCCATCAGCCATCCGTCAACCCCCTAAGCTTTACCACCCTCCTCCTCCCCCACTTAACTAATTAAATTAAAACATTTGCCCAAGAAAAGCTCTTATGGCTTATTAGGGGGCGTAACTGTAAATCACCCCATTCCTCCACAACTTCTCCGAATATCTATTGACGGCTTCTATAGCAGTGGTAGAGTGCCTGCTTTGCATATCTCGGTGTACCGAGAAACATGTAATCTGTAAAATTGCATGATCTTAAAAGCAGAAAGTCCAGATTTCGATTATCTGCTCCTCCATGGCAAACTCTTTTTTTTTTTTGTTTTTTTTAGCTATGGGAGGTTCGGCTTGTGTAGTGGGTGAGTGTGGGCTAATGGCGCTGGGGAGTGGAGTCGGTGGGTATTTTGACGCTTGGACGGCGCGTTTTTGCTTGCTATCATGGTGCAAGGGACTGGCTTTATGGTAGGGGAGGAAGTATTGGTGTAGCTATCGTTGAGATATAATACGATATCATGCACGGAGTGAGAACTTGAATCGCCTCTAAAGTGACTACTAACTTACCGAGATATCTCAACCTTGCATACAAATTGAGAGCTTTGTTGGCATTGGAATTTCCTTCAAGGCAGATTCGAGATGAGAACATAATGGTATTGCTATGTACCTATTCAATGAGCTGTGATGAATCAATAGCAATCAATAAGAAACTCTATAACGCCCATTTCGCTCTCTCTCTCTACGCCCGTTGCTCCGAACCCAAGATGCTTCTGCTAGCCATCTCATATACACCAGACATAATCTCATAACTCTTTATCATCACACCATCCATATTTCGCTGCCGAAAATAACGCCCTCTACACCGTTCTTATGTCCACTCTACCGGCTCTGTATACTGTGGCTGATACCAAAGAACTCGGGAGATGAAAACTCTCTCTATACTTCTCCCCAACTCCCCATGACACCGGTGCTCGCTATCAGACTCCCGCTCCCCACACTCTGTCCGGCACCCCAATCCCAATAATGTCTACTGCTAGACCCGCTATTCCGCTTCGCGCTCAGGCTTAAGCGCTCACTGGCACAGGTACTGCTACCTCTCTTAGCATGGCTTCTGGCTACCGCACTTGCACCGCCAGGTACAGAAGCCTTCCAGGTCCTACGCTCGACACTGCGCCGTCTATTCTCGAAGCGGCTGACAAGTGGGTGGTGTTGTCGTACTCTAGCGGCCCGGGCGGCGGTATCAGCCGTGCTTGCAGTTGCAAGATGGCTTGTCCCTGCCGTGCTGAAGTCAAGGCCTGGTTCTATACTTGCTGAATCGGGGCTACCGAATCGAGATATAAAGCGAGACCGAAGATAGCGGAAGACCATCTTAACGTCAAGGTCACGTTCCCATTCTTCCCGAGAGAGCTGGGGCTGCGATGGGAGGTGTGAGGCACGTGGTGTAGCGTCGGCGTCGGCGAGTGGAGAGTGGAATGATGTGTTGCCATTGGGAATCGGGCGGGGTTGTGCTGTTTGTAGTGTAGGGATGAAGTGAGGGTCCACGGGTGTATTCGGAACTGCCGATGTGTTTGTTTGGGAAACAGATGGAAGTGCCTGATCGCGGGAGGATTCCGGGATGACGGGGAGACCTGCATAGGGGAGGGGGCCTTGTTGGGAGCGCAGGTAAGTAGAGAAAGCATCGGGGTGCTCGGTGAGGTGGTTGACCAGAATTCCCAGCTCTCGAGCTATCCGTTCGAGGAGCCGGTATTCCCAAGACGACTGCTCCAGTTGATTCGTATGAGCAAGTACGTTTGCCGAAGCAGCGGATCGATTAGCTGGCGGCGAGCTTAAAAGCTCGTCATCGTCCGGTAAGGCTTCGCCAAAGATGATTGATAGGAGGTCATCATCGATGCCTATAAGATCTTGAATCACTCTCTTGGTGACTCTCCGCCAAAAGCTCCCGTTGTCATCGTCTGCTAGCTCGCCCTCCCCATGACCAGAAGGACCTACGTCGCTTAAGGTAGCCATATCATCTTGCTCACGATCATCCATTCTGCTCATCTTCTCTGTTGATAGTGACCGTCCCCTTCTTCTCGTCTCCTTCTGTATCTCATCCACCAGTAGCTGACTTTGCTCCATTCTCCACTTCTCAATTCGCCGCGTCCGCTCTGCCTCTACTACCCTTTCGCTCTCTAACTCTGCTACCCCCAACTCCACACTATCTCGTCGTCTTTTCACTCTCCTGGGGTTGTATCTCTCAAAGGCGTATAGCTGCTCCTGTACCTCGTCTCCCATGAGCGTCTGATGGACCCGGAAACTCCCAAGCCCGTCATGGGTAGGCAGGACAGTGCCGCCAGCCTGCTGGTTGTCTCTTGTCTCTTCTGACCGATATACGCTGGGCTCCGTCCGGAATTCCTGTAGATGGCTGTCCAGGCTATCCAGCTCCCCATCCTCCTCCCCGTCCTCAGTATGGCCGCCCCCATCATCAAAACCGTACCCATAGCTCCTAGCACCGGTGCCCACACTACCAACGTGGCTGATCTGCGAATGCCCCGCCGTGCATGTGGGATCTGAGGAAGTGGCGTAGGTGCGGTCGGTGGTCGAAGTCGCCGAGGGGGAGAACAGAACCCATTCTTGGGAATCTGCTATTTGTTGGGACTGCGGAGCGAGGGCGGCAGCTTGAGTCTCTTCGGGTGCGGTATATATTCGTTGGGGTCGTGGGCCATGATAGCCAGACTGGCGGAAGGTCGACTGGCGGAAGGCCATGATTTATCTGTTCCCTCCCCGAGGCTTCAAGGAGCGTCAGGCAGGATATCTCGCTATATCTGGGATCGATAGGAGGTGAAGGTGACTTGGTGACGGAGCCGAATGCAATGTTTGATTAAGCTGAACCCCCAGACCGCCAAAGGAGAACAGGCTGTTCTGTTCTGGCGATTAGCTTGGGGGTATCGTGACATGTACAATCGTGACCCGGCGCGGGGTTGTTGGGAGGTCTTCCGTCCGGTCTCGCAATCAAACTGGTTCATCCGATGACCGGACCTTGCGATAGAGACAAGCTTATATCGAGAACTCTGTAGCTATTGATGACGGAACCGCGTTTGGATGGGAATGTATTATGATATATGTACGAAGTAAAAGTGTTGGGGATACAGGGCGGTTGGGAGAGAGCAAGGGGGTGGGTAAGGTGTGTCCTTTCGTGCTCGAGAATAGTTGGCGCTGATGTGGTATGATGTGCTGCCACGTCGCTGCAGAGTAATTAAAAGTAATCAGAGAGCAGTGAGATAGAAGTGAGATAGCAATAGCAGAAAGGCTATTGATATCGTATCATGGTTATACGAAGCACGCTATATGCATCTCCGTCTCCTTATCGCGATGATGAAATACGTTGGCGATTAGATACAACACTACACCGGCTATCCAGTCTGCCCAGCTGACCTCATCCCTCAAAGTCCCGACGCACTTGTCAATTGCAACTCTGCACTCTAAACATCGACTATATCTCCAAGTAGTCTCCTCCTTTCATTCGACTTGAAGACCTGGACCCTCGAACTTCCGCAGCTCATAGCGCAGATAGAGGAGCGTCAACAGCGGGATAGGTACAGTACTACGTACACGCTAATCAACAATGACATATCCTAGTGGGGCATATCGATCGAATGAGTCGTTATCAGGATTTCCTCACCACTTCCTCGTCCAGGCAGAGTAAGCTCAATGATTATCAGAGGGAGGAGGTGCAGGGGTTGCCATTCCTGTTTTCAACTGTCGGAGGCTTGGAGTGTAAATAGTTGATGGTTTTCGTATCCCCCAGACGACATTATATTTGACCTAGGTACATAGCGGATATATCAAGCCGTTTAACTGTTCAAGGGCTTTGCTAATTGCCATTCATCGGCCACTGTACTAGAGCCCTACAAACCAAATAAGCTACCATGTAAGCCGCTGTCTACATTATGCGCCATGATGCTCCCTACCACCCGTACTACCCGGCTCGCTATCGCTGTCGCCATCGCCCAAGTGAAGCTATTCCTGTATGACGTAGCGGTGGGCTTATCGCTATAGATGACAATTAGCAGTCCTAGGTTAACTATTGTAGGCGATCCAGGCTACTTCTGGCCCTAAATTGTAGATCGGAGGTGAATGATATATCGTAGAACGCGTATATTCTGGCTCGCCAAGGGACCAACTGCCATTTTGCGCTTTGTCACACGCTTGCTCGGAAAATTGCAAGCCCACGTCACATACGGTCACATTTGGAACCAATATTTGTAAAGTCATAGCAATTCCTCAAGTACAATGAACAGATAATCAAATGCCATGAGCCATGTTGCAATGCAGCCACTGCATATGTACGCCCATTTCATCTGCCATAATACCATCCGTGAAACTTGAAAAACATTTATGCCTCCTGGAAAGCGGCGGGGAAACGACGGACGTTGTCGGCCAGCTTGCCCTTGTTGCTCAAGAACTGAACATATGCACCGTCAACCATGACCTTTCCTTCAGCCTTCTTCTCCAGGTATTCTTCGCGGCGGAGAGGAGTGAAGCCCCAGTTCTTGGAAACGATGATCTTTTGGCGGCCAGGGAACTTGTATTGTGATCGTCGGAGAGCCTCGAGAGCGGTAGCTCTGTGGACATCACGAGTGCGGACGCTCAAGAGAATCTGGCCAATGTTGACACGGGCAACGATTCCGTTGGGCTTGCCCCAGGCACCACGCATTCCGGTCTGAAGTCTATCGGCACCGGCACATGACAACATCTTGTTGATACGGACAACGTGGAATGGGTGGGCGCGGACACGGAGATGGAAACTTTCCTTTCCGGCAATCTTGACCAAGTACCTGCGAATAACAGTCAGCAACTGTTATCAAAATATCTCCAATTCCATCCTAATCAACCCCGCTGTCTCTCTCTTCCATATTCCATCCCCCATCCTCCATCTTCCAACTCGGCTGTACTTACTTGTTGGCGCAAATTCGCGCGGCCTCCAAAGCCTCAGAGCTCAACTGTTCATATTCGTTGGAAACCAAATGGATGCAAAGTGGGAACTCGTCAACGGTGGCGCGCTTTCGACCAAGATCGAAAATTCCTAACAAATTATTAGCAACAAGAAGCCAAATCATGCGATAGAAAGTCACGTGCGTATTTTGGGGTCAGGTACACCGCGGTTGTACCTAGACTTGGGATACGGCTTGTTTTTGCAGTACCGGTAACATCTTGCTGGTCGTCGTGCCATCTTGATTGATGTCGGGTTGGTGTTGAGGTGTAGATGTTTTGGTGTGGAAGCGAGGCAGTTGGAAATTCAGAATGTGGGAGGGGGATTTAGGCGAAGTGGACATGGGTCGCCACTAGCGTTTCACGTGATATGTTATTATCAATCATTGCTTTGTAGCCGGATGACAAATCTCGGTGGCGGCCTTCTCCTTTTCCGCCTTCGCTCGGCGCTTCTCTTCTACCACCCATTTCTGCCGGACGAGCTTTGCTGCAGCGGCAGCAGCGACACATTTCTCCATCTCCTCCTTGGTGGGCTCCTTCTCGTCGTCGGCGTCAATATAAAGCCCATCCCAGGGCGGCAACCCGTGTACTACTTCGACTATCACAATTGTTAGGATTATTCATCATAGTGGCAATACGGTGGTCGCACGTAGAAGGAAAACAAAGCAAAACAATGGTAAAAGAGCTTCTCTGGAAACAGAATCACAACCACACTTGCGGCATAACATTGCCCACATTAGCCTGGTAGACGGCCCAACATCCTCGAGGTTGAGGTCCACGATAAGTGTGACAAGTCGTGATCGATGGGATTCATTCAAACTTGGCATCTGAATTATGTTCATGATCACTACGGCAACGGCCTTGGAGCCAGTCGAAGTATGTACTATATACCTGGTGGCATCTCGTCCAGAATTTCAACATTATAGTTGGTGTGTACAGGTACATTCGCGTCAGGCTAAGCCATGACGAAGCAACATGATTGTTAATACAGCATTACAAGGAACATGCATCAACCTCTAGCAAGCAGCAACCACCTGGCAGGCTGCCCAGAGAGGTATACACAGTTCAAGAAGCACATACAGCTTAAGTAGCACACACAGCTCAAGTAGCACACACAGCTCAAGTAGCACCAGTCAAGTGTCTCAGTCCAAGTAACACGTACAGCTCAAGAAGCATACACTACTCAATGAGCACACACAGCTCAAGCAGCACCAGTCAGGTGACTCAGCTCAAGATGCACACATATGTCAGGCAGCCCAGCTCAGGCACGCACACCTCATAAAGCACAACTCAAGTAACTCAGTTCAAACACCACAGCTCATGCAGCACCGGTCAGGTGATCCAGGTCAAGTGGCTCAGTTCAAACACAGGTCAAGTGACTTAGTTCGAGAAGCAAGTAGCATAGGTACCTACCTTAGGTACCTCAAGAAACGCGTCAAGTAGCGCGGCCAAATAGCCCAGTTAAGTAAGGTAACAAATGATCAACACGCGTCATGTAGTCCAGCCAAGTAGCCCATCTCAAGTAACACACGTCAAGTAGCACAACTCAAGAAACGCGTCAAGTAGGACGGCCAAATAGCCCAGTTAAGTAGCATAGCTCAAGCAAAACGCGTCAAGTAGCATGGGTAGCATAGTTCATGTTAGCAATTAGGTCGTGTAGCAAAGATTGCATAGCAGAAGTCGTGTAGCAAAGGTAGCAAAGGTAGCACAATTTGAGCAAATATCATCAAACATCAAGCATCAGGTTGCATGGCGTTGCACTTACTAGTACTCCTCTCTCTAATATCTAGCTCATCTTCGAGCTTCTTTTTTAAAGTTTCTATATAATACCTATGTTAGTTCTGTATATTCCAATGCATCATTCATTTAGATACTCACTTGGCACCATATCTGGTGCTGGTTCTGGTGCTGGTTCTGGTGCTGGGAAATCCAGCTTCGAAAAGATTTCTTTATCTGGTATCTTAGGGACCATTTGATAAGAGACAATTTCCCCATTCATAGCTGTGTAGTTCACTGAATAGTGATGGTTGGCCATGTCTCCTGATGATATGCTGGTGGTGCTGATGGTATTCGGGGGGTGCTGCTGGTGATGGAAACTTTTCCCGAAATGATTTCTACATCTACAGTACCTGCATCTGCATACCCTGGTCAGTGCTTCACACCCTCGAACATCTAACATTTGAACAACATTTAAAAAATATTTATTTTGATTTAACCTGTTACTAAAACCCCTTGTACAATAAGACACTTATAAAATACGCACAACTTTTAAATATTGAATATTATAAGATAGATTAAACTAGCATTTAGGTATTATAAAAACTCGTATGATCTAATCATAGAGTAAACTCATACAGTGAACTTAACCTCTAAAAAGAGTACAAATAATCATAGAGTAAATTAAAGTAAAATCGTAAAGTTGGCTTTTATTGAGGATCAGCGTATCGTAGGTAGAGTCAGCGACTCCCCGTATTCATATTTTCCCCCAGTAACAAGACAGAAATAGCCCGCGATAATCCTACAATAGAGATAATCCTACAACCTTGACCAAATAGAGCTGTCTTAACGGGGGAAAAACTTATATTAATCACGATAAGGAGGTATATTCTCTTAACAATTATCCGGCTTGTCTACCGGTTAAGTCATGTAGGTGGGAATGGGATGTTTTAATTACGTGATAAGCTTGGATAATGCAACAACCAGTTCGACACATAATTCAGCATATAATTCAATCAATTAGCCGCGATACCTGGCAGACTCCCTCCTACAAATGTACGGTTGCTTACGACTGTACACGCACCTGAGGTGGCGTAAGAAACTTCAGTGATCTCGAAGATGTGGAATTTGAGCGTGTAGGAGATGAAGGTGTATAAGATATGAAGGTCGTATTGATGAATTGGATGGCACGAGTAATGGTAATGGGGCAATGGATCGGTTGGAGGAAGTGTATGAACCTGAGTTGCTATCGAGGATGCTATTATCAATACAAAACACTGCAACAGCAGCACCTATCTCCTCTATCACTACTACCTGCGCCCTCTAATCTATCAATATGACATTATCTCATAATTTGAGCGTGTAGGAAATGGGGGCGATCTTGATGGATTGAACGGCGCGGGTAGTGGTGATGTGGCAATGCATTAGTTGGAGGAAGTTCGATAGCGAGAGGTTGACGAAAGGTAGGTGTTGCCATTGTAGTGCTCGTGATGATGATACAGCGGTGCTTATTATGGGATGCATGCTTCTACGTTGACTTCCATTGCCCATTCTTATCCTGCAATTCATACTTAATCCCTAGACTTATGTTAGCAGTGTACTGTGCTCGCAGGATACATATTGGATCAAGGGGAATGCTCCGGCTAGAGCAAACCTTGGGCCATAACAAAACAGTACTCACCCATGAGGTTCAAATTATCCCAGCCGGTAAATGGTCCAGGCTCAGGAAGCCTTGCGAAAGGGACTGGATGTCGCTTTCCCCCTCCCATATAGATCTCCACGATAACGTTTCCACCGACTGGGTAGTCGCCGGGATCAAGGCCTTGGGGGTTGGAAAGTGACCTCCCCTCGGCCATCGTCCCATCTGATAGCAATATGACCCAACTGCGCTAACGACCAGAGAGAGGCTATGAGCAAGATTCCGGTTGCTGATTCGATAGATATGTACTTCCTTGGTCTCCTGATTAGTTGTAATTACCTGACAAGTGAACTCGGTATGCGCTAACGGCATTTCTGTCATAGGTGCCTGCCAGTTGAGGTCTTGTCCGGGACTCCGGGAGGCACGCTCCTTCCGGTCTCTGCGAATTCGGTAAATGCGAATCCGATCTCTGTGGTACCGCTGAATTCTTTGCCATCGATATATCGAAGAGGTACTTTGGAGTTAGGCCTGGATTCCAAAGTGCTACCTTCTTAGAGAGCACAGCGTTGGTTTATGACTGGAAGAGGTTGACATTCGTATGTTCGTACAGTAAACGGTATACCCACCACCCAGTTTTGGCATTCCCACCTCCCAAACCTTACGCATCAAGCATACAGCGCACCACACCAAAACTCCCACCAAACTTGCTGCTCCCACCATGTTGCCTATCACAACCTGTTCCAACAACCGGATAACCGAATATGCCCACCTTTCTGCCGCCCTGTCGCTATTACCGTGCGGCTGTGCCTATCCTATGACTCTCATCAGCCTTTTCTATCTACTCTATACAGGAATTTCTTCCTGCCACCACATCTCTATATCTGACATATGATGTATTCGTTATAGTGCTCAAGCCTAGCCCTAGAGAGCCGACTACAGGTGCCTAAGGCCAGTGGTATAAACCTAGAGCCCACCCTCTAGGCTTCGCTGTACTTCGTAGGTGCCCCTATAGGTGCTAGCCCTCTAGTGAAGCCCTGGAACCCTCATAGCAGCGTATGCTAGGCTCTTACCAGGTGTCTCGGTTCTGTAAGCACCTCCGAATGGCAACTACATCCTCCCTAATGTTAAGAGGCGAGTTAATTAAACATAAAGTACCTTATATATGTACGAGATCCGAGTTTCGACAGAGCAAAGTAGGATATGGTAGGAGCAGCAAGTTTGGTGGGAGTTTTGGTGTGGTGCGCTGTATGCTTGATGCGTAAGGTTTGGGAGGTGGGAATGCCAAAACTAGGTGGTGGGTATACCGTTTACTGTACGAAGTATGTTCGGCCACGCCCAATATCCTATCACGCCACTCGACTGGTGTATTGGAAAAGTTGCACAAGATCTTCATCTCATCCGACTTCGCCGTATATCCGACAGCATACATACGGCCGGGATTTCCTTCATTCACGAGGGCCAGTTCATGACCTTGTCGACGGTTGCCAACCTAGATGGATTTGCCAATGTAAAAGCCAAATCCGCCACTTCCTTCTACTCCATGAATATCCTGGGAAAGAATAAGGTAAATTACCGCCCTTGTATCTTGGTTGCCTGTCACCTAGTTTTGGGGATCAGCTGGGATATTCCATAGATCGTTAAACGTGAAGTTTCCTCCATCAATGACTCTCTTTACATCTAAGAGAATCACTGTGAATAATATTACTACTTATGCACGTTCGAGAAGTGAGTTGAAAACCATTTGCCAAGTAAGAACCTGTTTCGGAAAGTGGCGAGGTCGTCGCGGAGATCATGGAGTATTTTCAAATCTGCACCTTGGGTAAGGAGCTAGTCCGAAGCAGGCCGTGATCTCTATGTAAAGCATACTGGCAGTTTTATGCAGCACAGAGCCTGAGTAGAACCTGGAAGCCGTGCACGTCCTAGAGTAGCTTGACTCATGACTCGAGTAATGGACGGCATATCGCTGAGTTCCGGCCATGATTCAGCTCTCATTCAGGTCGTGCTTTGGGCGAGTCTAGCGAGTGGGGATAATGGTTAGGGTGCCGTTGCTGGACCAGGAGGATTTGATTGTTGGCTTTGGTGTAATTGTGCCCGAGGTAAAAAATATCTTTGGATACCTGACTACCAGAGGTCGAGGTGGAGGTTGGTAGCCTGGTTGTCCTGGTTGAGCGGCAGTTCAATATCTTTGGGCGCCTTGCGATAGTGATGACGATGCCCGTCCCATTCCTCTAGGGGCAGATGTGCCTTGTCTAGCATTTCCACCGTGGTTGTCTGCACTTTTCTCCTCCTTTATTATGGCGATGTCGGGGATCCATAATGTATGAATCACACCTATGGGCAAGTGCTTACCGTAGAGTGGATCAGGAATATGCCACTCAATTAGGTGTTGAATGTTTGAAACTGAACGGATGCGTAACGTCTGTACTAAGTCTAGTCAGATTCAAGTTAACTCGATTCATCAAGGAAGCTACTAACCAATACGATTGCTAATGATCTTTCGGCTGTGCTGTAGCTTATTGGCTCTGAAGAGAACTGGGAAAGAGATTTGAATTGGATGTTGCGATGCTAATGAGTTGGAATTGATAGTGAAGGGAGGTGGAGGTGGAGGTGGAGGTGGAAGGAGAGGAAGACATATGTAGATGGAGACGCAGCCTTCCGCTTTAACAGTTTTGCAAATACTACTATATTCACCGCGGTTTGGGGCGAAAGGTCTGATTCACAGATATGGAGTCTCTATTCACTGCTTGCTCCCTTTTCTCAATAGACTTTGCTAACGAAACATTAATCTGCCACCAAAATAAGTATTCCATCCCAGATCCACTTGAGCGGGACGACTACTTCCAGCTTTGGATGCACACTTGCCGCAACCGCTGCTGTCTTGGTTCTTTCTAGGGTCAATGAGCTACAGCATAGCATCAGCGAGTCCGTAGCAGCCTTTAAAACGTACGAGCGAGGTATTGACCGCAGTTGAGTAGAACAAGACGCATAATAAGTGCAGAGTCGCGAAGGATGATGACCAAATGCAATGATAGTATTTTGCGGCCCGCAATACTCGAGTACCTGATTAAAGCGAGACATAGTGTATGGCTTATTATTGCGATAATAATGGTATCCGGCGGGTCGGCATGCTACTATTGACTGGTTTCGAGGTGGATTTTGGGCTTTGATGTTCAGGGGAAACGGTGACGGACGGGGAGTTGTCGAAGTCGAAGCCGGATTTATCGCGCATGCTTGGGCGAATTTGGGGCAAAACTCTTTTCGCCATCATTATAAGGCCCAACGGCCATTACCTAGGAGGTATGTATGACTCCTTCTTTCCTATATAATCTAGATGTCGACGTACAGCACTATAATTATTGATCAAGTATCTAGCCGGTCGCAAAGTGAGACTATTCCTAGAACCAGGCCCCCATATTTGACCGAAATTGAGGTATTCAAATCGGATGACTAATCATGATCACGTTACGCCGAGGTTCGCTTACAGCGGCTGACGATCCTTGGCTCACCCACAAACGGCAATTTTTGAGGATGGATTTAGTAGTGACAATCGGTGTAAGAAGTTGAACTGAGGATTGTTATAAGCTATGCTAGAGTTTCCCGTTCCCCATCATCTGGCACGATGTGATTTACATGCCCTCTCCGCTGAGAATATCTGAATCGCCCTCATCGAGGATTGCCATACACCCACATCTAAATAGCTTTCCGCATGAACGGCCCAGCTCGATCTATCCATCCAAAAGAGTAAGCCAATGTATACCCTCCAAAGTCAGAGACTTTTTCTCGGGGCAGCCGCTTCAGACCTTTTCCAGCCTTCGGCGGAGTGGAGAAGAGCTTGCTTCATTCATATAGGGGAGGGGATATGTGTGTACTTACGTTGTTTCCCTGGAAGTGATGCACTTGGGTCTTACTAAGCATGCTATAATATTCCAGCTTCTCAAAGTTAGAAAACCGTAGCAATGAAGGGTTGATCTTCGAAACGTACCTCGCTCTTGCGCAGAGGGGGGGTGTTTCCGGCGATCAGGACAAGCTTAGCTTTTCCGGAGCGGAGCGTCTTGAGGGTAGACTTGTATCCCAAAGTGACTGTTTTTTGATGCTGTCAATTATCTGTTTTTGACGGTCGAGTTGAGTCTGGTCGCATACCTTTGCCGGACTTCATCACAAGCGCCAGGCGCGAGTTGATGGTGTTGGCATCCTTCTTAGACTTCTTAACTGGGGCCATCGTTGCGAGTTCAAGAGTCTTGGTTGATCTTGAATGTGTGGTTGATTGATACGCTCCGGCGAAATTGGTTTGAAGATTTCTTGAAAATGTGAGAGACGCGAAAGTTGAGAGTTGGCTCGCCAAATGTGCGGCCGCATGACGCCAGTCCTAAAGTGGAACTAGATCACATGATATGAATCTCAGGCACCAATTCAAGTGCAGCCTGATATTTAGGTGTATTTGCCTGTCCGTTACATGTACGTAGCACGAAGTACCCCGTACCTGCCGAGCCTGCCTCATACAATGCACAGCGAGGTACAAGGTACGGAGCCTCAGTCACCTATGAAGTAGAGCTGTTGCAACAAGGCGACCTTTCATTCTTATTGTCCCATTGTTTGTTTATCCTACGTAGGTACCTACTGTTCCCCCGGGGATGTTGGCAAATGCGCCGACTAAGTACGGGGCACCAAGGTAGAGAGGACGGACAGCTCGCGGTTAGCACGACAGATACTTATAGGTACCAGTCCAATCTGTCTGCAACTCTCCTGCTATAGGTACCAGGTAGGTATCTGCTATGTATGCTGGCTTCACCGGAGGATGTGCCTAAGTTCAAACATGATCCGACCAAACACCGGTTTCAATTCGCATGAGACCGGAGATCAAGTCCAAGCTTCCTTGCCTTAACGGACGTGATATAATTAACTGTTTGTTATTGGCGTTGGCGCAAGGGATTAGTCCGTATGCAAAGCAACCCTGGTGATTTACAGCGAGATAGATACCGTGGCGCAAATTAATGTCAACAACAGAACAAATGCGATCTGTTACCTTATCACATCCACCACCCGTGTTGACAGCCGCAACCTCATTCTGCATCTTACTCTTCAGCTCGTAGATATTTGAAGCTAGCCAACACAAACACCAGATCCTTGAGGCGCAGTACCCCTAGTCTTCCCGAGGGATCACGTCAGGATCAGGCCGTAGAACTACTTCCATTCAAAGTAGTTGGCCCAGTTCTCCAGATTGATCCTACGAACAACATCTTCCACCCAGCCCGGCACGTACATTTTCGATTCAGCGCCAGCTCGATATTGTATTCACCGCCTCAAGATGTCTGCCGCTTCCAAGAAGCCACTGCCAGGCTCATCTGGCGGTCGACGGACTTCAACAGATCCACCTGGCGCATCGCCATCTCGCACTCCAGGGCGTGCTCCCGTTCCTTCGTCAACAGCAGCAACAAATGGGGTCGCCCGGACTCGATCATTACGAGGCGGATCTCCTATGTCTGCGCGATCTGCTATGCAAAGACCCGGTGCCGGCACCTCAAATCTCAGTCAAAGCAGCGTCGCGTCCGAGGCCGATGATGACGCGCGAGCAGAGACGGTCGCTTTGTTGGACGACTTGAAAGAGCGACTACATAATGCCGAGATTACGTCAGAACAGTTCCAGAAGGAGGCCCAGGTTCTACAATCAAGACTAGACGAAGCCCTCCTAGAGCAAGGGAAGCTCGAGGACCGGTTGCACGAGCAGGAGGAGAAGTTGGAACTTCTAGAGAATGAGAAGCGCGATGCGCTGAGAGAAAAGCGTGAGATGGAGAACATATACGAGGCGGAGAGGAGTTCCATGACCAAGGAGAAGGAGGAGATGTCCAACCGGGAGGAGGAAATGCAAGTAATCATTCAGCGACTCAAGGATTCTCTGAGTCAAAGGTCCAATCCAGACGACGAGTCAAGGATATCTAGACGATGTGAGCTGTTCAATTCCGATCCAGAATTCTAATACTGACTTTCCCAGCAAATAATTCCTCTCCAAGCCTTGACGGGCAATTTGCGCCACCCGCCGGCCTCAACCGCAGCGATTCTCGCAACAACTCGAAATTACTTCTACAGAAGGACAAATTGGTCGAGTCCCTTCGATTAGAGTTAGCTGAGGCACAGATCAAGCTTGTTGAGTCTGAGAACATGGGAGGTGGCCGAATGCAAGAGGTCGAAAGGCAACTTTTGGAAGCACGAATGACGAATGCGAGGTTGATGGAGGACAATGAAAGCTACCAATTGCTACTTTCGGAGAAGACATTGACAGGTGACTTTGCAAAGAGCGATTTCATGGGATCCGCTTCGAACCCAGATGCGCTAAGCGCACTTGAAGGCCGAACAGCAGCACCAAGCCTCGCGGATGAGTTGTCGGACGTTGCAGAAGGAGAGAGTGATAACTACAGACGTCTAGAGGCTGAGTTGAAATCAGCAAAGGACCAGAACAAGGCGTTAACGCTCTACATTAACAAGATTATCGAACGGCTTTTACAGCATCAGGATTTCGAGGCGATTCTTGACCAATCATCAGATTTCAAGCCAGGAGCGAACACGGACAAGGAACTTCCTCCTCCCCCCAAGGAGCAAGCCAGCGGGGCCTCCATCCTGCAGCGCGCAAAGTCTGTAGCTATAGGAGCAAGCCGTCGGCCGCGGCCCCAATCAGTGATGGCATCCACCAACTCCGTGGTCAGTGATCCAGATACCGCGCCCAGTATCCCATTCGGCGTCAATCGCTCAGCCAGCTTCCGCACTGGCCGCCCGCAGAGCGAACAGTATACTGGCAGTGGTGGAGCAGCCAGTGTCGTGAATCAAATGTACAAAGGCGGCCAAACCTCTCCTCCACTCCATGGTCCTCAAACACCCCGACATTCGCAATCCTTCTTTGCCCCTCCACCTGTCGGCGGGAATCCAAACGCACAACGCCGGGTCCCTAGTAGTGGACAAACTCCCTCTGCAGGTAACTTCCCTGGCATGAAGAGTGAGACGAGTAGCATTAGCGGAGACTCTGGAGAGGTGTCCACTCCTCCAAGCCAGAGCCCCCCACGACCGAACGTCGAGAAATCGACGACTTTTGCTGGGAATAAGCCCAGACCATTGAGATTAGTACAGGATCACCCGGAGAATAACCGGAAGGCCACCGAGGAAGAAGATAAGAGGGCCAAGAGGGCGAGTTGGATGGGCGGGCTTTCGGGATGGGCCTTCGGGAAGAAGGACGAGAATGCAACGGGAACGGAAGCGGTGATCAAGGAATGAATAATGGCTAGATGAGCGCTCGGGATTATATGAATGGGTTGGGCGGGAACTGGAAATGACAGCAATCACAACTCCTATATTGGTCAATAAGGAATCGGGCATACACGATCAACTAGGTATAGACGGAGATGCTGGATACAATGTTGTGTACATTAGGATACCCCTCGCCAGGCTGTACTTAAGTTTTTAAGGCTCTCTTTTTTTGCCGGAGTCAAGGCCATGGGCATATGGAACATGGATTACCTACAAATGCAATCGATTTAATTCTTTATGGGTGCTCCTTGGTGGTTCGTTATAAATTGAGGATTGAGAATGTTCCAATAAGGTAGGTAGTGTGTTTCCATTCCTCGTTCCCAGATCCTTTTAAGCAGCCGTTGGGCCAGAGATGGGCTTCTTTGGAGAGTGCGTTTTAGAGGAGCTGGGATTGCAGAAACTGCATAAAAATCCAAGGTGAGTGAAAAATTGAAGGAACCATGTTTCTTAAATGATGAGCACTAATACCATACCTACCTAAGGCTACCCCCCGCTCTCCAAACCAATCCCCAAAGTATGATCCCGCGCCACCACCTAGCTCCTCAATCTCACGCTGTTGAATCTCTCCTATGAGTCCTCTCCAATTACAGCTTTAGCCCGACCCACAGGGGAACCCCAGCGTCGGGTTCAAGTTCCTCTTCAAATTGACGCAAATTATCTTCGATGTCTCACCATTTTCCGGATACACCCATATATTGGCCGTCGTTATGTTCCTACACGACAATTCCGTGCTGCAGTTAAAAATGACATACTCGGTGTGCGTCAAGCCCGGCCATCCCACGTTGTACCAACATGGATCGGTAACGCAAGACCCGTCGCCGGGATGGAAAGTGTTGATCGTCCCCGAGAATTCTTTGAAGGATACCCCCTCAAGCAGCACGTCCGATGTGCTCTGTTTGCCAGAATGCTGCTTGCCATTCGGGTTTGAATATGCCTGGGTGACGAATATTGGAAATGTGACGTTGAAATTGCGGATATTGGACCAGGAAACGTCCTTTATCAGCCCCTGGCCTCCAGCCCAAGTTCTGATATTTGCTGCATAGAGACTGTCGATGAGTGTTACATCGTTGAATCTGATATTGGAAATGCTTGCAAAGACATTCGGATCCTCGCCGATGGGCCCAATGGTCATTCCACGGCTTGCAAACCCGATGGTCGCCCCGTCGAAATTGATATTGTGCGAGTCGGGTTGTATAGCTATAGCATAATCTCCATTGAAGATAACACTGTTGGTGAGAGAGATATTCGCGCCGGAAACCGCGAAGCCAAAAGTGTTGAACGGGAACTTACTGGAGTTAGAACGGGCATCGATGATGGCATCGGTAACTGCAATATTACTCCCAATCAACCTCACATTCCCAGCAATCGGTTGTCGGGATTTGAAGTGTTGAAGAGAGCCGTATGTCGTATTAAGACTCATTAATTGCGGTCTTAAAGCTAAACCCGTCGCGTCGGTCGGGTTCGCATCCCACCATGCTTGTCCATAAGAATATATCCACCCGTCCTCATACGCGTTTCCAAGGAAGTCTATCCCTGGACCAGCAAATTCGAACCAATACAGGGGCTTTGATAAGGCGGATTCGACGCTGCCGCTGACAACTTTTTGGACTGCCATGATATCTCGGGGCAGGTGGAGGTTGCCTTGCATGTGAATCATCACGTTATTGAGGTTTGTGGCTTTGATGGGCGTCAGGATGTTGTAATCCACTCCGCGGCCAAAGTGGATTACTGCGTTCCTATTGCAGGTTACGAATGCTGCCAGGACTGCGGGAGAGTCGTCTGCTGTCCCGTTTGATGAAGCATATTTGGAAGGTATACTGCATTCATTAGACCGGGCGGTTGGATCTGGTGGCGCCACAGGCTTGTTGACTGTAGCATGATTGATCAAGCTTATGATAAAGAGGATGGTAGTCTTAAGGGCGCTTTGAAGGGTCATGTTGATGGTGATGGGGAGTTGACCCTGAGGATGCTGAGGTTGAGGGTGTTATCGTTGTTTTTATCAGCAGAGTCTGGCTTGAACCTGATTGAGGTTCCATGGGAGTGGCTTAAGAAGTGCTGACGTAGCCTGGTGAGCATTGCTTCCCTTCAAGTGAGTCAACTCAATTCGGGGATATTCACTACTAAATTTTGATTCCCTCCTTAAGCTCTCGTGGATTCCCAGTCCTCCAAAGAGGGATATCAGTAAGCAGTAGTGATGGGCTCGCTACAACACCTACATCCAGCGAGGAGGCCGTTAGCCAGAAGATAGGGGACTACTTGGGAATAATTATTCTTGAAATGGAAAAGTGTACCTATTTGCCACGAGGTTGATATAGTAAACTTGCTTATTCTACTATTTCGCCGTTTGAATTAAAGTACTCTTCAACCAAGAGCGGTGTCAATATTATCCCAAGATCAGCAGCATTATAATAATATATTTTCAAGAATTGACTAATTGTGTGCATAACACCGCATTGAATGCACGGTTCTGCCCGTTATAGTAGTTATTGGAAGTATTAATGTAGGATTTTCAAACAAGTGAAGGATATATGTGCTTACTAACACTATGAAAAATCAAGAAGAATTGATAGTAATAACTCGGGTCTATAAATCATATAATACTCACTGAACTTAATCGCAACACTTGCTCCCAGTTTTGGAATAAACGATAGTCGATATGTAGTGGAATATCTAGACTGGTTAACCACTGGATATAGTGTGTAGCCTTTATCCCCAATCATAGGGAGATATTGCTAGATGTTCAGAGACTAGACCACCACACGCTCTCTGCAGTGATGCCAAACCCCTCTAATTTTCCCCAACGCGCTCTTCCACTTCTATTTCTTTACCAACGCGTAGATTTATTTCCTAAAACTCGCAATTCTTCCAAATGTATCAGCCATGCCCCAAATGCCCGTTCTCAAACACGTCAACTGTACAATCTGACTATGATCTACAAATAAATTAATGTCGACTCCAAACTCCCTTACATACCAGTTAAACACCTTGGGTTCGGCTGCCTCGAACATCAACTTTTCCATGGGCAAGTCGCTCAATATCTTCTGAATTACATCTGTCCGCCAGTTCGTTACGTTCTCAGTGATACCCTCGCTCTCGATCATGATCTTTTCCACGCCGGCATCGATGAATTGCTTCCCGAGTGAGATGATCTTGGTTGGATCAGAAGTTCCGGTAGCTTTAAGCTCAGAAGCCTCGGTATCCCCCCCGGCACCGAATTGGATTCCGAGCTCGGGTTTTGGCTTGAGGCCGTGGGATTGGACAAGTTCAATGAGTCGGAGCCAGTCAGCGGGTGGGAAAGAGAGAAACCCCGCCGAGAGCTCAACGACGTCAAAGCCTAGGTCCTTGCATTTCCGAAAATACTTATCAACAACGTTGAGGGGGTCGGGATGTGTCAAAAGGTGTTCTACAAACCCGCCCTACGAAAACACGTAAAATTATCAGTGTGTTTCATCCGGTAATTTTATTCCACCCCCGTAATATCCCCAGTTATGGGAATACCAAACTGAAGCAGATATATAGACGGGTATGGTATTGACTTACTGTGCTCACGTAAACACCACCCTCATGACTGATGTCTATCATCTCCCTCAACTCCTTCTCTGGGAATAAGTTAAAACTTCCCCCGGCAAACTTAAGGCCATCAATATGCGTTCCCATTGTTTGCAACAAATCCTTCAGATGGTGCCGTCCATAAGCGGCATAATAAGGGCCACGGATCTCTGTCACGCCTGCAGATCGGGGCTTGGGAGTCCGAGGATTTGAGCGGATGAAGCCAAATCCAGAGGGGTCATTGAGGAGTGGCGTTGGCGCCGGATGATTCTGCGTCTGTGAGGATTGGGTGAAGAAGTGGCTTGTAGTTGCTTGGAAATGTCTGAGAGTGCGACGGTTCGTAGCACGCGTGGGCCAGCGTGAAAGTATGCCTGGACCTGCCATTGTACCTGTAGTATATAAAGCAATTATTGGTCAAAGCCTCAGAGTAATAAGTAATAAGTCAATAACAATAACTCCAGCCACGACCGAGATAAAACGAAGAAATTGAAATAAACACTCCCTTAAAATATATCAGGTTCGGTGTGCGTCATGCGAAAGTGTAAGATCAAATTCAGTACGACATGACGCAAACATAGGGTTTGTTGTGGGTTTGCGTGATGGCATGAACCACTGCTCCCGCCTCGTCTTCCATCTAAAAACTATCTCAGATCAAGCCAGTCTGTCTTATATTGTGGTTACATAAAGCAAGTATAGACATTGATCGGGATCAAATTTCGTTGGTTAGTTTTGAGCTTTGCTCCCGACGCCAAGGCAATGGAATTGACATGTCACCCCCATAGTGCTGACTAGGAAACCCCTGAATTGCTCGCTGAGGGAGCGGGACTTAGGCGAGGGCGAGCGACCGCAGTTCTACCGATTAATAATTGCTTCTCTGGACGTCACTCTTCACTCACAAGACATATACTTCGTATACTTGCATATTGAAAGGTTTTCATGGATCCATGCTACCAGCTTCAGCTTTGGCGTCCAGAGAGTACAAGCGAGATCTAGGATCTACAAGCCATGGTCATGCCCTTGGATGCTGTTCCCGAGGCAGCTCGTATCCATATGACATGCATGCATCATAATGCATGACCCGGTGTCTTAAAGGACTGCAGAGCCAGCGCAGATTCTGAACAATGTTTCTGCTAGACACCACGCATTGGCTAGGCTCTGGGCGGGTTGTTTTTAGAGCAGTGATACCATGGTCCTGCATACAATAACATGCATAGTAACCTGGGCATGGACGCCATCGGATGGATAAAGGTCCTTGTGTGGTACAGATTTCTCCCCCCTCTCTTTATGTATTCATGAGCTTCCGATTTTGAATCGTATTGCCCCACTGGCTACTCTCTATATCTATGCACTTGGTCGCATCTTAATCACTGTCCGCAACCTTTCATTTCTTCCTTCTGTCGTTCGTTCGCTTCATAGAAACAACATGAAGATATATTTTCTCCCCGCGGCAGTTCTCCTCTGGTGGGCAAATACAGCACACGCTGCTTGCACTACTAGTCTATTGGTTGATGATTATTCCAACTATGCGAACAACCTTAATTCTTTGGGCCAATATACAAGCGGTGAGTTCCCGAATGCCCTGGAGTGCTCGACATAGAAAGCTATACTAACAGCTCGAGTAGACGATGGGACCACGACCAACCTCAAAGCCAATGCCGCGAACAAGATCATTGCTTTTTCTACTACCTCTTCGAGCTACTTCTATACGACCTTCAACTGCGAGAAAGCGACGACAGACGGGTACAATGCAATTACAGTTCCAATTAAGGGTCCTTCGGGTGCAAAATTTACAGTTGAGCTGCAGACCTCAAGTTCTTGTACAGCAACAGCATATAATAGCCACTTCGCAACTTTTACTGGCGTTACTGGAACCAGCAAATTGTATACCATCCCATTGAGCGCTTTTACGGGAGCAAATCTGAATGCTATACGAGGTTTGGTATTCGAATCCTTCAGCATCAATGGAGCCTGGGAGATTGGTCAGATACAGTTGTCGTGTACAAGTAGTTCGAGCGGCATGTCCACTGTAACAACAAGCATTCCTTCTCCGTCAACCACACTGCCTACCAAGCCTATCACAACCACACCTGGAAACCCGGGGTCCTGCACAAACCTCTTAGTCGATGACTTTGCTTCCCAATCCCGGTTGACGTTTCTTTTCTACAACGCCATGTTGCAATCAACCTCTGATGATGGCACGATGGCACCTATCCCTGACAGACCTGATACCAGTACCTCTGTGATAGTTGCAAATAACCATCTCACCTTGACGCCTGCCAGTGGGTCTTCATATTGGTATACGATGCTTGGCTGCACCAAGGCTACCAATGTCTATGGCGGCATTGGGATGACGATCCAGGCACCCAAGGGAACGACATTGACCGTTGAACTACAAACATCGACGACTTGTTCCTCGGACAATCCAACACTCAATGATCTTCTATCGACCGATCTAGGATGGACTTTTGATGGAACCGAGAAATACTATACTATTCCGTTTTCCAAATTTCCTGGGCTCGACACTGATCATATCCTGACACTCCTTTTCTCGGGAATCAGCAAGCCGATCACACTTGGGCCAATTGCCTTTTATTGTGGGACCACCGGTACTGCATATCCAGTACCTACCACTGTCCCTGTGGTCGAACCAACCGCTACTGTGCCAGCAACTACGGGACCATCAGCTTTTATCATCGACACTTTTGGTAATGCAGATTCAAACAACCTCGGTTTTTATCATGGAGGTGACGATGCCACGGCGTTCAAACAGTCCAGTGGAAAGATAACAATCAACACCAAGGGCAACTCGGACCTGTCCTGGTATACTCAAATATCAAATGGATGCAGCGACTTTACATCAAATGACAAGAGCTACTTGCACATCGCATATACAGGGAGCAACGCATTCACAGTAGCGCTCCAGCAACATAACCCAACTTGTAATGAAAGCATGAGTCCGTACCCATATACCTGGGATTCGGTCGAAGCATCACGATATTCCAACAGTGCGAAGACAGATATCTACGTTCCGATTTCCCACTTCAATATTGATCGGACCAAGTCCGTTGGCTTTGCACTCAAAGGTTTCTATACCAGCACGTCGACAGTAGTCTCGAAGATTGAAATTGTCAAGACCGTCCCAGGCGGCTTTTTGGTCCCCAGCAAACTCAGCACTGCACCATTTATCTTCGCCTGTACACGCCCCAATTCTTTCGCCTTCGCCATTGACGATGGGGACCCACAATATGCCCAGCGGGTTGTATCTACAGTCGCTGCGGCTGGCATCAAAGTGACTTTTTTCACTGTGGGCGCTGCGCTGCTTGACACAAGCACAAATTTAACCAACGTTTACAAAGGCATGCTCGCACAAGGGCACCAAGTAGCCTATCACTCTTATACCCACCCACCTTTGGAAGGACTCCCGTCCCTCGCCGCCATCGACTGGGAAATCAACAACGATATTGCAGCAGTCTCTCAAACCCTAGGCATTACCTCAAATTACTTCCGGCCACCCTTTGGCACCGAAGGCGCGCGTATCCGCCAACGTCTCGCGGCTACTATTCCCCAAGCCAAATTCGTGGGATGGAGTGTCGATGTGCAGGATTGGCTATGGGCGTTGAGTCCCACCCCTGAGAAGCAGCTGGAGAACTTCCAGAGTGATGTTAATAAGGGGGGAAATCTGGTGGTGATGCATTATTTATATGATAGCACGGTGAACTACCTGCCACAATTCATACAAATTGCTCGGGCAACAGGGAAGCAGTTAATGAGGGTTGATCAGTGTCTGGAGGACCCGAATGCGCCCCCCTTGTGATGTATACAGAGAGTCATAGTTGTTACTTGCAAGCCAGGAAAGAGGCGAATAATAAGGTGGAAATGTCGAATTGCTACAATTCAAACAGTCTATTCTTATTGAGGGTGAAGAAAATTGAATCTCAAATAGTGGTGCGTCCAGGCCTGTGGCGTAGAGTATTAGCGGTACTGCTATTTCTATCATCCCTACTATCGGCCGCCATATCAGATGTTTTAACCCTGTCATCGAACCGTGCCGAGCCATAACAATGGACCCCTGCAGATAACGCTGTAATAATCGTCTGTTCCCCTCATTATTTCGCTGCGTCTCATTGCGAAATATGTGCAGAATGGTCTTTATTGAAACCCGGAACTTACCCGGATATAACAGCTCAGGATCTTAGGAGATCACCTGACTAGGACTTTATCCTGTCGACCCCCGTGGTACCATCATCTATGATCTGCAAACAATATCTCCTGGAAGAGACTTTACTTCCTGCGCCAACCTATCGAGTACCCGTTTAAAACGCCAACCTTCTACGCCACATCACTATATTACCGCTATGACTAGTCCCTGATTGAGAGAGCAGCTTCCTTCAATCATGCCGTCGGCGGAGACGTTTCGTGCAAGAGAAGTGTACAGGTCAGTACCATTTGCAAAGTACGCTGTCACAGGGAGCTTATGAAATGCAGGTACTACCAGCCGAGGGACATCACAGAGCCAGCCGCCATACCGGGACTTACAGATTCTGGCCAAGTGCGTCTAAATCAAGCTCCTCCAAAAGATACAAACTTCAATACGCAAAAGTCGTTCTCTGACACAGCGCTCACGGCCTTCGCCCAACTTATTGCCCTCCGGTTGGCCTCCCAAAGAGCTATCGTCTCCCTCATCGACCACGAGAATGAATACTTCCTGGCCGAATCTACGAGTAACTTGAGTCTTATCGACGATGACGGGCACAACCAAAATGCCTGGCTATCTATCAGTGGCGCGAGAGTCCCGCGCGGGGCCTCGCTCTGTGAACAGACATTGCGCCTGGTGCCGAATCAAGATACAACGGCGGAAATGACTCCTGTATTCCTGGTTCCAGACCTCCGGCTCGACAAAAACATGAGCAAGCTGGACTGTGTAACGGGCGCACCGTACTTGAGGTTCTATTGCGGAGTAGCTTTGACCAATAAAAAAGGCGTCAACATTGGCTGCGTATATGTTGTCGACGATAGACCGAGGACCGACTTTAGTCTCGAACAAGCCCAGTTCTTGACTACAATGGCGGCTACAGTGATGGATCACTTGGAGAATATTAGAGCCAAAGAAGACATTGTTAGAGTGACAATGATGAGCCAGGCCCTCCATGCGTTCATTGAAGGGGAGGGCACGATGGACGGGGATTGGCAGCGAGTCAGGAAGTACAATCTTCCAGCTGGGGCTGGAGTAGGCTTTCATTGGAAGAGCAGTGAAAATGATCGGGCTGGGATTTATGGCAACAACAGGAAAGATCTTGATGCGTCGATATCGATGAGGCCTCTTCCGACTGTATCCGAAGTGGCACCGAGTCAATCGCAATCTCCGTTGCAGCACACCGGCAATAACTCAGATGCTCGCTTCAACTTCAACAATTCGCGCTGGAGCTCTTCGTCGGAAACTCCCCAGGCCCCTCCACTGAAGTCTGTATTTGAGGGTGCCGATGATGCAGCAGAAATGCTAACTGGTGGGAGAGACACCGGATTTGCTAATGACGGGTTTACAAATCAGCTTCATACCACCTTCTCCCGCGCCTCGAATCTTGTTAGAGAAGGCATGGAGGTTGATGGAGCGGTATTCTTCGATGCTCCTTTTAGATTCTATCAAGGACGTAGCACACTCGAAACAGATACTCGCCGATTGGAGGATCAGGAGCCTGAAAGCTCGACAGGCACCGAAGCCCGACCGGGACCACGACCTCGAACCTCACTCCCCAACAACCGCGCCAAGCATGACGAAGCTATTTCTGAATTAAAGTCTGATGTTCTGGGGTTTTCTACACATGAGTCCTCCTCGTGGGCCAACCAGGGCATATCTCATGCCACCAGTTTTACTGCCATCGATCAGAGTCTTCTAACCTCTCTTGTAAGACGCTATCCGCGAGGTGAACTTTTTGTCTTCGATCAAGACGGGGCAATTTCCCCGCCTGCGGACATCCTCACGCCAGCAGACCCCCCAATCTCAATCACCACTGCGTCCTTCGAGAAGAGGCGTGCCCGTCATAAGTGTCGTAAACGAAACGAAATGCTGCGTTTGATGGATGCATTTCCTGGAGCCCGACAAATATTTTTTGCACCACTATATGATTCAACATCTGGATGCTTCATTGGATCTTTCGCTTGGTCAACCTCAGCGACTCGAATATTTTCTACTGAGAACCACCTGTCATATCTTACTGCTTTTGGGCATAGCGTGATGTCAGAAGTTACGCGACTGAATACAATGAGCGCTGACCTTGCAAAAGGCGACTTCATCAGTAACGTTAGTCACGAGCTGAGAAGCCCGCTTCATGGAATTCTAGCAAGTGTAGAATTTTTAGCAGACACTGCCTTGGATGGATTCCAAAAGAATTTGGTCGATACAGTAGACATCTGTGGCCGAACGTTACTAGACACGATTGAACACGTTTTGGACTTTTCCAAAATTAAGAAATTTGGGCAGGTAAGTGCGCAGCCAATGGGAGCCGTTGCAAACCTCGATGTCTCTGCGATTATCGAAGAAGTGCTAGATGGTGTTTTCGCCGGATTTGAATTTAATGGACTATCTTCACAAGGACTAGCGGATACGACAAATAGTCGAATGCGAGATCTATCAAACTTCAGTGATAAGAGCGCCAGGGCCATGGATGAGCTTCAATTTGACTTTTTTAATGATTCACTTACTGTAATCATAGATATAGACTACAGAGATCAGTGGACGTTTCCGACAGTCCCAGGGACTTGGAGACGTTTGACAATGAATTTATTTGGTAATTCATTAAAGTATACCCCCGAAGGTTACATCAAGGTGAAACTTGAAGCTCGAAACATACCTCCTGTGAGCTCGGATATGAGGGATGATGCTATTAAAAGAACTATGGTCACGATGACCATATCAGATTCGGGACAAGGGATGTCAAGTGAATTCATGAAGACAAAATTGTTCATACCTTTCACACAGGTGCGAATATTCCGATCGGACTTACTATCCTGTATGGTTGTTGTTAATGCTAATTGAGTCCCAAGGAGGACGTGACAGCTCCAGGAACCGGGCTGGGTATGAGTATTGTGAAGCAAATCGTTGATCTGTCTGGTGGCTTAATCGACATTCGCAGTGATCTGGGCAAGGGCACAGAAATAAAGCTCAGCCTACCTTTAGAGGACTGTCCTCGAGAATCAGATGAAATAGATCCGACTTATATACGCGAAGTCCCCATTGATGCTGTTCGACGGCGTGCTTGCGGCCGGACGGTCACCATGCGTGGATTTGACGATGCGTTGGGAAAATCAGATCTCCAACTGACTGCGGCCGCAAGCCTAAAGGCTTCCATCAAAAAATATGTTGAGGAGTGGTTCAATTTAACGATTGTCTCCAATGACGCAGTTGCTGATATCGTCATCTCGGATGAATCTGCGTTCCTCGGATCGACAAAAATTTCTGGAAGCAGCCCTCGGCTATTGCTCATTCTCTGCAGTAATGGAGCACGAAAGGAGTTTTACAAGTCTCAATTTGATGTCGGTCAGCTAGTCGAGTTCGTCAGCAAACCCTGTGGTCCTCACCGCCTCGCAAAAGCACTATTGAACGGCTTTGACGCAGAAGACGCTCTCAAAGAGCCGAGCGAAGACCAGGCAGGTCAGATGGGACTCCATAGTAGAGCATTTTTGCCCATAGTCACATTAGAAGATACCAAGGTAGGTGTAGGTACTAGCAATCTGAGGTTATTAGGGGATTTGAAGTCATCAATCGAATTCTCGCCAACAGCTACTAATCTCAACATACCGCCAGCGGCGGATATCATGGCCAATGAAACGGCCAATGGGAGGCCCCCGATGCTACATAGGAGGTCAAGTGGTGCGGCCGTGAGGCTGAGTAAGAGCAAAGAATCGAGCACAGAGAATGCGAGTGTAAGTAAAACGGGATCAGAATTGTCTTCAATATCTGCCACGGCGAATAGGCCTGCATCTCTTTTGGAAAACGCTCCTAGTGGCGAATTGGGCTTTGAAACGGCTCCTATACCTTTTACAACCCCAAGGATGTTGTTAGTGGAGGTCAGTGTTTGTAAAGATACCGCGAGGGATAAACTTACAATACTGATATCTTTTCAGGACAACCCTGTCAACATGATGCTACTTGCGGCCTATATGAAGAAGAATGGCTGGGACTACGAAAAAGCCGCAAACGGTTTACAAGCTTTACAAGCATTCGAACGCCGACCTGAAGGTTTTGACGTCGTTTTCATGGGTATGTTTTCCCATCCTTCCTCGAGCTAATCCGTTCGCCCTCACTTATCATTGTCTTTTAATCTCATTATGAATAGATGTCTCTATGCCCATAATGACAGGCTACGAATCCACCCGCAGAATCCGCACGATCGAATCGGAACGCCGTGCCGCCTACGACCGCCAACAACAACTCGAGCCCCTTTCATCAACGACCGTCGTCCCGGCCTCGCCCTCCTCCCCTGTTCAAGCGCCGTGGCGTATCACAAATTCTCCATCTACTGCCTCCCGCGACCCGTCTTTGTTACCATCGAAAGCTATTCCGGCACTAATCATTGCGTTGACGGGTTTCAGTAGCCAGAAAGATCAGGAAATGGCATTTGAGTCCGGAATGGATATTTTTATGACGAAGCCCGTGAGGTTTAGGGAGGTAGGGAGAATTTTGAAGGGTTGGGTGGAGAGTCGCGAGAGTGAAAGTGCTGGTGATGTAATAAATGAAGGCTTAACAGAGCCGGAGGAAGGCATGAGTGGTGTGAAGACTGGATGGCTTGCCGGGGTGGAATAGGCCGTTTTCAGGCTGTTGGCACTGTAAGTACCACTGGTGGTATTGCCGTTGTGAGGATAACAGCAACTGACACCATCTTCGCCATTTGCAGAAATTAAACGCGTAAGAAAGCGGTCGTTCCCTTCTCGTTATTAGTTACGATGGGCAAACGCATTGACGACGGGCATCCGAGATACTTCAAAGAATGCAACTATCGCAATAGTTGGCAGGGCTATGTTACGATTTGGAGATTCAATGCCATCGGGGAATTTGGGATCATTACTGGCCCCAAGAATGCCGAGTCGCTAGGTATTGTCTGTGGTATGTCTGAGTTGCCGAATACCGAGGATGCTGGGACACGACTGGTAAGTCGCGACGCGTTGGCTACGAATGAAGAGAACGAACAGAGCTGACAAGTCTTGACTACAGGCGCGCAAGGGTAATTCTAATGGCAATAATAATGGTGATGATGATGATGATGATGATGACGGCCTAGAAGATTGAATATATTCATAATGTATAGCTGCTATCGCTACTACTACGCTAAATTGCAAGTATCATTTGCATCTCTATCTGGCTGATATTCCGGCAAGTTCGTAATAATGAACTGCACATGCACCTCTGGGTCACAAACGCCCACCGAAACTCCACAATGACCCCAATTAAATAAGCTTATCCCCAAGGCGCTCGTAACAGAACGCCCGGTAAATACCGTATCCGGTACCAAGAATATTTTATCATGGTACACCTGTACAACGCCCTATCCTCCATCAGGGCTCCTCGTGTGTATGTAATTGAAGAATGATATCACTTTCCGAAGCAACTATTATTCCTTTCAAGGGTGTTGCATCGATGCTCCGTGCAACTCAACAGCGTGTGGAGTTGGCACGCCCTGCACTTCGGCCACGCCCTGTGGATACAGGTGTGGGGGGTGCTCGCCAGGCGCGTTACTGGGAACAGCTTCGTACTGGTAAGGCTGTCCGGGTGGTTTTTGACCTGGTGCGAAATATCCCCCTTGTGGTGGTGGACCATGCGCTGCATCCCAAGGCGGCGGCGGCGAATTGGGAGGCATGTATGAGTTGGGTCTCATATCTCCGGGCGGGAATTGAGCGGGATATGGTTGCTGGGCCATTGGAGATCCCATAGCTGGTGGTGGTGGTGGTTGAGCGTTGTTCTTCCGGCGACGAAGGAATAAGAGGACTCCAAGGACGATGAGCCCGATGGCGACAGCACATCCACCGACAGCACCGCCGATGATGGCCCCGTTATTTGAAGATTTGGCTGGTTCTAAAGAAGTTAGCGAATGATGGTACTATATCAGATGGGAGTAGGTCGTACCAGGTAGCACTGGGGTGGTAGTCTGGGACGATGGACCTGTGGTAGCCGGGGATGCGCCTGGTGTGGATGTGGATGTGGATGTGGGTGTGGATTCCGGTGTAGTCGAGGTAGATTTTGCTGCTTGTGTAGTTTTGACGAGTGTTTGAGTTACTACTGAAGGAGCTCCAGGAGTCCAGTCCATTATACCGGACGAATCTTTACTCTGCACGGCCCAATAGTTGCTGCTCCCGCATCCCAAATACGTCAAAGGTGATTCATCGCTGACGGAAGCAAATATCCTTCCCGTGATGCAATAGTCGGAACTGTAGGCGGAGATAGAGTTAATGAGAATTCACGTGCCATAACTCGGATATGCGTACCAGCTGAGCGAAGAGCTAGCATAAACTGCAGTATAGAAGCCATTACAGTTGTTCACGAAAGAGCATGTTGTCGCGGCAGTGTTACAACATGCGAAATATGGTGAGCTAACGGAATACGTGTATCCACTGGCGCAAGTTCGCTGATAGACTGAGCAGATGATAAAGTCAGTATAGATTTTCCAGGTCTTATATAATGATCGTTGAGGACTCACCGGTTCCGCCATCAACCTGCCAGCCGAGAAACCGAGGGTCACCTAACGACAAAGACGCGCGATTGTAGAGTTTCGGACCAGGAGTGACAAGCGCCTCAGGAGGTACCGTAACTGAGACTTCCGTAGCTGTCACTATCTGGTACTGTAAGGCAATGATTGCCAACAGAGGCACAAACATTTTGGCAGTCGCGAATTTGATCGGACCGCAAGCGATTAATGATGAGGAAAGAACACGAGAGAGAGGGAGCAAAACCGAGAAAGGAGCAGCGTGGGGCCCAGGCCATGGGTATCTAACCATATACTTGGGGAAATGTTATTAGTATGGTCCAGTCGTAGGTTATCTCCGCACTGGGAATCCGGACCTCGTCCTGGGGCGGTGATCATTTGGTGGCTGCGGACTGCAGTTCAGCAGCTGCAGATCCGAAGTATGACATGGAATGGTTGGACGAGGAGCACAAGGGGCGTGTGCAGGGCCAGCAAATAAGACGAAGTCAGTGCTCGTCCAAACCTCAAGAGGCTTAAGACATGCTCGTCCGATGGGTCCTCTGTCGTTCGTTATTCCCTTTTTTGAGCGGCCTCATGGGGGTCGAGGGGGCTGTGAACTCTGAACTGAACAGAGGACTTGGACCCGGGTTGATGCGAAGTAGAGGCTGTATCCGCTGGCCCTACGAGGCTCCGGGGCAGACCGTGGGCACGAAGGTAAACTGCGTCTCTCCAGACTCTCTTGTCTTGGTGTTGGCACCTCGTATTCCACATGTAGCCTGGGGTTGGCAACTGCGCCGTAGGGCTCAAATCAACTTTGCACGTCCCAAACTCTTGGGGGGACCCACGAATGGCCCTTTTCCCCCTCGTCCATTTCAACCCACGGGCAATGGAACGATAGCTTGAATAAATAGCGACCTAAAACCCAGGCCCGGGAGAGCGTCCCTCGCGCCGTTGCGGTTGCCGACTCAACTATTAATAACGCATGGCACCCCGAACTGATGCAGATGCATCACACCATGGCTCAAGTTTGCGACGAAGGAACAATAGAAGAGTGGAGCCTCCCAAATCCGCTGCTGTCAGTTGTTGGACGGGCTGCACCAACTCAGCCGCAACTGCTAGGTTGTACGGAGTAGCAGCTACAGTAGTATGGGCCCAATCACACCTGTGGGCATCGATTGGGTGTGCAAAAGCAAATATCGAATATTTCCTAATCCGCCGATTTTGCTGTCAATATATCCTTGCCAGGCGCGCAGGGCTTTAAACCAGCTTCAATCCAGCCATGCGGATTCCCACGACCTTCTCTGGCGGCTCTGGCCGGAGAGCGTGTTGTGTTGTTTTGATTGCGCTGCGTCTCGTCACGTGCTGCGATCGACATCGCCGTTGCCCAGCAAGCTTGGAGCGCCGGCTTGGTCCAAGGCGCCACGGTGCAATATTCGTCCGCAAAGCACTGTGAATCTGGTCAGCCTTGTCGCTAGCAAACGCAATCCATGCAAGACGGAGATGAGCTTTCTTGGCTATTGTTATTCAAATACGACGACCTATCCAATCCTTCCACAACATCCAGTAGGGCACGCTGCTCGTACTAGCTCTCGAAGGTGTAGATTTCGGTCATAGGAGGGCTGCCTGGTTCGGCGCACATATCGATGATGTTATTTCCGATAACCTCGAAAGCCCAGACTACTTACGGGCACGGGCGTAGTCGGCGTTGAGAACTAAGACATTTGGGTTAAGATTAATCCAATTCTCGCATTCTCGTGAAATGGCCAATCAAATGACTCCCATGGCGGAGTAGACTTGCGAATGCTGGCAGCCGCACTTGAGCCTCATGAATTCTGGACTGTTGACCATGAGCTGATTAGTGTCACAGGGTCCATAGGCTGTGCAATCTCCTGTGGAGAATATAGAGGAACCACTTGGTCGTCTATAAAAATAACATGATGTTATCGCGTGAGGAGAAATAAAAAGGGGACAGAGAGTGCCAGGAGGGTGCTAACTTGGGTCGTATGTGATGGAGGACGAAATGCAACACAATTGAATGCTCCCACCGTATATATATCACCACAACACCCAACCTTCTGTGGTTTGTATTAATTGAATTATTTTTCGGCCTTAGGAGCTTAACCGTAAACCCCAATCCTTTTTCACCAGCTTTAGAAATGCGCGCCAACAATACTCGTGGTGTCTCAGCCCCACATAGTCGTCGTCTTTGTCACAGTGTAGAATTCAGTTGTCGTTTTTCCGATCTGCATATGCATGAGTAAGTACATAACCCTCGGAAGTAACGACTATAAAACCAACATACCGTCGTAGTAGCCGTGGCTCCTCTTGACCGAGTCTCGGTGACGGTAGTCCCTGGTGGGGGAGCAGTAACTATGCAAGAACAGATAGCGCTCAATGTCTCCCGAGGGACGTTGGTGAGGAACCAAGGCGTCCCGACCGCTTCAGCTCGAGCAAGGTTCCGCGCTGATTTACAGTTCGACTTGTTACTCGTTAGCAGACACCCCGTGTATACAAGACAACAGACCTTACAGGCGAGTATTCCAGGCAGTTTCGATCGTAGAATAGATATGGCGAGGCAGCTCCAGGGATGATATTTTCTGCGGTGGCAGGGACTTTATACAAGTTACACTGTGGGGAAGCGTCGTTGGTATCCTGCATGACCTGGAAGCTAAGGCAGTCAGGGGCTTGCAGGCATAGCTGGTGACAAGTGGTAGCTTTTATCGGCTGCGCAGTGTATATATTGTTGGTGGCATAACCCCAACCAGCAATGCCGCAGTTCATGTTAGTAACTGGAGTGGGACATAGCCCGCTATCTGTCGGACTCGGACCTGTCACCGTCCTATCAAAAGCCTGATCAGTAGACTCCCAGAATAAGCCATGTTCAAAGGTTCACCTACGGGGATTTGGTCGTGGTCGTTGTAGTCGTTGTAGTACTTGTCCAGGACGAACTAGAGAGGTTGGCTATCAGTATACTTCCTAAAGATGCCGGATTTCAAACTTCACTCACGTAGTCAAGATTCTGGTTGTAGTCAATGTAACTTTAGCGGTTGTGATTTGGGTAGCCGTCACTAAGGCTGTGGATAGAACGGTTCTGGTGACAACTTTCGTGGGGGCAATATATGACGAGCAAAAGCCAAGGACGTCAATGTTAGGATTGCTAAAACAGTACTTAGTTGATTTATACTAGGGCCAAGGCTTAGTTAACTCGCACCTGGGTGGTGGACCGACTGGGGGTGCATCATTTTCGAAGAGACATTCTAGAAGTTAAGACTAGTTAGAGAATGATTTTCAGGCTCAATCAATGATACCAATGATATAAAACAAATGCATTGTGATATAAAACGGGGCTGATAGTACCTGAAATCCCGGGCGGGCCAACTACTTGTCTCGCGACATGATCCGATCCATCAGGATACGGCTTGGCGAATGCGAGGCCGGCCTGAAGGAGAACGGCTATACAGCTAATTGTTGACTTCATTTTGAAAGACAGGAGAGTGAAGGACGATAAGCTTGAAATCCAGGAACTGTAATCAGGGATTATCAGGTTCACGAAAGTTGACTGCGGAGAAAAATAAAGCAATGGCAAGAGAAAAGAAGGTATTATATGCTTAAAACGTATATGAGAAGGTTGTTCGTGCAATATGGGTGAATGATGGCCCTGATTTCAATAGGCTGCCATGTGTGGGGAAGGCATTTCTTGAGCTTCATGTATCCCGCGTAAACATCAAAGATACAACGCAGAAAACGGGATAAGAATGAGATGTGAGTGTACAGCCTGATATTAATCGTTCGTATTAATTGATCCATATTGAATAAATGTGCAGTCATATGTTGGGCGTAGGACGGGACGGAAAGTATTTAATATGTACCAAGACCTGCAGAGCAGGTTGGTGAGATCTGCCAGGGGAGCTCCGCTCGGAACATAAAGAAAAAAATAAACGTGCAGCTACTACGCAAGTGGGGTTTATCAGGCTGTAGATGACCTGATCGAGGCTGGCTCATTCTCATCCCATATACGAAGTGCTCACCGGGTAATATCCCCTCAGTACAGAAGCTTGTCTAGCCTGATGTCAAATACTGTAGAAAGACAGCCTAGCGGCGGATCCGGAACAAATAAAGTACAGAGAGCTGAAAAACGCTATTTCTAGAGCTATTTCACCTCATGAATCTGGCCTGAAATGGGCCGTTGTATATAACGTAGCATCCGGGACTGGTAGCGCAACCGACACCGCGGTTATATGAAGGTCTAGATTCCACCAGATGGCAGCCACACACATTGTATTACTGTACCTACGAACTCGTAGATTAGAGAAAGGATCCATCTTTGCCATAACCAGCGAGCTATCTTGAGAGGAGATTTCGAAATCAGAACCCTCCCTCTCTATCCTTCCCTCTCCTTTCTGCCATCACCACACAGCTGTCTCATTGCCGCTGGATGCTGATCCAATGGGTGCTAGAGGAGCGAGCGCAGCTTTGCGTTCGGGAAGTAGAGAGTTCCGGCGGCCAGGAAGCATCATAGCGAGTCAAAAGTGGCCTTAACCTTGATGTTGATGTTGCTTAACGTTATCGTCAATAATGCCAATGGTACGTAGTATTTGGCAGTTGCTTGTGTGGTCAATGGATGAAGATGAAGTTTAGCCTCGGGAGACCTTGACGCAGCTGAGGCCTGGGGTTGTTGGTGCCTGGTTTTGGCGGCTTACAGAATGGGTTCAAGACGCGACTTCCACCCCGCGACGCGTCTTCCAGTATCATTCATTACTCATGTCGATGTTCCTGTCTGCAATCACCACTTCCCCGTCCTTGTAGGGCTGGCACGATGGACAGCTTGAGGCAAGGCCATAAGGAGCTGCTGGAAGAATTGACCAAAATATGCAGCCGCATTGACACGAAAGTTGGCGCCGGTGAGACCAGCTTTATTAGGAATACCCATTTACTACATGCGATATTTGTACTAATAGAATAATCCCGGCACCCAGAACTCGATGACGCCAATTTCACATCCATTTCAAGAGATGAGCTTCGATTTCTTCGTGAGCAACCCGGACGGGTCGAAGACTTGGCAAATAAAAATGCTCGCCTCATTAGGGATTGGAAACAGGATCGAGATAAGTTGTCGCAACTGGAGGCCCAGGAACACAAGCGTCTGGCGGAAGCCCCGAAGCAGGCCGAACACCGAGAGCACTCTTATAACTTTGCAAGTCCTGCGGGACTGAGCGATCCTGGCAGCAGCCCCAACCTTGCTCTGGCACCAATTGATTTGGTTTCTCCAGCGGGAAACGTGTGTGAGCTAGACTCTACTATGAAGGATAAATACCACGCCCTGGTGCCCAAATTCAATAAGTTATATGAAAATCATAAAGCTGTCAAGGACGCGAATCGTCAATTGGCCGGGAGTCTTGTGAAGCAGAAGAGCTTGGCCAAAGCCTGGCGGGCCAATGCAGATCTTCTGAAAAAGACAGTCGCTGAGAACAACGACAAGATTCAACGGCTGCAGGGAGAAATTCTGACCTTACAAGCAAGATTAGAAAACGATAGAGTCACAAACGATGCAGTAGCAGCAGCGCCACGAGCTGGTGGGCCGTTACACTCACTAGGTGAAGAGAAGGAAGGCAGTCCGTCGACCTCCAATACACAGGCTGCAATACCCGCAAGTAGCCCAGTCAAGGGACCAGGAGCTGAGCATGCTTTCAACGAAAATATCGGCGTGGAAGATACACAATTTGAACCGCTTGAGCCTGACCATTCAAGCTCAACAGAGGACGACATGCCTCCTGCGTTCCCTAGAAGCCCAGGCCCTGGATCACACACGGCTAAGGAAGCCCGATCCTACGACCCCCAGCAACTATCTAGCAGCCCGGTAGTGGTATCGTCTCGCAGGGTTAAAAAGCGGAAAAGCACGAAGCAAGCTGAGCGAAGTCCCGATATGAAAGTCAAGGTCGAGACTGTCTCTAGCAGTCCGGTGGGCCTTGCTGCAATGAGATACTTGGACCACGGCCAGAGCATCGATCTTGATCAAATTGGGCAGAAAGTCAACACGCCAAAGAAGCGGCGCCGTGAGTTGGAGCTATCCCGGCAAGCCTCGAAGCTTTCGAATGAATCGCAGTTCAGTGTTGGAAGCCCAAGCCCAAGTCAGCACGCTTCTGATGATGATTCTCCATCTGAACAGAAGATAACCATATCCCAAGTAGGGTTCAGGGAAGCAGAATCTCCCCTTCAGCCGCTCGATCCCAATAGCCTTGTTCTGCCACGAACATTAGACGCAGAAGCCTCAAATAAGCGACGTCGGCTTATTATTGAAAAAGCAATCGAGGGCGTAAGTGAAGATGGACAGAATATCGCGCCTCTTCAAACAAGAAGACAAGGAAACACGCCTGATTCAAATTACCGCTTGGATGGCTTGCTTGACCAGCCTTCTCCAGCTAGGTCCATTCTAAGCCCAGCTCGCCTGAGTCGCCCACACAGTCCGCTTGGCACAGATTCGCCCGCTGGCGGAAGAACCCCTTCGAAGTCTGGATTGGCACGCGAGGTGAATGTTGGCCGGTCGAAGGAGGGGTTACGCCCTTCAAAATCCGAGGAACAAAGTCCATATGTGAATCAGCCAGGGTCAGTAAGCAAAGGTGCAAGCTCAAATTCCGTTGAACCGGCTAGACCGTCCTCGAACGCGACGTTCAGAAGTGCTGTAGAGCCTTCGAGGGATGGCAATGGCAAATCCACAGAGATGTCGAGGCCTACCAATAATATAGCTAGGACGACAGCTGGAATTACTACACCTACCTCAAAAGGCGTTGCGAGAAACCCGATTGAACATTCTAGGCCGTCATATCAACGGGCAGGGGGCTCTATAGACCCGTCACGGCCTTCTTCATCGCGACATCGAGGCCCTCGTGGAGCTGAGGAGGATCCTCCTTGGGATGATACCCCTGATAACGAGCCTTTGAGATGTCGGGAAATACGCATGCTGAGTCCCCAGGATTTCAAAATCAACCCAGCATACAATCAGGGTTATAACTATGCTTTCACGGATGTGGTACGCAACCGATATGAACGTCAATGCCTTTCGAGTTGTACCAAACCTGGATGCTGTGGGAAGCAGTTCCGTGCACTGGCTATTATGTTTTTCGATAGGGAGATTGCTCCAAACCCATCCCAGCAAGAAGCAGACGAGAAGTTGGCTAAGGACTTCTTAGGTGGCAATGCGTATAAGTTTCAGGGGATGAGCAAAGATGAGAGAAAGGAGATTCTAGTGCAAGCTAAGACCCGAGAATTAGCCAACCAATTCGGGCGACATAGACACGCATATGAAAGACCGAAGAGTCCGCCGGGCTTTTGGGATGCAGATTTCCCAACGACGCAGGAACAGATGGCTCAGCGCGAGAAAGCGCACGAGTTTGAACGCGAGTTAGTAGCCAGGAGGTATGAGGAGGCAATGAGACCCGGGGGAGCCTATATATTCCGGGATGAATAGTTATGGAGGATGATATCTTGTTGTAGGATGTCGTTGCCTTGCGACGAGTAGAACAATAATTTGAATTGCAGCAATATATACAGAAATAGCTATGGCTTAGAGTAGGTAGATGTAGATAACTAGCTAGTCATTAGCTCCTAATAAATAAGATCAAACTCAAGCTAAACCCGGCTATTAAAGAAATCAAATGAAAGCTCAATAGAAAATTTACTATTTGAAGCCCCGCGACGTGAGTATATTTTCAGTGGCTATTAATCAGTAGCCATAAGTGGCGGATACCGGAACTGCGGGTAGCTGTGGCGGTGCGATCCGCCACACATACTATTCCGGGAACAACGGGAGGCTGACAGATGGAGGCGAAGCATCTCAACTTGGCGTTTTGGCTTCAAGGACAACGACCCTTCGAACATAACAACGGCTTCGTCATATCGCATTCAACCGTCAGCCGATCCGACATATGATCTCGATATCGGCGCAAGATGGCTAATACTCAACCGCCACTGGAGCACCCAGACTCCATCAGTTCGCAGGATCCTAATTTGCAACCAGAGGAAAAGAAGAAGAGCAGGAGACCTGCGAGTGAGCATCCCCTGATATATTTGGCGTTATGGCATTATGAGATCCGGCGCTGACTGATGATTCTTGTGCCGCAGATACCGCATTCCGCCAACAACGATTGAAAGCATGGCAGTAAGTAGGCAGATAGATGGCGACTGTATACACAAAGAGTTGTGCTGACCGAGACGGAAACCCAGACCTATTCTCACCCCAAAGACCGTTCTCCCGCTATTCTTCATAATCGGAATTATATTTGCGCCTATTGGAGGAGGATTGCTATATGCTAGCGCAGTGGTCAGTACTCTTGCGCGTTACAAAGACGATATATATGGTGTTCGATCAAGCTAACATTGGATTGTTTACTAGGTGCAAGAAATTATCCTTGACTACTCGCGATGCCATCTAGATGCTCCCGACTGGCCAATCGACAATGTCGAAGTCCCTCACTACGAAATGCACTTCGCCGAGAATAAAAGCTCTACCGTGAAAGCAAAGATGCCAACGTGGTCGAGGCGGCGTGTCCCAATCAAATTCGGCGATAGACAAATGGAGACCTGGCAGTGCCAACTCAACTTCTCTATCCCTAATAATATGGAGCCACCGGTCTACTTCTACTACCGCCTTACAAACTTCTATCAGAACCATCGACGCTATGCTAAATCGTTCAATACTGACCAGCTTTCTGGCAAAGCCGTCTCAGCAAGCGCAATCCACGGCAGTGACTGCACACCGCTCACAACTACGACGGTGGACAATGTAACCAAGCCATACTACCCTTGCGGATTGGCAGCGAATTCCATGTTCAACGACACATTTTATAGCCCGACATTTTTGACTCCAACCGATCAAAATGTTCCAAACACAACGTATCCCATGACCCAAAAGGGTATTGCGTGGAGTAGTGACAGGGAGCTCTATGGAAAGTCAGAATACGATTTGTTCAAAGATGTAGCAGTGCCGCCTAATTGGGAAGACCGATATGGCAAAGCGTATACACCGGACAACTACCCCAAGCTCGAGGATTGGGAAGCATTCCATGTCTGGATGCGCCTCGCAGGTTTGCCAACATTCAGCAAGCTAGCGCAGAAGAACGAGAACATGACTATGCAAATCGGGTCGTACTCAGTAAATGTTGACCACTGTAAGTCTATCCCTTAGTTTCCCTTACCCCTTCCCCTGGCGCCGTGGCTTACTCCGTACTCTTCCAGTTTTCAACGTCATCGATTACGGCGGAACCAAGGCCATTATCATCAGCACCGGCACCGTCATGGGCGGCAAGAACCCATTCCTTGGAATTGCTTACGTCGTCGTCGGAGGTATCTGCATCGTCCTCGGCGCACTCTTCACAGTAACGCACTTGATCAAACCTCGTAAATTGGGCGATCACACATACCTAAGCTGGAACAACGAGAATACCCATGCGAACGCCACAACAAGCGGACGAGACGGTGTATTTGGTGGGGAGAGGGGAGGATAAACAAAATGCGTGCCTACCGAATGCCGTTTTTGTATTATACCAAGGGTATTATGATTCGTTCAGGCTTTGAAATTCTTTTCAGGGCCGTTTCTTGTTTGTCTCGCAAAAGGGGTTCATGACGGCGTATAATCGTTGCTTTTTTTCCTATTCGAGCAAGATAGGTTGGTAGGGTCAACTGGGTTGGGTTGCATGTTTGGCTTTGTTTATAGAGAATGGAAATTACATTTTAAGCTGTACCGTGAAGTTTTATACCATCCTTGTTGTAGCCAATTTCTCTTTGTGCAGCTCGGCAAATGTTACTCGGTAAATTCCACCTACTGCCAATTACAAAGAAGTACTTACGCACGCACTACGCTATTTATACTTCCAAGGCACATTTAAAGTCACAAAGGCTAAAGTTGACGAAATCATCAATTTGTTATTCTAAAATCATAGCCACTATCCATTAAGCAATGCCTGATTCCATATGGCACACGGCTTGAAAAGCAACTCGAGTCCTATTTTTATCAAACCCAACGCCTTGGACTATCGTATTGAAGACGAGAACGCTACCTCAGATACTGAGAATCCATGGTTTTTAGATCCTCTATCTGAGCTTGATCCACCTAACCCATAAATCGTACAACGAAAAGTTCGAAGAGCACCTGAAAAAGGATCCGGCAGCTGAATAAATCAGTGCTTGCGCTTTTTCTTCGGCGCCTCCGCCTCCTCCAACCCGCTCTCCCTATCCTTGCGCTTCGCCTTCGCCTCTAATTCATCCCAATCCTCGCCTTCGCTCTCTCCATCATCACTACCTTCCTCGCCCGCATCATCGCTAGCATTGCTATCAAACTCGCTATCATCCTCACTTGATTGCTCCGAGGCAGCAAGCTCACTATCTGACATCTCGAAAGCGGACTCCTCTTCCTCATCATCCTCATCTTCTTCGTCGGTCTCATTAGACAGGAATGACCATCCACCATCTTCGAAGAAGGCATGAGGGTCTGCGGTGACAGTCTTCATGATAGTAGGCCAGTTCAAGTTGAGAGGTCCTTCAGTAAAGGGGATGTTAACAGAGTCAAGCCATTCCTTGACATTTTCGAGAGATTCGACGGGGATGGTATTAATGTGGTATGGAGCACGGCCGAAGTCTTTGAAGACAAATACCATATCGAAGTTCTTGAGCCCGAACTGGACACGCTCGAGATGAGCAATTTCAATATCTTCGAGGGTTATGACCATGAAAGGTGGCTCGGTAAGCTGGACGAGACAGTCTGTCGAAGGCTGACAGAAGACGTTCGATCGGAACGGAACACCACTGAAGCCAAGCTCACGGAAGGGAACGTCGACGTCCACATTTTCGTTTTTACCAGCCTCGGCAATCTTTTCAGCGAATGCTTTGAATTGCCGATCGAGCTCAGCCCGGCGTCTCCTCTCCTCTTGTTCAGCTTCAAACTCTTCCTCATCACCATACCTGTACTTTCGCTTTCTATTTCCGGTCTCGTCAAACTGGATATCAGTAGCTTCCCGGTAAAATTGGACATCCTTGGTCTTCTTCTTGCCGATCAGAATTGGATCTTTGAGATGTACGTGGATAATAACGATAAGTTCATGCTGGCACGGTTGGAAGAACAGGTGCTTGACGTTACTGAAGAGAATGTCAACCCGGTGTTGGGTGTTGAGAGGGGATTGGTATCGGAGACCGTTCTGGTGAATCTCAACCTTGCCAGGCACACGCTTTCCATCCATTGCGGGACGAATAAAGACATTGTCCATAACGGCGGGTCTGCGATCTGAAGAGGTGTAAGTAATTTGATCGTAGGGTGGAATGACACAAACTTACTTCGAATCTCGACCAACTTATCCTGCTCCACGACATCCTCCATCTCCTTCTTCTCCTGCTCTCGCTTTGCAGCGTCTTTCTTCATGTTACCAATTTGATTTGCAATGTCTTGAAGCCGGTCTCCATCATGTGATCGGAAAGTCAAACTTCTGACAAAGTGTGCAGAGGCATCCTCGAAGGGCTGATCATCCTTTCTTCCAACACCTTGACCGGGTGATAAGAAGTTGATTCGCAGGTACGAGAAATCACCTTCGTCGCTTTTGCTAGCATTTTTGATTGTCTGGATATGAAATGGGACTGGACGACCCATGATTGGGAGCACGATCGTAGAGTTCTTCTGGTCCATGACAATCGTCAGATCCCGAACTCGGGGAGGGAATTGGTTATCGCGCTTGTATGACTCGAAACGCTTGAACTTCTTCACGGCTGCCCCGTTTTGATTTCCGGTCGACTCGGCAAAACGCGCCAGACCCTCTTCCTGCTTCTTCTTCGCAAGCTCTTTCTGATGCTCTCGACGTCTGGCTTCAGCACCTTCGTCTACTTGTGTCGTACGCTCTGCACGCAATTTGGTCTTGGTAATATTCTTGGTCGCGACGGCACCAACTGCTGAATCCTTCTTTGCCTTCTTCGGTGTTGGTTCTGGCTCTTCATCATCCTTGAAGAAGAATGAAGTGGCATCCAGATCTGAAGGAGCATCGCCAGTAAAGATCACTGCATCCGAAGGAGTTACCCGGACGGTGTCGGAAAGGACCATAGAATAGATCTTGCTCTTTTTATCTTGAGGATTTGGATTCTCAATATCGCTAAATCCGGTTGTTACGCAAAGGGTCATGCCGTCCTTCAAGCTCCGGGAGCTTTTAGCATTCAGGATCAATGTGGAGTCTCGTGTCTCGATACCAACACCTGCCCCAACATTCTTCAAGAAGTGCTTCTCCAGTTCTGGCTTCTTTGCCTTTACTAGAGCAAGAGCCTTCGCATAGATATCCTTCACATTCGCGCCATCTCTGATCTCCTTGATGACGAGGCCGTGCACCTGGAGGAGAAGCTTGTAGTTGCTTTCTTGAGATTTATTTGGATCCACCAAGTATGTGCGTGCGATCAAGGAGCAGTATGATTTATATCGGAGACCATATGAAGCAAGAATGACGCCCGGGTGCAGAATTTCGTCATCTACCTGTGCGTTAATCTTTAGGTCAAACTTGCCACCACTCTGTATAATCGGGCCATGTGTCCAATCCAGCTGCGAAGCATCAAAATCGCTGGGCATCTTCGATTTACTGGGGAGTTCAACCGTGCTCCAGAATTTCGTGTCGTCAAGCTTGCTATCAATTTTGTTGGCCAAGGAACTGTGCTTGACCTTCTTCTCCTCGTCCAGGACATTTGACATTTCTTCGACAAAGTAGGGGTTCATCAAGGCGATACAGGCTTTCGAGGCACTTCGCATAGCGCGCTGCAGAAGTGTTAGCATTGGCATACATTAGTGAGACGGGAAGCTTACAAGTTCATTCTCATCCTTTACGGCCAAGGCAGCTGCAGATAGCGCAGGCGCAATATCGACCTCCTCCACATCTTTAGAAATGTCGCCATATATCTTCTTCCACTCATCAACGAAGGGGCCGCTGGAGTTGTCCTTGGGTAAAACGCCAACTTTCTTCTGTATGCCCAAATCTGTTAGCCATGGCCGCGCATGATGAATTTGACTCCGTATGACTTACGCCTGCTGATTTGATCACATCGTTGATCTTGGTAAAGAGCTTCTCGTTCTCCGCTGCGTCCTTACCACGGACAAGTACTTCGAGAGGGACCTTGCCTCCCTTTAGCGGTTCCAAGTGCTTGGCTGTTTACTGTTAGCTTATTTCCTTTCTTCTGAAGATACCCCGAAATATGAAGCTGTACCTTTCTTTGCCGTAGTAACGATGTATAATGCCTCCAGTGTAAAGAGGAAAAGCGTAGCTGGGAACTCATATCCAAGCAGCCAGAACTGGATTCATCCTAACATTAGCATATAGTCGCAAATGTTGATTAGGCTTGCAGAATAGGATATATGATATGTACGTGGATAGCATTGTTCTTCTGGAATTGTGCGGACTCCTCAGTTTTCCCCATCAAGACAAGGATGGACGAGGCACCACCGAACACCGCGTCGCCGCTGCGTTTGTCGGTCTTCCATGCTCCGATAAAATGCGACAGGCGCTCCTGGAACAGGTTCTTGTCAATCTTGATCTCTGCCATGATTGTCGCGTGAGGTGATGATGGCAGAGATGTGGTGGGGTTGCAACAACGAAAGAAAGAAAGTCGAGGTTGGGGACGCGATGATGAGGTGGATTTCGCGACGGAAGCTGAGATGGCTTGATTGATTTGCTGCGCACGTGACCACGCCTTTTTGAGAGTTAACTGCTTGCAAGCCAAGTAGGACGACGCCTAGTTACAACCTATCAGTACGGTGTACTGTAAAGTGAAAACTACCCACTGTCAATAAGGCTTGTTTTTACTAGTCTTTCGGTTTGCTCTTAGGTTTAGGTTTCCCACTAATTATTTCTGTAGGAGCATACTGAGGTAGGTACAAAAACTTCTTTAATGTACTTCCAATATACTTCCAATTTACACAATACACGGAATTATAGACTACAATAAGTGGTGAATATTCAAAATATCTCCCTATATTCTAACACGTAGTATGACGCGGACAAAGTCTACAGATCCGTATGGAGCAAATATCGAAACGATCTCTGGAAAACAACGCCAACAGTGTTTCCTCACCCGGAAATGCACCTATTATGCTACTCTTCATGCACTTTCGGTCGTTACTCAGTGGCCCATCCCCAGAGTTTCAACTCAAAAGGCAAGATCTCTTAGGATGACGTATTACATCATCCCTCACAGGGAGATATCTCAACATCAATAAAGTCCCCTCCCGCTGGCCAATCTAACAAAGCTATACGGCACGTTCTGCCCAACAAGAAGCCTTAATGTTTCCACCGTCGTAAATGCAGTTGTATCAGCTACGCCATATGCCGTCCATCCACACTGTTCTGCGACCGCGAGGGGGTCGCTTTTCCTCGCGCCATTTGCTAAGTCGACGAAGACTTTGCCTTTGCCCCCAACCCCCGAAACTCCGGTGTTCGCTGCCTTCCTGCTATTGAAGGAAAAGTGTCTCAAGAGGGGCTGGACAAGATGCGACTTTTCTGGCGACAGAGCAGAAATGATGGCAAAAGGGTGATTAACGCGCTGGACACTCTCGATGGATGTAAATGGCTCCACCCCGGCTCCTAAAGGTCCATGGGCTTTGAAGCCAACAGTATAGATCTTCCCAATATTCAAACTCCTTAAGGCGAAGATCACTGACGCCGCATCGTCGTTGGAGCTCGAGATGATGATAGCTGCACGGTCTTTATAAGCTGACGGCGCAAAATCCCGGGTGAGAGTAGCTCGGATGCCTTTCCATGTTGCATTGTCGCCCATTAACGGCGAGGGCCCATCTCCGCGCACGACGATAGTATCAATCGCCCCAATGGTCCTCGCTGCATCTGAAAGCATGGGTATATACGACTGAGTGGCGGGTAGAGGGGGGTTAAGATATGCACCGCCGAAGCTGGGTTGGAGGCAAAGGCCTTCAACCGATCCTTTCAATCCTCGATCCACACTTATAAAGTTATGTGGAAGACCGAGCTCGTTGAAGCACTTTTCGAAAAAGGCCGCCTGGGGCGTAGACCTAAAGGATCCAATAGCGTAAATGTTCTTCTTAGGGAGTTGACCCATTGTGCTCAGTGCGCCGTTTATCTCTGCTGCAGACATTTGACCAGGAGCTGCAACTATAGGCAGTAATGGATGTGTGATGGGAGAGAATACGGTATTCAGGGCTCGAGAAAGCTGGCCTAGTTGCCCCATGTTGACAGCTGATAATGGTGGCCCATCGGGGTTGTTTGCCTTGATTTGCGAGCGGAAGTACTCTAGTTCGTAGTTTTCGGACATGGAGTTGATCACCGTGATCATCTTGACGATATCGCCGTACTTGCGACATTCGGAGAAAATAGATTGTGCCTGCGGCGAAGGCCACTTAAATGCCCCCGAAAAATCATGAAAAGCAGAAATGATGCGGCTACTTCCTCGTTGCTCAAACAGGCGTCGTCGAATGTCCTCTGGGAGCCAAACTTCAACGTCAACATACTCACAGCCCCATTGTATCGCTCGGTAGAGATATTGATAGAACAGATTGGGGTCGTCCATCGGAAACCGCCCATTTTCACGATTACATCTCGTCGTGAAGATGATCGGGAGCTCGGTCCTCTGCCGCAAGAGCATGACCTGCTCTCCTACATAGCTGAGACTGGGAACAGCACTGACTGTCCCGTCCGGCAATGGCTCCTCCAACAGGTCCACCCGCAACTCCACAGCATCCGAGCCAACAGAAAGGATATCCAAATTCGAAAGCGCTGTCCGGACATCGGGGAAGGTCGTAGATATGAAATATGTCCGTGGCTTCGTGATCAATGCCTCGTGGTGTGTAATTTGTCCAAGTGTAAACGCAATAAATCGGGATAGATCCCTCCGGAAAAATGGTGTTTCGGTATATAAGAATTCATAGTCACAAGAAGTAGATAGTTGGACATCCGGAGGCATTCCCAAGCCCACACAGTGGGCGTTAATGGCGACCATGAGGAGCTTGTCCCTGGACAAAATATCAACCTTCGCATCACTGGCAGCTATCCCTATCAGGGTCCCATGGTCCTCATCTGCGACTGCTGAAAAGTCCGGAGCCAGTCGGTATGGTTGCCCAAGCACGTCTGCAAAGACGGCCACAATCTTCTCTTGTCCCTGCCCATACACAATAACCACGACCCGAGAGTCTCCTGTGCCGGCTCTTGTTCCATTAATGATCCCATTAGCACTCTTCGGCCTCGCAGGCGTAGGCGCAGACTGGAGCTGCTTAGTTGCCATCTGGCCGGGCGGCAACTTTGCCAGATATGTGTATTTGTGTTAAAGTCGAACGGATCGGGAATGGATATAGGATCCTCGTCTTCGAGAATGAGGTAGGCACGAGGTCCACGGACCGCCTAGCATGGCATTCCAGCAGTAAAACCTCTAGAAATATTTTGTGGTTCCAAATGCGACGGGAGGCCGAGGCCGTAAAGTACCAACCCTTGAGCCCACCCAGCGGGGAGATGTTAAGTATCGCGACGGTTATGTGGGCCGATAAGCACTTCTTTATCAGGGGCCAATATATCTGGCACTCAAGACGGGATGTCCTACATAGGAGCCCGTAATCCCTTGGGCAGGTTCGAAGGAGGCATGTGCCGTCACGTCACAGGCCGCGCAGTTGCTGAAGAGACGGTAATTCGATGTTGCGGCTGACACGGGGAGCGGCGGCTCTCACACTCTTGGATTTGCAACAAATTTTGGTCGAGCAAGGCAAGACAAGACAGGAAACACATTGGAATCGCACAGCGGTATACCAGATTGTTAGAGGGCCGTCTTGTCGTCTGAAGATGCCGGAAATTGGGGCAGGCCTCGTCTCCGTGGTCTGGCCCCAGATAGCCAGAAGTTAGACAGCGCGGAATAGACCCGACGATGAAGGGACTATAGGTAGTAATGTGAAAGTATACGGGAGGTATTTTCCCAGAGTAACCGGACGCCGAAATCGCGGCCGTGGGCCTGAAGAGAGGGAGAGGGAGATTCGAGGGATGTTGGGATGGGTAGCTGGGTAGCTGGGTTGCGCCTGGAAAAATAGGGATTCGAGAGTAGGTGGGGGTAGCAGTAAATGGGTAATTATTCCACGGACGAGGTCGCTCGGCTTCGTCCAGCCGATCCTGAGGTTGCGCAGGGCGATGGGATTAGCATTGGCACTGGCATTGGCATTGAGGATCGCGGCGGCGGCGGCCGAGGAGGGAGACTGTACGGAGGAACTTGTTCAATGGTGGTGTTGTTGGAACGTTGCGAGGCAGTGGAGAGCACGACTAAGGGACTAAAGAGCAGCCTCGCTGGATCACGGAGACGCTGCAAAACTTCCACCAATGGCTATTCCCCGTTGCTCTTCGACCACGAAGTAAGCAGCTCTCGAAGACAGTTACATGAGACATCCCAGATCGCAACGCTCACTTTCACTCAGACACCGTCCCTCGCACTCTTCACTTCAAGCGAACACACGATCTATATCTCAGCTGTTGCATATAGCATATCACCCACCAAACTCCCGCTCTGCGGCAACGGCCTCTTGGTCGCGTCGCGTTTGGCCCCCCCCAGGGCTGCCAGCACTCTATCCTATCCACATAGCGATTATTGTGCAATTCGCAATTGTATGTCGGTACAGGGATCACTCCCAGCCGGAAGATTTATTATCTGAGGGAGGACCCCGTACGGACGGACTTGATTAGCCTAAATGGCCGCGGGCTAGGTCTGGAGCCCGCAATAGGGGATGTTCTGATCATGAGTGTTCTACTCTGTGCTTCGTAGTGGTTCGTGGTGCTTTTCGAGTGAAAAACAAAACATGCCACTTCATACGCCTTCATCAACTGTAATTGATCAGTCCCGCTGTGCGATTCTAAGCCCCTCCCCGAAGCAATGGCAGGAAGTCCTTTTATCGTATTCTACCTACCTACCTAGGGAGGTAGGTACCCTCAATTCCGGCCCCATGGATAAGTACATAGGTACCTATGCTGTTCCAATTCCCGAACCCCTTTGCTCAGAGGGAATATACGCCCACCCTACGTCTAGAATCCTTAATCCGGGGCCGTAGATCTCCCTTATATCATGTCCTGAACAGACTACTATTGTGCGAAGCTGCCGAGAGTCTATTTTGTTTCATTGCTCCAGGAGCGTTCTTATAGCTGGCTTCTCTTCATCTTCTCCTGGCTTCTACCAAAGCTAATATCTCTCTAGTAATACGGGCTTCCAGTCGACCCGTGTTCCGAGTTTCGAGAGAGTTACTACCGTATCGTTTTTATTGTACTTTCCACACCTATTTTCTTACTCTTTGTACCCTTTCATTGGGCATCGGCATCTACGGGGCTAGGAAGCTTCGGCGCCAGGTGAGCCATTGCGTTAGTTTCTCGACTGGCAAACTCTCTCGCTCTCCCCAGATCTTCCCCATATCGAAGAGCGTTCCGCAGCGTTCCGCAACTCTCTCCCCGGACTTATCCACGTGTTCAGAGGTATCCGGGTCGTCAGATTCGTAACGGCCCTCCGTGGCCAGAGCCAAAAATGGATGATTTGCCTTGAGGGCGTTCAGGCCGAGTCTCGAGGTATACATAGCGTCATTTGCTCTTCTCCAAATTGCTCAGTTATCACATTGAAATGGGGAGCTCGTCTCCAGCACAGAATCCGGAGTCCTTCCCTTTTCATCACTGTTCCAGAGGCGCGACGCTTTCCCCACTACACCGATGAATGGAAATAAAAGCCACCAGGCAGAAGTACCGGGATACAGCACCACACGACGCCTTTCTCTTAGGTATATTGGCAACCCCGCCAACATAATTCCAGGCATTCCATGCCAATATCACCAAGATGCTAGCTCCTTCTCGCGGGGTCTTCACTTCTCCAGCTATCGCTCTCAACCAGGAGTCCATCGATCCCCATGTACTCAGTACTCGCCAGGCAGATCATCATGATGGCCGCTATATATACACCGTCACTTGCCATTTTCTTCCGCCACGACCCGTGGGAGCATCACAGGCAAGCAAGCGGGACATGATTGGCAGAACAGGTATTAGTCACGTGACCGTACAGCCTGCGCCAGAACAACTGCACGTGGCGTTGACATAGGTGCAGTGGGAATTACCCAAAGCCTTTGATTTTCGCACTTCGTGTCCCATGCCCAGGGCTAGCAGCACGTTGATCTCCGGTGGCGCCGCGCCATGCGCTCGATCACCGCCAGGACTCGCTGCTGTTGGCTGTTGGCGGTTGACGAGCGATGGGCTACCGGGTCTAGCGATCTACGTGGTATCCCATCGACGTCACCTACAAGAAAAGTGCTTGTACTCTGTTGAAAGCTGAAGGTAAACTTGAAAAGGTCGAGTCACACCACGACCGTCGCCGACCATACTTCAAGGTTCCCATATTAAATAAGGTTCGGATAGCGCGGCCTCTGGGTCTGTCACTATACTTCCTAGCTTACCCACCAACACTACCCATTTTTCGGTTCTATTACCTGGATTACCTCCTTTGGTCGTCCACTACGCGTCATACACATTCGCATTCGCAGCCCCATCTTCTTTTCCTTAATCCCAACTCCTAATCCGGATTGTGCGGCGCCACTCGGCGTTTATTCCGAGCAAGCTAAGTACATTTTCCATAGCCAAAGCGCTTTCGGCGGTGACGATGTGCGGCATGGATGAGGACAACCCACGTTTTGATGACATCGCCATGCGTCGTAGTTCAGACAAGAGGATTGCATTACCAGTCACTTCCCAGCATCTTGAGCGGTGCTAATTGTGTCATTTGACACGGTACCACTTAATATTATAGCCCTTCGCTACAATCTTTGACTCGAGTAGACCTTACATATACTCGCTCTCTCTTCTCTTTATTACTTCGGCTTCTGACCTCTTTCAACTCTTTCTACTATATCCCCCATCTGCCCAAGATGAATAAGCTCAAATTTTGGTCTCGCAATAAACAGGATACTAATCCCGCTAGGGATGGTCCCAACAGCGCGGCAACCACTGCCGTTCCGTCGATGGAGACCCAAAGGGATTCGGAGAAGGGCCAAGGAGGAATTAGCCTCACCAGCAAATTACCTCACGTAACAATGCGTACTTTCCTCATGGCAATTTTAGTGGCTATGGGTGGATTCATTTTTGGTTTGTCCTTTCGGGATTCAGACGATTACTATTGCATTTCACTAATCACATAATAGGCTATGATACTGGGCAAATTTCAGGTTTCTTGGCGATGAAGGTGTTTTTGCAACGATTTGGGACGCCGACAGCCGTCACCACAAAAAACCCAACCGGTTACCATTTCACCATTGTTCGATCAGGCCTTATTGTTGCAATGGTACGTTATGTTGCTTGTACTTCCCACTTCTATGGCCATGTACTAACAAAAACTAGCTGTCCATTGGTACTCTTGTCGGATGCTTGGTCGCAGGGCCACTTGCCAATAAATTCGGCCGGAAAGCTTGCATTCCATGGTGGTGCTTAGTATTCAGCATTGGTGTTGTGATTCAGATGGCGGTTGGGTCAGGTAAATGGGATTGGGTTGGAATAGTTATAGGAAGACTGGTGGCCGGATGGGGCGTTGGAGCTCTTTCCGTCCTTGTACCCCTATACATGGCTGAGGCTTCACCTGTGCCTGTCCGTGGCGCTATCATCGCGTACGTCCCTTAACTCCCCGCCACAGATAGATTTCATATGCAGCGCTAACTTGTTTATCCAGTTGCTACCAGCTGTTTATCACCGCGGGTATATTTGTGGCGAACTGCATTAACTTTGGCACCGAGAGCCGCAACGACACGGGCTCATACCGCATCACAATGGGTATTGGCTTCATTTGGGCACTCATCCTGGGACTGGGAATTCTACTACTACCCGAGTCACCCCGCCACGACTTCAACATGGGACGACCGGATCGCGGGCGCACAACTATGGCAAAGTTTTATGGCGTACCAGAACATCATGAAGCGATTGAGTCTGAGACTGCGGAGATCCAAAAGGTAATGGATGCTACCAAGGGCGATCATCCATGGTATGAAGCCCTCAGCGGCCCTCGCATGCGGTACCGCATTGCCCTCGCCATGGGTTTACAGATGCTGCAGCAACTCACGGGTGCCAATTACTTCTTCTATTACGGTACCACGGTTTTCACCGGTGTTGGCATCCCGAATCCCTTCGTTACTGCCATGATTCTCGGCGGAGTCAACTTCGGTTCCACTTTCTTGGGCGTATGGATGGCACGTCGTTGCCGCCGTAGAGAGTCCCTTTGGATTGGCGCGCTCTGGCAATTCATGTGTTTTATGGTCTTCGCCTCAGTCGGGCAATTCAAATTCAAGGGTGCCCCTGATGACTCACCAACAGCAAAAACTGCTGGGACAGTCATGATCGTGTTCGCCTGCCTTTTCATAGTTTCATTTGCCATCACCTGGGGACCACTGGTTTGGGCCTGTGTCGGCGAGATGTTCCCATATCGGTACCGCGCTGTTGCCATGGCCTTTGCAACTGCCTCCAACTGGTTTTGGAATTTTATGCTGGCATTCTTCACGCCATTCATCACGGGCGATATCGATTTCGCGTATGGCTATGTGTTTGCGGGCTGCAATCTAGCAGCCTTCGTCGTGGTCTATTTCTTCCTGATAGAATCCAGGGGCAAGACACTCGAGGAAATCGACGCCATGTACTTGCTACACGTAAACCCCATCAAGAGCGCAGATTTCCAGTTCGATGAGGAGACGAAGAGAAATATAGCACAGGACGTCAACACGGATGCGATGCATCTTGTCGGTCGGGGTAGAAACATAAAGAAAGCCAACGAGGCGCTCGGCACCGGTGTACTCCACCAGGACCAAGATCAAGAAGGCAACCGCAGCCACAGTGCGAGAGCTGTCTTCAATCATCAGAATGGCGAGTCCTAATTGTTCTTTTCACAATTCATTTTCTATAGCTTTATTTTAGGTTTCTTGCGCGGCTGCCCTGGAGTTCTTGATGGCATATTCCCCGACGAGATTATGGGTCTATATACCTCTTATTGTAAACTATACTACTGTACCAATATAAGACATTAAAATATACTATATATTTAAACCTTTGGGGCTCTTTCTGGCGCAGTCTGCCGCAGAGTAAGCATGTTGCATTTCTAACAGACCGGTTTCAAAGACTGGCTAGGATTGTCAATACCTGTGTGGGACTAGGTATTCATGTAAGCAATCTACACGACCCACCACCCGTAATTTATATCCTATTCTTAATCACCCGACGGACTAGTGTCCAGTAGTTGGAGAGTGACCTCTTCATATTTTATCTTACTTTATCTGTGTTTGGTGCCTTTATCAGTTCTAGAGTCATAGGATACAACAGACAAGTCTTGCACATCAGGCTTACCTCAAGGGTTGATACGAATGTCCCCAGGGCAATTGACTAGGCCCAAGGTATTGTTTTATCTAAGTGATTCACGCAGCCCGATGGTGACCAAGTGTATGTTATTCATCAAACAAATGAATCTACATCTACATTTAGGGACGCGTCAGAGGTTTGCAACTCCAATGGCCCTCTTATTCAAACATGGGAAGTACAGTCAATAAGCAAACCATATTCACCAAACCTATAAATGCTTGAGAACCCCACGCATCCTTCATCCTCGATCATAACTTCCTTCAAAGCCCAACACAACATATTACGACCGATAGCACACGTTATAATCGACATGAAGTTCTCGATTGCCGTATTGACCGCTGCCCTGGGGTCGACGACTCTTGCTGCACCCAACTCTCTGACTGAGTTCGCTAATCCTACACAGATGCCGAACCAGGTTCTTGAGCGCTTTAATTCAAGGGACGCGACCCCCGGGCCCGCAGCAAATTTTATTGCTCTCGACGACCGCGACGGCAACTTGCGGAAAACAGAGAAGCGTGCCAATACCCATCTATACATCTGCAAAGACATACACTTCGCCGGGCCGTGCCAGAATCTCGAGGTTTCGCGTGGAACATGCTGTACGTGATCCCTTACCGTCTACGCCCTGTTGCACTTGGCGTTCAAAATTAATAAATGAATAAGATGGATTTGGCAACGGTTGGGACAAAGAAATTAGCTCCCTCGGTCCCGATACAGGAACAGTCTGCTGCATCTGGGAGTATGTATTACACATCTGAGTCTCCGCCGTGCATGAAGAAGAATGCATACTAACAACACATTAATTAGCCGTCCAAAATGCTCGGGCAATTCCCTTTCCCTCATAACCTATCCTGGCATGTCCGACTTGAGAGGACGGTGGAATGATCGAGCTCGGTCATTTAGATGCTCGTGAAGAAGAACTCCGCGGCTGGGTTAGGTGATGGGATATAATCAAGTGACAAGAGATAATGATAATTAAACGATGCTTTGACTTGCTCACTCACTACGCGAACAATGATATTTATTTTTTAGTAACCATTTTGTATTGAGCTTTAGCATGTGGCTATTGGTGTATTGCCCTGCTGCTAATTTTGGACTCATAGGGATATTTAGAATATATGAGATATTGTATTCGTGTTTCGCATATCTTGCTGTGCGACATAACTTTAGAAACAGAAAAGAAATGTGTTTCGCTCGAGAAGTGAAACATAGTCGAGGCCTTCTTTCGACCCGCGCCAACTCTCCTCTCAAGACTCAAGTCTCAAGTCCATCCCTTGCAGCTTTGCCAAGGACCATCTGACACCATATCTCGTCTTGCTGACTACCAGTTGTGAGATTATGCACGTAGGTACTGTACGTTGGAATATTTCGAGCATTCACAGCCAGTGTAAGCAGCGAACTGTGCCACTGCCAATATATCCCAGATTGAGAACGAAAATAAGCCAGTTCGACAGCAAAGGAAATAGTACCAAGCAATTCTCCTTGAGACTGACGTCAAACCACAAAGCCTAGAGCTCACACTTCAAATGCTTGGCTCCAAGGTAAGCTTTATCTCCTCTCTAATAAAGCCCTGGCTTCAACGTGTTTGCGGTTGTACAAGTCTATCTTAGCGCTCCTTTCCGATATTAATTTGGGAGCGAGCTTAAACGAATCGCAATAAAACTAATTAGTAAGCATAGAGAATTATCGAATTGCACCTGATTGGGTTGCTGATTCAACATTCAGCACTGGTGATATTATTAATAATAGGGGTAAAAGTGGATGTGTACCTAGTAGGCTAAGAAGTTGGATCAAACCTACGCTGTAGAGGAACGTTAATCAGAGCTAACTTCAGGCACGCATTATCATCTGCTACATAGGGTGTGTTGCGACAGGAAAGCCGTCAAATATTGTACCTATTACGGAGTACAGCGCAGCAAGACGCATGCTGCTGAGACTACGAAGGTAAGGTATGTACGAATGCACTCCCTATAAAAAGATCCTCGTAACCTATCTCGGGAACCAGCTCGTCGCCCAACGTTCTCGTAGAGTCGCAGCCCCCATAAGACGCGGTTGGTTAGTGACGATCTTACTTCGTATTACTCCAGTATTGGCGTGTGGGGCGTTCCCCAAACGCGGGCATAGTGGATATCACTGGATGCGGAACAGTCGTTTACCGTCGATTACCCCAGTAACATCACTCCGCTCTTGGCCTTCCCGACCTCAGCCCTAGATATGATTGCTCGGAGGAAGCCACGAACATTCTCATTCGAAGCTGAGCGCCTCGTTGTTGGCCGTGCCCCATTCCTGATAACCAAAAGTGTGGAGATGGCTGGGTCTATTCTCGTATCAGTTAAGACATCACTCTTGGCAGGCTCAGCTGGTTGCATTATTGGCATGTTTTTGCGTGCGTTGTCTCGCGGGAGGGCGATCTCGTCCCCTCCCTCCGGGGGGATCCAGGCTCCATGGCCTAGAGGTGATTTCTTTTCATTCAGGGGTTCCAGCTTCCAAATAGAAACACGCCGAGGGCAGTGCTAGACTCCTTATTGCTTATCTCCTTGGCAACATACTGTACTATCAGTTCATGTCCATCTCTCCTCGATCGTTCTTGCATTGAGCATCACTTGTGTATTTTGGACCGCCTGAGCATCGATATTTTGATCAATTCCCTTAGTCGATTACCTTCTACTTCGCAGTTCAACATGCGGTGGGCAAAGCCCGCACAGTTTGCCGTTTTTGGCTCAGCGGCTCTATTCATCATCGTTCTCGTTACCCATATTGGCACCGCTCCGTCGCTCGGGGAGATGCCAGACTGGGTTCCTTCGACAACATCGTTTACAAACAGCATCTCGAGTACTCTGGGAAGAGGAAACCTCAAGTCGGTGATGGAGAAGAGTGAGAAACTATGGCAGAAGACAGTTGATCAACGACATGCTTTAGTTAAGCAACTCCCGGGGATGGATTTGTGAGTTCGACCTGCCCAGAAACAATCTTCTGTAAAGGAGCCGTGACACAGGCGCTGACAGGTGGAATAGCTTCCCAGCCCATGATACGCCCTCCTATTTCGCGTTCCCATTATCAGTGTGGGATCTGGTTCCTGCCAGGTATGTCTTGGAACGAACAGTGCCTTCCTTTGAGGAATTTGTGGGCTAAGACCGTCCGTCGCAGTTATAACTGCCCATGGGAGGTTGAGCGTATTGGCAGAATGGGCGATGGGGGAAAATGGGTGTGCGGGATGAGCAGATACGAGAAGAACACTCGGCCTTGTATCATCTATTCTTTTGGTAAATACGCCACGATATTCCCGTTATGATATATGGTTCAGATGCTAATCCGGTTCGTTCTCTAGGAGTCCAAAATGAATCCAGCTTTGGTACGACCGATCCCATATTCCATACGAGTGTGCGATGACTGACTCAGCTGCTAAACTCAACAGAACAAGAAATGCTTGAACGAACAAACTGCGAGATTTGGGGCTACGACTTTTCCGTCGAGGAATTTGGACCGGCGATTGAATCCAATGTCAGACATAGAACACATTTTATGAAGGCTGGAATTGCCGCGCAGACCGACCTCGCTAAAAACCCCCCTTTCTATTCAATCCAAGACTTGATGGAGAAGAATGGCCATGATTACATGTAGGTGCCCTTTGCAGTTTTCGCGGCACACCTATAAGAGCGTGGGACATTCTGGAAGGTGGGAACAGAAGCTAAAGCAAAGCCCAGTGATATTCTGAAAATCGATATCGAGTACGCTGAGTTCAACGCCCTCAGCGCCTTAAACACCCATTCTCAAAATGCCCAACAAGATTTCCCTCTTGGCCAAATGTTAATTGAATTGCATTTGTTTAAATCGCAAGGGATTACAACCCAAGTTTTCTTGGATTGGTGGGAGAGTCTGGAATTCAGAGGCTTGCGAGCAGCTTGGACGGAGCCGAATCTGCTTGCGGTCACTGTTGGGCTCGAAGATAGGCAACCAAGATTAGCTGAGGTAAGTTTGCAAGCGAGAGGTCTATGCAGTGTAACGTTCGTAACGGCTAACGTGGAATAATAGTATACGATGCTAAACGTCAAGGATAGAAGGAATAAGTTGTTTTTGTAAGATTTCTTGTTACCGAGTTTTTGGAATTTGCGATGGTTATGTATGACTTCTGTATACTATGTTAATGAATTATATATGAAACATTAGATCTAGTTTGATGTCATCTTCGAATTGTGATGGTCCTTCAAAATGCGCGAAATAGAGTAAGAGAAAGTGAGTTTCGGCGTTTCAAGGCACGTAACGTAACGCCTAGCTTCAGAATTCGCACGTTTTGCAATTCGAGTACTAGCTTTGCTTTGATTGTACGCCATATCACAACAACCCTCCCCTAATATAACAAGTCGAACCAAAGTATTAGTTTCCAATTCTTCACCATTTCATAAATAGCTAGCATAACATCAGTGATTGTGCTCGTCCTCACTGGGACTTACCAATATCATATTCAAGAATACTTTGACTGAAAGAGCTATCTTGATACAGAAGCTCTAAAAGACGTGGAAAAAGGAAGAAGTAACAAATATGTTGAATATAATCCGTAATTGGGTTAATCGGCAACGAAATAATTCGGTCTCCCAATAAACCTCGCCGTCGACATCTGGCCTCAAAAACACCAGCATCTCCTACTCCATAGAGTTTACGAAAGTAGACGAAGCAACCGCGTTTCTCTATGTAACTCACTGCGGAATGGCCGCAATGCTCTTAAACCACAAGCCACTGGATCAAGAACCAGAATCTGCTAGCTTGTAAATTTGGTTACCGGGCGGCTATGCCGCGGTTTGGATTTGATTAAAGAAAATTACCTTTTGCTTTCAAGGCGTGGAAGAGCGGCTCTAGGTGGATCACGGCAGTCCTCAGGAATGATTTCCTAAACTTTATCAAGGAAAAGGGTTTCCTCGACTTACGATGTGCATGAGTTGATCGGGTGGACCGGCCCAAATAAGGTAAGTAGGCCGTATAATATGGGGACAAAGTAGTTTCGTGCTTACATCGTCACAGGTACATTGCGCGCTATGCCCTTAAGGAGCATACGGCTGATTGAATAATCTCGCTTTGTGCTCAAGCTGCCCATGTGAAGGGCGCGGGGAAACGTTTCATGTGGCCTTCGGGCAGCAACAGCCCGCAACTCTGGACTCTGGAATGGTCGTCCCATGCTTCCAGACACGTTGCACATCCTAGCAAATATGATCCGAGCTCCCTTAACCGCGTGGTTGGCGACATTGAATCGCGGTACCGAAGTCTTGAACGAATCGAAGATACGTACTACTCTACGTACAGAGTAGAGCGGCACTTTAACGGGACGTCAACTCGAATTGAATTCTGGATAGACGGCTTCCCCCGTATATTCTGACTTGCTGGTAGAGACCAAAGCCGAACGAATTCTGGCAAAAATAGCCATCCGATATAGAGGTACTGTAGTATTTTGTGCGGGTAAGATTTCAAGATTAGCTTCCGCGGAGCCCAGGCTTATGCCACAATTGGAGCTGGAGCCGAGGCCGGCTTTGAGGGCTCATCCTTGGTCTCGTACTTAGTACGGACCTTGGGAAGGGATCATCCCGGGCCGTATCATGGGTCTATGCTGAACTTGTGCTACGTACTGTACTTTGTGGTAGCACTTGCACACATACTAGTGGCGCACCAATAAGGTTGAGGTTGCTCGTTCCCCGTTGCAAACTTGTGCGGGGGGTAACAATGTGGGACAGATCCGAGGCTAATAATAAAGACTCGAAGCAGAGTCGTAAACTCCTTTGTTGTTTAAAATCTTCGACACTCGTGACTGTGGCTATTTCTCTGGTGTCGCCTAGGAATAACAAGGATATACCCATTGTTTAGTGGTGATAGGGCTTGTAGATCTCGACGGTGTCGAGACTCTCCGTTCCGTTCTTGCGAGTCATTGCCCAATACCGCTTCACATGCCCCACATCCAAAGTTCCCAAACCTCAAATCTTGGCTCCGGATTGATGTGCGAAGGAGATTTTGTCCGAATAAGTAGCTTGACCCGTGTGAGCTGTTGTGGGTATAGTACCGGTATATACTTTGTTCGTGGTACCCGTAACTCATGCTATTATTGCTGTTTTGCGTAGCTGGCAATCCTGTCCTCCACGTTTTCCAAACTTCATCCGACGCTGGCTGTTGAGACACCAGATGGTAGAAGTTAGAAATAGCGAGATCAAGTGTCATGGTCTGTAGCTTTTGTCCGAAGCCTCTTCCCCTGCCCTTCTCCCCCTTTACTCCGGAATATCAGTATTAGCCCAGCTTCAACCCCACAATGCCTCATATTCCCTCAACACTGTAGCCCACGTGCTTCCTCCGTGCTGCGTACTACTGACTAGAGCAACGGTCTTCCGCTACAGAAACTCCCGCTAGCCACAGACGTGCCTGTTCTGCCCCATACTCTGTCCAGTTTAGAGTGGAGTCTGTCCTGTCTGGACTTCGTGAGATCGTCGTGACCGAGGAGACGCCAGCAAGAAGGGAGAGCAGTGAGCATGGCACTTAGATTGGGGCAGATTCGAGATATCAACGTCCCTCTGGCGCCTGACCTGTTGCCCAGCTTCAGCTTTTGCCGTATCCTCTCTTTGCCTCTCTCTCCGCAATTCTGTAGTTCACTTACTATACGCAGTAGTACTCACCAAAGTATTACTGTATTACCCACCTCGAGCCGAGACGCAAACAACCCTGAGCTAATGCCAATTTTCGGTGCACGACGGTCCGGCCATGGTCATTCGAGTGCTGCTATTGGACTCCTGGACGACTCCCCTCCCTCCTCCCATGCTCCCCTAGAGCTCGGCTGGATCGCTCACTTGATCTGTTCAAAGCAGCTCCAACGCCGGCCTGGATAATATCCAGACCGACAGTGCCTTCTCGAGCTCTCCAGCTACAATTGCGATTCCCCAGGCCTCAAGCGCATCTCCTTTGACGACGTCCGCCGTGATGGTCTGCGCCTTTGCCGCGATCGTCCTTTATGATGTAGCCGTTTCCTTTGCTGGTTCACCCCCACGCTTTGGATCAATCTCGCCTGGCGCCGTCTCGAAATCCCCATGATGTCTGTGAGACCGCAGGTGGGCATCGAACGACTCCCCGCGCGGCGCATGAGCAACGAGCCACGAGAATCAATGAATTGCAAGTCGTGTCGCACGCGGAAGGTTGGTGCATCGATAGAAGGAAATTATCCGCGTGTCTAAACAATTTTCCAGATCAAGTGTAATCGTCTGCGCCCGACCTGCGAAGCGTGTCAAGTCTTCCAATGCTCGTGTATATATGGTGCGTATAGTTCCAATTGATGGCGGTGCTCGCGCTGATGGAACGTCATGACAGACGCTGTCCCTAAGAAGAGAGGGCCGAAGACGGATGTGTTAGAGGCATTATTGAAGAGGGTCGATGGATTGGAAAGGAAGTTGAAAGACGAGACGAAGTCATCCGCAAATGATCGGACACCCAGGCCAGACAAACAAAATCCAACTCAAGACCCCAAGGTTCAACTCGACACCAACAATGCTAGAGCAGAACCGGCCGTCTTCTCACCTATAACAGTCAGGTCAGTAGATGTAACGACGAGAAAACATGAGCAGCGACTAACCGAATTTGTATAGCGAACCTTCCCCGGTGGTACAACATGAGCTTCTTATCGACACATATTTTTCACGATGCCACGGCAAACCCTACTATATCCTCGACGAAACGCCGACACGACAACGAATACAGTTTGACCAACTGCCTCCCTATCTTCTTCATGCCATCTGTGCGGTCAGCGCTAGGTGAGTAATAGACGCGTTGGTTTGAACACAACTAATAGTTCTAGATATACCGCCCACCCCAATGGATATCATGCTGCGGTCAGGTCGAGCGAGGACTACGCCTTGCGGGCAAGGGCGGAGCTGGACATCGACGACCCATCTATCGACTGTTTACAAGCCCTTTTATTACTGGCGATGGCGTTTACTGCGGCTGGCAAAGGGAAGAAAGCCTTCATGATGCTAGGTACGTGTAATCGGGCTAGTTTTTGTTCAATTTACTGATTGGAATAGCGAGTGGCATCGGTATGGCTGTGGCTCTAGAATTACATCGGGAATCTGACAATAAAACCGGACTTCATGCTGCCGAGAAGGAAATGAGAAGGAGGCTATTCTGGACATGCTATGTGATGGATCGATTTGCTGCCTGTGGTTCAAAACGGCCTTCTCTATTAGCGGATAAGTCGATTCAAGTAAGGCTCCTTGCCTGGTCACCAAGTCCCACGGCACCCCTAGTCGAAGGAGAGTTCTTCCAAAACGGTTCAAATCTCCAGTATTATGGTGGATCTGGAAAGAAATGTCAAGGCAGCAGCGGTATGTTGATTGACATCGTGCGGATTCTGGGCAACACGAATCGATATCTTGCAGCCGGCGGGGTTAAAGGAGACAGCCATTTCCCTTGGCATTCGCTCTCCAATTTGTCGAAAATACGGCAGGACCTCGATGTCTGGGCGTCTGGGACCCAAGAAGTCTTCTCTTCTGTCGAGAACCTTTTCGGCCAACCCGATAGTACGAATCTTGTTCTTAGCAAGCTGGTTTATCATCTTATCCATTCCCTCATATACCGCCCATTCCTCCCTATTGACCTGGTCGAGCTTGCTGGAACTGGCCAGCACCAATCTTGGCAAATTGAAGCTACAAACCTCTGCTTTCTGCACGCAAATGCCATTGCAGAGCTTGTAGAGCTGGGTAGGGTTTAACCTCACTTTATATCGCTTCCACGCTAATCTCTTGCGAATAGGTAAGCAGTCTCAGTCCGTCGAGTGGCCCGCCTTTGTAGGCTACTGTATATGTACGGCAGGTACAGTTCATGTCCATGGTTCACATTATCGGGGTAGCTTTGAAGGGGAAGTGTTTTCTGCCTCAGCCGAGTTTTTATCTAGAGAGATGAAACAGCTATCAGAGCTGAGATATGCATGGTCGTCTGTCCAACACCAACGAGAGACCCTACAAACCATGTATAGCCGCCATTCGGAACTAGTTAACTCCCTTGCCAGCAATCCAATGCGTTACAGCCCCGTCTTCCACCTAGAAGACTTTTTCGATCGCTACAATGATCTTGGCCAGTCATTTGATGGAGCGCACATATCCTTTGCCGATATCCTTGTTGACCCAGGCCAAGAAACGTATTCTGGGCATGGTCTGTATGCGCCCAGGACCGATGGTAAAGCGTCAGATCCACCACCTATAAGGCAAGGCACAAAACGCAAATCCTTCTCCTCACGCCGGAAGCACATCGATCTTAAAGTCGCCCATCGAAATTCTCACTCCGAAGCCTCATTCATGTCGCCAAATGGCATGAATGAACCCGCTACTACCGCAGGGCAATCGGAAAATAGCCCCAATTCCGGGCTCACGCAACAGCAACAATCTTTGCTTGATCCATCTCCCTTAACGCCGTTTCCTCCGAATTCGGCACTCACACCTAATCTATCACGCACACCATTTTCACCACCATATACATTTAATTCATTGAATCCGGCCGACACTTACGACCCGATGTTTGGAATACCCCAGATGGGCTTCGGGTACGGAAATGGAATTGGAAATAACAACATGAACGAGGGGATAACTCCTGGCACAACGAGTACCGGGGAGAGCACAGGCACAGCGGGTACCAGCAACGAGGAGAAAGACCCATTCCTGAGTTTGCTAGAGCAACTAGCGGAGAATGAGCACAGTAGAGGAGGGCCAAGTGAACTAGACTTCTTTCTAAGCGGGGGCAATGGTTAGACATATCTAGCCAATTACAAATGGCATCGCTTTGATAAACTAACGTGTCTGTGGTCCCACGAGGGTTGGGTCGAAATCCCATTGAAGGATCCTAGCTTAAATATCATATCATGTAGCAAAATTCAGAGAATTTCAGAGATACTTGTATTAATCATGATCAACTCTTTCTTGCTTTCCTAATACACCAAAATCTAGTCATTGGATGTGTGCGAATTAAGTTAGGCAAAAAGTTCGACTAAGACGGCTTAAATTTGAACGTACCCGGCCAAGTTCAGGTTCGATTTGGTTCGTTGGGAGATATATTTCAACACCGTAATGCCGTACCTAGTCATATTCTCTGTAAAGTTAATCCGCCTCCGTCGTCCTGTCCACTGGTGTCTCATCCGGCTCTAACTACGATTTCACCACTACAGCATGCGCATCATTATCCGAGGATGGGAATTGTCTAGTATCCGTGGGAAAGCTCTTCAGATAGGTGATACCCTGACTAAGTTTATATACTTCTCAAACAGGATATTCCCTTCTGGTCTCTCTCCTATTTTGTCTAAATTTCCGCCAAATTTTCAAACCCTTACTCTGGTCTGGTTCGGATTTCGTCCCCTCCGTTAACTCTCCCCTACTTTCACTCATCCCAAATTTTAACGTGTTAGTGGCTGTAGCCTGCAGCGGCGGTTGCAGCGGCGAACTCAGCTCTATCGGGACAGTATCCCCCATCTCATTGTCAACATTCCTCGAGCCAACTCTGGCGTCAGCGCCGCCAGAGGATTGAATCGATGGAGTTTTCTGTCTAAGCGAAGCAGTTTTCCTCGGAATAGGCATAGTATCCAGCACTGGATGATTTCTCTTTCTAGTATACTGGCTTGTTCTCTCCCGAATACCTTCCGCGGCAGTCATAGATCTATTCTCTATTCTCTTTGGCGGCCCGTCTGAATCCCAATCGCTGCTCGTGCCATCATCACCACGGCTCTTAGGACCTGGGGCTGGCTGCTTCCGCCGTGCAATCCAGAACCAGATACGGACGACCATCTGGCGGACATCATTGCGCCAGAAGTACATGCCACGACTCGTATTCATTGAGCCGATGAGAAGAAAGAAGGGCACACAGACGGTCGCCATAACAATGCCGAATCGCCAGAAACGTTCTTCAGTGGGCATGTTGGTCATCCCAAAGACAGAGGTGACAAATGTGAGAGGTAGGAAGAACAGATTGACTAGGGTCAGCAGCTTGATGTTTTGTCCTTGCTGTACCGTGATTTCGGTCTGTTCAACTGATTTTCGGGACTCAAGGACAGACGTTCCGCTGAAGAGATTGTCGCGGAGTTCTCGGATTTCCTTCCTCAATACTTCGTTATCTTTAACAAGGGCTTTCAGCCTGCCGATTTCACACTCGTAGTCTGTCCTTAATGAAGCCAATCGCTTCTTCCAATATGCATTGCGAGGGGTATCCTCATCGTTCAGCGGCCAGAGCGTGTGGTGGCGGCCTTCCCAGACAGTGTCGGTGAACGTGCTCTCATAAGCATCAATCATAGCCTTGATGCTATGGTTCATAGTGCCAAGTGTTTGGAAAGCCCAGAAGTAGCGTCGTGAGTAAGTGAAATCCTTGTCCTCGAAGAGAAGCTTATCTCGTAAGTCGCCATTGAACATAAAATCGGCCTAAGGAAGTAGTCAGCACGTGTACTAATGTTGTCACCTAGATTGAGCTTGAGAAAACGCGAAAAAGGTTCGGCCTTCAAAATGTCACAGTTGGCATCTTAGAGGCATTGCAAAGTTCTCACGTACTGGAGGTGTGACAAGCGTGCTTATACGTTGGCATATTTCATCAATCCGCTTATGCGCATCTTTATACTCAACAAGAAGAGTATTCAAGAATGCCTCTGGGCCATTAACATAATGTTTCGTGCTGTCATGGCTTCCTGTATGGCTTTTCCAATCGGGATAACATTGAATATTCAATACGTGCCAGGGAGCCCAAGGACTATAGATGTATCCATACTGCGTCTTCGCTCTTCTCGCACTATTCTTGACTTTGCGAATCGGTTCGCCGATGAGAGCAAGGGCCACGACTGAGCTGCACCGGGTGATAGGGATATGACCATCATGGCGCTTACGGGCCCGGTCAGTTTGTTGCCAGGACATGGGACTACACTCTTCGCCTATGATGGTGAAATATTCGAAGGAGAAGACGAAGGATTTTTGCTTTCTGGGATCTTCGTGGAAGGCTCGCTTCATGTACGCCTTTGCTAGCCTGATAAGCTTCAACGGGATATAATCGGGTTTACAGGTCACCATACCATCGTGGTATCTTGCTGAACTAGGAGTTGGAATATCTTATCCATATCAAATATTTCATTCATGACTAGATGGATAATCCCAAATGCAACCGGGGATGGTTCTCGAAGGATACTACAGAAGGTTAGAATAACTAGGACTGCTCAAGTAGGAGTGTTTAACACATACATGATTCGACCAATGGCTCGTCTTTGCCGTGTATTCTCAACATTGATGTCCTATACTCATATTTTAGAATCGGATGAGTGAGTCGTCAATGCACATGATATACCTTGATAAGATGCCACAAAACCTGATCTTTCGACATATCCTCAAAGGCCGAAGTACCAGTATGCAAGGACAAGGGAGTTCCATCATTACCAACATCAAAAACTTGATAAAGTGAGTAATGGGAGCCAGCCTCATTCAAATCATGGTCAGCCGGGAATAGATTCGGAAGTTTTAATCGGCCTGTTCCTGTAAAGAGAGATCTTAAGATTTGCCGGGAATATGCATCCCACTTATAACTCTTTAGGTGGTTCCGTAAGTGCTCATCGTCGAAGGACGTCGTGGGCAAAAGATCCTGCACATAGAGCGCTTCATCTTCATCACTTGCATCCTCACCGTCACCCTCTCCCGAGACGAAGGTCGATTTCAAAGGCGAGGCGCCAGACCCCGAGCTTCTAGAATCACCCTCACTAAGAAGTGCTACTCTATTTGGGCGAGGGGATGGCGACAATGTTAGCACTGGTGGTGTTGTTGTTGTCACAGTCGGCCGCAAGACTGCTGCGCTAGATGATACAACGGCATTTGCGAGAGCCTCGTGCACCTGCTGGAGAGTCGCGAGATAAGCATCGCGTTCTGCATCAAGCTTTTTGAGGAGTTCCGCAGTATCCATTATCACTACTTTCGGTAGCCATGCCAGGCTGCGTGTCCAAGAGATGGATCGAAAAAGTCTGTTTTAGCGGTAAGTAAGATAGATGGGGTTAATTTCCTCTGTTGTGGTATTTGTTGCCTGGGAGCACTGCCACTGCCCAGACATTGAGCCACCAGGGCCTGCACAGGCCACGCGAGATGGTCTCCGGGTTTGCGCTATTTGCATAACGGAAATAAGGTAACTATATATTAACTGGTACACTAAACATAAATGCGAACACTATACTTCACTATAGAACTTAAATAATCTATGCCCAGGGGGAAAGGGTTGCCTGAAGAGCATATAAAAATGTTGAGATAGGTTGGGTTTCGGTTTTGAGAGAGGACATGAAGCGAACTTAGACCTATGGTCTCCCTTGTAAAATGGACCCAAGGTGTATAGGTGGATTTGCTTGATGTAATTTAAGAAAAGCCAAATCTAATTAGACTTATTATCGAATATGAAAATGTCTTTCGTTTTTCAATATACCACACAGTCTGTATGCTTTTCTCACCAAATCAAACGCGTATCAATAACTAAAACATAATCACGACTACTTCTGCCTCTCATCAATGAACTTATGAGAAATCTCCCCTACTGCAAGGGTTAGAGCGCGGGTATAATATTCTTCCACGTGGGATTGGGCGACGGTTGTGAGCATCAACTATTGGAGAAGATTCGTGGACAAACAACTGAAGTACATCGAACGCGAATTCCGGTATATTCTCCAGCACGGTTCGCAAGTTCTCAATATTGTCGGCATCTTCCATTATAGCTCGGAGTTCCTTTCTAGCATATCTGATAGTAGCGGGCCAAAGACGGTTAGCTAGTATTAGTTATGAGTAGACGAGTGGCATGATGGATAGGTGTGCGTTGGGTGAGATTCGACATTTAAGAGTGGATTTAAACCTCTCTACTGCGAGTTCCACTAAAGGCCACACATCATACTTATCGGCCAATTTGAATGTTTGTGCGTGGGCCAACAATCTTGGATACTGCTTTTCCTTCCGACTAACCAACTCCTTGTATTCGCCGGTATAGAAGTAATATAGCATTACTTCGACAGCGAGAGGATCATCATCTTCGAGGTTAATGACACCGGTGTGTGCCTCCTATGAAGAGTAAGCTGTATGTTACATGGTGAATTCGAGATTAAAGGTAAACTGACATATAGCCTTGCTATCTAACATGGCATCCTCCGTGAGCCTTGTCGTGCATCTTTCTAGAAAAATCTGGCTCCTCTCTGTTCTAGAATGCAATCTCCATCAAAGGCTTAGGAAGTCATTGCCCCGATCAACTCGACGGGCTATCCAGACCTTGCTGCTACCCCTGGACTCTATCGAGTGCTTTGGACTAGTAAAACGGTCGGGCATCTTCCTAAGAGGACATCGCAAAGAAATTCACTTCTCGCAGAATTGAAAACAGCTCGCTTATTGCTTTCGTAGGAGTATAAACAAGTCTTTCGCGCTCCTACGGCTTCTTCTTTCTTCTAAGTCTCTTCCCCGCGCGCCACATCATCCCAAGGCGCGTCCAACACAGCTTCGCCTTCACCTTCCAAGTTCCACCTTTGCCTTTCTTCTGCCAACATGACTCCACTCCTTCATAAAGACGTGGCAGATCGCCGGCCAAAGCTTGACCCGGAGCCAGGAGTTGTCACCCTTGGCGATCTCACGGATGACAAGCACAAACAACACTGCATATCTGACCACGCTCTCGGTATGGTGTACGTCGCCATCCACGGGGGAAGGCTGAGCAAGAAGAAGGCCGATATGTTCGAGACCTGCTTTGTGCGGGGCGTGAAAATCCGCAAACTCCACGTTCCCCATGGCCGCCCCTGCCTCGATCCGGATGGTCGCGCCTTGCTACTCGATGACAACACGGGTCGTGCTCTGACTGGCGGCGCTGAGAATGGAAATGTGCTGACTAGCCAGTATACCGTTCGCACTGTTAGTAGCCACCCAAGATATAAAAAATGGCTTGGCTATCTTCTTCACGGGAAACATTTCGAGCGTGTCAGTGTTGAAGACAACGCCAGAGTTGAAGACGACGACAGTGTTGAAGACAACGCCAGTGATGTTGCAGATGCTGGGGGTAGCGACAGCGAGAGCGGGGGGGATATACCGCATGCAGATTTACAAGAATTTGGATTCCAGTATATGAATAGACCAATGGCCCGTCGCCTAACAAATCTGCTCAAACCATACTTGTAAAGCAGAAAGATTCATATTCTATGTTAATATTGTTTGCTACTAGCACACAATAGACGAAATGACACACTCGTGGACGAAGAAATAAATTAAGCATAAGTACTTTGGCCTTAGATGTGAAAGCATACGAACGACTTCAGTGCTCAAGATTGAAATATCTCAAAAGCTCAATCCATTTCGGATCGTATCGAAACTTTCAAATGGCTGTCACTCTGGCGCATGAGAGCATGTTTCATGCGAATTGGACCTTGTTCCACCAATAAGCAAGTGGGTTACTCGGCCTGAACATACGAAAAGCCATTTTCGAACTAGCCAAGTGCTGCTCGCTGCTTGGATCAGATATTGCTGCCCAAAGTCCAACTTCCCATGCACCATCGCCTAATAGCAAACGATCAGAAAATATAGGAAAACTCTGTTACTCAATGACATATTAAAATTGCTATTTTGTAGGCGGGGTATCGAGGAGATTCCCGTCTTTCTCGGCTCCGACGTCTCTCAGTGGCCATTACTGGATTTGTCCCCTACGCATAGACGCCTTAGAAAGGGCAAGCATTTCCGAATAATTCACCGGGAAGCTTCGACTTGAAGACAGACATTCGTTATACGTTTATTAAATCAATACCTTCTAATACTTCAAAAGATGCAACATATTACTTAGTTTGACAAGTCAACTATGGAGGGTCCGGTTTTCGACAAGAAGCTCTGTTTTCACGAGAAATATCGATCGTGAGGCGATTGGTGCGAATGGCGAGTATACAACTGCTCTAGACACGGGAGTGTGCTTGTGTTCGTTGCAGTAGTGACAGGCTATGCCTGTTGAGAATGTTAGTTCCTGGTTCTTTTGGCCTATACAACTTAGGGTTGAATCCAGGATACTGAGTAAGATGTATCTCTGTTGGCAGGTATTTTCTGATACCAACCTAAAAAGACTGTACCACCGTTAATGAACTTTCGTGTCGCAATCTGCCAGGCTTGCGTAAAGTGAGGCGTGGTTCAACTGAAACCAGAAAGTTGTGTTCAATGCCAGCTAGACCATATAGATATAAAAGTGCATCAAGTGCAAGGGAGTCGAGACTGCTGAGACTGCTAACGAAACGAAACGCGGGGCCAACCCCAATCCATCTCAATGCCGAATGCAGGAGTTATCACCACGTGACTGGGCCCAATTCCAAGCCGTCCGCCTCACCTTTTACTAAGTATTGCCACTATAAAGCTATTGAATGAGAGGTTCGGATGCCAATAATACCGGAATGTCGCCATTATGCCGGAAGCGAGTGCCAACTTTTCGAGATGGTGGCGCGTTTGTGTCGCGGGGCATTTCACCCCCTTTCGCAAGGCGACGACGACGGGCGTCAGAGAATGCCGTGAACCGTCCGCGTACCGTAAATCCCACACGGACGGGTCTGTGGCACTGTGAGATGCGAAAAGGGGCGGTCTGATAGCCTGGAAGTGAGACGGCGGACGGGATTTCCGGGCGGAGGACTCAATGGCATCCCATCGATCTTGACAATGGCAATAGATTTGGGGGTCGATCCGACGGCTCCCTTACGTACCTCTCTGTGTATGGAGCATCCTCTTTGCGTCCCACGGTTCCTCCCGAGACGTGCCTGGTGGATGCCGGGAGCGATCAACAATCATGGAATGCCGGAGGTTCATGACTTGCGTCTACGCCCGACCAGCATGTTCAGCCAGTTGTGTCGAGTCGAGATATTCTTCGGATGCCCAAAGGGAGGGTGGTTGCAGAGCAGCGTGCCTGCAGTCTTGATTCTGCACCTGGGGGAGCTGACGCTCTGTGATTGGCGAGGAATTTGTCGCTGATCAATGATTCGGGCGTCGAAGCAGAAACAGGTATCTATTGCGCATCTAATAAGATGAGAAGCTGATACAGACTGTCGGGAGGGTCGGTTGTTTCTGAAGTTGAGGCTATCACTGCTGGATGAGGGACACCTCAAGGAAGGGATAGCGCTTCCTATATAAGCTCATCAATACGGAGGTGCCTACGAAGTAGAGGGCCGTGGTCTGTGTGGGCTAGGGTAAGAGGTAAGGGGAAAAGGGGGGGGGGGAACTTGTGACTTGAGTTCAACATGAGGCTGCAGAGTTGCGATGCTGCATACCCCCAGATGCGTGAATCGTGATTTGATGCTCGATGTCCGATGCCAGCACACAATAAGATGTCAAGTAACCTAAAGCTGCTGCATAATCGGCATGGGTGACTTATCTTTACCTTAGATACCTTGGTAAGTAATAAATAAAGCAGTAAAAGAGTAGTAAAAGGTTAAAATAGCGTATAATGATGCAAGTATATAAATCGCCACTTAACCTTCGACAGCGCTCGCCGCTCAATGTGTTGGCGACGGCGAGACTATTGGTACACGACAGCCCGCCGCGCAGAATCGCCCCAGAACGTTTGATCGAAGGGCGCGGTCTCATATCCGACCTCCGCTGCACCGGAATGAGAGTCCAATGCATCATAATCTTGTTATTAGATTTATGACGCAGTGGCCAAGTGGAGTGACTGAAGTGGCTGGCTGTAACAGCTTGCCATGGCCTTGGTCGAGGAAGGATCCCCGGTAAGGATGAGGTTACGAGTTGAGGCGGATGATGGGATGATAATAATTAATCGGATGCACTTGTATGGCGTGGATATTGAGAATGGCGCATTGCTGTCAATTTGCTGACGTCTTACAGTTGAAATAGGGGGTATAGGTCGGGATGGAGAAAGTATAGCATATGCTAAGGTACCTACGTATAGATCGGAGTTCACCGATTGTAGTACAGTACATAGCACTAAAATAGATACATAAGATACCCAAGATAACAAATACTATGCACTTACGTAGGAGCTACTTCGTACAGATACCCGGTCCTTGTATATCTATCCGTCATCCTATGTACCAAGTACACCTCACATCCTATATCCCACCCATCTGCCGGGCAAGAAATTAAAACCCAAGACCCGCGACTCACGTTTTACTATACATTGCAACAATCAATTCGCGGAAAACCCACTCCCTCCCTTCATGCCGCCCCCAATATTATATTTAGATTATAGCATTAAGCTTATTTCTGCTTGGAATATCATCTCGCTCCCTTCTCCTGTAAGTCCCTAGCTTCTTACTTACGCCACTCCCGGGCCCCCCTGGCCGGAGCTGCTACCAAATCCACGGTACGACGCTCTCGCCTCTCGCCTCTCGCCTCTCGAGCACTCCGTGCCTCCGCGGTCGTCGCAATGTCGCATATTGACATTCCTCCTCTAGCTGCAATAATCAGCGGTTGGGATCGCATTTGCCTCAATTTTACTTTGCGACGGGGTTGAGTGGATGGTGGTCAAGGCACGCCCCCTGCGCTTGCTATTATTCTTGTCTCATATTGTGCATACTCCTCCTTTGTATTGCTGTTGCCGTCCATTTCCATTTCCATTCCATTTCCATATTTCATTTTCCATATGCTATGCTCTAGCTCGAGTCCCCCAAACACAAAAACAAAAACAAATTCCGGCGATCTCGCTCTCTCTTTCTTTCTTTCTCTCTTTTCCTCTCGTTCGAGCTTTGTGGGCGTCTTTGACCCTTTCCAGTCCTTTCCGCATCCACGTCTGCAACTTCCTTCGCTGTACAACATAGAAAGAATAGTGGGCGGACGGCACTTCGTAGTCGGCTTCAGGCGGTGAATTAGCGCTAGCAATTGGCATTCGCATTAGCATTAGCATCAAATAGGATCCAAGGGAGACCCGGGCAGAGGCTCGACAGGCAAGGAGACGGAGCAAATAGGTGAGTCGCACGCGTTCGCTTGCATCAGCGCAAACACATATCTCTTTCATCGTTGGCGGGTACCCGTGGATCCTCGAGCCATTCCCTCACAGCTCGAGATGTTGTGGTACAGCTGCTGTACCTTCCCGCACGCCCAACCACGAGATCCATCGAACCCGAGCACAGAGCCAGTTCCTCGTGTTTGTTTCTGAAGATCGGCGCTGATATCTATGGCCCCCAGTTCGACCGGTCGTTCCTGCCAACTGCTGCAAATCCGAGCACTGTCCTATTCAGGATCTCGTGCCAACGCTGGTGCCGAAATCATCTGACGACGTTCTTTGGCGGTAAGAGGACGTTCCGCGGCACCTGGCCTGGGAGGATTGGCAAAAATGGAGTCGGATGGGGGGAAAAGGGAGCGAGGGAACAGCAACAGATTCGCTACGACCAACGGCCGACCTAACCCTCCAAATAATGACGGCGGAAACATCGCAAATTCGCCAGGACGACCTGAGTCGCCAGAAAATAATGATGGGGAGGCGATGGATAGTTCACAGGTGGACGAGTCCAGGCCGCAGGGCATAGATATGCTGGGAGATTCGCAGGAGCAGGTCTATGGCATCCAGAGCGAGAAGAACCAAGAATTTGCGAACTGCCCGCCGCGGGACGATTGCCTGTTCCAGTGCAATTCGAAACCCTACTCTGAGAGCACGTCGAGGCAAGGTGCGATATTGGAACCTCCCGTGACCAAGGCGACTCTGAGCGAGTTGGATGTTACCAAGATTGTCCACAACCCAAAGCTGCGACATGATATCAATTTCGACCCGGATTTACACTTTAGACCGAACCTCGACGGTGAGAAGGGGCGGAGGAAGACACAAAAAGCGAATCACTTTTGGGAGACGTTGCGAGAACAACTTTTGCAGTATCTCCAAAACCGTGATCAGTTCGAGGCCCAACTGGGGAATACAGAATGGGCCCTGCCTACAACCTTGAAAGCCATTCGAGGCATCCTTGAAACTCTAGTTCCTCAGCGAGATCGCGCATCTGTGGAGGAGACATTTAATGTGGATTTATTGATGCAGCAGTTCCGAATGGGAGTTGCAGATCTTCTCAAGCTAGCCACATGGCTGTGCCAGCTTCTGAAGTGCCACTGTGCTCCGATGAGGGATGACTGGGTGGATGAGATGGTGACGCAGTTGAGTAACGGGCAGCGAAATGGTGATGTAGATTTGTTGGGCGCCGGTATGCGAAACCTGCTGGGCGTTCTTGAAGCCATGAAACTTGTAAGCTTCAGTCAACCCCACCTCTTTGGCACGGTTTAGTATTCCAAACTAACTGGGCATTAGGATGTGGCTAACCACCAAATTCGATGTCTACGGCCGCTTCTTATCGAAGATACAGTCCACTTTGAACAGAAGTTTTTCATGAAGAAGATTGCGATGCGAAAAGTTGCGGTTGCTGGAGCTCATGCGTGGTATACGGCAGCGAGGAGCTTGCCCGATACTGTCCCCTTGGACACATCACTGCACTTGCAAGGCAGTATGGTGACTTTCATGAAAGCTCTGGTCAACCTGACACTACCATCACGAGCAGAGGCCATTCCACATACCTTTCTCTTCGATGAAGAGCGCTTGATCAAGCTCCGTTCAGATGTGCTAGACTTGACAAACTTCGAGATATTAATGCATCTCTTCCGGAGTCTCGAGGCCCAAAACAAACGCGAGACCAGACATGCCACCCTCGACGACACGCCAACGATGTCCTTTACATCATCGCCTTTCTATCGACCTGCGTCTCCAGCGGACGACACCATGCTTTCCTCCCCAACGATTCCCTTGCCCCATCACTTCACGTCTCGACCTAAACATGTCGCACAAGAGTGTGGCCACTTCATCCGCACGGTAACTGGTAAACAAGTTTGGGTACCCAGCGTCGACAATGACGTCGCTAGTTCATCAACAGGTTCCAGCCCACAATCCTCACCATCTTCTACTGCATCAACCCCAGAGACAAACCCCCCAACACCATTATACCTCTCTCACCCCGTTCCCGAGTCAGCTACTCAGGCGCGAGTTTCCTTCCAGGCCATCCTATCCTCTCTCGGCACAGCCGACAAATGGAACACCCTCTCCCCATCACTCGCTCTCGAGACTCTCCGCTTAACAAACACTCCACTTAACCGACTTCCACATTTCGAATCACATCTCGCATTCCACATCTCAAACCCTGCCTCACGACTATATCAAGAAGCCGAATTACATGTTCTCTCGCAGCTGTTCCCCGTTCTGCAAAGGCTCGTAGCTACGTTCCATCCTTTAACAAGCCTGCAGATTTTCGAAGCTGCTACTAGCCCGAAGTCAGGACCTGGTCGGGCTAGGCCCCAAAGCAATGTCGCAAAGGACGAGATCACGGATGTTGCCACTAGGGTTGCACATATTGGGGTCTTGCACTGGAGAGTTTGGGCCCCATTGGCTTACCTTGTCGATCCAGATGAGGAGGGCGCGGGCGATGCTTTGATTTGAACTTATCTTTGAATATTGGAGTCTTTGATACCGTTCAGTCAGCAAGTAATAAGTGCCGAGCCGAGAGGGTGGAGGCTATTAGCAATCCTAGCTCACCCTGGTAGAGAGATCTCGTTCTGAACGAGATAGATGGAAGTTGACGCTGAAGGCGAATACTATTACTCCAAACACCACTCTGCGGGGAGACACCCGAGAAACTACACGTTGCGCAACATTCAAGTGCACACGCCACTCCCTTATACCCAACATTTCCTTAAGCCACGGATCACATCTCCGGTTGCTTTGCTTTTTGCTTTTTTCCTTTGCAGTTTCGTTGTTTACCAAATTAGATACCCCCCTCCCCTTCCACATGTGTTGGAGGAACACACATACTTGTATACAGGATAGAATGATAACCCCGCGTGGTTTTTTTTATTTTTACATGGTTGAAATTTTCAATTTGGAATTTTTACAGTCCCTAAGGAACCACATAACTAAGGAACACGCACGCGCACACGCATATCTTTGCAGAAACATACCTAAGTTTAACAGTATTAGGTTGTTTCTCTCCCCCCCCCCCCTCGGCTTTATCATAAGGTTTTAATTGCTTCTTCGGAGGTTTTATTGTTTGCTTTTCTTTCTCTTTTTAAAAACGGGTTATCGAGGGGCATGGTGTGGAATTAAGGAACTTGGGGGAAATCCGATTATCATGGACACCCCGCTTTTATAGCTAGCTATTGGGGACAGCCAGAGCTAGGTTATCCCAGCTTAGCAAATTTTGAAAAAAGCCTGTTCTTAAAAATACATTTTTGTCTATTAAGTCGCCGGTGGATCTGGACGTGATGAGAGATGCATGCTGCCTGCGTAGGGGTTTTTGTTAAGACGCCGCATAACAATCATTCGGATTCTCAAACTCTAGTAATCTCCAAACTTGTCTCGAAGTCCAGGAGAACCACCTACGTAAGCTTATAATATTACTATTATACTTATTATTAACTAAGAACATTATTGTAACATAGGGGGGTGCTTATAATTTCAAGGCTGGAGTAAATATAATAACTCGGTTTATTTGATTACTACAGGATAAGCTAGAAAAATGCAACGAGAGTATTGTATAGTTCGCACCCCCTAGATACAGGTTTTATTTACGGTAGTAAATAAAAGACACGCCTACCTATAATCGGTATGTATTTCGAAGGTAACCCTCTTTAATAGAATTTCCACGGTATTTCGACGTACTAGGAATATATACATTACGTCTTACGTTTTATCTCGCATCTGGATTAAAGAAGGGAACTCGTGAGTAATTGAGCGAGTGAGCGATATATCGGTAGAAATTTAGGGGTTGAGCTTATTGCCTAGTTATACGTATATACGTATGCAACTACGTTTTCTACTAATACCAAATGAAGCGAAGCAAATCATGGGGGCATAGAAACAAAAGACAATACTAGTTTAGTAGAGCGTATAGGTATGTAATATTTAATAGCTCTCTCCCTATTAAACTCCTCTCCCGCACACCAAAATATCTCGCAGCAGGCTTTTTTCGCTGGCTCTCGCAATAACATACATATCAGGCCTCAATATCAAAAGAGAAAGGAAAAAGCACAAGTTCACCCGCTCGAATCTCAAAAAAAAGTAGTTCTCAAATCCCCCCCGACTTTGCATGATTATTTTCAGGTAGAGAATGCAAAAACAAAGTAGAGGGGAGAAAAGTTGCTGGGTCATAATCTTTCGTAATATCCGTCAATCCATCAATCATTTACCAAGCTTTTTAAAAAGATCGAGTATGTGTTCTCCTGCCGAGTGTGCTGAGCTCACTCGGGAAGAAAAGTATAAGCACGTAACAAGAAAGCTAGGTAGCCTATGTTATCCCCATCTCGTAACGTCCACTCCCTCGAAATGAATCGATGGTAATGGGTGGCGAGCCGAGTCCAGATAAATGCTAGCCAGTAGCATATATCCACAGTAAGGGTTTGTAATGTGCAGGAGTATGTAACCATCTGAATATTGTCAAATAAACGCCAATCCATTGCTGCTTGCCTCTAAATCAGAAAGTCTCCGATTCCTCGGTATTATTACTGGCAATGGTGCCAAATGTATCTGGTCTTCATTAGTACCCCATTCCCAATTCACGATCATGGAATTACGAACCTCTATTTTTGTTTCTTCGAATGACTGTTTCATCTCTATTCAACTCTCCACTCCGAGATGCGCTGGACATACTTCTCGGCCCTGTTGGCTTTCTCGTAGGGACACCACTCATATTGCCGGATAATTTCCTGGCTGCCGACCGCGGGGACCCGCCTCCCTCATAACTTGCGCCATAATTGGCGTCTCGCTCGACATTAAGATGCTCGTTACTCAGTGGACTCGGTTTCTGGAGCTTGCCGGTGCGGACTTTGGGTGGTCGCTGGGGGGCTAGGGGCTCTTTTGGTGGGCGCGCAGGAGCCTGGTTGGTCGCTGAGCCATCAGAGTAACCGCCATCCGATATTGGAGAGAGATTTCCACCGGTATTATTCGTGCCGGTGCTGTAGCGGTTTGTTTGCTGAGCTGGCAAGCGGTTGATGCTTGTCGACGAGCCCCAATCTAAGGATTTCGGCGACATCGGGGCGCCGTAGTGCTGCGCTTGTGATTCCAAGGCAGTTTGGTACCGATGAGTTGGGCCCTGGCGAGGTTGTGGGTGTTGTAGATTTAAAGAATTGCGATGTGCCTTGTACTTCGGATCCTCAGGGGGTAACAATGATTGAGGGGCTTCGTTTTCATTGTATTGCTCTTGCTCAATTTGCTCTTGAGAGAACCCAGTGTGAAGTTTGTCATCACCATACGGATCATGCTCAGCATAATGGTCAAGATCAGACCCAGACCTCGACGGCGGATTCTCAAATTGATCATCCTTAAGGTTCCTTCCACTGCTACGGCCGCTACTCCGGAACGGCCGGAAGACACTCGATGCAGTTGTCTCTGACCACCGAGAAACCTTGGGAATCCAACCAGAGGAGCTACTTGACTTATGCTTCTTGCTCTTATCTGTTCGTGGGGTATTCTCATTGCTCAGGGATGCAGGAGCGACATGCTGCTGTGGTGGAGTGCCCAAGGGCGCAGAGCCGCCGCGAGTAAATTCTTGAGTAGGAGTGAGCAGGCCATCTTGGCGGTCATATTGAGTGCTAAGAACAGCTTGATCGTGATGATCAGCCTCCTCCTCGTCCCCTTCGGGCACGGTGCTGATGCGGTGATCTGAGAACTTCCGGACGTCAAACCCTCTGGCTGCACTGGGACCTCGGGACCCAGGGATAGAAAGATGACCTGACTGGCTTGCATGGCTGGCAGTAGATGTGCCAGCATTCCCTTCAGGTTCATAGCCATGGTCGTTCTCGTAATTGCCTTCTTGGTGCAGCTCGCTAAATGATTCATTGTGAGGATCGGACCTAAGCCCTTGGGCTGCCTTCAACCCTTCGACCTCTCCTAGCAGCTGGACTAACATCTCCTCAATCTTGCCAAGGTCATTCGAGCTTCTCATACTAAGGCCCTTAAGGGCTCTTTGGAATACATTCCTCTTCTTGTTTCGGAGATCATCGAACATCTCATCCTGAGAAGTTTGCCGGAGAGAACGTGCACCGCTCGGCGGTAACGGCCTTGGTCCGTTGATAACCTTTTGGACGGACTTTTCTGTATTGCCCTTGACCTCTGTGATGATTTGGTCTTCCGTATCAGCTAACAGGCGTTTCATGTCTTCAAAAGAATTCCGCATTTCAGCTGCAGAGCGAACAAGTGTAACTAGGATCTCCGTGTCGCGTGCGCTGCGTTGGGCATCACGAACAGTGAGCTGTAAATAGTTAGTAAGTGTACTGTAAGGGGATGCCATAGATTCTTACATGATCCATCAGAGCAATGATGTCCTTCGACTGAATTCGATCAAGGCCATTTCCTGTGGCACTGTCATAGATGGGCGAACCCATGCCATGTGACATACCACTGAGATGTCGAGCATGTTTCGGGGTATAAAATGGGTCATTTCCAGCCAGATCGTCGACCGCACCTCCGATTTCTTGATCCATGAACCCAACGCCTTTGGCTCTCTGCTCTGGGGTGATGGCGCCAGGAGAGCGGGCATTGGGCGCAGATGACATATATCCCTCATCCTTTGGCAAAGGACCAGGACTTCCCATGGAATAGGCCATCTTGGGAGGGCCATACTCGTGACCAACACCTTGGAAGCCAGGTTGAGCTGACAGATTGGGATCAAGCGGTTCTCCGATGTTAGCAATGGGGCTCGTGCCTTCATATGGATTGGTAATGAGAGTGTCTCTCTTCCGGTCTCCTGAAGTCCTTGGCCAATCCTCGTCCTGATCGTGACTAACGTCTCTGGTATGGTTTGCAAGTGCAGCACCACCCGCTCCGATTGCGGCTCCAACAAGAGCAGCTTCAGCAGCCTTGAGATTTGCATCAGACTTTTGTTCTCGGGTCGCCATGCCGGTGTCCAATGTTGGCTGTGGAGGTGTCGGATGGCCTGGCCAGTGGTCCCTGGCTCCATCTTGCGATCCACCAATGGGCCCCTTGATAATAGATGGATTTGTAGTTACATCCGAGCCATCATCTCCATACCCGATCTCAGGCATGGGATTCTCCATGTCTGGAAGGCCGCTCGCACCCAGTTGGAGCTGCTCATGACTTGCTGCTTCGCTCAATGGAACGTCAATGCTATGACGCGGAGAGGGTATTTGCCCGTGTCCTTCCATGGCACGTTCTTTGAATGACTTTTGCAAAGGTGCACCTGTGTGCTCCTGTCGGTCCTCGTAATGGATGTTGTCGGCATCAGCCTCTTTATTTCTGCCCCTAAGAACAGCAGCTGCAGCCCCAGCGGCGATACCAGCCAATGCAGCGTTCCCAGCCGTGTGCCCCCCGGAATATTTGGGCATTGTTACTTTCCGTCCTTGGTCGTCAAGTTCGTACTCTGGATACTTCGATGGGCTATTTCGCTGGCTTGAGGTCCCTCTATCCGAGCCATCATACTCAACGCTCCCGTGCATACCGCGCTTCGTGGGGCTGTTGTCACGGCTAACAAAATGCCTCTCCGATCCTTCCTCAAATGAAGCATATGATCCTCGCCGGCCATCCTTAACATTGTTACCGGAATATCCAGATACCCCAGTAAGGTCTGAAGCGTTCACAAGTGATGCTACGGCTGATTCAACCCCTAGTGGAGTATGTACGTATTCAGCATTCTGCGCAACACCACGAACGTTCTGACCCGTCGCAACACGATCCATATCCATGCTGTCGTCGGTATAATTTGTCATATGCTTATAATCCATATGTGGATCCGAGCTACGGTAGCTTTCCGCATCTAGGTCACGGTTTCGATCGTTCTCTTTGTGTTGTTCCTCCCAGTACTCGCTATCTTGAGTAAGTTCGGATTCCGTGAGACCCCCTTGGCGAACATCCGGGAAATCGTGATGGTTGTTCACATTTCCTAATGAGTCGCGAGATTTCATGGAGACTCTGGGTGACTGTGCTTGGCCAGACTTGTTCAAGGAGGAATAAGAGCCGCCGGTGCTCTGCGTCAGTCTTGAAGATCGTTGTTGTTCAGGTTCGCCTTCGGTATAGCCCGAGACACTCGGAATTGGACTCAATCCGCGCCTCTCATGACCGTATGGAACATAGCGTAAAGGTGGCGGTACCTCTTGGGTGTTCTGATAGTAGCTTGGTCGATCGTCTTCAAGGAGCTCCGAGTCTTCATGGTCATCATCACGATGATGATATGCTGATAACCCAGCTCCAGCTGCAGCGCCAGCCATACCAGCGGCCAGACCAGCAGCCAGGGGGTGGGAGTGACGCTTACTTTGCTCATCTTCGACATATGAATCTTCGTACTCCTCGTGTGAAGCATGCATTGGTATTTTACGACCATGATCGTCTAATTCAAACTCCTCATGTAATTGCCGTTCGCTATTCTGTTCATGGAGATCCCCGCGAGAATAGTTGGAATGCTGAGTCCCCAAGCCTTGTTGTAAAGCAACGGGTGTCCTAGTAGGCGTCACCGAGGATGGCGAAGCGATACCTCGTGGAACTTCTCGAATTGGTGTTACCTGGTGCTCCTGGCTGGCTGAATGAGGTCTCTCCGTCTCGGCAGAGAGAATTGAGCTCCTCGTGATTTCAGAGGCGTTGATGTCACTCATGAGGGGCATAGGCGGCATTAATTCTCTCTCTCGCTCCTCATAGCTCTCGGCCAAGCTATCAGGCCGGCTTCGACTCTTAGCTCTTCGCCGTCGGCGCTCCTTTTTCTCATCAATCGAATCTTGAGATTGGTGTTTATGCAGGGCTGCGGCCGTCAAAGCACCTACTCCCGCGCCAATAGCTGCTGCTTCAACTCCACGATGGTCACTACTTCGCTTCTTGCGCACGCGCTCACGCCCACCATCCTGGATTGCCGTCTCCTCTGAGGAACCTCGCTCAAAGCCTCGGGGAGAGTCCTCGGTCTTGACTCGATCGATATTTCTGTCCTTGCGACCCTTGATAGTGCCTCCCGAGAGAACTTCTGTATCATTTAAGGTTACTTTGGGCTTGCTTGAGAGATCTGTACTGCTTCCAAGGTCAGACAGTCGTCTTGAACCCTCCTCCCTTGAATCCCTTGAAACGCCACTTCCTGAAGTGATCGAGCCTCTCCGGTCCCTATCACGATGTTTGCTCTTGCTCTGCTCTCTCTTTAATGCCGTCAATTCTGGCAGGATCAATCGACGGATAGCATCCTCTACGGTCTCGAGCAATTTTGGATTGTTGATGGAAGACTTTGAGGTACCAGACCTGAAAGAATAAGCGTCACCGGACTTGCCGCTTAAGTGGGAATTGAGCAGGCTAGAATCTCCACCGGAGACCAACGAATCATCCTGATGGCTTCGACTCGATCGTCGTCGGGAAGAAGATTTCACACCTTCGAGGTGCTCGCCGCTCACGCTGCGACTCCTACTCCTATGTTTGCGGCGGCGTTCTGATTTCTCCCCTCGAACCTTCTCCACGGCTTTTTGTGCCACAATCCGCTCTCGACTTAGACTCCGACTTCGCCGGCGTGAGGGAGTTCTCAATTTATCTGCCACCGCACCAGCGGCCAGGCCGGTCGCAGCACCTGCAGCCAATGCTTCTCCCCTTGTCAAACTGCGGCTGCGTTTTCGCTCGGGCGACCGTGTCGTGCCGTCCAGGAAGCTGTTTGCTTGCATGGAGGAGATATCGGAGGCATTATGGTGTATATATTTCGAGCTGCTTTCGCCTGATGGAATCAGAGGGCTTCCATGTCGCCTAGGCATAATTTCAACCTCAATTGGCCCACCTCCTCTCGAGGTAACGTTGGACTCTTCTGTAGCGGATCTATAAGAATGGACGCTGTGGTCATCCCCCTCCCCCGCGAGGGACTTGTCGCTTTTGACGTTGGGGGAGAGCTGGATGCGTTTGGTGTATGACGGCTTCCGCGTGCCTTTCCGCTCCGTAATTTGAATATGGTCGTTTGAGGAGCGGTCTCTGCTCTTCGATGATGGCGTCACCTTGACTCTGACGGATGGCCGTCGGGATTCAGCCTCGCCCTCCTTCCCGCCTTCGAAGTATTCGATCAAGAGGGACGTCTGTGATTTGTTCGACGAGAGGTTACCGAGGCCGCTCTTGTCGCTCTTTTTGCGCCGCGTAGGTATCGTGACGGGGCTTCCGTCTTCGGGCAATGTATACTGGCTTTTCTCTGTGATTCTGGAAGCTGTGTCGTCGCCTGTGGCGGTATCTGTCTCCGTGGGTGCTGGCAATGGAGGCGCTTGGCGGCCTTCGATACCCATTCTGGCAGTGCAACAGATGGGAAGGGGACGCTCTAAAGATGCATCAGGGGTGGTATTTGCGGTTGAGTATGCTGATTATTCACAGGCCGAGGACGATGAAGAGAGGGCTGCAAGATACTCGAGGCAAGATGCCGAGGGCAGTGCGCCTGCGATTCGCCAGCTGTCGCTGAGCTGAGCCTACAGGCTCTCGAGTCTCAACCGGGCTGTGAGATAATGAATAATACACGCAGCAGGCGCATCCACAGCGCCACGGGGATCCGAAGTACTGTACACAGGTAGATGGGTCGGTGAGGACCGGATCGAGGGGGAGGTAGATGGCGAATGGTGCGTGGTGAGTGGTGAATTGGGGGGGGTCGAGGACCAGTACAGAGTAATAGTGATTGTATTATTGTTATGGGAGTGGAAGAGGAGTGGAGTGGCCGTGGGAGTGGGAGTCGGAGGCAGACGGAGGATCAGCTGGGATCGCTGCAGTGCGTGGTGTGCAGCGCAGGCAGAGCAGTGCAGTGCGGTTGTTGTGTTTGTTCCCAGGTTGCGCAGGGCTGGCGAATCGAATCAGCGGTCAATATGATATTTGTTTTGGCGGTTCCTCTTATTATGATTATTATTGACTAGAAGAAGAAGAGCAGCCAGCTCCTTGGCAGCTCTTAGGCCTCTTTGCGGCTTGCGAGGTGCGACTTGCGGGGATATGGCGTACAGAACGAGTACTAGCTAATAAGTGACACTCCTCGGAATGCTCATGCTCATGCCTATTACGAGTACTTCGTAATAATCACAACAATCATATAACCATCATCCAAACGGCCGTCCTGCGTATCACGAGTCAACCCTGCCCAGGCGGCTTTGTGGCAGTGTCGGATTCGTCCATCACCAAGTCGCCGCGCATCCAATAAAGCTCGTCAGATGCGCTTTTCCGCTGCGGCTCAACGCAGCTGTGGCTTCATGTGCAACCTGACGAGTACGAGACTGAACAGATTCCAATGGAGCCCGGCCTCAAATGGCCTTTTGTTGGCACAAGCAGCGACATGAACACAAGTACTACATTACGTACCCATAGAGTAGCTATGTTTTGTACGCACTGGCGCCCCATACAAGATCTTCAATCTGCTCATCAGGCCCAATCCTCCCCCTATGGGCGTGCTTCGTATGGAGTGGAGAGGAGGTCCCGTACGCTATTTACCGGAAAGCGGGAACTGATTATCGGGGACCAATTTATAAGTTTATTAGTGCCCAATGGTCTCAGTCGGAGGTCCCTCCAAGCGCCACGAAAAAGTCGTGTTGACAATCCTCCGTTGCCAGGGAAACCGCGCTTGGTCCAGGATGATTCCACCGTGGCCCGTCCGATATTGCGGTACTTTACTTCCCCGACGTCCCGCTGCAGGTACGAGGGAGAATACATACCCATTTCTATATGAAAGTACAGAGTCTCCCAGGAGTAAAAATGGTCCAAGACAGTGCCGGGAACTTGGGAATTGGACCCATCACATTGGGATTGTCGGGGATGTCTCACCATGAAACCCCCGTTGTGCAACGTCATTCACGATAGCTATTCCTCGCGACCTCGGTGCAACTGGTATCTTATCCATCAAGACTTCGGGGGAAGATAAAGATGCAGAATATTTTGGCTACAGCCTTTGGGCCAACCAATATCCCTCCCTATCAACGGGAATACGATTGATTCTACACATGAGATAGCTCTACAGCTCTACTACAGCGAGCTTCAAGCAGCTTTTCGCCCGTCTTAAGAAGCCATCATCCCACTTTGATATGATCTCTCAAACTAGCGTAACAAACCTATGTTTAGACGTGATTTGAGTAAAAGTACATTGCAGCATGGGACTTCTCGAGGAAAGCTGGGTCCGCAGAGGACAGCTCCTTCCATTCTACACGTCTAGATATGCTGGGCAATAGACCGGCGCTGCTGTATTGGTCAAAAGCTGCCGACAGTCTTCCTCAAACTAACAATACGCCGCTACTTTCCATGGCTCTGATAAGGCAGGCACCTGTATGTATAAACCTAGAAGCCTATCGCTCGTTGAACACATTATTTTCGGTGATCCGTTCTTGATGATACCCGTAGACCACAAGACATAGGAGCAGTTTTGAATAAATCTGTGGATAGAGCGAGTCTTCCAGGTTGGTAGTTCCTGTTTTAGAGTTAGTCACATATTTGGTGAACTTTTCAATATTGGTACAGGTAGTATTATTATAGGCATCTCTCGTTAGGCCTAATTTCGAGAACGCCTAGCTAGCCAGTCTTCAGCCCACTCAACCGCCAGTAGCTCCCCTCCCCTCATCCAGCCCATCAAGCTAAATTCTCATTCGGTTTCTGTCTCCCATTAATAATCGACCCCGAATTTCTTCCACTTCATACTTCGCTAACAGCCATTTGTACTCGGCCTCTCCCAGCGAATCCTTTGCATCCTCAGCTTGTGCCTCAGCTTCCCGCACTTCCTCTTCTGCAATCTCCACTTGCAACCGGGCCGCTCGGGCATCCTGCTCGGCTTCTCGCAGCGAAGACTTTGCTTCATCAGTTTCTGCCTCAGCTTCCCACACTTTCTCTTCTGCATTTTCCACTTGCAACTGGGCCGCTCGGACATCCTACTCAGCTTCTCGCAGCTGCAGCCGCAGCCGGTGCATTCTCATTTGTCGTTCATCTTCTTCTGCCCATTGAGGGTCCCTTGGCTCCGGAACCTCATTGTTTCTGGCTGGGCTATTATCGACGTCTGGTCTGGTTATGGTTGGGTTTCTGGAGTGCGGTGGGAGAAAAGCCGTGAAAGGCGCTGCCTGCGAGGAACTTCCCACCTGGGTTTCGCTAGAAGGACTTCCTGCATTACCTGAGCTCATAGAGCCTAGGCGGGCTCGACAGAGAGGGCATGAACAGCTGGCAGGATGAAGAGGGGGAGTAGGAGAGGATGGTTGACTCTCTGATGGTCGCTCATCAGGAGGGCTGATGAAAATACGTAAACCCATCTTTGCTTTGATGATTCGTTTGAATGAAATTTTATTTGATGAATAGAATTTCACAAATGGACTGATGACTGTAGTGTGAGAGTTGATAGAGACCTACAAGGTGCTGAGGTATCCGAACTGTACTAACCATTAGATGAGTGGAATGCCGGAGACTGCGGGTCATGCAGGCACTTACCTATCCTCTTGATGCCTTTGTTTGAATGAAATTGGGTTTGGTGAATTGAAGGTCGAAAATGAAAGGACGAATGTAACATGAAGGTAGATAGAAACCTACGAGGTGCTGAGGTGTCCGAATTGTTCTGACCATCAGATGAGTGGAATGCTAGAGTCTATGGGTCAAGTAAACACTTACATATCCCTTTCATACTTCTTCCTATTGGTATCTGGGGAGTGTGTTGGTAGCAGCTGCTTGTTTACCTTCCCTTTGCCAAAGGTGAAGATAGCCAGGCAGGCTCGTCGCCTGGCTCGCACAGCTAGTCGTGTATTGATACCGACTAAGATATCACGACGCTGCTCGCTCTTCTAAACAACGGATGATTAGAGTCAAACTGGAGAAAACTGTGACGGTGGACCATAGTTTGAGTTTTCGATCTCATTGTTTTCGCGACGACGCGTTAAGTGTTGGTGGTGAGTTGTAAATATTTATATTCGAAGCAGGAACCTGAGGCGAAATATCAGCTGTTAGTCCGAAGTTCTCCCATTTCACCACCCTAGTGATTGAAAGCGCTTATCGCAAACCCTGAACAAACAAATCTGCCCCTCTACTTCCGGTCCCCCACTTGCTGACATCAACATCTAGTCTCCATCATTCTGAGTTGCCATTTCTTCGTTTTAGTAGCCTCCTTGTCGCGCCTGGAAGCAGAACTGGCCAGTCTGGATGATATGATGGATACACCAAACTCGCTCCGAATTGTTCATCTGGCAGACTTCAAACCATCCTCCTCATCCCGTGCTTGGGTTTCGATTCCCAATCCCAATGGTCTTCCCCTAATCGCGACCGCCACGTCTGATAAAACGGTGCGCGTGTATTCCCTGAAGAATTTCACACTTCATTCTACTCTTGAAGGCGGGCATTCACGCTCGGTGCGATCTGTCGCATGGAAGCCCACTGTGAAAAACAATGGGACGTTATGTATTGCAACAGGCAGCTTCGACGCAACAATGGGAATATGGAGACGGAGTGAGGATATGTCAGATGTGATAGGCGAACAGAAGCAACAGGGTGATGGACAGGTTGATGATCCAGTTGAGGTCGAGATCTCAAGCTATGGACAGCCAAAGCCACACAAGCGGGACAATGGCGATTCGGATGAAGACGGGGATGAAGATAACGAAGACTGGGAATTTGCCATTGTCCTCGAAGGACACGATTCGGAGGTGAAGAACGTAGCATATTCGCCATCAGGCCAGTGGCTTGCGAGCTGTTCAAGGGACAAGAGTATCTGGATATGGGAGGAAATCGGCGACGAAGGGGACGACGAGTTCGAGACTATTGCTGTCTTGCAAGACCACACCGCAGACGTGAAGTACGTCTGTTGGCGCCCAGACGATGGCAATGGCGAGGTCCTGGCGAGTGCCAGTTATGATGACACAATTCGATTTTGGAAGGGTGACGATGAGGGCGAGTGGAGTTCTATCGCCGTGCTAGAAGGCCATGAAGGAACGGTATGGAGTCTAGACTGGGAGCCCGAGGTCAGCCAAAAACGATTCCCGTCGGAGGATACAGATCCTACTTCAGACTCATACAGACCCCAAACGCCACGCCTCATATCCTCCTCTGCAGACAACACTATCAGAGTCTGGTCCATCGCCCCCTCTCCTCCACCCGCGAACAAGCCCTCATATTTCAACTCCGGCATCCCCTCAACTATGCGATCCGGCCCGGTGAATGAGACCTGGGAATGCACCGCCGTCCTCCCCAAAGCACATGATCTCCCAATCTACTCCATTGGCTGGAGCAAGGAAAGTGGGAGGGTAGTTTCTACCGGGGGCGACGGACGCTTGGTGATTTATGAGGAGCGCACCAAAGGCCGAACCGCTGTAGGTGGTGAAGTCGAGCGGGAGTGGGTCATCCTAGGCATTCTCGAAGGCGCACACGGCCCATATGAGGTTAATCACGTAGCGTGGTGTACGCGGTTCGACGCTGGAAAGAAAGCAGTGGATGAAGAAATGCTGGTGACAACTGGAGACGACGGTGATGTGAAAGCGTGGGCGATCGATGAACTCGCCGGACCGGAGGGAAGTCGTGTTGAGGAGAGCATGAATGAGGTTTCAATATCTTGAATTTGTGGCCGTTCACCACTTTGCACGAAATGACGATAATTGAATCCGTACAAGTATTGTAGTAGGACAGCAGGCATTTGCATAGCGACTGGCGTATTGGGCAGGGAAGCATTCAGTGTAGAGTTAACTGAAATAAAAATGGGAAGTGATATCAAGGACTTCGAGTTGACGAGTTGACGGTGTCAATCAACCTAGGTACTAAATGTTTTCCATTCAACCTCTCCCGCACCTTCCCAGTCAAGCAACCAAGCCACGACTCATCGCACTTAATGGCATAAATAACCCCATTTCTTTTTCCTAGTGTTATCTGAACAAACATAAACTATAATCTAAGTCACTAAGCAGTGCTCTCCCAAAAGCTTCCGCTTAAAACAAAAGGTTAGCCCCGTAAAAACAGCTTTGGTTTTATCAGTGAACCTGGGCAGAAGATACACTTAAGTACCCAGGTGTGCTCACAATAGCAGCAAGGAGTACACAAATCCAACCTATGAATCAGTGACTATTTACACTTCTCATATCAAATACTCAGATGCTAGATAGCCATCCAAATCTCCCATTCTCCAAATTAAAATAATATATAGCTTTTCTTTTCGAGGAAACTCTGTCTCCTATGTCCAAATATAGTAGGCCTTGGCATATGATTGGCTGTATTCTGAGTAGCTTTAAACCTTCACTTATAAATTAAACAATTAACTTAAACCACATACCCTATACGATCTACGCTATGCTCTAAAATATGCTATATTACCCTTATGAATTATGCCCTGAACAACTAACAATAAAGAGGTTATTTGCTCAAGCCCCTTTTAAGCATATTAAACAAAACCAAAACCCTCCCATCTATCAAGTCGCTCGACAAATTATAAAAAAATACAGTCAGCTTTCCACTCATAAGATACATTTCAAGCCTGCTCATCTCGCACCTGCTCCTAATACACACCCTTATTCTCTCTCTACATTGTTTTGTTTAATTTGTTTTCTTCTCTGATTTTAAAATAATACTTGAAATTTAATGTTCAACACCTCAGACCTTATAATAAATCCGCTAGGAAATATACTATATACCAGTTAAACCCACTTTCAAAACATACACATCATCTACAAGGCATAACAACATTCTCCGCCTTTGCTTTTCCCCTGAAATTAATCCCCACCTCCTGGAAACAGGAAAAAAGCTGCCGATACGTTACGTGAAATAAGAGAAGTGCAACTTGTAAAGATAGGTAAATATATTAAAGCCTAGCCTCGAGCCTCTACATGCGATTTAATGCAGTTTGCAACAGAGGATATATTCGTAATACGAAGTACAACTGAAAGAGAAATACTGACGGAAGGATAACCAGTTTCTATTAGCAAAAGAAACACCGCTATGACTAAGTGAGGCGTGTGCCTAGCAATAATAATTAATCTTAAGCACTGAATCTAGTGTCACAAAACAGCTATTGCTTCCATCCCCAGGTTTCTTCGGTAACCCCGAGAAGTTTATCTCTCTCAACCTTCTCCATGCGTTCCAACTCACAGCAATATTCTTCCGTACTTTCCCTTAAGACCCTGGAGCCCAAGCTGATATTATCCCGCCTGTTACCACCATATTTGCACTTTTCTCCATCGCTTGACCTGTATGTCACGAAATTCCGCCTCTTGCTGCTCCGCTGCTCGATCTGCTCGATCTGCTCTGCACCATTGCCAACAACGCAGTCCTCGTAAAACGTTGGGTCCCCAATATCAATGTCCAGTGCTTGCAGTGGTACCTCGCCGCCCCTTGAATTTGGGATTCCACTATTGACCGTATCAGCTTCCCGCAACAACATGCCCTCTTTAGCCCGTTCGACTGATGAATTATCTCTCCTTGTGCGTTCGCTCAATTCGCCCAGATTATTCTTCGCCATCTGTGTCGCAGTGGTCTCTTTCATCGAAAGAGCACCCACGGGCGGCCTCTCTACCCCGGGCAACTGGGGATAGTCCAACTCCAGCGAACTTGGACTATTCCTTCGATGAACCGTATTGCCAATGGCAGAGCTGCCTACAGCTGCCTCAATCCTGTTCACTTCTGCTTTGAGGTCTCGCTCCGGTTTCGCCACCAAATCCTCTACCACCCTTTCAGCATCTCCGTCAAAAGTAGAACCGTATGTATCATCTGGTGGAGGATGTTGCTTTCTCTCGCGTTGGCCGTAGATATGGTCCTCAATGCCAGAAGTTTTCGATGCGAAGTCTTTCACGTCAACAGAATCCGGCCAGCCAGCGCTTAGACTTCGTTCCCGACGTGAATGGCTTGGATAACTAGCCCAGGCCTCTGGAAACCTGAGATCTGGCCCAGTCGTTCTCCTTTTTCTGATGACTTTCTCCTTGTGTGCTTTAAATGGTGCCGTAGTAGCAGCCATCTTCTCGGCCCATGTATTAATTGCCAGCTCTTCTATTTCCGAGCATTCATCTGGGTTGTTCCTAGATTCATCAGCTGCGGGTTTGTCCTCATCGATGCTAGGTTCATCTTCCTTTTTCTTGACCCAAACCATGCTACTCAACCCCCCAAGGAGAAATCTACTCTTTGGCTCATCATTATCTCCGCTCCCCGTTCCTGCTCTCTTTCTTGAAATATATTTCGACTTGAAAGCCCAAGCTCGACCTCCCCTTGTAGGCTCGCTTCCACATGTTTGGGTTTTTACTAAGTCAATCTGGGCAATGTCTGGCATGGGCATAGTAAGAGATTGTTCCGTAGTTGTTCGTCCATCATAGGATCGAGTTACAAGCTTAGAGAGTCTAGAGAATATAGACGGTTTGGGGGATGTCCATGATTTTGGGGGCTGAAGATCCAAATCAAACTCCTCTTTAAACTTGCTAGACACAGGTGTGCTAGGGCTTTTTCTGGTCTCTCTTGGCAAGAAGCGAGTTTGAATAATATTAAGTTCGGCTTCACGCTCACGAAATGATTCGGTTTCGGAGGCCAGAACGGAGCTATTATCAGTTGTGGATCTCCGAATTGGCATTGCTGGAGTGCATTGAGCATTGGGTGAATGACCAATGGCTGGTGTAGTAATGCTCAAAACTGTATCCTCTCCCAAATATTCTACTCCTAGTAGCTAACTGTCAGTATACGGGTGGGAGGAAATTTCTCAAAACAAATATTGCCCAACTTACTTTCTAGCTCCTTAATATAAGCTTTGGTCTGGGTCTCAGGCGAAGTGGATGATCTATTGGCGTGTGGGGTCTCTACATCGGGTTGGGCCCTGTTGACAGCTGGGGGGTGGAAATATGAGAGGCCGTCTTCCACAATTTGATCCCATAATTGAGCAATTTCTTCAGCCAGCGATGCGGAATCTGAATTTGCCGGATGCCGAACTCGCTCAGCCTGAGAAGTGTTAAGAATGTTTGAATCAGGACGATGATGTGAGCTCCAACTAGACAAATGTGGAGAAGAAGTAGAAGCCCCAGGGCCGCTAGATGCCAATCGCCGGGATATGTCCATCTCATGGAGATGTATTGTTGCTGGATTATGTTCGACTCCATCGCCGGAACCTCCAAAATCGTGGCCATCGCTGCATGTCTGCGAGTGGTAGGCCAAAGGTCCAGAGTTTGTTTTGCCACCTGAGCTTAAACTGGGAATAGATGGCGATCGTGGCCTTTGACTATAGAGCCAAGTTCCTACAGCTGGAGGGTCACCATCCGATTGCTCCAAGTCTACGTCGTCCTTCATGTCATACACTAAGCTTAACTTGCGAAGTATTTCGCCTCTGTTGCTTGAGGCAAATGATAGCCGCCAGGACGATTTAGGTGGTTCTGTGATGCTCGGGAGACGTTTTGGTTGCAAAATCGGCGCTGGAGGAATAGGGGGAATATCGCTAAGCTCTCTCTCATGCTGACCAAATTGAGGCAACACAACCTTTGTTTCTTGCACTTTGTCTGGCTCTGTGGGAATGAACTCAGTCAATGGCGCTGAAATCTTGCTTTCTTCCGTCACCTCACCCTGAACCGCGTGCAAAGGGGCATCATTTTGCCTTTGCCGTGTCAGCCTTTAGTTGCCCGTTGAAAAGGAATCACCACTTACCCATCCAAAGAAGGTGGTTCATGGATAGACAAGGTTCGATAAACTGACGAGCAAGTATGTAAAGGCGGAAGAGGGGAAGCTTCGGATGGCGCCTGAGCTCGCATAGAAGATTGAGTACTCTTTCCCAGCGATCTGCCCCCACCCGAGATTGGAGACAGTGATCTTGCATCATCGTCATAGATTTGCTCGTTGCTCAACTCTTCCTGGATTCGCCGGTTGCGGATTCGTTTCAACTCTGCTCGGCGGTCAGCCTCTTCGTCAGTCGTCCCAACACTCGATTTCGAGCGCCGTTTCAAGAGAGCTGAGTCCAGGGACAAATGCTTTCTCAGTTTCTGTGTGACAGAGCTGAGGGTAGTTGAGCGTCGCCTAACTTTGACAGCATTGTTGATACCCTCGTCGTCAGTATCTGCCTTGTCTGCCTCGGAAATTGAGCATAGTACAACTGCTTCTGCTTTCCCCGTGGAACACGAAGATAGATTATCTCGGTTGGCCCTCTGGGTTACCTTGCTGGAGACGGTTGGTCTGGGGGGACCACCATCTGGTGATGGGGGGTCGCCATTGGTACAGCAGTGGGAGCTGCCACGGCCCTGAGATGACATAGCGGATGTGACAATTGGAAAAGGGGTTGATAGAGGAATGGGAATAAAGCGCTCCCTGGAAGTCCGGCTGTATTCATGGAGTACGATATTGTAACTGCACGATTATCGAGTGATGCGGGCGAAATCATGGTAGCCATATTTACTTTGAAGGAGGAAGGCACGTTGGTAGTGATAGAAAGAGAAATCATATTCTACCCACTTGACTTGGTCGCGACTGCCAACTGTGGAAGACGGGAGACGATTACCTTCGCGAAAAACAGACTGGAGACCAAACACATGTTGCAATGCTAGATATGTAGGAGTGCTGTGATCAGAATTTGTGGTGCAAGTAAAGCCTTGGTTAATATCAGGCAATGGCAGAAGACTTTGTGGGTTGTTGAATTCCTGAAAAACAAATCATATTTCATAAACCACTTGGAAACAATTGACATCTCGAGACTTCATCAAATCGATTGTTGTCGACCACCCATGAACACTATTCTGGATCTTACCCTCTACCAAGTCCGTCTATCCGAGAGTCAATACCTCCTAATCTTGCTCGCCCGAGGCCTTGCCAACCTCCGTTCGAAAGTCTCTCCAAAGTAAAGAATTTGAAATGTTATTTCTAGACGACCCCTTACCATCCTCTACTCTCTGCTCCTCTGAACGGTTACGCTTGTATTACAGAGTAGAGATGCACAAAGTTTTCGAACATCCAATAAGAACCCAGCATCGCTATGTAGTACCATTGCAATATCAGCTTACCTTCAACCGGACCACAAATGGTAGTCCAGATTGACTGCCGATGGCATTTAATTACAAGAAGTTGCAAGCTCAAGTCCCGATGCAACTCTCTCTCGGCAGTCAAGAGAATCGATGTCACTTCTCATATATTTCACCGCAAAAGCCTTGTCTAAGAAGCTCCTAGCTACTTTGGCAGATAATTTCCGTTGGTACTTACCCACGGTGACACCTACTTTCATCTGACTGCTATTCTTCGCTAGGGGTAGAGGAAACGTATGCCCAAGAGTGAGGAGCCTCATGCCTCCTGCCCTCAACATTCTTTTTGGCCCCTCAAGCCTAGAGAATAAGCCAGCCAAGCATGCCTCCTTCCCACGGACCGTGAAACAGCGCTGACGAGGCACGCAAGATGACGGCTGAAGAATGACAGTAAATAAACTTGTAGCACGTCCATTATTTGCGGCTATTCTCCTTTCCCATGTGGTTGACAGCTGAAGATCCTGAAAGACTGCTTTCTAAAGGACGGATGCGGCCCGAACTTATTCGAGCCAGGGCCTGTGGAACTAGGTTTCGGTGTGTAATACGAGGTTGTGCTCCCTCTCTTCTGCGTAACCTTCTCTATTCAAACCCCGAGCCTTTGATCTTTGAGCCGTCCCCCCCCTGCTTCTGGCAACATGAGCGTGAAGAGTGGATCCTTGGTGGGAAAATTGAATACACCACTTTGATTTCCTTGTGTCAGGAATTGGCATTATCGCCACGATCAAGACAGCTCGGCATATTTGGCAATCAACAAGTGGTAAATGCCGGTAAGCCTCCTTCCTAACCCTCCATCTTGATCATTAAATTAATGTCAGGGACATATAGGGCACGTGCAAGGGAACCGGCTTCTCACAACGGCACAGCGCAATTGAGACCCGAGCTGAGGTTTTGAGCCTTGCCAGGGGAGATTCAGGATCCAGGAATCCAGGAACGCAAGCCTAAACTGTTAGGACTGACGAGAGGCCCGTGAATTCCTCAAATCTTTTACCCGATTCGATAAAACGCCCGAGGCTCGGAGGATATTCTCGGACAACTCCCGCAGTCGTTAAACTCGGATTCTTGGATGTCAATTTTTAGAATTGCGATGGAACGTGGCGAACAGCTCTATCTGTACTCATACCCAAAGGCTTGTGCCGTCTCTATCCATCTGGCCTGACAGCCGGGCTGTCAAGTCCAGGTCCCCTCTCGGAGAATTCCTTCCGGAGCGAAACACCCAACACAGCAAATTCTAAACGGTGTTGTCCGAAAATAATGGGTATGTCGTATCGGGATGACCCACCCATTGTATCATAGGTGGTGGCTCAACGCAATAGGAAGGCTTCTAGAAGGACGCCACGCCACAATGTTGCCATGGCCCAGCACCGCCGCAATCAAAAATCCTTCTAGCGCCCTTCCATTCTGGGGCTCGAGTGGCGTGGGCCTTGGCATGACGGGAACCGCCATGTCCGTCGCATCCTGGTGGAGCCCTATAAGTGGAAATGGGAAAATAGTACGCTTTAGCGGTGAAGGGACGAATGCCATCCCAGCACGGAGATAAGTTGCCTGTTTGACCCCTGATTTCTTCTTTCCCCATGGGCCAATTATTACGAAGTAATCAACTTTGGTTCCAAGGTTACATGTACTTCGTACGTACGGAGTATGTTGCAATGAGCCTGTGAAGTGCTCCCCTAAACTACTCTACGCTTCGCGACCGGCACGACTTGCTGTCGTGAGATAAAATGTCAGAAATGTCATAAAATGCCTATACTGTGTACTTGGCACTGTACGAAGTACCTACGTACCTAAGTACAATGGTACAATGGTACAACGTCTAGAACGCTTACACCTGCGATAACACGTATAGTACAACTTCTATACTTAAGCGGTATACGCGCGCTTTAAAATCCCAATGTTTTAAACAATACATTAATTTATTTCGTTCGATAGCAAAGTAACAACAGCCCATATATATTTTATTTATTTTTAAATTTCATAATAGAACGACTCTCAAAGATTTCTCTACAAAACTTTCAAGACATCGAATTGACGGACTGTAGCTGAATAATGTGCAAACTATTGCATTTTCGCAGTGATTAGAATGAATGCTAAGGCACGGGATCTCCTGCCGTACCTAGGTATCTGTGCGTAAAAAGTACGTACTGGAGGAATATTACACCGGTTCCCACCATCCAAGCGTTAGACATACAGGTACATGCGACCGTTTTTTTGCTTTTTTCAAAAGTAGGTCAGTAAAACACTCAGACATATGATTTGTAAGCAACTCGAACATAACCTGTGGCAATATGGAAGTTGAAGTTTGTCTGTAGAAAAAGCGTAGTTTACTTGGTACTGTCCGGTACAAAAGGTACCCACCACACGGCAATCCGGCACCGCGGCTCAAAAACAAAAGCCCTAATTGCTGGGCAATTGAGGGACGAGCGAAGCTATTTCTATTGGGCGCCCGTTTTCTTTTGACAAATGGCCTAATTCGCCTCATCCGGCAATAAAGCTGCCCTTTTCCCCCTTTGTTTCCCATTATTGATGATGGGGCTTTTTCTGACGGGAGCTAATAACTCCGTGGGTAGTCCTGTTCTATGTGTGTGCGGCACAGGGGAAGGGAGTGGCTGCGGGCGGAGATCTCCGTTTGTCCAAGAGGGCATTGATACGTATGGCTATGGATATTAAAACGGCGTAACCGCTCTTGATTGGGGAGGTTTTTGTTACGACAACCCCATCCCCCTTTATTTTTTTTTTATAAAAAAGGAAAGAAAGGGTGACGAGAGTGTGGGGAAGCATGCTTCCTTTTCAGTGACATGTCAGGGCGCCCTTCCCCAGCGGCGCACAGAGGAATTTCATGAAATGATAATCATATCTACGGAGGACACCTTAAAGAGGTAAAGGGTCAAGCGCCATCATTGGAGGCATGGGCCCGATGTTTCGGGTAAAATGGATGGTGCGACCGTGCAGCCATGGGTTTTGGTTGGAAAGTGGCTGACAGTTGGCTATCTCTGGTATCTTCTCCGGGCCCTGGGCCTTGGGTTTCCCCTTAAAGGGTGACATCTGGGACGTAGTTCTGGTCGTTCCGGACGGGCAGGACGGCCAACGGGCGGGCGAGTGATTCAAGCTTTTCTTTTGTGATGGGTGGGATTAAGCTGGGGGAATGATATTGGATCGTACTGTAGTAGCACTCGTAGATATCCGTAAGTGGTGCCCGGAGCGTTACGAGGCGAGAAATCTCTCTCAGCCGCTCATCACTCGCGCGCACCGCGGGAGAAAGCGAAAGCTGATATTAAGCTTCGAGGGGTTTCAATGCCTGACCTAGCAAGTAAAGGCAGGATCGGATCCTGCGTTGCGTTGGGCTGGGTGTTCAAGACCGGTAAATTAGGTTTCGCTGTATTAGAATTGCCCATATTAGAAACCATATTATCAACCACTGTGCTATGCACGGAGTACTCCGTAACGTAGGGGTTTTGCTTGCATTAGAGGAAAAAAGTGAGCCTCTGCGAACTTGCGACGTGTTTGAAGTTCTCGAACCATGGCATTTTCCTTGGCTGCACATAGCCTGATATCCAGAGTTATATCCAGAAACGGCACCGTACATGACTGGTCCATGATGGGAAATTCTTACTCCAACACCAGTGGCTGGCAGCGAACGCCGAGCAGGAAGTAATATACAGTGATCGGCAAACATATAATCACTGCGTTATGCTGCCACGATCAGCATTGCATCCCACGACGTTCGTCATGGCTTCTACGGTACTGTATTATTCCGTATGTCATGCTTGCCCCGGATATTTTTCTATCAGATTATTGCGCCTCTCGGGATCCGTCGCTAGGCCGCGGGGGGGAGGGAGTCGAGAACATACGGTGATATCGCGCCATATATGGCACTTCCCGTATGAAACGCTTGGTTTCGCGACGAATGGAGTGATGCTGTATCGAGGTACACCGGCACTTGGAGTGTAGCCAAACAAAACCACTAGATCTCGGGATCGGCGACGGCAGATCGCACGAGGAAGTCACTAAGACTCCCCCAGAGACGGAAAAGGGATCGGAATGGGATTAGCACAGTGGGAACTTGAGGCGGGCGCGCCGGCATTTCGAGAGACCGATCACATTCTCTTGGGGATGACGATCTTCTATTCGACAGCGCTCACTACGACTCGTCGGAATATGATGGGATGCGCAACAATAATAATAAGCATCGCGAAGCTTTTGAGACACCGGCAAGAAACCAAGGCGCTGCTTCATATGGATGATCCGGTAGTGCGAGAGGATCCAATGGCAGGCGCGGGGGTTGTAGATACTGTAAGGGGGGTGATCATATACTCGATATTACTGTCGTACTGTCGTACTGTGCAATATGGGTATTAGATTGCGGCCGCAGCGTCCGCAACTTTATTTCAAGGTACGAAACGAATGTACAGGTACGAAACGGCAGCGGGAAACAATCGAATAAGATGGAACAAGATAGGCGAACCGTCTGGGGCCAGCCCTTCGTCGCCCTCCTCGTCTTGCCTCGGGTTGGATTTACAGCATTCGCAGCAATTAATGATTTCGTCTGTTTTTGTTTGCCCGACACACGGATATAGATCGGAGTATCGTACCGTGCTTACCGTACCGTGCTGTTCGCAGCTCCTTCCTTCGTCTGTGCCGCGCCTCACTGTCCAGTGTCAAACTCTGGTAAGGAGGGCGGCCTACGGTGGTGCTTCGAGCTGGATTCAGTCACGGAGCCACGTGGAGCATGGAGAGGTTCTGGTTCTGGTACAGGTACATGCGCCCAGCTGCCTTTCTCCCCTGGCTGTTGCATTCTTGCAGTTCGTTATGGTTCCAAATACACCGTCTCCCATCTGCATAGTGCATAGTGTACGGAGTCTGCTGCTGCTGCTGCTGCTCGTGCTTGCAGGAAGGGAAGAGGCGTGATGGCGGGTCACGATGCGATACTGCACGCTGGGAAGAGCTGGGAGAGCTGGGAGCTGTACGGAATCACGATGTCCCGACGATGTGACCTGGCAATAATAATGGGATGGGATTATCATGTGCACTAATGTAATAGCAGTGTACGGGGTAATATGAGCTTCACAGCTACGCCCAGCGCTCCAGAATACATCCAGCACTAACTCCTCCTCGGCCCAGCAGCAGTAGTACGTAGTAAATAATAAGTACAGTAACGGAATACGGAGAACGGAGAACGGAGAAGGCAGCCAAGACGCCAGGGGTCCCCTGGCTGCATGCTCCTTGCATGAATGCATATGGTGCTATTAATGAAAATGATTCCTCTGGCTTCGCTGCTAGGCCCGAAGCGGCACCAGATGGAGCTGTGCCGCTCCCATTGGCCGCGTGCATGGGCATTGGCAGCCAGGCGCGCCCTGGGGCAGGTGGGCCCAGCACTCCTGAACACGAGCTAGCTGAGGACGCGGCGGCGGTGATTCGCTGGAAGGGGGCAGGGAGCGGCTTCTAGCGCCGCGGGAATATGTTCTAGGCTGCCCCACATGCTATCGGCCAAGGCCATCGCTGATCAATAATCAGTCGCATCGGCCAACGACTCCACGCTCCACTTCGCTCCACTACTGCTGATGCAACGCTTTCCACCATCTCTACTCCGTACTCGTACTGTCACGGACGGCCAGAAAACATTGGATACGGCGCAGTGTGCAGGAGGAGCCCAGCAGCCTGGGAAGGGAACTCGAGTTAGGTCAAGTTAGGACCTGTTAATGCTGTGAGGCAGATCTTATAGAGTAGTTAGAAGGGATGGTTGGGTTACTGGTACAAGTTACGAAGGCCAGTGCTACTCGGTGTTGTACGTGCGAGTCTGGACTCTGGAGTGCTCAGTTCCTGTACTTGTCCCTCTAGCTCCGCAATAACTAATGTGATGAGATGGCACTATTCAGAGATCAGAGGCTCACGGGCCGCGCCCCTACGCCCGTCTGGTGTCCATCGCCGTCGCCGTCGCTTCACTCCGTACGAGTAACCGTTTGATTATTGAGCCTTGTGGTACGAGATAACTACCCCGTAACCACTACCGACTCTCAGGCTCTGATCTATTGTTCTTTGACCTGCCCCTCTACTCTCTTATCCTCCATCTTGTATCGTATCACATCGTGTCGTATTTCTGGATTCTGGACCTGGTGGCTTCTGGTTGCTGTGCCCCCTTTGGCTTGCTCATACGGTAAACTAACAAACCACCCCTTCCTACCCATTCCACCCTTTTCCCTCTCCCCCCTTGCCGGTGGCTACGACCGTACAGGCACAGGTACAGCTACTACCACTCTATCACTCTACCGCTTTACCTACTAACTCAAACCTACACGCCCGCGACTTCACCCTCCGCTGTCCGCCCTCCCCCATACTGGTAACTCCGTGCTCGTACGTAGCAGCAGCAGTGTATGCTTGCCCCCAGCTGCCCCAAGCAACCACGATCCTACGGAGGAAACTTGACCGGCCCCCAGGATACTTGTAATCCCCAGACTGTCCACCCTGAAAGGAACTCTTGAATCCTTTCTTCTCCCTCTCTTCCCTCTCTCTTCCCTCCCTTCCTCCCTTTTTCTCCCCTCTTCTTCCTTGTCCTCCTCGTGCTCGCCCTCCATCCGCAAAACTCAATTTTGCCCCCTTCTCTGGTTACATCCGGGTCTTTATTTTTCAATCTAATAAATTCTTTTGCTTGTCCATAATTTGAATAACACCCCAAACCACCCTTTTTTTTTTGTAATTCTCCATCGGGCACCCGGCGCCCCCGACATATCCTCGTTGGAAACTTCATTGTCTCAGACCGGCGCGCGTGCGTGGTGGATCGGCGGTGGATCGCAAAGCACAGATATTGGCAGCCCCCCTCGAACCACTTACACTTTGGCTCACTTGGACTGGCCGCTACGACTCTATACGGAGCAATTCAACATCCGTCGGAAAGGGAAACGCTCTGGACGCAGCGCAGCGCTGGGCATTGCCTGTTGCCTGTTGCCAGTTGCCAGTTGCCAGTTGCCAGTTGCCACTTACCAAGTACCAAGTACCAAGTACCCAGTACTGTTTGGTGATCCGAACCTTGGCTCGGGGGACTTTGGACTTTCTCGGGACGTGGTGTCGCTGTCGTCGCAAATGTTGACGGGATCTCCTGCGTAGCGGTACTCCATCATGCCAATCCTCAGGGCCGACGTCCAGCTGTTCCACTGCCCTCGCCCTCGACTGCTCTCCCTCGGCCAGCGAAAAGGGCCACCACTACCACAAGAACCACGAGTGTAAGCGTCGCGTCCAGCTGCTACGTGCTACTTGCTACTCCCATATCCTACTCTGTAGCTTGGGCCACCAAGTTGCCTGGGTGTGATTGATCTGGTTAGATTAGAGCTTCGTCCTCATCCTCATCCGCACCCTCATCCTCCCCGCACCAACCTAATCTCCAGGAGAACTGCCCAAAGTTATCCTAGGTTGCGAGCTGCTTGGGGCACTGGCGCTCGCATTTTTGGTGGTAAAAGGGAAAGGAGTGCAGTCTCTCTCACGTCCAAGGCCCAAGCCCAACGCCACCACCGCGATTTCGTGCGACGACGAGAAAGGGATCCGAAGAACACCACCACTCACTGCTCACGACTCACTCCTAGCCTGGTATTGTTCATCATTCCATCAGCTTTTATTCAGCGGCATTTCAGCCTTCCCGTTGAGCCGCCGAAGTGATCTGCGTTCGTTCATTCGTCATACCTTGTTCAGCATCCGTTGGACATCCGGGCTGGCTGGCTGGCTGGCTGGCGACCACTCTTTAAGCTTTTTTTTCGCACCAGCAGCGCGGCGTGGTCCAGTAGTCGAGTCGGTCGCAAGCAGTGACTAGTACAGTAAGTAGTACAGTACAGTAGTCGTGTGTTTCTGTTCTGTTCGCTTCGCCTCTTGGGCCTGAGCCTGAGCCTGAGCCTGAACCTGAGCCTGAACCTGAGCCTGAACCTGACCTGAGCCGGACCCGACCTGGCCCTGCAGAAGCTTCGGAACCTTCTGAACCTTCTGAACCTTCTGCGGCTTCCAAGGCTTCCAGGGCCTCTCGCTCTTCGTTCGCCCCGGGGCTTCCAGGCGCCTCCCAGGGCTCCCTTACATCATTGCTGCTGCCGCCCACTCAGCAGCCTGTCCTGTCTGTTCCCACGGCGCAACCCCGTCACCGGGCTCCACCTGTCGTCGCCGCGGTTCTCCCTCTACCGCTGCTACCGTACCGTATCACTATCACTAGTACTTATCACCATCACCATCACTACTCGAGCGCGCAAAGTGGTGACACGGCTACCCACTGTTACTGCTGCTACTTACCCACTTCCACTTCCACACCCACTCCCACCGACCACTATCGTTCCCGCTACCACCGGCCCTCTCTCCTCTCTCCACTATCCGCGATCCACGAACCTCTTTGTCTTGTCTTGCTCTTGGTCCTACTCCGTCCGTACAGCGCCGCTGCAGCACTACTCGTACCACCCGCCAGTCAGTCAAGTCCGTCAGTCGACAGGCACTCTGGCCCAGGACTCCCGTTGTTTGTTTCAACCACCAACTCCAACTCCTCCTCCAACTCATCCTCCAACACTCTCCATCCCCGTCGGTATCTATCGCCATCGCCATCGCCTTCGCCTTCGCCTCATCTACACCCTCTCAACACCTCCACAACCATCATCCCTCACCCATTGCTCGGCACCCTTTGCCCACCGGCGCTGCCCGACTCATCCACCCGCCCGCCGCCTGGAATTCATTGCTCTCCCTCGCTCCTCGCTCTGCTCTGCTCTGGCATACCGCATACCGCATACCACCCCATCAGCCATTCACATTCCCCGGGCACAACACACCGTGTAATAAATTTAATAACCTTAACCCCCCCCCCTCAACCCCCCTCCCCCCAATATCCATATCCACATCATATCCACATATCCAAATCCCGTCGCCTGCTCGCACGATAGATCAGCCTGCTTGCTTCTGTTTTCTCCTTCCGGCAGGTCGCACGCCGTTACACCAAAGCTCTCGCAATATATCAACGACAGGGACCCGCCCACCGCGACTCAGTCCATCAGCCAGCCCTCCGCCGCTGCCAACCTTCCTTTTGAGCTTGCAACAAAGCATCCCGGCCCGTTGGTTCGCCATTCCAGAAACACTCGAGCCGGCATCACCGTCTGCAATCTCCCGTCGGTGTTCGCTGGACCTCGGGGACTCATTGGAACATTTCCCCGTTGACGGATCGGCATCGCGCGGCCTCTTGCATCCTCCGACGTTACGACGGCTTTGCGTTATACGCGGGGCTTAAAGAGTGCCTTACGAACCGATCCTCCTTCCCCAAACCGAGCAAACGAGCAAGACGCTGTGTCCGACGACGACGACCACCGCATTTTGACCTGTACCATCACACCTTGCGCCCGCCGACGAATGTGTTTGAAAAGGTAGCATATCTGGTCCTCGAACTCGAACTCTCGAAATCAGCTTCAAACCTTCCAATCAAGGGCTCAGAACAGTGGGAGGATTGCTGAGGTGGAAAAATAGGGTCTCCCCCCGGCGGAGATAGGAGGGATAGACCGTTACGAACAAAAGCTTATGAAATATCTTCGGAACGCGATGCAAAGAGTAAAGCATCGCAAACCGCCATCGCTGCACCTGCATACTTCCTCCAGAGAATCTTCCCCCCGATCGTCGTCCGCCATTTCGGACTGGGACGCAGACGACGAAGGCTTCATGTCGTCTGGGGATTGCCTGCCTTCGAGGCCACTGAGCCTCGTCATACCGCCGGGATTCTGTCATCGGCGGCCAACGCTACAAGATGTCCTCTCGAATTCCGCCCCGCAGCCATTTACCCTCAGTGCCTTCATGGCATATCTCTCACAAAAACGGTGTTTGGAGACGTTGGAATTCACGATTGATGCCAAGAAGTATACCGAACTGTATCGAGAAATAACCACTCGAGACCCTACCTCACCACGGTCCCCACAATCGCCCGACCACGAGTACGTCCGCATGTTATGGATAAAGTTACTAGATGCCTACATCGTACCGAATGGGCCTAGGGAAGTCAATCTGCCTTCTCATGTCCGTGATCGTTTAGTATCGTTGCCGTGCAGCTCAACGCCACCAGATCCGGCCGCACTCGATGAAGCGGTCAAGATCATATATGAGCTTATGGATGAGTCTGTTCTCGTCCCTTTTCTCAATTCTGTCGCACCCGCACGGCCTGCCGATGCCACGCCGTACCCGTGGGCTTCGGACGATTCCAACATGGACACGCAAATGACGGGGACCTTGGAGGAATGGTCAATGTCTCCTAAATCTCGGAGGCAAAGGCACGATAGCCCTCCAATCGGAGATACAGGAAGTGATACTGCTTCGGACAGTGGGGCATCACCACGACTATCTCAACCACCACATCTTTCGACATCCTTAATACGAGGATCGCACACTTCCGCCCACCTCAATCCCTCGCCTGGCGCCTCGTCAGCTGAATCACCAGAGGGTTTAACCGATGACAGCACCGAATCGCTGACCCCTTCTGCGACTGGTAAGGAGCCCATGACGCCGCCGAGCACACCACCAACTTCCCATGTAGCCTTCGCCGAGACTTCACCTGGGACTAGCCCCAATACCAATACCAACCTCAACCAGAATGAAGGCAGCAGTGCCTGGAAGAAGATGGGTGCAAAATTCGGCTTTAAAAGAAGCCGCTCGGCACATAGCTCTACCTCGAGTATCCGGAGCAACTCGCCCTACCACGCTGGAAGGGCGACGAGTCCCGCGAATGGTAATGGCTTATGAGGGCGGCAGGTCACGTCGTCACCAAATGATATGTTTTCTATTATCCCTGTTCCAGTTATCGCGCCCATGGAGCATCCTGTTGCAGGGCTTTCACGCCCACGGGGCGTTCGCAAAAATACAGCTTTGCTGAATGGTGGAACCAGCTTGAAGCTTAGTGATGGTGGATTATCACCTGTCTTAGAAGCCCACCCTGGTTCCCCAGTTGATATTAGTGATCATCCCCGCCCGTCTCTTGCGGCATCACTATCACAGCGGCTGTATCATGGAAGCGATGCAGAACTCGCTAAATTCTCGGAGAAGAGAGCGAGGCTGGGGAGAAGAGAAGATTTTGTCAGGAGGGGTGGCGTGGCCGCAAAAGGAATCACCTCTGTACGGGACAGAGAGATGAAGGAGAAGGAGAATTGCAGACTCCCGAATAGGACCATGCAGGTTGCTGGATCACAGCCATTTTATATTCCCGCGAAGATTACCGAACAGGACGAGGTTCCACCCGGATCTCCGGTCGCCGCTTGTGCGAGGGTATCTATCGATACCGACATGGACATGCAGTACGACTTCAAGACCGAGGATGGCATGTGGATATCTGCAAACCCACTCGCCCGCGAATCGAGAAGCAGCCTCGCTACAACCGCTACCGCTACTACATACATGACCAACAGCACGATGATGGACGACCGAATGAGCTATAGCGCCATGACAGCCGACACCAGCGTTGCGAGCTCCGCAGCAAGCATGATGTCCTCGATCGGCTCGATCCGGTCGTCCATGACAGGTAGCTCGGACATGTACGGTTGGGAGGAAGAGCTCGAGCGCCAGGAGACCATCGAAAGCGAACCGCATTGGAATCGCCGGTCCTCTGGTCGCGGTCCTCAGTTCAGATCCCGTAAGAAGAAGGGGTTGCTATACCGAGTTCTGAATATGTCATCATCGAGGCGAGGTTCGACAGAACTGCCACCGATGCAATCGATCCCGGGATCAATTAATAATGGATATCCTGCAGCGTCTACTTGAAGCGTGTCTACTACATATTTGCGTCGGGGCTTATAAAAAGGGGCTGGGCGGGCATTAACTGGCGTTGGCGGGAGGTAACCTCTGGAAATACCAATTTCTTTTTTTGCTTTTTATTACTAGTGTTTTTTATTTTTATTATTATAGCGAGCAGAGATATCTCTTCTTATTGTTTTCATGTATACAAAGCGGTGTTCTTCGGGGAAAATCTGGGAGAGAGAAGAGATATATATGTATATGTATCTGCCCTTTTTTTTCTTTCTTCCTGGTTTTGAGGGATGGTTTCTTTTTATATGAAAGAATCGTCTTTTCATATAACTGGGGAGGGGGGGGGGAAAGGAGAGAGAGAAATATGTGTATTCTTCATGGGAAAGATGGGGGGCTAGGGTGGTGGGGAATTTATAACGATTTAAGCAAGCGAATTCTTTTTAGTTTTTAAAGTGATATATGATGGGAAATGATTGGAAAGATAGGGAGGGAAGGGGGTGTCATGCATATCATTAAATCAAATCATCAAATCATCAAATCATCAATCATCACTTATCATCATTCATTCATCATTTGACTACCTGAAAAAATGGAAATGGGAAACAAAATGAACACAGCCTAACAGCAGGGGCGGCGATCTGAAATCTGTTAATCATCTGCTATTCCTCTTTCTCTCTGCTGCCCTTTTGACTTTGTTCCCTTGTAATTTTTTGTTATTTGCTTACTCGTTTTCCCCCCTCCTTTATGCGTTTTTGATGTTTTGGCACATCAGATCACATTAACATCCGTTTGGCTTTCTTTAGCGGGCTGGCTGGTGGGTAGGGAAAAGGGGGTGGGAACTTGGAAGGAGGCAGACTAACTTTTCTTGATCTTTTTTTTGGGAGGGGGGGTTGGTAAACGACCATATCGTGCTTTACTTAGGTTAAGGTACCGATGCATAACCATACTCTATTACTAGATGAGAATAGGAAAAGGGGATATGGGAATGGAAAATATATTTAAAACTATGGTTTTGGATGGATATATATGATGTGCTGTGCTCTTGTGCTGAGTGACTTTTAGATTTTGTTTGGGAGATAGGTATATACCCTCTCACTCACTCACTCCTTCAAATACAACCGCTCCTTCAAAATCCATTCCTTCACCCCACCCGTAACAAGCCGCCCCAACACCTCCTCATCCCCCCTCCCAGCCGCCTCCCTAACCTTCGTACTACTAACCCCCCCTTCCCCCTGTCTCTTATACACATCTAGATGTGTATAAGAGACAGTGCCAGAGCAGAGCAGAGCGAGGAGCGAGGGAGAG